CTTATGGGTGGAAACAAGTTTCCCTTTTTCCATACCGTACGATGGCGATCAAAGGTCGAATTATTATTCGTATGTCCCTAGTGGTGGCGTCGCTATCATTCTCAAAGCTGGGCATGCAAGCCGCGCATCTCGCCCACGGGCTAAACTAGGAGGTAGCAAGGCTTGTCAGTACTAAACAACATCTCCGCCTCGTCTATGCCACCACCATTTTTCCCCTTGTAAAAGGACGCCCATTCTAGGGGATACATTACCACCTTAGACGACCCATCGAAGCCAGGACGGTCCGAGTCTTAGGCCTGACAACGCTAGGAGAGGCCGTAAGCATTACGTGGTACTCAACGTTCCTCCGACGCTGCAAGTCTCTTCCCCATTCGCCACAGCCGTTTCGCTATCCAAGTCAATTACATAGTAAGTATGTACATAGCTGAACATTGGAAGTTCGAAATGACAACCCCGTGCGGCTAGGCGCAGTTATCCAGTTATCCAGTTTCCAACTTTGCAACACCCATTTGTTCATCGGTAGGCGGCGGCGGTAAGGTTGAACGTTTTTGGATTCCACTGGAATTCTGCATGGTGCTGGGGACGACGCGGCATCCACATTATCGGATGCACTTCGTTTCTAAAATGCAGAATGCCAACTCGCCCAAGGGTCGAAGGGATTTATTCGAAATGCAGGCTGGAGTAGGCGAAGGCCGTCCGCGGACGCGGGCGTGTCTTTAGTGAAACAAGCCTATCCCGTCAAGTCGCAATAGGAGTCTCCTAGGCTGTATGTGCGCTTCCATTAGGGTTCCTTTCACTTGGCATTCCCAAGATGCCGGTACCACCCCAAGATGCCTCTTTTTCCCTTTCCCTCTCTTTGACCCCGGACGCATTAAGAGATGCCCGTTTCCAGCCTAACAAGTCCTGTTTGAAGAAAGTTGCGTATTCCATATTGTACTTCAACCGAGCCAGAAGCCGAGTTACATCGGGGGGTGCTGCTTTAGCTCTCGGACAAATTTGAAGGACGGAGTCCTCCGCCGTTCGTTAGACACAACATACTACCATGTAGTAAAGAAGAAAGCTATCGGGCTTGTTTGCAAAGTTGGCCCACTACCCTACCTACCTAGGTAGGTATGTGTGTATGCATGTATGCATGTATGTATGCAATCCATGAGTCCATGTATTAGGTTGCGGTGGCACATACACAAAGAAACAATTTCAAGACAGCGCGGCTTCAACGCTTGTTTTAGGTACATGGCAAGTCTTTGACAAACCCCTTCTCTCCCGCCGGAAAACGAGAAGTGCGCGAGAGATTATCGATCTGTTTCATTCCGCGCTTCGTTTTAGGTGGAGATTGACCATGCCTTTCAAGAGACGCCAGGCACTTGATCTTTTAAGAAGGGCTTTCCGTATTGCGCGGGGCAAACCCATGGATCTCTTTTAGGTGTAGATCTGTTTGGTGAGTTCAGACTTAATATCGGCTGCTTTCGTAGTCACGAGGGGGACAAGATTTGCTAGCATTTCTTTCATACATACGTATCCCGCCGACAATCTAATAAGATATGGAAGTCATACATGGTTGACGTTGATGATATCCTGCATAGCAAGCACAATGCGTGCCTATCTTTGTTTAGGACGGATGAAAGTGGTTGTCCTTGACACAGTGTAAATACTAAGCGATAGCTGCTAATATATTAAAATAAGTTTCACACGAGCAACTGACTGGGCTCCTTTGCGACCAGTGCGTCGCGGCTTGGATCTTGATTGATGATCGATTTCGAATAGTAGTTCAAAGTACCTACACTACCTAGATACTTAGTATATTCCAAAGGGGGTTATATAACAGTAGTATAATATACGCGTACCGTACGCGGTATCACCTACGTATGCGACTCCCATCCATAACGTTTGAATACCTACATGAGATTCAGGTAACAAGATAAAGGGGGTATGTACTTGTGACAGCGGCCGATCGTGTGTTACACGTGTTCTGTAGCTGTAGCCGTGTAAGACCGAATTGTATATGTGGACATAGGGAATCTCCGGAATGATCAACTCAGCCGTAATGAAGTCTTACATATAAACTTCCAAGGTTCCCGAAGTCCCGGCAAGCTCGTAAAAGTCACGGCACGACACAGGTAGCCAAGTACTTTCCTAGGTAGATAGCCATATGTGACGACAAAAGTATGGAGTAGGGGGGAAACACGGGATATCGAAAGCAATGGGGTCTTATGGCTGTATGGTTGCCGTGGACTGACGGTGATGTGTGAGGGATTCCGCCGGCGTCTCAGCGGAAGTGTATGATAATGATGTACTGTATCATCTACCAAAAGTATTATGGAGATGAATTCATACTACTAAATCGTTAAAATCCTGAATTGGATTAAGCGACAGAATTGATTGGATACGAGAGGGAACAGCGTGGGGTTAAACATCGGCAGGCGTGTAGATAATAGAAAGTTACTTCCTCCCCACTTGGCGGGTTTCTTTTTAGGACTTTTATCGTTTTATCGCTAACGTTTTCAGTGCCTATCTCAATTGACTTTTTCCATCCACACCCATCAATGATCAAATCGTGGTTTCCCCTCAGCCCTCCTTTATTACGAAATTTACCTAGTGAAGTCCCGTTTCGGTCATCCTTCTAGTATATACCTAGCGTCCTTTGACCTTTCATCTTCCGCCTCGTTTCCAACCCAAGCCGTCCCAGCCCAAGGAAACAAGGTAACCAAAAGTAAAAGAAAAGCCGCCTAGACCATCAAATGAGTTGAATGATTCAAGCATTCAAGGAGGCGTGACGTTGTAAATTTGCCGCTAGCATCCATTAAATGTTCGTGTTTGTCGTCGCATCTTGAAATTCTATGTAGGTACTGACACAACCGACACACCAGTCAAAGATGAGGACGAATGTGTGTCACTAATAAAGGCTTCTGCTGCTGTACATACGGGCGCCGGCCCAGTAATCAAATATTGCTGTAAGGAATATGAAGCTTTTGAAAAGTGGAGATAGCATGAGTCCATTCCACACATTCAATTTGAATCCACTCTCACCGTCGCACTCATAATATTTATCCTAGTGCGCCGAATTATGACAGGCGTAAAAAGTGCAGGTAGGTACAGTGGGCAATGGGCATACCAACCCGTACTTGCCTCCAATGCACTATGCATCAATCCACCGGATAATGGATAGTGCATATTACGGTCTAAGCAAGGAAGGGGCTTGCTGACGATGGATATTTCTTTGTTCTAGGTTCCCTACTTTCCTAGCCAATTGTTCGACGTTATTATGACTACATAGTACCTATTACTACGTACATGCTACTATGAGTACATGCTACATAATGGATGAACGTGTAAGGTTAGGTGCACCCCACCCCACTTACATATTAATGGAAGTTAAACGGTACAATTGCCTACCAGGAGAAAAGCTAGTAAGGCTAACGTACCTTCTAGCTACGCAAGGAAATTAACGTTTTCAAACGCCCCCCCTGGTACGGGAAACCTAGTCGTGACTGCTTTTGCTGTTGCTGATGATTGCTGCGCTCCTTCTCCGTTCTTGACGAGGCAGGGATTCAAGTTCAAAGCCTTGTTCCAATTCCAAAACCTTCCTAGGCAATTAGCCCACACTTACCACTTACACGCTCACACACACTGGACACACACACAATCCATACAACCCATACTCCCATACAACCCGATTTCGACCACTCACAACCACTAAAACATTTCAGATCATAACCCACAGTCCACAGCTTTCCCTTTACGACAATACATACGCAACATACGCAACATACGCACGCACCCACGCCCTTCATTATCCCTTCTCCCCCCCTAGTCACTCACTCACACTCATACATTACCACTCTAAACGATAAACGACCTAATAAGCCTTGGCCCTTGAATATTTTAAGCCGTATCCACGGACCCACGGCCCAATGGGCTGCGGTCCACGGTCCCAAATTACCCACTATCTACGGTCAGCTTGGCCACTCACACGCTCACAAGGTTGTCATGACTGTCATGGTTGCTGAGGTACCATATCTAGGTATCAGGTATCGTAAGTATCAGGTATCAGGTATCATACATGGTAAGTATGTACTACGGTACCCGGCCAAGGTCCATGGAACACGCCAATCATCGGTTCGATGAGCAACCATAACAATCCAGCCAATCCAATCCGATCCAGCCCAGTCTCAATCCGGCTACCTTGACCTCCTACATGACACTAACTACTACCACAGTACCTGAGGTAATCACTGCATACTCCAGTATCGTCGTGTAAGTCGGTTGTACATACAAACAAGCCCTTCCTTCATTCAGTCATTCATTCAGAAAAAATTCATTCATAATATCTAATCCATACCCTGCCTCACCTGGAACATTCGTGACTTTACTATTTGTCTGTATCTTACTTATTACTTTCATGATACCCCAACTTTCAATTGAAGTCTGTTCATGGGTCCCTATACACTAGGATATCGTTTAAGAGAACTTCCCTTACCGAACGTGAATATAGAAAAGAGGTAAAGAGCAGGAAGCAGAAAGAGAGAACGACGAGAAACAAACCCGGGAAAGGAGGCATACATACGGAGCAGTCGAATTGGTAACCTATCCAGATTCCTAATAAGCTGCCTGATCTCCTCGTGCAACCGCGGTACGGCAGCAGCAGCAGCAACACCTTGACGGTTGTTAAGTTGAGCCTGGGTATCATATCGTTTCTGACAACATTTGACAACGCTTGACAACCTTTGGACAATATTTGGAACATCCACCTCACCTGTCTACGGCAACCCACCACAACCACCACCACCTGGATATTCTGGAATCAGGAACGAACAAACTCTCATAGACGGTTTGCCTCGTTCCTTCCTAGAACATCCCTTCCTGTTCGACATGGCCCATCAGAGATGACCCGTAACCATCTTAATATATTCGTCCACCTGTACCAACATCTTCGATTAGAAAACTTTTACTCCTCACACGCCGTAGAAGAAGAGGAACACCGAGAAGGTGAAAGGGACAGTACAGTCAAGAACGTTTAAGCGTACCAGCGTCAGAGTCATCGTCGTCGTCACCCTAATAAAGTTTCTTTCAGTACGGTACGATTCGGTACGAATACACCACGACCCACCTACGATACGCTACGATACAATACCAAACGACCCTCACTACCTACCCTCACTATCGTCACGACTGACATCATTTTATTATTTCTTCCTTTGATTTTCTCCATCTTCACCTTTCTTTTTCCTAAGGCGACTTATCCGAATTAATCCCACATGTCTTCAATCGCCTTGCCCTCGAACTTTCGCCCGCATCTCCCTTCTCCAACACAAACCACTTTTACCACTTCGTACCCTTTGCGCCATACTACGAGTTTAGACAAATTACAGGATCATCTACTCGTTCACGGTACTCACCTGTATAAGGGTGGTCTTCGAACGCCGCCCACCGAAAACATGAGCGCAACTATCCACCAACCCGTGTTATCCAACACGTATAACAGCCATGTCGCTCTCGCGAGACAACCGAATACTCTGATGCAGACTGGTCGAACTGGCGGTGCACACTCTGGCACTATGACGAATTCTTATCCTACCACGCATACACTCCAACAAGCGCAATATCAACAGCAGCCGCAATTCACCCAAGCAGCTGTACCTCAACCAGTCATATCCCAACCAGTATACCCCTGTTCGCAGCATTCACAACACTCGCAGCTGTCTCAACAATCGACTAAACCAACGACTAGATCGACGACGCCTGCCTCTACGGGTTCTCTAAGCGTGTATTCGGAGGGTACGATCTCTAGAAGGGATTCGGCCATGGTAACACATTGCATGCAACTCCCTTCGTGTATTAGCCCAAATGGTGGGAATTTGGATGACTTTGCAGCACTGGTAATTTTCTGCCGTACTACCTTGCCGTAAACTGTGGCTAATGTGTTCTTAGATGACCTGCTTTTTCTGGTTCGAGACCATGGATACGATCAACGCTGCAGAGCAAATCAAGCAGCGTTCGCCCACTGACCCGATCCCCCCGTTATCCCAGTATACCGAGCCGTGTCCTGTGTACAAGCAGTGGGTGAATAAGATTCTCTCCACAACTCAGGTTACGCAGAATGTCATATTACTGGCACTGCTGTTTGTTTACCGGCTGAAGAAGGTGAACCCAAAGGTAAACGGAAGTCCGGGTAGCGAGTATCGACTGTTAACTGTAGCCCTTATGTTGGGCAACAAATGTAAGTATCTTGCCTCCTTGTTTGGCACCGCAGCTTGCTAATTGGCATTATAGACCTGGACGATAACACGTATACCAACCACACATGGGCGGAGGTTTCCTCGATTTCGGTGAAAGAGATACACATAATGGAGGTCGAATTTTTGAGTAACATGCGATACGGCCTCTTGACGTCAAAGGAAGAATGGGATGAGTGGCTCCAGAAGCTTGCCTGTTTCCACGAATATTACGAAAGGGCGAAGATTGAGGAGCAACGTCGGAATGCTCCGCCTCCCATGCCGATGACTGTGCCATCCCCGAATCACGGAAGATTCACATCTCCGTTACCATCACCCACTAGTATTCTGCCTTCGACCGGACAGGGCGCGCAGATGTCGCTTGCAGCTGCTTACTCCCCCAATTCGGCCATTCAGAACCAAGCTTGGAGTAGTTACCATCGTGCTCCGTCGGTCTCTCCTCTCGCGTCCAAGCCGAGTCTTGGTCATCCCATGGTGCGCAAGAGAAGTTTAGAGAGCCCTGATGGGCTCGAACATGCGCCGAAGAGAGTTAGCCGCCAGGTCCCTGCCGCGATGATGCCGTCGACCCGACCAACCCAAGGAAGCGCCGAAACGGTTCGTCTACCTGTGCCACATCTTACACTTGATACTAGCCAAGCGGTTACTCCGTTTACGTATCCTCCGGCCCATTACCCCCAGCCGGCAGTGTCGTTGCCCCCAATCGGATCAGGCGTGAGGGCGATGTCGACCGTGTACCCTACTGCCACGACTAGTTGGGCGCCTCAAAGTTCCATGGTCGCTACCTGCGGACCGCAGACGCCATCTTACGTTCTGCCGCCCAGCTACGGCACGCCGACCAAGCGACAAAGTCCCACGAGTTTGACTCCTTTTGGCTCATCCCCATTGGCTGAGGCGTATGGAGCCCATACCCCAGTCTCCAACTCACCATTGGTTTACCTACAACAGCGGGCGAGTCCTTATAAACCGGTCCGCCGTGTAAACCACCTACTTAATCCGCCCCCGTCCATGCCCCTTTCTCAGTACCACCTAGGATCGAACCAGATGCATTACCAGCCTCTTGGTCGACGGAATGACCTACGTTCAGGCATCGTTCCGGAATTCCTTCCCGCATATCCTCCGAACCATCGATCGCCAACGAATCACCCATACTAGTTTTCCCTACTGTACTCAACAAAGTCCTAGCACTCTAGGATATTCGCGCAACCGCCGTATTTTCTTAGTCTTCTGTCGAAACATTTGCATTGGCATCGGCGTTTGGAGGCAGCATAAAGTCGATACGAACTCGACACCTCACGGACACAAGGATCGTTCTTCATTTTTTTATTCCCAACACGATTGCATTATACACGGCGTTAAGTAATTGCAGGTGAAGGCGTCTCATGGCATTTGAGGACCGATTATTCGCACAGGGTGGTGATATGTTCACTGCAATTATGTACTTTGGCTGGGCATATGGTAAAAACAGTTCGCGTGTCTAGGACTGGGGTGGTTGGGAGAGGCCCAGATCTAGTCGACGAACTTGCACACGGACGAGTAGCTATTCCGAGCTAATACTCGCCGCGTTTATGTAAATAAAGGGTTTGCCATCAATAGAAGCATCCCGAAAACAACAAACGAAAACCTGAAATTTCTGGAATCACATTGCGTCTTTGTGAATGTGCGTATAGTATGTTATATTTCGCGATGATGTCACATGGACCCTGGATCTCCAAATTCTTTGCGTTCAATGCGGGGAACTGAGATGGGGTAATTCCCCAATGAGGGGAACAAAGTTATGATTACGTTATTTGATTGGCTTGCTCCGGCTTATCGGAGAAATTATTTTGCGGGGTTTGGAGATTTGGCAGCGCAACATGACGTCCAATAGATATATCATACCAACAGCCTATGGATGTCTTGCTTGCTACTTCAGTTAATAAGTGTGCTTTTCCCTTGCATACCAAGATCTAAGTGTCTATCTTTACGTACATTTCTATTACATTTAGTAACTACCGATGTAACTACCTACTGCGGCTTTGTTCAAAGAAGGTTCCCGCGCATAAGATCCATGCATTTGGCGCCAAACCGTGCATAGCCGTCCCCTATGCCCGAATTCAGGGTGTGGAGAAGAGAAGTCAACCAAAGTTACCTGGGTATTACCAATGTCCGAGGAGATGCTCTTTTCACGATTTCGAGTCAACGAATAAATACTTATTCGAAATATTTGTAGATCTAAAAGCATTGAGACCTACCGAGCAATCCGTGCTACTCTGTCTCGTATATTATTACCGTTGAGTGGGTCGTGCGTCTTAGGGAAAAGCTGTTAGTGGTGAATTCGACCGCTAGACAGCAAACTACGAGTAAGAGGCCATTGTAGACGGTACGAGAGAGGTTCAACTTCTTCTCCATACCTCGGTAGTCTCGTTCAAATCTATTGGTCCAGATGAAGGCATAGCCTTTGATAGTTGGCTATAAGAAGTCGTCACACTAACTCTCTCAAGTTTGCCTTCGTGAGCATTGGCTACCTTCAATGAATATCATCCGCAGAAGACTTGCGACAATGGCTAGCTCACGGATGAGATCGTGGTTTCCGGGTACCGAGTACCCGTTGGTAATCAACGCGCCGATGGATGGCATCGCAAACTCGAGGCTAGCTACTGAAGTGACCAAAGCCGGAGGTTTGGGTTAGTTACTTTTCTATTCTACCGCATCTCCAGACCGACTTCGGGCAACCCGTCTACTACTCCAACGTACACAAGCAGCCTCATTCACTAACATTCCCCGAGGATTCATCCAAGGCGGCCGGGACTTCACTCCGGCGTCGGCCCCGCTCAAAAGACTCGAGGACCAACTCACGCAGGCCCGCGAGCTACTCGGCATCGCACCCGCCGCGAAAGACAAGCCGCTGCCCATCGGCGTGGGATTCATCACGTTCTCGGCCTCAGCGAGGCAGCACTTCGTCGACACCGTGATCCCGATCCTCAGGCGCCACCGCCCCGCCGCCGTCTGGCTCTTCGCGCCGGCGCCCGACGCCCCCGAAACCTTGCCCTCGCTCATCGCGGCGCTGAAATCCGCGCACGTCCCCAAGGTCGTGGTCCAGGTCGGGTCCGTGGCCGCGGCTCGCGAGGCCGCGGCCCACGGCGCCGACGTCATCGTCGCTCAGGGCGTCGACGCGGGAGGTCACCAGTGGGCCAGCGGCGCGGGCGTCGTGAGCTTGGTGCCGGAGGTTAGGGATATGCTGAGCGCGGAGTTTTCTGACAGGGAGATTGCGGTTTGGGGCGCGGGCGGGATCGCGGATGGGAGGGGGGTTGCGGCGGTGTTGGCGCTTGGGGCGGAGGCGGGGGTTTTGGGGACTAGGGTGAGTTTTTCTTGTTTGCTGGTTGTGTTTGTTTGAGAGGATTGGTTTGCTGATGTGGGATATTTTGCTTAGTACATGGTCGCTACGGAATCCGATGCGCAAGACTATGAGAGAAAGGCGCTTCTATCTGCGACGGATGGGGGGAGAAGTACGGTGAAGTAAGTTGGCTTGTGACCCTTCCACGCTATTCTATTGCCCCGGCTGTGATCTTCGGGTCCGCGATATATCTAGTGCCTACCGATCAACGACTCTGAGACCGAGAGTAATGAGTTAATAATCCTTGCTATATAGATCTCAACTCCACGATCACGTCCGGGGCAACATGGGTTGGCCCGATCTGTACGACGGCCGCGCTATCATAACGCCCACATACAAAGATCACGCGGCCGGCGTGTCGCTCGACGAGAACGCGAAGAAGTACGAGGCCGCTAAAAAGGGCGGCGACTTGTCTAGGATGGTTACTTGGTCGTAAGTGTTTTCTTTGCTTGTGGTTTTCCGGCGGAGTGTGAGGAGAGAGCCGTCGCTAACTGCTATCAGTGGAACGGGCGTCGGCCTGGTTAGAGAGGAGCTTCCGGCTGCTGAAATTACGAAGAGGGTGAGAAAGGACGCGCTGAAGGCTATTCAAGGGCTCAATGCCTCCCTTTGAAGATATTCAGGTTGGTGTACAGCGTCATATTTGGGGTTTCACAATTTGCATTTCTACCGCATCTATTTGATGTGTATTGCTGATATAACTTGAACATATAAGTTTTGGATAGGTATCACTTATGCAAATATATTATGGTGTCGCCGATATTCAGACAACTTACGCCGCTTACACCTATAACTTTGTGGATATTACCAGGCGTTTTTCTAATCGTCCCGAGGTGCAATCTTTCTTAGCGTAGCCGATCGGATCGCTTATTCCTATATCACGCAAGCTCCAATTCACATTCCTGTGGAGAATTGGAAAGCCAATGGCTTCAGAGATCTCCAACATAGTTGGAGTATGCAGAGAGCGAATAGGGCGAGGAGGATCGCGATATGTACTACCGAAACTACGTACAGCTCTCCCCCAGTCTAATTTCCGGTACCGATACTCTGTCTACGCGCCTGTGGCCGTATACAGGCATGCTTTAAGATATTGGATATACGGCTGTAACAGGAGCAGGTCAGTCTAGAGAGTGGGACGCACAGAGAAAACGGGGCAAATGTCGAAACTTAGGAGTACATTGATCCTAACTAATACTATCATTTATTCTTACAACTTTAAGTCTCCCTTATTCTTCAACAAGTGCGCGTTAACCGGCGTCAACGCCTTCCCCTTTAGCAGGTAAGCCTCGATATTCTCCATAGCCAGCCTCTCGAAGCCGTACATCGTCTCGAGGGCTCCGCCCGCGTTGTGGGTCGTAAGGGTCACGTTCGTCAACTTGAGCAGCTCGGGGTGCACGTGCGGCTCGTTCGCGTAGACGTCGAGGCCCGCCGCGTGCAGGTGCTTCGACTTGAGGGCGCGGACGAGCGCGTCCTCGTCGACGAGCGTGCCGCGCGCGATGTTCACGAAGCGCGACCCGCGCTTGAACTTGGCCAGGCACTCGGCGTCGATGAGCACGGAGCCGCCGAAGGGCGTGGCGAGGACGACGCAGTCGGCCTCGGCGGTCAGCCCGTCGAGCGTGGGCACGAAGACGGCGTTCCCCGCGCCGCCCTCGTGCTCGGCGCTCTTGCGCTCGACGTCGTGGTACCGGACCCGCATGCCGAAGCAGGCGGCCGCCTTGCGCGCGATCAGCGACCCGATGTTGCCCAGCCCGATGACGCCCAGCACGTGGTCGCGCGGGTTGTGCGCCGTGTGGCTCACGTACTTGTGCGCTTCGGCCCAGACGGCCGGGTCCCCCGACCGCGCGGCCATCTGCGACCAGCCCAGGTTCCGGAACGTGCTGATTATGTGGAAGATGGCCATGTCGGATACGGCTTCGGAGGAGGCGCGGGCGCCGTTGCAGTAGAGGATTCCTGGAGGGGGTGTTAGTCTTGCTACGTGTAGGTAGGTATTTGTGTTTGGGGTGGATGTGCGGGAAGTAGGTACGTAAGTTTGGTGGAAACGGGGGAAGGAAAGGGGCTTACCGTGCTCTGCTAGAACGTCGACGTCGGCCCAGTCGTATCCAGCGCCGGCACTGGCGTAGATTTTCACCGATTTAGGGAGTAAGGGGACGAGTTCCTTATCCCAGCGGCCCATCTCGCCGCCTGTGTTCCAAAATGGCCGGAATACGGCGTCGAAATCACCCCATTTCCGGTCCCGAAGGGCTTGTAGAAACGGCCCTCGCTGGCGCTCTTCTACCGTCGGATGTATTATCGTGAATTCTGATGCGAAGCGCTCGTATACGTCTGGGTTATGCTTGACGGGGTCTCCGATGTGGAGGACGACAGGCTTCCGCTTCTCTGACATGGTTGTTCTCTTGATAGTATGTCTTCCTTTATTTTCCCGTCTTTGGATTTCTACTGTCTCAGTTTCATCTGCAGAGTAGCTGCGGAATAGAAACACTACGATTTCTATTCCATTCCTCGCTATATATTATATCCCCGCCCTCCGATCTCCAACCACAACCCGCAATGTCTACATACCTAGGTAGTCACATGAGAACTTACATGGACTGAGCCGCACCCGGGGATATTCCCTAGTGGAATGCGGAGAAATAAGCAAAAAGTTGGTTGTGGTCGGCTCGATCGCGGTCAACCCGACGAGAACATCAGTTGCCGGTCGGAAATTAGTTTCCTATTGGTGTTACTCCAAGCTTCTCGAGCTTCCTTGTATGAATCCTCCGCAAACCGGCGTTGGAGACGGGTTACAGTGGAGTAGGATGGATTAGTTACCCGTGGTTCGCGATCCTACTCGCTACCGACAGCAACGAACAGAGGACTGATGTCAGGGTATAACGGCACATTCATGTGGAGAGCGCGGGGGAATGTGCGGAGAGCCTCGCTTTTCCCCCTTCCTCGGTGAATTCATCATCTATTAAACCTATATACGGAATGAGGAGTCATCTAACTTAGGAGCTGCAACTCTCACATAATCTCATATACCGAGCTTAGCAGCGCAACCACCAAGGCCGCGCTTCCAACCGCATTTCTCACCGCCGAATTTCCATGATCATCGTCGTCGTCGCCTAGGTAATTAGTCGCATCACCGGAAATCTGGTCATACGACTGTAATGGGCTTGTGCTTCCAGTCCCATTTCCAGTGCTAGAAACGAAGTGCTCCACGCCGTCATACAATTGCTGGCCTTGGCTCTTGAAGCCCTGAGATCGATCCAGCCACTTAAGGCCGCAGACACGAATCGCCTTGCCCTCGAGGTTATCGTCATCGTCGCAGTCGGAGAGGACGCCATCGAAGCAGTTGAGATTCGGCGTGTATCCGTTGTAACCAACGTCTCCGACGGATATTGAATCGAGGACCGACGTGTAATTCATGACAATCGTCGAATTGAAGTTGGTGGTCGCGGCTGCAGCAGCGCTCATCTTTTCTTGAACGAGTGCTAGTATCTCTCTTTGCGCATCACGGTCGACTTGGACATAACGGACTTCGGGGTATACTTCTAAGCCGACTAGAGTTGTGTTAGTAGGTAAGAAATTCTGACCTTTGAGCCGTGATTGTGATAACGAGACGAGGTGGTGAGGGAAGTGAGCAATAGTGATCACATACTACCAATACCGCGGTCGAGCGAACACGAGCCGTTCCTGTTATCCTGGGCCGCGACGTCTGCTGTGCAGTTCTTCCATCCAGAAACTTGAAAGGTTGTGTTGTATGTTGCGCTGAAGCCATTACTGCCGAATTGGCCCGTGAAATCGAAGTTGTCGCAGTCGGCTGCTGCCAGTGGTAGCAGGGCCGCCAATGAGATCGTGGAGACCCAAGATTTCATCTTCGATATGAATACAATGGGTTTGTGATATACTATGATGGAAAATACAGTAGAATATTACGAAAAGCTGGAGAAACGAGTTCGTCGGTGCTGGCTCCCCGAGGAAGTATAGAACCGGAGGCCACATCATGATTACTTATAAAGACTCCGCCAGACGAATATCTTACGTTTTTTATTGAAGTAAACAAATCTGCCTAGAATATTCTTACGTAGGTACAGCTAATTGACCTGGTCATGATTCAACGCCACTCTAGCTGTGCCGCTGTGGATGTTCTTGGTACTGCTGCCAAGAGCTCACTGCCTCCAGTCGGTGGTGCAGGATGGCTTTTTTTATCGTTTGCACGATTGGCACAGGATTATTGACGCCAGGGAACCCGGTATACTGTGATACGCCGCATTCGAGAACCGCGCTCATGTGGAATATCCCCGATGGATCGGTGGATCCAATGTCGGTGCGAGCCTCAGCAAACCCTACCCAGGGAGGCTGAAGCGGTGTGTTGGTTCGCATGAGGAAACTTATATCCGAGAATAAGGCTGATGGGGCTATCTGGGATGTGTATAGCCTTTTAAGGCGCAGAAAACGATCGGAAGAGATAACCTAGAAAAGATTGATTACAAATCATTAATCGGTTGAGAAGGATGATGATTTTCTAACAGTGATACAGACTAACAAAAGAACAACGTACGAGCAGAGACTTAAAACCAACCTATCATTCAAGTGGGAATTACGGACTTAGACATAATAGCCAGAGCAATATCAGACCGCCAAACGAACTAGGTACCTCGTAGCCATCCTAGGTAAACAATGGGCATCAATGTCCATATAATGTCAGGTAACAGTGAAAACGTTCGGACATAGCAATGCCCAATGTTGAGTGTTACAAGGATATCATGTAGCAAGGGGTTATTGGTAGCTATATAATGGAAGACTAGAACCCTATCTTGTTCAAAGCTCAGAGATCGCAAACTGGTTTGTCTATTATTCACGCGAATAGAGCTTTCTCTAATTAGGACTCACCCTTAGCTAAAACCAATTCGTCCTTACTAGTACCTTATAGCGTAAAACTGCTCTCGTATACCATATCTAGAGCAAGCATTGTAGGAAAAAGTATCAGCCTTTCCTGGATACCTACCATAGATCCCTCCGGTGTCATGGTGACTCATTAGTCTTGAGCTACTCTTCTATGGGTGAAAGGGGTTGAACAAACTTAGGTAGATTTTGGATATATATTCTGGCATTTTGATGACATTGAAGTCATACCAGGTTTGGATAGATTCATCAGTCAAGATACGACACTGGAATATGTTGTCAGGGCCCTATTTTCGTAGAAACATTTAAGGGCTTCACCATTGTAGGCGCTGTCCAGTGCTTTTTCTTAATAGAATTACTTCTCATCCTAGAATAATTAAGATCCCTTCTGTCGGACACTTGACAAGTCCGATTATACAACTCTCACATGGATAATTCATAACATTCTTGCTATGGTTATAAGTTATCCGAGTCATGGTAGGTAAGGTATGGACAACCACCTGTCGTGATGGGTTCACGTGACAAGAAGTTCAGGAGAATCTGGGTACGAGATGGAGATATCATGGTGCTTCGCAATACCTTGAACTTACCTAAATAGAGAAAGCAATCACGTCTTAACATTGTCACGCCTTCCTGTTCCTATCCACAACAACCCTAGTTGGGACACCTCAGCTAGTTTGAGACAGCACACGTCGAAGTTGGAGTTGGCCTCACTCGTGATAGACGATCAATGTTTCTGTCTAACGTTGACAGAGAGCGCCGGTCCTAAGGAACATGCGTTTCTTGAGCCAAGTGTCCTACCCATGAGAAAGGAAATGTCCGAAAAAGAACATTTAATCGTGTGCTGGACGAGTGCTGGCAAGTTGACGACACGGAGACTATTGACGCGGGTGAGATGCTGCCAGTAGAATCGTGTCGTTTCAACCTTTAAAAATCCGAAAGGTGTGCGAAGGGTTACATTACAGCGCGGCGCAGTTCAGATCAGCCGGCGATGGAGTCTCGCTTAGTTGAAGATAGGATATAAGAAAAAAAAGGTTGGCAAGCAAGGTATGGAATCGCGTCAGGAATGATCCACCTGTACCTGATGCATAGAAGACGAGTATCTGCTGTGCGACAGAACAGGTCGTGGCATTGAAGCATTGAAGTTACTGAACAGACCCTTGATAGCTAGTCAGGATTTATTACGATTGGTCGAACGCAACGATCTTTGCGCGACAGAAGGGTTGAGTTGGCATATTTCATAGAGTAAAATACGGCTGGGAGCCTGATATAATTGAGGGTGGTAGCATCAAGTAGGCATTTCGTTGGGCACCAACGCTAGATTGACGATCGCGGAGCGTGGGGAAAATGAGGCTTTCTCGACTCGTTCATCATGTGGCTGCACTCACCTAGCGTCTAAATGTTCGGGCCGGAACCCATGTGAAAACGGGATCGTGAGATTTATCGTGATCATAAGCATGTAAGAGACTCATCAAAACCATATCACCGATAAAATCCTCACCCAATATACCAATTGCCTCCCAAACTCCGCCCATGCCCCTGAAAGACTGCGCTCATAGTATCGTACAAACATGAAAGCCCCAACTCCAAACATAATGACCCTTATTACATGACAAGGACTCGCTGATTCTGATCTTGGCCGCTGAATAAGCCGTTCTGTAGATATGCGACAAACTTCCTGTAGATTTCCCATGCCCCTAACATTGCCCTTCTGCGAAAGCACGATGATGTTAACGCTCGCCGTCGTACCGTTTCTCGAGCCTCATGCTTCCTGTTTCGTACTTCATGAAGAACATAACAAGTGATGTATGTTATGCAGCCGGCGGAGGGGCAGCGCCGGCACCTTCTGAATTCTTAGAATTTTTCGAAGCGGCTGACTTGCGGCGACGATGTTTCCTCCGCTTGGCGCGAAATGATCTTCCGTAGAAGTATAAAAACCCGAAGAATCCGAGTAGAAATACTGCTAGGAGGATGCCGACCACCACACCGATAGTAGTGTTCACACTGGTTTGCCCCGCTCGCTTCCGCAGTCTCGTGACATGTTCGAGAGTAGTCGATAAAGCGCCGAGACTACGGGTGAATAGCCGGCGTGCTGTAAGTGATGCCGACTCGACGGGAAAGGGGGTATTGTGATATGTGGCGAATTCTCGCGTGAATGGCAGGCCCACTCCGAGGCTTGTAGCGGGAGCCAGGGAGGAGTCGGGATTGGGATGGTTCGTCTGAGGTATATACATTCCTGGTGAGCTGAACACCGATAGGACGGGAGGAGGATATGATTAATGTTGTCCAGACGGGGTGCGCCATGGGCGCAGTGAGGGTAGAGAAATGAAGCGAAGTAGATAGTTACGGAGAGAGACCTACCCGAGGGAAGAGGAGAAGGCTGGGCGACGAGAGCGATTTTATTCTGTGCAGCTACTCCAACACGCAGTAAGGTCGCAGTGTGTAACTAGCGATCGCTGCGGGAAGGTATCTTTGCGTGGGTCGTCGGCCACTCACTTGAGAGGCCATATTAGACGTACAGCCGAACAAGTGACGATGGCAGCGGGGTCGTTGTTGAAGCCTCGCGGCAATCCCATTCGTCCCTCCCTCTTTGACAGCAGCCAACGATGATAGACTTGGGGAAGCAATACCTACACCACGGACGGGGAATTTGCGATAGGAACAATGCATGTCGACGCAAGTTATAGATCGATCTAATTCGCTTGAAGACCCTTGAGCTGGCAGGCTGTAGGTTCCCGTCTGGAATAGTAGCTTCGGCGCCTACACGGATCGTCATATAGGTAGGATCTGACTGTATGCAGAACGTAGAGCCATGCAAAGCCATGCAGAGCCATGCAAAGCTCAGAGGAGCCTTGTCATAGAGCAAAAGAGATCCATATCACTAGACTGGGACGAGTGAGACCGGCCGAATCCCGAAGGAGAACATCTGCGCGGCGTCGCAGAACGAATATTCCCCGGTTAAAATGCGCGACGCCTATTGTCCGCAGCGGAGCTGCAGGAATGATTTCACAGCACATATTCCACGGCGTGAAATAGACTGAAACGTATCCAGATAGGAAAAAGTAGAGCCCCAGGAATGATCCAAAAGAGAACATTCGGGAGGCCGTTGCACCGCCTGTACAGATATGACACAGGATGTCCGTCCAGGTTCTGATCCGAAGTCCAGGTCATATGGTTTAGACAGCGATAAGTTGCCGGACTCAGGACTGTCAAGAGTGGACGGCGTCAAGTCAAAAGTTAGGGTCCTGCAGTGATTCGTTGCATGTCGAAGGGGATTGGATTAGAATTGGCGATGCTGCATCCCATTCTGCCCCTCAGTAAGATTGGAGAGACATCCGGATGCGGCAACAAGGGTTTAAAATATGCCAGCTCATCGTCGAGCCAATTGACCATTGTGCTTCGAGGAAGATGGCGAAAGTGGGAAAAAGATGTTCAGGATTTAGAACGAGGCGAGAAATCCGGTTGTGGAACTGGAACATAGCGTGCGACGCCTCGAATATTACATATCACGTTACCTATAGCGTAATGTCGAATATTCGATAAATGCAAGAAGCCCCTTTCCGTCGAATTTAAATACTGATCTCCCCATCCTTTCTTCGTGTAGTTTAGGAGTTACTCAGCGGAATGAACGATACACACAGTGAAACTCATCCAAATACGGACTACTAGGTAGGTACAGAGCTATCATTCATTTGCATGGATAAGTACCTAGTATCCAAGCTGAACCGGGTTCGCTTACCTAAAACTCGTGCTCAGGGGTAAAGAGACGTGGCGGTGTTTGTGGCGCAAAGAGCCTGTATTTATTTCCAATAAAAACAAAAACAAAGTCCTCGTCGGACTTAAGCTCCTCTCACCTTGTAAGAAATGAACAACTTAACAACTTTCGGCATTCCGGTTATCTCAATGTAATATATCTCAAGAGGGATTAATATGTCGCTATACCCTCAGCCACTCACTTTTGTTTCATGACCTAATGCATCCTTTTTGACGTTACGGATTAGTTCCATTCGTATTCTTCAGCTCCGGTGCGGCGCCATTGTGCCATTTGGCCATTCGGCCGCCTATTCTCTAGCGTTGTCCCTGTCCTGTGATCGTCCACTGAAGCGGCGCGCCCACAATGGCCCGGCCTTTTCACGTTGGGGTTACAGCGAGCCACAGGTTTCTTGACCCATCCATGCATGGCCTTGACTTTCTCAGAGAGCTCATTGGCCACTGGGTATCAGGACTTGACATCACACGTTTAGGGTCCCTAGCCGCATGTGTTGGTGCTGCTCCCGCGGCGTGGAGGTTCCTGAGGACGGCTTGGCACGAAACGTATGGCTGGGTTAGACAGTTCTTTATCTCGTCAGTCACCATACCCGGTCACGACCCGCTGAATAGACATGTGACAAATTGGGTCGTAACCAATGTTATCCAGTTTCGGAGCATCCGATCCTTCACGGCTCGCACCCAGGTTCAAGCTGGCGCCGCTACGGACCGTGCCGCCTTGCTGAAAAAGACCCGCCGTGATATACAGTACTTGCCTCACTTCGAGTCAACATGGTTCTGGCATGAAGGGAACTTGTTCCTAATTAGACGACCTCTCGATGGCTTCAAGGCATCTATGGCTAATTCTGCCTATGATGGCGTCGGCGGAGAAGAGCTCACTATCGGTTGCCTCGGACGGTCAACAGAGCCTATTAAGAGGTTAATTCAGACTTGCCAAGAGTATGCAGACAAACAAGCTCAATACTTCGTCCTCATATATTCGCGTTATCGAATGTCTTGGCAGCCAAAATCTCGTAAGCCGATACGTCGTCTGGAGACGGTTCATTTCGACGACAAACTTAAACAGGAACTCCTCGCTGATATTAGGAAGTACCTTGATCCTAACACTAAAAGACTATACAACTTGCGGAGTATGCCGTATCGAAGAGGCTACTTGTTTTACGGACCGCCGGGTACCGGGAAATCATCGCTATCGACTGCCCTTGCTGGAGAATTCGGTCTCGATCTTTATGAAGTTAAGATCCCGAGCGTGGCAACCGACCAGGACCTGGAACAAATGTTTCAGGAGGTGCCACCGCAGTGTATTGTGCTTCTAGAAGACATCGACGCTATCTGGACGAAACGGGAGTCGACCAATCACGAGCGGCATGGCGAGGCCATAACGAACTGCACGCTTTCCGGGCTGCTGAACGTCTTGGATGGAGTTGGGTCCCCTGAGGGCCGTATTGTCATTATGACAACAAACAAGCTGTCTCGTCTTGACAGTGCTCTAGTGCGTCCTGGTCGTGTTGATATGAAAATACTGCTTGGAAATATTAGTCGAAAGTCAGCCGAGCAGATGTTTCTCCGCATGTTCGCGCCAGACGTCGATTATTTGGCGTTACCATCGTCGAAGAAGGACACGGTCAAAATAGGGGAAAGCCAGCATGTCCAAATGGACCACGAGCGACTACTGAGGCTTGCTTCAGAGTTTTCGACGCAAATCCCAGAAGACACATTTACCCCTTCGCAACTGCAAGGCTTTTTTCAATTACATTTAGATAACCCTACCGAGGCTGCCTTGAGTATTTCCGCCTGGGTTGAGAGGCAACTGTCTGGACTGTCATCGGATGACGAGATCGAGATTGTCGGCAACGGGCACGCTCGATAAACTACCTCAATGAAGGTGTACGATAGATGGATAAAGGATTACTGTATTATAATGATGTACTATAGAGAGTTTCGTATTAGATTAGACAGGATAACGGAGTTTAGGGCATGGTCGGATAGTTACCTTTGGTTGGGCATCGGTTAGAGCGGCAGCATATTAGGCGCTTGCTGACTGATTAAAAGTCTTCTGTTAATCGAACAATGTAGATACCTAGGTCGGCTAACAAGATCCCCTTAGCTGGCACAAGTGACTTGTCAGCCCCCTTGTAACTAGCATCAATACAGGAGACTTCACAGAATGGAGATAGGTAGCTCGTACGATATCAGGCCAGCCTACCATTGTGTGATATATTCTAGATATTATGCTAATTATTGATCATAGCGGTGGCGGTCCCAAGTGCTGTGAAGTTAATGGCTCGTGCCAATTAAGGGGATATTGGACTTCAAATTCCATACGAAATCAACTCCGTCTCGTACTTCGTATCGATTGACACACTCAAATATACTTAGCCACGCCTCTATTCGGTATCATAATGCGAGCAGAATTCCATAAATGACACGGGGTTGTCGAAAGTCCTATCAGGTGTTATGTGCTGAGATCGTGGATCAAATACGATTGGCGGGAACATTGCTCTGCATCATTGTGTACTCTACTCGGGCGTAGTGTTGCATTTTAAAATGGAGCTTTATTTTGACTGACTGGTAAGGCATATTGCTTGCTGTCCGTGCAATGCGATAGATCTCTGGATCTAGGAACGTGGTGGTGGTGAGGCACAGCCTCAGCTATAATGCGCAGCACAAAAGCGAGGCACTTTTATTTGCCCAACCCAATGATGTTATAATCACCTTGAATGTCTACCTACTCAAGTATAATAAAGCTATTGTATGTTTATGCCCATTCAAAATAGCCTTTTCTCATCTCTCCCCCAAGGCATAAACGACATCATCACCATCTCGCATTTGGCAGTTCGTCCACAGCTTTTTCGCAAATTCCTTAATAAAACAACCACGATGCCGGCCGGATATAGAGCAGGAAGTGGTGGAGATCAATCAGCAGCCTTTAATAACCCCGGAGTGGTCGCCGGCGTTATAGTCGTAGTCATTATCGCGATAGGGGTAGCGTCCGCCACTGCTTGTCGCTTTGCTACCCGCAACAAAGATTAGCCTCAACTGAAAAGACATCGAGCAAAAAGCAGACGATTGCCGAACGACAACCAGACAGATGATGCTGTATTCTAACTGGGGCCCGCTCGGCTAGAACGCACAGCAACGCCTCGACTGGAAGATATCCTTTGAGCTACTCGAGAATCGTTAGTTGCCGTATACAGTCAGAGTACGAACGCACGAACCTTCACTACCTGGAGTCTATAAGGAGAATTATGTATGAAACTACTTAACGACATAAACGCTGCGCAACTCGGTGGTCTAAACGATTATTAGCAAAAAGAATCATAAGCATCGAATTCAGGGGTTTACGAATACGTAACCTGAAACAACCACATTTTCATGGACGCTTTCGTTAGCAATCCAACGCGATACAAGGTAGCGACCGTTACTCTAGTCTGTCGCTCGCCACTGGATACCAAGTAACATGAATCGAAGACAGTTTAGGGGTGCCTACTCGGTTCCGTACCGACTGTCTCGAACCGGTCACGGATCACGGAATGTATTTCGACATCACATCCTTCCCTTAATGTTCTCACCGAAGCGGGAATTGCATTACTGCCATCGAATACACATGATACAATATATATAGATTAGTGTATGGCAAAGGCACCATGTGAGATCTCTGTTGATATATCATTTGAAAGGATTGTATTTATATAGTTGGGGGGTTAGGGGGACACGGTTCTCTTTGGTAAACACTCTGCCGTGGTGTAGAGGAATATCTGGGATATTAATGGATAATTAGAATCCACGAGTATTTTCCGTTCATAGTCGTGGTACATAGTAAATCATTTACGTTCTCCTATGACTGACTCAGTCTCCGACCATCTCCGGCCCTCCTCGGTCGCTAAGAAGATTCATGTGGCAGTGAAAGCTCAGAAACTTGTCCTTCCAATAACATTTACCCTAACACGTCAATTGAAAGTGCTGATTGCACCAGAATAACACTCCACGGTTATCAAGTGATGAATGCAACAGCTTGTACATTAGCTATTGGTCATTTGTTGAAAGCATATCGAATTAGCCTACAACTCGGCCCCGATAATTCTTATGTCAATATAACATTCCCAGAAATAGACAAAGATATATCAATAATTAAAGAAACACATGGCGTCAGCAACCAGTTTTTATGAAGTCAAAAGTGGGAGGTGATAGGCCCAAACGAATCCTTCTACAAGTTTTGCCTTCTCCAGTTCCTGGATATCTCTTGTCAGCACCTTCGTCGCTGGAGTCTGCTGACAGTTGAACTCGAATCCTTTCAACCTCCAACGAGAGCGTACAACAAGGTCTGCGCCCCCTTATACGAAAATTAGTGGGGCTATAACGGTGTGCCGCTGGGTGTGCAGGGTGTGTTAAGGGGGTGAGAAAAGGTGGAGATCTCGACGTCAAATTACCACATGAGGCTTTCGGGACTGCCTCTGATTCGACGCCCAGCGGACACCCCCAATCGCCTCATGATGTAAGTGTCTGGGTTAAAATCAGGATTTGGTCTAGGCCGCAAAGTATATGATTTCCTCCGGCCACTCTAAATCGGATACTTCGCATACCTATATGGGGTACATCGGATAGTGGTGACGTTGAATCTGGGCCATCGTCGATTGAGCATACCATGACACGCATGTAGGTAACGTAAATGTTAGAAATCTTGATCCTTTACGTCTTTTCGCAGCGTTCTGGTCCTTCCCAGCCACACGCCCCTCGAATTCATATAACAATGTAAGGGCGCCTCCGAGTGATCCGTTAGGTCGTCATATCAAGTACTTACCTCTCTGATTTCGCTTTTCTTTCAAGCCACTTTACTGTACGCTAAGCTATATTATAAGACTTACTACTGCAGCACTCTTGACTCAAGATCGGTCTCACATTCTACCTACATACCAATCCATAAGAGCATAGATCAAGAAACATAATGTCGTCTTCAAGCGTCGACGAGAAGCAGCCTCAGCGACAGCCGACGGTCGCCCAGGAGTCCGACCAATCGGACGCCTCCGAGCAGATGTCCGAAACCTCGCGACCACCTCGCACCCGCCGTCGCAACCGTCGTCGCCCCGGGTCCGTCCAGCCGCTCCAGCCGCAAGAGGACCAGCAGATGCTTCAGCAGAGGCAGCAGCAACAGATGATGCAGCAACAGCAGCAGCAGCAGATGGTACAGCAGCAGGACCAGGGTGGGGGTAAATCCGACACGCTCCGACTCCGTCTCGATCTCAACCTCGAGGTCGAGGTCACGCTGAAAGCACGCATCCACGGAGACTTGACATTGGCACTATTGTATGTGATACGTACATCCCGCGCAAATTCCCTCATGAGGGTACATAGTCTAACAACTGTCTTCTTTTTAGGGACACTTAAGTTGCCGCTCGAAAGTGAAATGTTACGAATATCACGATTATTGAACGAGGCGAGGCGAGGCGAGGTTTGTGGCTATGAAGAATGGAATGGAAAATGATAGGATGAGTTTCAAGACAAGTCGCAATACTGGAAATACTTGCATTCTTGTTAGGTCTGCTTTCTTTTTTGGTAGCATGTTTTTTAATCGATCAGTCTTTGGTTTTCATGCGTTCGACAAAAACATACCTAGCTAATTACATGTTCCCTTAAATCTACGACTTGTTGCAGAATTGGCGAGATTTGATGACTTGGTTACAGCAACTGTAGGTATGTGACCACTGCTGTAAGACTTCTTAATTTGCGTCAAACTGTTTTATGATATAATTGTTCATGGGTTCGACCGTTTGAATGTGGCAAACGGCTGTATGTCTCCAATAATATGCCGGTGTTTTATGGTCAAGGTTTAGTTTAAGGCCGATGATACCTCTAGCATAAAAGAAGTAAGGCGCCGGTAGTTATAATGGATCTCGTAGGTTTGTTTACTCCTCTTATTGAAACTAGGCGTATTTAGATACAGTTCTACTCTGAGCAATTCCACGTAACTCTTCGTCATGTCGCCGCACCATCATATCTTTATGTGTCGCGGCGCTTTAGCCAACTTCCCCTGCTTCCATGTAACATCCGTTTCCGATGTCTCATTGTATCGCGAGGTCATATGGTACCGTGCGAGGAAAGTAACGACAGTAAGTCCTATCGTGAACGCTGCGAACACCCAGGTGTTCTTAGAGACGACTGATCCTCCAGGCTGGGGATTCCAGTCGAACATGTTCATTGAGGATATCGCCTATGCGAAATTAGCCGAGATTCACTTATCCGATTCGCGCGTACCTCTTACTACCACGCTAGAGAAGGGTAGGTAGATCATCGTCAGTAGTGCTATGTATCTCATCTGTGTGCCCTCCTGCTTCGCTCGTTGTGCGATCAACGTATTTGTGAATGCCATGCTCTTGTTGGCATCCGAATCTAGCTTGGCTATCTGATTATACGCCTAGAAATTTTGAGCACGTTGGAGTGCCTATGAGGAAGTGGTTGATAAGGGGTTGACTTACTACCTGCGTAGCAAGAGTCGTATCTTCCACGATCATCTTGCACTCGTCTATCGTGGCGTCGTACTCATTGATGATATCTTGTACCCTCTTCTTCATAAAGTTTCCATGTTTATTGAAGCAATGCGTCGTTATAGCTTCACCTGGGAACTTATCAATCTCCGCTAGAAGCTTAGAGAGTTGACGTTTGACGGCTTTAATATGATGCATGAGGGACCTGCTCTTAAAGCATAGCTGAACATATTCCTGGGTTTTTTCATTGCTAATGTCCGCAGCTATCTTGTTTGGGTCGTCAATATAATCGGATCGTAGAGTAAAGTCGTCGACGAGTTGCTCGGCCTCAGCTAATAGCCTTTTCCGCTCAAGTTCGATAAGGAGTCCTATTAATAGTAATGGGTACTTGGTCTTGTCTCCTGCTTCTCTGACGCGCTCTTCAATACCATCCATTTGATCGTCGTTGCATCCATATATGACAGCGAACGTCGTATCCGTGCTCGGAACGTAAGTTAGAGATAACGCTAGGTCTTTGGGGAGACGTGCTGACATTCGAGCAATAAAATCTGTGTCCCGCTCTAAGGTAAGGGGCTGATTATAGTATATAGTGAAGGAGAGGTACTGACATATCTTCCATTGACCCGCCCTCTCCTCCTCGTAGTGCGATGTGAAGTAATCAACCTTTCTGGCTATCACTCGCTTTATCTCTCGATGGACGTGGAACGCTCTCGTAAGTCTTTCCCATGTGTCCCTCGTGATCGAGAGGTATGAAACTGGTGCATCTTTTTCCACGAAGATAGGCGAAGCCCTACTGCAAAGTCTGCTCAAAGCTTTAGTCAACATCAATCTTTCTTCCTTTTTGGAACATTGAATAATCTCTTACACTATATGAAGCTCACTTTCCGTGGAAGGGGTGCGTCGTGGCTATCGCAAGTTAGCCTTCGATGGATCTTTCGATATAGCCATCCTAACCGTAACCGTACGTCATGGAACCAATCATCCCACTCTTGCTTGTCTCGAAACTCATTCTTTATTACAATCGTCTAGCATCGGTATCGTTAGTGAAGTTTGGTAGATGACATGGATGTTATCATACCTACTGGATGAGGGTTTATTTTTCGGAGAACTACAGTACGGCGTTGCTCGAAACGAAACGTCCTAAAGTCGCGGTCAGACCAAGACGCGTCCTCTGCGTGCCAGTCCATCCCCCCTATTTACAAGCCAAGGTCTAGATTTGAAGATTGCGGGCACTTTTTTCCCGGGAGTTTCGAAATATTAGAAAATTTTCGCAAGTTCTGCTCGTGAGAAATACACTATGTGAAAACCCCTATCTCCTCCCGGGGTAGCTATCGTGATTTTATAAGTATAATAGGCATTCTTGGGAGCCTTAAAGGTCGCTCATCTCAACCCATCTTGTACCGCCACGCTGGGTTTTCTGTATATGTGCTGTATCCTATGGCTCGCTAGATCATATCTGATTGGCTGTCTAACTAAGCTCGTATAGCCAAACTGTAACCTTCATGCATATCCATCTTGCATATACTCGCGCCACATGTAAAGTAACACTTGATTTTTGGTTGGTCGGCGCTTAACCACCATCGCGTATGTCGCTTATGCATATTACCAGCACTGAGATAAAGCACGATCGTTATAAACCTCGCGGAAATCCGTTTAAAAAGCCGTTCAATCATAAATCCAAATCACTCCCAAGCCGATGACATCATTGTAACGAGAATATATCTATTCGCACCCCTGCTCGGACTATCTTGACGGGGACTCTCCAAGCTGGGTCTCTCCTGGATGGGACTGCTCATTGCCATATATAGACGTCTGCACTTAGCACATCCGACGGCGGCGGCAGAGACATTGCTTCCGACACATTGTTAGATTTGACGCTTTCTTGATCTACATCGCAACGGGAAACCCAATCCTTAATAAGGTTATGATGAGGCTTCGAATTGTTCTCTTCAGGTGATATATTAGGATTATTATTGATTATAGGAGAGGGACGCTGCTCTGGGGATGCGGTTAGTCATTTTTTAGAAGTGATAATGGGTAATCCTATTGGTATATCTGCCGGCGGTTCTGCGGCTCTGGTCGACGGAGGGCTTGTGGGTATAGTCGATTGAGGTTTTGCTGTATAACTTGAAGATTTCGGCCGCTTCGTAGGGGGAGAGTAGAGCTTATAGGTGACGTAGATCGCTATCTTTTGAGTGGTTTTGGTGTCCTCGAGTACAAAGACCGCGAAGGGTCGATAATAACCTATGTTTCCTGAGTAACCGGGGTCTCTGTAATGCCTCTGAAAAGGTAGCCGAATTGACAATGGCCGAAGCTATTCCAGGATTGATCTAAGTGCAACCTGTATCATTTAACTCATCTGATTGGGAGCTAAATTAAAGTTGAGGCTGCAAGGGATTACTCTAATGATTGGTGAAGTTATTTCGTTGTAAAGTCAAGGTCCGTTTGAAGAGGGATTCTGGGAGGGAAGTCACGTGAGGAATCAAAGATTCCAACATATCAAGGTTAGATAATCACACACGGACCACTTCACCCTTTAGTTGAAACACGTGATGATAAATCTTCTGGTGGACCTGAAGATGTTATCTGACAAAACATTCTTGAGACCTTCGGATCCTCATATACACGATTGAAATAAATTATACGAAATACAGTGAAGATGCACCAACCCTTAATAAGGAGCGAGTAGGTAATCAATCGCTACCTAGGTAGGTATCTAAGCATAAATTCTAGAGCTGGTCGTCAAAGGCTAATCGCTGGAGAATTGTGCGATAGGGAGCCTACGGCTTGCCGTATACTCACCGAAAAAGGGGCTAACGTCGTGGAATCCGCCGGATATTCCGTATTGCTAACTACACAGGAACTTCCTATTCGCAAACTGTTTATAAATACTCCAGTTAGTCGATTTTATACGGACACGTACGTAAGTACTTATACTCAGGGGCTAGACCCTCGCCCGTACTATACGCCATCGTCAATCCCAACACAAACTTTACATTTCTGGAATTGATGGCAACTGGAGATCGTGATGAACCCATCCGAATGCCACATCTCTAAGAGTCCTGCACACCTAGCCCCTCAAGCAGCTTCGCCTTGGCCGTGCTCACAAACTGGTTCATCTGCTCGGCCGAGTGAAACGACTCGTTGTAGACGGCGCTGAGGTTCAACTGATCACGAAAGGTCCAGACGAAGGTCGCGGCCTGTCGAGAGAGCATCTCAACCCCGACACTAACCGCCTTGACTTCGAACCCGGCCTCCGAGGTACCATACGATCGTCTAATTATTTTCTCCGCGTTACCGATACTGCTGATGTCGACATCACTGGGCGGCGGCTGGTCCCCTCCGCTCTGCGACAGGTTGCGCAGCAGCTCGCCCAACTGCGCCGCGTACTCGCGGTGCGAATCGAGGTAATCCCGTGTGATACCCTTCCGGTACTCGTCCCGGTAGCTCTGGAGATGCTCCGCCCAGGACGCTCCGGCCTCAACGCGCTTCATCCACTGAAAAAAAAAGGGTGAGTTAGTAAATACTCTTACTAATTAGAAAGAACAATCGTGTGTGTCTCAGGAGCGGATGTGCTCCTTTGGGAAATAATGACTCGCCAAAAAAAAAAAAAAAAAACCAAAAAAAAACCACTAGAAGGGTTTAAAACGACTCCCTGAATTGACATACACCAGTCGTATACAGGGCCGCGGCAAAGGCGGGCGTGGAGTAGGGCTCGGGCAGGTACGGCCGCAGCGCGAAGCGCACGGTGCTAGTGTAGTGCCTGTCCCTAGCCGCCGCGTCGGCGAGCACGTAGTTAGCAGCAGCAACACTCGCGTGCACCGCAACAGTCACACTGACGCCTCGCGCCTTACAGGCCGCCACGATCTTCTCCGTAGTCTCCGGGCTGAGCACGAGAGCAGCGCTGCGCGTCCCGGCTGGCAGCGTGGCTGCATCACCCAGATACGGGATCCCCACCGCGCCGACAACATGGGAAAACGCGTTCACGAGGGCGGCGCCGCGCTCCTTCAGCTCCGGCGTGGATTCTTTGGGCACGGCGGCGGCGTCTTCGATGGCGGGCGCGAGACGCGCGATCTCGGTTCCCCAGGCAAGTGAGGCCGGGTCAGCGAGCGGCGCCGGCCCGGACGCGAGGGAGAGGAAGGCGTCCAGCAAGAGGAGGACGCCCATCCCGTCGGTGCGCCAGTGCGCCGTGTGGCGAGCAGCTCCCCGGACCGCGGGATGTAGACCAGCTTCGCGTAGGGCGTCGGCTGGAAGGTCGGGATCACGTCCGCGGAGGAGTCGGCGTCGGCGGCGACGCTGAAGGTCCGCGAGGCCCAGGCGTCTAGTGCGGCTCCGTCGGCTGGCACGGTGTAGATGAAGTGCGTGTCGTCGGGAGCTACCTCGGCTGCAAGGCTCGGGTGCTGGAAACGCTGGTGCATCCAGGCGCGGCGGAAATGAGCTGCCAGGTCGGTGGATGCGAAGGACCCGGTGGGAACGATGGTGGCCGTGGAGTTGATGGCCCATTGCTCGCGGTTGAGCGGCAGGCCGGTATCGCCTAGGAGCTTGATGTAGGTTTCATTCTCGCCAATCGGGCGCGAGAAGACGCCTTTCTCATCAGTCTCTTGCCAGGTCATAGTGGTTCTCTTCAATTTTTTTAAATATATGATTTAATATACGAAAGTTGGGCTTGGCTTGAGAATTTTCTATGATGTGGGCAGGGCTTTTATAAGAGATGGTCTCTGAAGTGGGATACCGCTAGCTTTGAACTCCCAGGGGGGTTTAGAGATGTTAGTTAGATCCCACATGACTCCTCTGTAGCTATCATAGTTGGGATGTTGATTTGGATCACTGTTGGGTGGCACCAACAAAGGGCTGTCCGGCTGCCAATTCCATACAAAGAAGCCGGACCGATGCAAGGGGGTGAACTACATAAGTGCCTAACAATTATCTATCTCTTTAGTTGGTATAAGACTGGGTACAGCTTCACCACGATTAGTAACTACACTTCCAACAACCCCTAAGCGTCACTGGCACCCACAAAAGCTTACTTCTAGTTGGTTAGACGCCTCTGGAGATCACTAGGAGAACCTCAACGCTTACGGGCTGAAAGGGCCCGCACTATCGCCGATGTACAGTAAAACCTCACCATAACGATATAAAAAAAACATAACTTCTAGATTGTTATAGAAAGGTATCGTTATAGGAAAATAGACCCACTTTGGACAGGGGTAATATACCTTTTACCTGTATTTACTAGTAAAATCTACGTAACGTTAAGTAAAAAAAAAATACCTCCTAATTATCGTCTGCTTACTCTCCTGAGCTTTTCTAGACCTAAGCTCCCATTCCTCCCTCTTTAACGCCTTAATAAGCCCTGGATCTTTAATAATGTTTTGCTCACACTAAGATAGAAGCTTTTAGCACGCTGCCAACGCGTTAGCTACGGGGATCTCCTTAAAGCTTGCTGCCTTTCTTTTTTTAGGTCTTCTTCCTAAACCGTATATGCCTCAACCATCTCTTCAAATAGATCTTCAAAGCTACTAGGTAGTAAAGGGTTTAACAGTCTAGTTAGGAGGCTTAATGAATTCACTTAAATCTATTGCTTCCTTTATAGCCCCTGAGCTCTCTAAGTCTCGAAGCTGGCCCTCCATTGTTTCCTGAACCCTTGACTATTCAACCTTATAAGGGTCCCAACGTCATGTGATGGTGCAATAGGTTGCATATACTAGTGAGGCTAAGCTCGGAGCGTTTCATGCTGGAGGCCACCCTTGGTGGCACAATAACCCTGAGTTTTTCCGAGCCGAAGGTTCGATTCCTCGGTATCGCACTTTGACAACTTTTGAAGCCTTGCAACGTCGATAAGCGTATGGCCTCCCCCTTCAAACAGCTTTAATTATCCCTGGACTAAATCAACTGCCAAAATAGCTTCAAGTAAGTTGTCAATTAAACCAGCAACCTTGCAGCTTTGACCACTGCGAAGCTGAGCTTTTAAGAACCTGTTCTCCTGCACCTAATTGGTCAAATGGCCTTAAGAAGTACTTTTATGGCTTAATAATCAACTGTCTATGCCCGCTATTCCTGGTCCTCCATCCAATTAACGGCCACGCTTTCCTGGAGCTATCGGTGTCACACAAGTTTAGGGCCGGACTTCAAGGGATTACCGCGATAGGAAATGTGTGGTAAGAAAAAGGTGCTGTTAGAAGGCCACTGCTTTAGACCCACAATATCCCTTTGTAAACTCAGGATACACAATATCCCTTCGTAAACTCGGGGTAATAAGAATCCACAATATCCCTTCGTAAACTGAGGGTATTTCTCAACTCTAAACTATCTGCTTGTGAAGAAAAGCGTTATATAGTATGGAAGTCAAAGGTGTTGTTCTCGTGACAGGTGCCGGTATGCGTCCCATTCCTTCATCGCTATCTGTCCGACAAGAATCTGGCACTGATAAAAACAGGTGGCGGTATTGGCCGGGCGGTCGCTCAGCGAATGGCTTCTTTAGGTGCCGATGTGTTGGTGTGCGCAGACCTTAGCCTCGACGCTGTCGAAGAGACAGCGACTCTATGCCGAAATATCCACCCCCCGAGGGATCCAGGGTGCTTCAAAGTAGCCGCACACCAGTTAGATGTGCGCGATGAGGCGAGCGTGGATGGTCTTATAACTCAAGTTGCCAAGACTCATGGCCGCATCGACGTGCTTGTCAACACCGCTGGGGTAGGTACCTACCTAGTCTTCGCTCATCTGGATTCTTACCTCATCATGGCTTCTGCTGAAAAATAATCTAGTTCGGGGCCGCAAATCAGACACCCATCCGCGACATGTCCCTCGCTGACTGGCGTAGCCTCGATGAGGTGCACAATATTGGCTGCTTTTTATTGACCCGTGCTGCATTGCGTATCATGGACGGACAGGATGCTGTGGCGTCAGTCCCGACCGCCAACGATCGACCTACCAGGGGAGCGATCGTCATTCTCACGTCGCTAGCCTCGGAGGGTGCATTCTTGGGGGTAGGTAATTACATCGCAGCGAAACATGCAGTCAAGGGGATGGTGCAGACAGCGGCCATCGAGAACGCTGCAAGGGGCATTCGGGTCAACGCCGTCGCGCCATCATATGTTTCAGGGCCGATGATGGACCAGTTCCTCGAGTCATCCCCGGAGGTCAAGAAAGCCCTGCTTGGTGATCTTCCCATGGGAAGGCTGGTCAAACCCAGCGAGATTGCAGATGCAGTGGCCTTCCTTGCCTCTCCGGCCTCGAGCTACGTGAATGGACATACGTTGGTGGTTGACGGCGGTGCGTCACTGGCACTGTCGAATACACCATTTGAAGGAAGATCTTAAAGTTGTCTAGGTACTGAATAGTTCGGTCAATGAATTTCTATCTTGATACATATATTCACGCAGTCAGCGTCGAAACTACCTAGGTACGTAATGATGGAAGTAAACACCGAAAAAAGCACTCCTCACCATATCATCTTCATAGTTAGGTACGCTACCATTTTGAGCGTGCAAACATACCCTTAAAACTGGCTCTTATGAGTGCCTTCGACATATGTCTCTTGTTGGGTGGACAAGTGTGACGGATAATCCTCCATGCGAACGAACTGCCGTTGGTAGTGTCCACTAGTGAATGAGGACGACGGCTTCGATTCTCCTCGGCTATCGGGGAAAGCACCCTTGACACCCTTCTCGTGTACACGCCTGAAGAAGCGGAAGATATTGGGTAAGCAGACGGAGATTAGCGAAATGGGGCCTTCGCATTGCACCCACTCAAGGTATCCAACGGGCCTCCAAGTGAGGTCGTCGAACACATGAGAACCAGCTCGCGCAAGCGTCACCAGACGACCAATCGAGACAACAATAACGCTAAGCGCGAGAGTTAACAGGAGTGGCTACGACTCCAAGATTCTGCCAGAAATGGAAACTTACCAATAGCCGCAAAGAAACAGCACCCCGACCATGATGCGGCGGGAAACCGGCGCCTGAAGACGCCAGAGCAGCGGCATTGGCATAATCAGGATAAGTAGATCAATCACCATGCTGGGGATTGCGGTGCCGATAAACCAGCCCCACTGCGAAATACACGTCGATCCCGGGACAGGCTCCCACGCGGCGTTGACGGGTGTGCACTGCAAGAAAACGTTGATCGTGGCCGAGACCAGCCAGGCGGCGTTCATGGCGCCGACAATCCATCGCGCGACGGTGAACCACTTGCTAGTGCGTTCGAAGACACGATGGTAGAAGAAGAGCGCTGAGAACTTGGGGAGCGAGATATTGCAACTGTAAAAGATAGTGGCAATGAAGATCATCTTGGGGCCCTCCGCTAGGTCAGCCGGCGGGATAGTAACCGCATGCTTGCCCAAGCCGAGACGGGTCCACCAGAGGATTACGGCAGTTTCCGAGATGATGAATGGCTGTATTTGGATCAGTCTGGAGGTTTATTCGCGGATTTAAATAAATGAATCAAGAAAAAAAAAAAGAAAAAAAAAGGTCAAGCACCTACCAGAGTGATCGCTGCGAACAAGTCATCCCATCCCCAGTGGTGAGAGGGCGCAACGTAGTTAGACCAGAAGCGCAAGCTCAAAGCCAAGGTCGACGAGATCAGCATGACGGTACACAGCGCGATCAGGTTTGGCTGCCTGCTCTCGTCCGCCTCGGCGGCGGTCAATTGCGTCGCCATGCCGGGCAAAGAAACAAATCTAAGCGCAAGTTCAAGGGCAATTCGGATTATAGAGTGGAGTGGCCGAAGTTACTCTCCGTCTATATATATTCATTGAATGGAGTGGACTTCCGAAGACACTTAAAGTCATTCCTCATCCCTTGATTAGATCGGCGTGATCAATTTTCGAGGTATATCTTGATAGTTGCACGACTGGCAACTGCATATGCATGTGCCTGGCAAAGTCGGAGAGCCTTATCGCTCGAGGATGGGCTATACCTACCATATTATAAGCATCGTGAAACCCATAAGCACAGCCTGCCTCCAGACATAGTTTCCAATGCAGGAAAACGTTAAAACAAGCACCCATCGACTGTGTCTCAGTACCACCAACTTGTTTTCGTTGGTTACATCATCTTCTTTAGCATCGTCACCTCAATACGAAGGCCTTAGTTAAACAAGAGGGGCGTCTACGAGGCCCTCTTAACCTGCTTGGCTCGGAAGCATTTAGCGACGTTGGCGGGTTGAAGTTGTCATGCTTGTATCTGCGGATAAGTGCTTCTGCGGCGTGTCTAATACTGCAGCAACCGATTAATTCGGCACCCAATCAACCTTCTCAGTTATGAACCAATATAAACACGAAAATTCAAAGTGCTAATGAGACGTGATTGTCGGTCCTTTTGAACACTATGGCGAGGCTGTTGCAACCTATATATGCACGCATGTGGTTATGTTGAACCATTTAGAAACATACCTAGGTATGTGCATGAAAATGTCTTTGCAGGTCTAGGGGGAAGCCCCCCGATGTCATGAATCGCATCATTCTCGTTATTCGGATATTAGTCCTGTCAGTCTATACTTACCGACTGCTATGTATAAACTGTGTGATTGAGCGAATCATTTTGCTCTCAAGCTACCCCGGCGGAACAAAGGCTTGGAAGGTCATGGCCACAGCGACGCGGGAGGTCAGCGGCAATGTGTTCCCAATATATTAACAAGCATGCGAAAGTTGGCATGAAACTGATCAACTAACCAACCTCCAATTGTTACCGCAGCGGCTGCAGTGCCGCCAATAATATTTCTTCTAACTTTTGGGACCTGGGCATCGCGTTGGATACCTAATATGTGCACTGTTGTAACGATGGCACCTCAAACAATGTCACACTCCTTTGCTTCTAGTTCTCGCCGAGTGACACACACGATGATATCCAAGCGGTTTATGTCGGCCCCATCGTTTGAACTCCTTCTCAGTGTAGAATGACTTCAACTTAGATGTGGATAGACTTTCTTTATGTCGATCATGGAATTCCAAATAAACGGTGATGGAATATTGCAGGAGGGATTCAACATTCAGCGGGAGCCCATTGCGATAGTGGGAATGGGTAGATACCGTTTGACCTCCTTATGGACACCGATTAGAATACTGACCATAGACTCTTAGGCTGTCGCTTACCTGGCCATGTCTCTTCGCCGTCTGACCTTTGGGACCTTTTGGTCCAGAACAAATCCGGTCACTGTAGGGTGCCCATGTCTCGATTCAATGTGGATGGATTCTATCATCCTGACGCTGAACGACCTGGAAGCATCAACTCGACGGGCGGATATTTTCTTCAGGAAGACTTGCGGTCATTCGACAACGCTTTCTTCGGTATCAACAACCTTGAAGCGTCATATATGGACGCACAGCAAAGGAAGTTGCTGGAAGTCGTGTACGAATCATTTGAGAACGGGGGAGTTCCGCTGTCTAAGATCCGAGGCTCCAAGACAGGCGTCTACGTTGGGAATTTCACTAATGACTATATGATCATGCAGTACAAAGATCCCGAGTACTTTTCACGATATAGTGCTACAGGTTCTGGCCCAACTGTCCTATCAAACCGAATTTCTCACTGCTTTGACCTGCGTGGCCCATCCGTCGTATTAGATACCGCATGCTCATCGTCCATGTACGCCTTGCACTTTGCATGTCTGGCTCTTGATTCCCATGACTGCGATGCGGCGGTCGTCGCAAGTGCAAATTTGATCCAATCAGCAGAGCAGCAGTTGATTGCTGTCAAAGCCGGAATTCTGTCTCCAGATTCGACTTGTCATACGTTCGATGAATCAGCCAACGGGTATGGACGAGCGGATGGCGCATCGTCCCTCTATCTCAAGAGGCTGAGTGACGCTCAACGAGACGGGGATCCGATTCGTTGCATCATTCGAGGAACTGCGGTCAACGGGTATGTACTGGGCTATCTCTCATCCTTTTCTCTTTGGCTGGAGAAGGATGGGGTACACTTGATGAGATATAACTGACAATTTCCCAGCAATGGTCGTACTCCAGGTATTGTACAGCCCAGTATCGATGGCCAAGAAGCAGTCATTAGAGCGGCGTATAGGAGAGCTTGCCTTCCCACAGATGGAACCGACTACGTAGAGGTAAGAATTTGACCTTATAGGTAAACCACCATCTGACTGGTATAATATCTAGGCCCACGGAACCGGCACTCAAGTCGGCGATCCCATCGAAATCGAAGCGATCTCTCGTGTTTTTCATCACATGACTGGAAAGCCAACTGCTGTCGGTGGTATCAAACCTAACCTCGGACATAGTGAAGGTGCCAGTGGTCTCTCAAGCATCATCAAGCTGGCACTTGCTCTCGAGCACGGCGAGATCCCAGCAACCATCGGCATTAAGAAGATCAATCCAAACATCAAACTTGACCAGTGGAATCTGGATATTGTAAAGGAAAATCGTCCATGGCCCAAGTCTAGAGTCGCCCGGGCAAGTGTGAATTCCTTTGGGTTTGGCGGCGCGAATGGCCACGCAATTCTCGAAGCCGCGCCGGTGTGCTCAAGGGCCCTCTCCAACGACCGTCTCTCAATGGGTTCTTACACATGCAGTCGTGGAAACGGCAACGTTTCTACGAACATGATACCGCAGATGAATCCAACTCTTCTCACGTTCTCAGCGCGGACGGAATACTCCATGAGCTGCCTAGTCAAGAACATTGCGGACTATGTTTCTCGCTCAGACAGCCGCATCAGCCTGACGGATTTGGTGTATACTTTGAATGGCCGTCGGTCTCGTCTCGCCGCGAGAGGATTCGCTATTGTCACCCCTCAGACGTTGGCCGACGATCTTGATCCCGCAAAGTTGATCAAGAATCAACTCGAAACTGAAACTCTTCCACTCGCGTTCATTTTCACCGGCCAGGGAGCTCAATGGCCCGGCATGGGTGGCCAGCTATTCCATCAATATTCCAAATTCCGAGAGTCGATTCGGTATCTTGACTCTTGCCTCGCCGGTCTCAGTACTGAGGACATGCCCGGTTGGACATTGGAGGATACACTTCTTGCTCCAAGTGAGAGCAGTGACATTGACTTGGCCGAAAAGTCACAGCCCATCTGCACAGCCGTCCAGGTTGCATTGATCGATCTTCTCAAAGAATGGAATATAAGGCCTAAAGTGGTTATTGGGCACTCATCCGGAGAAATTGGCGCCGCATACGCTGCTGGTCATCTCAGTGCCTACCGGGCTATTATGGCTGCCTACTTCCGTGGTCGTACGGTTGTCCAGCATGCACGAGTCGGTGCTATGATAGCAGTTGGTCTTGGTAAAGAAGCTGCGCAGACCTTTATTACTGAGCATGATTTGACCGAGCAGATTTCATTGGCCTGCGATAATTCTCCTGAGAGCACCACTTTGAGTGGCGACGCTTACGCGGTAGAGAAGTTACTAGCCATTCTACACCGCCAAGGAATATTCGTGCGGAAGCTCAAGACCAACGACAAGGCATACCACTCAAAGCACATGAAGGAGATCCGCCATATATATCAGCAGTCGCTTGAACGAGTGTGGCATGCGGATCAACAGCTAGGAAGTAAGAGTGCGTCCAACGGAGACGTACCGCACCAGATCATTGATTCTCACGTTCGCATTATTTCGTCGGTCACCGGAGTCGAGTTGACTTCGGGTGACATGGCTACTATAGCATACTGGGTGACGAATCTGGAATCTCCGGTCAGATTCTGCGACGCGGTCAAGGGAATGTTTGGAATCGGTCGATATCACTTGCTGGAACTTGGCCCTCATTCTGCTCTCGAGCTTCCAATCAAGCAAATTGCTGCTTCAGAGAACCGAGCTCCAGATTATTACGCTTACAACCCAGCGCTTATTCGCGGCAAGGATGGTGCAGTCACTTTGCTGTCCCTTGTCGGCTCGCTCTTCCTTCAAGGGAACGATGATTTGCCTTTGGAAAATATACTCCCAGATAATCTTGTGCCTGAATCTTTGGAACGCCGTGTCTTGACCGATCTTCCCCATTACTCCTGGGATTACACTGCGCCAACGCTATGGACCGAGTCACGAGCAGTGACCGAGTTCCGAAATCGCCCGTTCCCACGACACGATTTGCTTGGCTCTCAGATCCACGGAGCGAGCAAGTTAACAACTACATGGCGTAATATCGTCGATGTGGATGAGGTTCCTTGGCTCAAGGACCATTGCCTTGGACCTTCCGTCGTGTTCCCGGCTGCAGCATACCTGGCAATGGGAGCTGAGGCAGCATGTCAGGTGAACGGGATTCACCTTCATGACTGTCCAGGAATCGAAATGCGCCACTTCAATTTTCTCAAAGCCATGGATTTTCATGCCGAGCACCGACCTCGTCTCGAAGTTGTCACGGAAATGCGCAGGGCTTATGTTACCAGCGTCCTCGCGTCAGATACCTGGTGGCACTTTACAGTTTCGTCGATCTCAGGTGAAGACTCGTGCGCGACAATCCATGCGACTGGGTTTGTGAGTCTCGCTAAGACGGCACAGGTTCTATCGCGAACCATCAACCTAGAAAAAGACACCATGGAGCAGCAGGCTACTCGCGTGTGGTACGACAAGTTCACCAAGGAAGGCCTGAACTGGGGTCCAAAGTTCGCTGTAATGGAAGACATCTACTGCGATCGTGCAAGAAAGGCCGACGAATCTCTGGTTGTCACTCACCTGCTCCGTGGCAATCAGACTGGGCCTGGCCAGTCTTGGCAGTATATTGCTCATCCCATCAGCATCGATTCGATGCTCCAAACCGCGTTCGTAGCGACCACAGGGGGTTGGGTTCGAGAACTGCGCGCCACTGTTCCTGTGAAAATGGACAAGGTTTTGTTCTCATCCCCAAGCCTACTTGACATGGATTTGGGGAAAACATGGGCCATTGATGCCAGATCAAGGCGTGTCGGTTTTGGAACGGTTGACATTGACGCTGAGCTCTACAACAGTTCCGGCGAGACTTTGATTCGCTTAGAGGGGGCACGATGCATTGCCTATCAAGGTAATACGCAACAAGAAGCTCTCGAGGAGCGAAACCCCATGTGCCGCGTGGCCTGGAGGCCGGATATTATGTTGATGGAAGCGGGCATTAATCCCGGTCTCGTCAAATACACGGACTGGTTTTTGCAGAGGTTTGCAGGCGAAAAGACAATGCCAGAGTCGTTGATCCGGCTAGCAGGTGCGCTCGACCTTTGCACCCATAAGAACCCGAAAGGTCGAATCCTTTTGTTGAATGCGGATGAAGACACGCGAAACGTCCTTCTAAATGCCCTTAAGGCAAAATCCCCTTTAAGACGTTTTGAAACCTTTACACAAGCAACTTTCTCCGAAGGAGGACTTCGTGGTCGTGAAGTCTCGTCTACTGAATCAGGCTCTGACTCTATGGACGAGGCTATCTCAAAAGAAACCAAGTTCGACATCATTTTTAGTCTTGGAGCGTTGCCAACCGGAGTTAAGGACTGGATGGCGACTCCGACAACGCTTATCACTGGGAAGAAGGTCGAGGAAAGCGCATATGCTGCGTATAGCATCAAAGCCATTACCGGAAATACTGACGAGCCTGTCAATATCACTATAATCAGTGAGAGATCGAATATCCGAGAACGAAAGAAGTGTGACGTCGTCATGGTGCGTCTCATGATTGCATGCAACGATTTTGAATCTTGACTGACATGACGATAGGTAAACCGAACAGGTCAGCAATCTGCACTAGACTCGAAGATTCATAAAGCTATGGAGTCTTACTTTGGGCACTGTGTGCCCCTGATTGGAATATCTGATGTTAACGATGAGACTATTCCGTCTCGGTCCGTGGTTATCTCGACCATCGAATCCAAGGAGCCTATCCTTAGCACGATCAGCGAAGAACAAATGCGCTTTGTCAAGACAATGACAGATCGCGCTTCACTCATCCTCTGGGTATGCCATGGCGACTTCATGGCGGGAACCAATCCCGAATTTGCACCAGTCCTTGGCCTTTCTCGTGCCGTGATGCTTGAGCAGCCATCACTTCAATTTGCTGTGTTCGACATTGATGAGACAGAGACCAACATCGACGGTACAGCTTATAATGCCTGCAATGTCATGGATCAGCTGATGAGGAATCCGCATCCGGAACTTGAGTTGAGCCAGAAAGAACAGACCATTCACTCGGCCCGGTGGGAGCCTGCCGATGAGCTAAACGCGCAGTTCCGCTTGAAACAGGACGAAGGGCTTCTGGAGGTGCCTATTGGAAAAGCCGGCCGTTGTCAGCTGCATATCTCTCATCCGGGACAGATGGACACCATCCACTTTATATCTAGAGAGTACACAGAACCACTCCCTACGGATTATGTGGAAATCGAGGTCAAGAGTGTGGGTCTGAACGCCAAGGACCTTTACGTTCTCAGTGCCAAGATCGACACACATAACGTATCGTGTTCATGCGAATGCGCCGGGCTCGTTGTGAACGTGGGCTCGACGGTCACTAACTTCAAACCTGGAGACCGTGTTGTCGCCATGGCACCTGGCCACTTTGCAACCCACGAGCGCTTGCCTCAATGGGCAGTGTGTAAATTGGAAGACGACATGGACTTCACCACAGCTTCAACTATCCCTATTGTGTTCTCAACAGTCATTTACGGCTTGGTTCACCGTGCAAATCTGCAACGCGGAGAGTATGTCCTCATCCATTCCGCCGCCGGTGGTGTTGGTCTTGCTGCAATCCAGCTGGCGAACCATATTGGTGCCGAGATCTTTGCCACAGTGGGTAACGAGTCCAAGAAGGAGTTCCTGGTCAAGGGGTTTGGACTAGACCCGGAGCGCATTTTCAACTCACGCGATGCTTCTTTCCTTCCTGCCATCATGAAGGCAACGGGTGGCCAGGGAGTGGATGTTGTGCTGAACTCCCTCACTGGCGAGCTGCTTCGGAGCAGCTTTGAGGCGTGCGCCGACTTTGGCCGCTTCGTGGAAATTGGCAAGCGCGATATTCTCGACGACGGATCATTGAATATGAATACTTTTGGAAAGAATGTGTCCTTTACGGCCTTTGACCTAAGTAACCTCTTCTACTCCAAGAAGAAAAGCCATCACGACCTGTGGCAGAGACTCTTAGTAGAAAGTATGAACTTAATCCGCAATGGTATCGCCAAACCGTGCTCTCCTATTGAGACTTTCCGTGCGTCTGAGATAACGCAGGCATTCCGGCACTTCTCACTTGGCACTCGTATGGGTAAGTTGGCTGTCTCATTTCAGGATGGTGCCGACCGCATCCGTGTTAAGCCCCAAAGGTACGAAACTACGCTCTCACCGAACAAGACCTATCTTATGATTGGATGTCTTGGAGGTCTCGGCCGCAGTATTTCTAAGTGGATGATCTCGCGCGGTGCGAAAAGCTTAGTCTTTCTTGGGCGATCCGGCTTGAAAACGCCGGAATCTAAGATGTTCGTCGACGACCTCCTTAAGCAAGGTGCCCAGGTCGAAGTTTTCCAGGGAGATGTCAGCAATTATGACGATGTGGAGAGGATCATTCAACAGGCCCCCTTCCCAATTGGAGGAGTGATTCATGCAGCTATGGGCCTAAGCGAGGCTCTCTGGAGCAGCATGTCCCATGCCAGCTGGCACACCAGTATCGCACCTAAAGTCCGCGGGTCGTGGAATCTTCATAACGTGCTATCGAAGGATGGCCGTGACTCGCTACTCGACTTCTTTATCGTCACATCTTCTATCTCTGGCACCGTTGGTATGGCTACTGAAAGTAATTACTGCGCCGCGAATTCGTTCCTTGACGCCTTTGCGCGATACCGTAGCCGGCTTGGACAGCCCGCTGTCTCCATCGGTTATGGCATGATCGCGGAGGTTGGTTACCTGCACGAACATCCGGACATCGAAGCTCTGCTCAAACGTAAGGGAATTCACTCTATCACCGAAGACGAGATGTTGCAAATCCTAGACGTAGCTATCGTATATCAGTCGCCGTCCAAGTGGACGGCGCATTACGATGATCTCGTCGGCGCTCACATCCTGACTGGTATCGAATTCATCGGCCTCAAGGAGCAACGCGACCGTGGTTTCGAAGGCGATAACCACGTCCTCGCAGATCCTCGCGCATCTTTGCTTGCTGCCGCCTTTGCACGTAGCACACGTGGCTCTAATGGTGCAGCTGTCGGCGCTCGCCACGGCCTGCCACCCGAGGTCACCAAGGTGCTAGCCTCGAGTGGACACACCGACAGCGTTTCCGATGCCGTGCAAGGAATCGTCGCGAAAAAGATTGCAAATTTAATCCTACTGCCGGTCGAACAGCTGCGGCCGGAGCAGAAGCTGGGGGAGTTCGGAATAGATTCTATGCTGGCGGCCGAGTTTAGGACCTTCATCTTCCACGCGCTCGGGGTCGACGTTCCGTTCATAACGCTCTTAGATAAACAGATCAGCGTACGAAACCTAACACAAATAATCATAGCAAGACTAGAGAATCGGGAGTTGTCAAGTGCCGCTTAAAGTTGTCATCGTCTTTCAAACTAAAATGCACTAGATAATTGGACACTGATCAGTGTCAGATATCATTCCCAGGGTCATCAGGTGACTAGGAGCTTTATCGTCACGTGTCCTCAATTCAGTCTTATCTAAGGTCAGGTGATCTACGTATTAATAGAGATATCTTCAAACTTTGGTTGCTTATGTGATTTCCCTCTAGACGAGAATGGGTTCAGAGAAGAATTTGTCGTTTGTAGACAGATACTCGGTACGATTAGAGTGATTACCTAGTCTGATAATTCTCTACAACAAGCTTTGCACTTTGGGAGATCTTTTCCGTCCTCGACATAGGTATTATGTAGATTGAAAATCTCATCTATACAGCTGCCGTCTACAATATCTCTCGACAAGCCACCTTAAGGGGGTGCCGCGCTTTGACTACCTAGCGAAATGGGCAAGAATTGCAAGATATTACCGAAGAGGCAGGACTTAGTAAGTAGGTATACTAGGTAAGTATTCAATCTTGTAACAACCAATATTAGCAACTGCTATGAGCCCAACTTGTGTGGCTGTAACTACGAACCTAGACCCAAGTTATAGATTCGCGGCGGAGGATATATTGTTCATCACGGTCTAAATTACTGCATTGCAACCGTACTTTACTTCACTATCACCTCCGCAACAAAATTGTCTATTCTACTCATATGTAGCCGCCTAAAAAGTACAAATCGGATCTAAGTGCATACTAATTGTTATAGCGATAGTTAATCATCATGAAGCAGGGGATAATCGGGTCTTCTTTGAGATACTTATAGCCGAAGATGTTCTCTCATAAGAGAATCTCAACGCCGTCGAAGCCGCATACTATCTTGGTATCCACTTTCTTCGTTGAAATTATTTAGTCGGCCTTGTTTTTCGACATCCACCTTGCGGGCATGATTCGAGCAGGGACGCCGTCTAATTTGTCTCAGGAGGACGTAGGTCAGTAAAGCAACTGGAGAGGAAAGTGAGGGGCTTTCGTACGTATTCTTGAGAAATAGTCAAGGCAAACCCCTATCTGCGGATCGGAACGGCGGTCTTGCTGCAACCCACAGTTTGGCGGAGATACCCGAGTGCTTTCGGCTGTCCACCGAAGTCGCATTCTTCTCCGCACCCTACGATGATTTTCCGGCAAGGATTAAAAATATATCTAGATCATATGTACCACCTAGAATATCGAATCGAATGTTTGCGAGTCTAGACCGCACGTGATGACAGCAGAAGGACAATCGACAGCGCCGGCGCGGCCCAAGGTCACCCTTGCTCAAGGAACGGTGGTAGGGATCCAACAACAGGATGCGTACCCCAAGCCCGTCGACGCCTTCTTAGGGATCCCCTACGCCCTGCCGCCCACGGGCGACAGGAGGTTCCGACCGCCCGAGAAGGTGGCGCGCTCTTACGACGTCATCGACGCATCCAAGTTCGGACCGCGAGCGCCCGCGAAACAGTTTATCATCAAGGGGCCGAAGTTGGAGGAAAGCGAGGACTGTCTCACGGCCAACGTCTTCCGCCAAACGGGGACCGGCGGTCCGGGTTCAAAGCCGCTGCCGGTCGCCATCTACATCCACGGCGGCGCCTTCAACCGCGGAAATGCCGCGATGCACGACAGCGCTTCGATGGTCGGCTGGTCCGCCGAGCCTTTCGTCCTTGTGTCGTTCAACTACCGCATCGGCGCTCTCGGATTCTTGCCTTCGAAACTTAGTGCCAAGCACGGGGCGCTCAACCTAGGGTTGAAGGACCAGATTCTGCTCATGGAATGGGTGCAGGAGAACATTGGCCAATTTGGAGGTGATAAAAACAACGTCACCATTTTTGGCCTCTCTGCGGGAGCTCATTCGGTATTTCTGCATTTATTTACTTCGTAGGTAATTAGGTACCTATGCTAACCATAACCATGAAGATCGGCCACCACCTCCTCGACTACGAGGAAGGCAAACCTCCGCTCTTCCACCGCGTCATCATGGAGTCCGGCGCGCCGACATCACGCGCCGTGCGCCATTACGACTCAGACATTCACGAAGAGCAGTTCAAAGCCTTCCTAAAAGAAGTCGACTGTCCAGAAAGCCTACCAGAAGACGGGATCTTCCCCTTTCTGCGCTCCATACCCCTCTCCGTGATCGCAAAAGCGCAGACCACCGTCTTCTACAAATACAACCCGAGTCTGCGCTGGGCCTTCCAACCCGTCATAGACGGCGAAATCATCCGGCACCGGCCGATCGACGGCTGGCGCACCGGCAAATGGCACAAGGTGCCCATAATGACCGGCTTCAACGGCAACGAGGGCTCGCTCTACGTGCCCAAGACGATATCCAAGTCCACCGAGTTCACCGCCTTCTTCCACGAGCTGCTACCGCAACTAACGCAAGAGGACCTCGACGCCATCGACGCGCTCTACCCGGACCCGGCCACGGTGCCGGACTCGATCTACAAGGAAGACCGGCTGAGCTACGGCGTGGGGCCGCAGTACAAGCGCATCGAGGCCGCGTACGCGCACTACGCGTACGTCGCGCCCGTGCGGCAGACGGCGCATTTCGCGGGCCCGCGCGTGCCCGTGTACCTGTACCACTGGGCGGCCGTGAGCAGCGTCGTCGGCGGCGCGAGCCACGGCGACAACATGGCGTACGAGGTGCGCGAGAAGGCGGTCTGCGCCAAGTCCAAGGCGCAGGACGAGTTGGCCGGCGTGCTGCACGCGTACACCACCAGTTTCATATGTACCGGCGATCCGAATAAGATCCCCGGGGCTTATGGGGATAGGCCGGAGTGGGTTTCGCACGAGGGGGCTGAGCCGAAGAAGGTTGTGTTTGGGCTGGGTAATGAGGAGTTGATTGGTGGTGGCGTTGGTGTGCCTGCGACGGTCGAGGATGATGTGTGGGCGAAGAAGGAGAGCGATTTTTGGTGGGAGAAGGTTGAGATATCGCAGCAATGATGTAGTAATATGAGCACTATCAGGTCTCTCGGAAACTATCCATGGCCGAGATATGTGAAGGCGGATAACAAGAAGCGAGCCTACTTCAACAAAACCCGGTGAACCAAGTATATTAGATACCCAGAACAGGGTGCTGGAAGAAATTGTATTGACGAGTATTAACTTTACGATATCGTTGCTGGACAGCATAATGGCCCCTATCTTGTGTTCACTCCTTGAGCCGATGTTTCTGTGGAATTGCAGGGAGATGCGCTTTCTTTCGAGTGAAGTTTCATATTCCATCTTACTGCTTTGATCTCCTCGCTATGTTACGTTTTTGGGTTGAATTACTATCATCAGCTTCCCTTAGGTACCTATTATAATGCAATGCCTTCACGGCGCCGTCGTTGAAACTGCCTTTGAAGTAGAGTTATCGTTCATTAAAACAAATATCAAACGCACCTAAGTAGGTAAATCCCAAGCTCCAAATTCCAAATCTTCAACAAAAAATTCAACAGGGTATCATGCTCCTCCCACCTCTCTCCCCCCTACATACCTACTCAAGCGCATACAACACCCTCGGCCTCCCCGCCGCACACGAGCTAAACTTCCACCAACGCGCGTGCCACGCTCCCGCTATATTAACCAGTCCCCATTTAATCGGCGCCGGGATCGGGGGCCAGTTCTGCCACAAGCCCTCCTCCGCCGTGCCGTCCAGGTTCAACAGGAAGAAGGGCACGACGTCCAGCGTGCCGGCCTTTGTAACCGTGCTCTTGCCCCAAGACTTAAACGTCAGCGACGCCGTCCGCTCCTCGGGGGACCCTGGTTTGGGCGCATTCGGGTGCTCGGCCAATCTCGCAATCGTCGCGATCTCGCTGTGAAAATGCGCATCGAACGAATCCTTAAACCCGTCCATGATCGTAACCAACTCCTTGCCATCAAAACTAGCCGGCTTACCCTCCACGCCGCGGAGGTACTTCTCGAACTTAGCCAAACCCCCTAAGAACGCTTCGTGCTCCTTGTGCGTCTCGGCCCAGATAGTCGTGTCTTGCAGCACCTCCTCGACCTTGGGGAACAGCGTGGCCTCCTCGTCGTCGTGGTGCGAGGCGACGAACTTGTGCCACGTCAGCGCGTACCCGATGAAGTCGGCGTGGTCGACCGGCTTGACGTGCGGCGCCTGTAGGTACACCGAGTTGAAGCCGCGGAGGATGGCGTTGTGCAGGAGCGCCATGTGGGTTGCGCCCGTGGTGAAGATGTCGGTCTGTTAAGTCGTCAAAGATGTTAGGTTAGCCCATACTCGCATATCCACCTTCATCCAACTTCGCAATTCATTACAAGGTGGATATGTTAGGAAGAGCAAAGGGCGGGGCAACGAAATACCTTCTTGGTCTCGTATTGCGGCGTCGCAACCAACTTAATCGGCGTATCAGCCCAAGGCTTGCCGTCAGCGGCAGCAGTATCCAGAGCCGGGGCCGCCATGAAGAAAGGTGACCTCGTGATGAACAATCCGATGAGAATAGGAATAGCTATAAGAATAGGTCTATCGAGGATGCTTCGGCGTGGTTGAAGCTTTGCCGGAGGTTCCATCTTGGAGAAGCTTCGAGCAAGGTGGGATGAGCTGGGGGGCAGGTAGGCAAGCTTTTATTTACCAGTGCTCTAACCTACAGCTACTGCAACAAGGCTTGTATGGATGGGTGTATGTAAGCTGGCCAGAACCGTTCTTAATAAACATACAGCGCACACCTAGCACATACGCAAGTCTCGTCAAATCAGAGCTTCTCGTACGAGACGAAACATGCCATCAATGACACCATTGGGTGATATATCGTTGGAGCTTGTGCTGGCTTGTGCCGAGCTCCCCCTTGTCAATGCTCATCCATGCGGATTTGCTGAGTAAATCACGCCATCTTATTGGGTACCGCCGGTAGCAGGATCAAAAACTAGCAGGGATAAGACAATTCTTGGCCGAATGAGGTCGGAGTTAAAAAGGCTTACTGCGCAGCTAACTGGGCTGCATATTGCTACGTGATTCTACGAGGGTATTTTCAAAGGCTATTAAGATCAATTGTAATTTATTAACTACGATTTACTCGAAAAGCAATGTCGTTACTTGGGGGCCTTTTCTCACCACTGTATTATACACACTTCCATGCAAAACCCATCCCAAGGGGTTGCTATTCCGCGAAGGGTCCCTAGCACTGTACATACGGAGAACCCTACCAACGCCACCAAAAATGCAAGAATTGGGGTATATGAAGTCATCAACGATTTGAGTATGTAGGTACTTATGTTTACCCTTCGCCTTTGGTCGTAGAAATTGTGAGTTCTACTGTAGAGCTCTGTAGTGAAACGGCGATATAACGCGTGTCCGTAATCAAATTAAAAGGAATCGACAGCCAAAAGAGTCGGCAGTCGCGTAGGGAGTCTGGTTGTGGTCTTTCCTATGTCATAGAAAGTTTTTATAGAGTATTGAAAGGGATATTTGCAATCAGTATCGCCCGCCTGTTGTGGTATTTTTGACCAGAAGGTAATGGGAACGTCTGATGCTAATTTGGCGTAGTTGCTCGAATCTGACTGCGTATCAGCTCTTGAGCAACTTAAGTACGAAAATCGTGTCCATGTTTATAGAGAATTTCGACTTCCTCGTGGATGTATGTAACCAATTCAAGTCAATACGGATTGAGTGTATCGAGAAGGCCATAGGTCAAGCGGGAAACGTATAGCTGACACCAGAGTGCCTAAACTTGTCAACGGCTTGTTGATCCAGAGCTCAATGCGCCTTCAAAGTGCCTGTTCCGTTGTTAACCAGCATGGAAGGTATATTTTTGCATGTCAAACAATCGTGACATAAAGCAGTGGCGGCGTTAGAAGACATCTAATCGTCAACACCATCCACCTGCGGTTGGTAGCGCAGTTCTAAAACCCAGTTATTATCGAACTCGATTCCGCGACGAATCTTAGTCGCCACTTTGCGCCAGATGACGGGACTGAGACCGATATCTGCGAGGAAAATCTTCCATTGTTCTACCATGACGATGTCGCCATTCTCGTCGCCCATCTCTAACGCCTTCAACAAGCCCAGTTTCGGGGCGCCAAGGGCAACAATGTAGCGCGGTTGTACGTAGAGCTTGGCCCCGTCGATAACGTTGACCTTGCCGGACTGAGGCTCGATACCGCTTGGCAAATCGATCGCCATCGCAAACGCCTCGTTCCTATTCGACCACTCCATCAATTCGTACGTAGTAGCTTGGTCCGACTTGCGTAACTCTTCAAATGGCGTTGTAAGTCCTAACAGGGCGTCGATGATCAGAGTTATTGATCCTTGAGAAGCCGATTCTAGAGTGCTACTAGTATGGCTGGTATGTTCAAAAAGCTCTGTTTTCGTGAAGATGACACTGCCGAAATTGCGAAGAAGTCGTATTTGTTTTCTAACGTCGTCTAGCAGTTCTTTTTCGCGCTCGATGCCGACTACGCAGATGAGAACATTGATACTGCGATTTCGAAGATGGCGAGCCGCCGCTAGAGCACGGACTCCTGACTTGTTGTTCCCGGCCAGCACCGCAACCGTAGGGTTGCTTGGTGGTGAAGTTGCAGCAGCGCGCAGCGTGATCGCAGGATCATTGAGAGCAAGCATAACAACTTCCGTAATACCGCGGCCAGCATTTTCGGCTAGGAGATCCTCAGTAAAGCCGAACTCGTGACGTGCAACGTTCTCCAGTGTCTGCATAGGGAGATGGGCGATCGCCTCAATCCGACGATTAGACTTTACGGCGTAGAAGCCGCTGGGGATCGATGCAGATTGCTGGGATATGTCAGTTAGTAAAATCTCTATTTAAGATACTTGATGTCGCAAGGTAGTTGAATAAACGAAACTTGTACATACCCCTGAGTTGACTCGACTTGAACCAGCGACACTCGCCGTGGTACTAGCCTTGCGCGATTGCGATCGTCGGTTTATCGACACTCGAGATTCTCCTCGTAGCCTAGAATTGCGACCACTTCCCGAATGTTCGGCACCGTTGAGGATCTCGTCATCAGCTTCGCTTTTCCAGTAATCGCCGGAGGTCTCCTTCGGTTTCAAAGTGGTCGCTGGCATGTCTAAAACGTTCTCGGTGTAATGCAGATTCTTACCCCCAGCCGTGCCGGGCTTCGGTCGAGGGAGGCGATTATGAGATACTAAACGTTCGGATTCATCGATCTTGTCCTGCTCCTTCATCTCGTCAAATATCTTTCGTTTATCGAACTTGGCGAGACTTCCTTCAAAGTCAAAGTCACCGGCTCCCTGCACATCCGTTACGTCTTCCGAGGCCCAGCCATTGTCAGCAAGTGCATCAATTCGAGCTTTCTGGCTCTTCTTCAGCGCTTTGAATGGTTGGAACGACTCGGTAGATTGCAAGATAGGCGTCTCTCTCCAACCCGGGCCTCGGCTATTCCGCTGGGCTGGGGCACCGTTGCCGTCGGCTATCTTGTTCTTGCGCCGTCCCCGACCACGCGTTCCTCGAGAGCGGTCCTTTCTGGGATCTGACGGATCATGGGGGATGGTAGGCAATGACTCGGTCGTCTCTCTCGGTATATGTATCGCCTCCGGGTTTGGGGAGATTTTTAGTTGTGTCATAGGCGCAGTAATGTTAGTTGGAGCAGCTGCATCGGTAATCTCGTCGGGAGAATCGTATGTCATTCGATCTGCAGGATTGGTAACGAACGGGGGGTCCCGTTTCTCAGCTATGTTCGGCTGCGTGGGAGGGTGAGTAAAATGCGTAGTCGAGTCCGATCTGGGAGTAAGACTGAGAATAGCGGGATCTTGGAATGCAGGTTGAGGTCTTTTCACCGGGGGTATCGTGGGGATCGGCGGAGATACAACTGAAGGGGTAGGCATCGGAAAAGAGGTGTTTTGAAGCGGTGTGATGTCGTAAACATTCATAGCATCGACGTTGAGTCGGTCATAGAATTGGTTCGTGCCCAAAACCATAGCTGATCCCATGTTAGCCAATACTCCTATTAGACTTGGTTCTTACAACATACCGGGAGCTAGTGTAAGGTGTTGCTGGGGAACGAGACCAGTCAGAATCCCCTGGATACATTGACCGGCAGGCTCCTTTAAAACCACCTGATAGTAGGAGCCCATCCACTGGGCTACAGTGGCTTCTTCCTCCATTGTTGGCTGTTCAGTGAGTTCGTCTTCCTGTTAGGCGTATATCAAGTTTCCTCTAAATCGACCGTTATGATAAACCGTTTCGAGCCTACCTACAGAAAGGGGGAGAAATGAAATCCGATGACCGAGGAGGATGAAATATAGCGCACTCGAGAGAAGTTGAATTTGATAGGCGTCTCAATTGCACTTCATCAATATGCCCCTGTGTAAGATATGGTTATAGGATCACGAGCTGAGGATACCCGAGACTCCGTCCAGGTGATCGCAGGAATCGGTGCGAGGGCCTGCTACAGAAGCAAGAAGCACCTGAGGTTCAAATAGATAACTCGCCACTTCCGGTAAACAAGAGTAGAATATTCTTAAGCCACGATTTCAATACGTCCTGGGTGATGGGATTCTGGAATCAACCTTTAACCAGGAATAATCTTATGTAAATGCCCTACCGCCCCTTGCGGCTTTATGCTTCAATCAAGGGTGAAATAAAGCAAGTTGTGTATATGCCTTTCTCTTACGCTGTCGGCGAGAAAGTGCGTCGTAGGTTCGGGGATACCAAAGGGTATATTTTCGTATGGATCAAATGGTACTGTTTGGATGGTGACGGTTATCGCCAAACTTCGCTCGCCAAGGTAAGCTCGGAAACTACCCAGGTAGCGATGTCGGCAACGAGTTCAAAAACGAGTTTAAAGTCGATTAATCGTAGGCTGTAATGGCAAAGTCTAGAAAGCCGTTATGATTCGGTATTGGTATTGGTATCAAGAGGGTATGTATCAACGACGTGCTGAGAGTCGACACTCTGGTGGCGCTGGAACGTCTATCGCATCGGGTCGCATCAACTTTTGAGGAATGGGCTGCAGCACTTGAGTCGACTCGAGAAGTTTGATAGAAATAGTCAAGAGCAACCGTCAATTATTATCTAATTGGAGTTGCAATATCGGTCAGGGGAAGGATGGTAAGTAATCGAGTCGCTCAGGGCAACGCGAAGATATAAACTTAGAGTCGAGTATGAATTGTTTAAAGTGCATGGTAGTATGTAGCATTTTACCCGTCGTCTTTTTTGGTCGTCACCTAGTACGAGTTCAATGTTTCTTTATCGATAAAGATGCGCCTAGTAAAAAATGACGCCACCAATCACATGTTAATAAATGCCCAGCCCTACTTCCCATCTTGGGCTGTCGGGCCTGGTTGGGTACCGCATGATGGGGTAGGTGCATATCCAAATATCTTCAACAAATATCGAGGTATGTAATTATTATATGCAGAATGCAGACATGTTAGTTCTTTCAATTGGAGTAGGATGGGTTTGCACAATGTACATACCCACTTATGTAAGCATATGGAGTAGGTATCACTTCTCAACAAGTCACGCTCAAGACTCACCAGTAACAAGTGGTAGGTATTTCTTATTTGCATCTTGGAGTGCTTGACAGCAATACTGCCGTACAACATGGTATTTGTTGGAGTTGTGGATCTCTTTTAAGGCTTTTTCGAACCAACCACATATATACCATTTGCGCCAAAGCATACAGCAAAGGAGTTTCATAAATACATCACCAAATCCCTTACCAGGCACAGGCGTGTCTATGAACCATATGCCGCCATCGCCTCTTCTTCATCGTCCAGATCAGTTACGTTCATGCCTTTCCCCTTCGACCCGGATGGTGCTGCCGACCCCTTGAATGCAAAGTCTGATATCGTTGACGGTTTCTTCGGCTTGATTGCCGCTTCCGCGCTATAGAGCCTGTTGTAGAATGCGATGACTTTGGGATGGGCCATGACTTTGGTCTTGTCGAAACGTAATACTTGGAGACCTTCCTTACTCACAGCTCGACTTAGTGCAACATACGCCTGCCCCTTTTCGAATACCTTGCCGAGATCAACCTTAACTCTTTCTAGAGTCTGGCCTTGAGCCTTGTGGATAGAGAGTGCCCAGGCAAGGATGAGAGGCAGCTGCTTGCGTGCTGCCTGGACTTCACCAGTGGGCAATTCGACCTTCCAGTCCTCTGGGATACAGAGTAGGATTCGATGAGTCCCGTCTGTTGCGGTGAAGCGAACAACCGGATACTCTTTGCTGTCCTTTATGATTTCCACATCACGGCTAAAAGCCTTGATTTTCATTTTAGAATTTGCATCCGCATCGCCTTCGCCTCCGGGGCCGACCTCGTCATCGCGAGCACCCCAAATTTCGAATGTAGCCTCATTCATGAACCCAACAACTTTACCGAGAGAGCCATTCACCAACGTCTCGTCCATGTTCTTGATCAACATGACTTGGGCGCCTTTCTTCAAATCCATGGCTTTAGGGGCCATCATGTTTGAAAGTAGTCGGTCTCGGATGTTAGGCTCACCAGTGTCATAGGCCTCGTAGTGATATACGGCTCCGGGCAAATTACGCAACCGAGAGTCGTTGGACCTTTCGACCTCTTGACGGGTCGGGAATCTAGGATCAAGATTAGCGTACATTGATCGCGTGTCTTTTTAAAGGGAAATAAATACAATTCAGTCACATCAAGTCCATCATCAAAATTCAACGGTCGCGACAGCTCTTTAAATGTTCGGACTGTATCTTCGCTGATTCTACCGAGACGCATCTCATTGAGCATGTCCGCGAAATCTGAACTAGAGTTAGCAAGGCGACTAAACCATGAGAAAAGTTGAGGAATTTAGACTTACGAGGATCTCTTTGACGAAAGACTTGCGTCAACCCGATAGTATGATCGATAGACGTGTTCCAGGTAGCGGCTTCAAATGCGAACTTGCCTTCCTTCTTACCTCCATCGGGAACAGGGGGTAGTTGGAAGAAGTCGCCCGTTATGATCAGCTGAATTCCACCCCACGGACGACCATTGTTCCGAATGGTGCGTGCTATTTGTGAAAGCTTATCGAAAAGGTCACCGTCGACCATCGAAACTTCATCGATGATGAGGACGTTCGTCCGCAGCCATCTGTTCTTTGCCTTGGCATTTCGACGAATCTTCTTAACCAGCGTTGGGACGTCTTCCTTCCCGAGGCCAATACCAGCAAAACTATGAAGCGTCATGCCTCCGATATTACAAGCAGCAAGGCCAGTGGACGCCGTAACACTGAGGCGTTCCGGATCACGAGCCCACTTCCTCTTCAGCTCTTGGATGATCGCTCTCATTAATACAGATTTACCAGTTCCTGCCGGACCAGTAAAGAACACACTCTGCTTCTTTTGAGTGACTAACTCGATAACATGTTGTTGTTCGGAACTTAAAGATATGGCAGAAGCTTTAGCTTTGTGCTTGGCATGATCATCCGCAGCAGCACGGATCTCCTCTTTTGTAAGTTCGGCCCCAGATCCGGACTTTTTATTTTGGTTCTTAAGCTGTTTCCGACGTTCCTTGATAGCACTCTGCGACGTATCCCAGGGAAGATCACCCTTCTTCTTTGCTGCTGGAGTAGCTAGTTTGTGGGTCTCCTGGGCATCTTCCTGATTTTCATCTCGGCTTTGCGGCGGAGCCGGGTCTCGCTTCCAACTCCCCGGTAAGCTCCTTTTCTTTGCCGGAGGCGGGCCAGGTCGCGGGGCCTCATCCGATGGATCGCGTTTCAATTTCGTCTGGGGGTTTGCTGGAGGGAAAAGGTGCTCCTGCGGTGACGAAGACCAAGTTGTCTGACTTGTAGGCGGTTGGGGCGAGGGGGCTTTGCGTGGCTTCGGTGCGACAGGTTGAGGAGGGAGAGGTTCCGGAAGTCGATACTCCATATCCAACTCCAATGTATTGTCGTCGCTAAAGTCCTCGTCCGCGTAGTATGTAGATATGCTTCCAGCTTTGCTCAGGGACGGGGCACGGTCAGGCTCAGGTGTATCTTCGAAAGATCCAGCGTTACTACATAGAGACGCCAAGCTCTGGGAGCGCTGGGCAGAACTTAGATCGGAGGTGACACGAGATATAGGTTTGTATTGACGGCGAGTTTCTTGTGGGTTGGCGGATCTAGGTTGTAGCGGATTGTTACTTGCTGCCTTCGTAGACCCAGGCGCATTTGACAATGGCTTAGTAGGCCACTTATGAGTGGATGCATACTGCGCAATGTTCCCATCATGGGCAGAGGGGCTACTTGAAGGGAACAATTGCTTCGAGAGATCGGTGTTTGCAGGCGGGGCCCGAGGCGCGTCCGCCTTTTTCTTGTCTACGGCTCTACTTAACATTGTGTTAAGAGACCTCGAGCGGTACGCGAATGCATGGGAATGAAGGAGAGGAAGCGATTGTCGAGAGCGCAAAGGTGGTGAAGGCAGGAGTCGACTAAGACCAGTAGTCATACAGGAGTTGGAGACGACTAGGTCTGTGAGGAAACAAGAAAAGAAAATTGTAAACTGGAAAAAAGCAAAACCTGGTCAATCATGGGTAGCACGTTCCTGCCGTTGACGCAGAGGTCAGGTAAGTGGGTAAAGTACAACCGGGGGATTGGTGCAAATCAATGAATATAGAAGTCGCGTTCTGCTGTAGGAATTATTAAGAGGTACCTAGGTACCTAGGTATATGTTTGAGACGTGTTGATTAAAAAGCCCCCCACATAAAAATTGTGCGTGCATTCTGATTGATCCCAGCTGTACCGTCACTGACCCATTATTGACCCGCCTAGAAATCAGCTACGATCCGTAAAGTTCACCAGCTAACTTTAATTTCCATAACGGTGGGACTAACAAGAAGGTACGTCACCTTAAGGCACTTGAATCCGTTCACCATTCACCATTCATCTTTCATCTCAATTGCTCAGCTCAAATAGGCAGAATACCTCCAACAATTCTAGGCTGCTATACCTTCAATATTCTCAATACATACCTTCACAACTTCTGTCATATCGTGAAATTGTTCATGAACAACTTGTGATGGATTTAAGCAGCTTGAGAGAACACCCAACATAACAATGTCATAAATGACAATTTTATCACAGGCACAACTTCGTCTTTGGACGTACCCTTGATATTATCGATTTGCTTACCCTGTGCAACCTGAGGAAATCAAGGATAATGAGTCAACGTCATCAGAAACTACCTGATGAAGGTGCTAAGGACGAAGAGCGTCGACAGTATACTACAGGAGGACAAACGCTGGAAGAGCTTGATGCGAAGTAAGTCGTCATCTTAAGCCGTCACCGCATATATTCCTATTATACACTAACATATCACCAAGATATCCAAACCGGCCAAAGAACCACTCAAAAACATTCTTCTTTTCAGAGTTGTTTAAGGACCTCTTTGACCCTTTACAGGAAAATAAGCAGCAGTCTGCTCCCAAGGTTGCGCGTCGACCCAGAGGACCTCATAGGCCTAGTAAGCTCTCTCCGCATGAGTACAAACGTAATGTTATTGAACGCTTTATATCGAGATGGAGGTCAGAGGTTGGAAACGATTTCTATCCAGCCATGCGCTTGATTCTACCCAGCTCGGATCGTGACAGGGGAATGTATGGGCTCAAGGAGAGCAACATCGGCCGCCTGCTCGTTAAGTTGATGAGAATCGATAGAAACTCCGAAGATGGATACAGTCTCTTACACTGGAGAGAGCCAATCCAGTCGGCGACCGGTCACGCTGCCGGCGACTTCTCAGGGAGATGTTTCGACGTGCTTTCCAAGAGACCTATGCGCATAGATCCAGGAGACATGCGCATTGCCGATGTTAATGAGATGTTGGATAAGCTATCGGCAGCGTCGGGTGAGAACGAGCAACTTCCCATATTTGAGACTTTCTACCAGCGCATGAACGCCGAAGAACTGAGATGGCTCATCCGCATCATCCTAAGGCAGATGAGAGTGGGAGCTACGGAGAGAACCTTCATGGAATTATGGCATCCTGATGCACTAGATTTATTCAGTGTGTCGTCGAGCCTCCGCCAAGTGTGTTGGGATCTCTACGACCCCAAATTCCGTCTCAAGGATGGCCAAACAAACGTGACATTGATGCAATGCTTCCAACCCATGCTCTGCCACTATCAGATGTCCACTTCTTTCCAGAAGATGGCCGACAAACTCAACTCAACGAACCGAGTAGAGGGTGACGATGAGTTTTGGATAGAAGAGAAGTTGGATGGCGAAAGGATGCAATTACACATGGAAGAAGACGACGAGACCCCGGGCGGCAAGCGATTTCGCTTCTGGTCAAGAAAGGCCAAAGACTATACCTATCTATATGGCAATGGCTTCAAAGACGAAAACGGCTCGCTAACCCGTCACCTTAAGGATGCTTTTGCCCCTGGAGTCCGGAACATTATCCTTGATGGTGAAATGATTGTGTGGGATCCAGAACTAGACAAAGTGCTGAAATTTGGTACTTTGAAGACAGCAGCACTTGCAGGACAGAAAAACCCCCATGATGACAATGCACCTCGTCCTGTTCTTCGTGTGTTTGACATCCTCTACTTAAACGGCCAGCCCCTTACCCAGTATACCTTACGAGACCGCCGAAAAGCTCTCGAAAAGGCTGTTCTCGGTGTGCCGTACAGGCTAGAAATACATAAATATGATACAGCCACGTCGGCAGAAGTGATCGAGCCAATGCTCCGGAAAATCGTCTCTGACGCCTCGGAAGGGTTGGTCATGAAGAATCCGCGATCCATGTATTCTTTAGCGGACCGGAGCGATAACTGGATCAAAGTCAAGCCTGAATATATGAGCGGCTTCGGCGAGTCGGTAGAGGTCGTGATCATAGGCGGATATTACGGACAGGGCCATCGTGGCGGTGCGATTGGTTCCTTTCTCTGCGGCCTTCGTGCTTCAGAGAATGACATAAAAGCTGGAGCGAACCCCGAGACATGCTTTAGTTTCCTTAAAGTTGGAGGTGGTTTCCGCGCAGAAGATTTTGCAGATATTCGACGTCATACGGATGGAAAATGGAAGCAATGGGACCCGAAAAAGCCGCCCAGTAAGTATATTCAGCTGGCTGGTGGAGAGAGGCATCAATTTCTCAGGCCGGACGAATGGATTCGCCCGAGCGACTCTCTCGTCATATCCGTCAAGGGTGCTAGTGCAGGGGAGTCGGACCAGTTTGCTACGGGCATAACTTTACGATTTCCACGGTTCAAAGGCATACGCTTTGACAGAAGCTGGGACTCGTGTCTTGATTTCCAGGGATTCATAGACATGAAGGCCCGCGCCGAGAAGGAAAATGACGAGAAAGCTATGAATATGGAGTCTCGCCGGAAACGGACGGCCAAGAGGGTTAAAAGGGATATCGTGATCGCCGGCCAGGATAATATCGCGCCGGCCTTGTTTGAGGGACCTAAAACCAAAGTATTCGAGGGGCTAGATTTTTGCGTCCTGACGGATTGCACGACTCCGGTGAAGAAATCAAAGACGCAGCTCGAGACGCTAATCAAGGAAAACGGTGGCAAGATATACCAGAGAGCCGACCCGTCAAGCCACATGATTCTTATTGCCGAGAAGAAAGTGGTCAAGGTGGCTAGTCTGTTGAAAGCTGGGGACATAGACATCATCAAGCCGAAATGGATATTAGACTGCCTCGCGCAGCGCGACAAGGACTTCCTGTTACCCTTCGAGACCGGTCACTTATTCCATGCCACCGATGCCACGGCACGCCTTGCAGAAGAGAACGTGGACGATTTCGGCGATAGCTACGCTAGAGATCTAAGCGTCAAAGAATTGGGGCAAGTGCTCAAGTCGATGCCAAAGAAGGAAATCATCGTCGGAGAACCTTTTAATAAGGAGGAATTCCTCAACCAGCTAGTAGAGCACGGACATGACATGGGCAATTTAAGGAGCTATATTTTCAGGGGCACAAAAGTGCATTTTTCAACGACGGACGACGTCTCTCCAATATCAAGTCTCAAGTTGAAGAACTGGATCAAATACGGAGGCGGGTCAGTGGTCGATGATTTGGACGATAGGAGTATCACACATGTGGTTATAATGAGCAGCACCGACAGTGGCGAGATGGAGCGAGCGGCAGAGGTACGCTCGTCTATTAGTTCTCGGACACCTGTTCCCCGAGCGGTGTCATGGCAATGGGTTGAAGATTGTTGGAAGAATCGTACAACGCTAGATGAGGAGAGGTATGAACCATTATGATGATTCACTTTGATGATCCATATAAGTAGCAACGAATAAATATCTAGTGTTGCCGGTCCAACATAACCATGGTTTATTGAATATGTGCGTCTATCACCAGCATCTTCACTTCCCTATCGTCAAGAACAGGCGATCCCCCACATCTCCCACGCCAGGCTTCAACATACCGTTAGACGTCAGCTCGGCGTCGACTCCGGCAACCCATATCTCGACGGCCTCACTCCACTCTTCTGCAGCGCGCCGCACGCCGTCGGCGGCGGCAATGACGGACAGGACGACGATCTTCTTAACACCCCATTCCTTTAGCGTCTGGATGGCCGCCTGACATGTCCCGCCGGTCGCGATCACCGGGTCTACGATGATGGCTAAGCTGGATACGTTCTTGCCTGGCTCTGAGGCGTGCTGCGGGAGATTGTTGTAGTATTCAACGGGCTCGAGGGTGCTGGGCTCCCGGTATAAACCTAAGTGGTGTACGGGGACCGGTTCGGGCAGTAAGGTTTGTATTGCTTGAGATCGAGTGTTAGGTCTACGTGTTATATAGCATACGTGTAGATTTATATGGCGAAACAGGGAAATGTGTAAAACATGAGAGACGAAAAGCGGTGGCACACACCTTCTACCATGCCTAAACCCGATCTAAGGATTGGTACTATAGATAGCGCTTCCGGACGCACCGTAGTCGTCGTGTATTCGTATCCGATCGGAGTCTCACCCTATGAAGTAGGATACTGTGTTAACTAGCTAGGTATATACCACCTCTTATACGAGTACAGAACTCTTCTCTAAAGGTGCGGACGGATCTAGGTAAGACAAGAAAGGCATAAGCTACCTTTGGCCCGTCAACAGGCGTCAATGCTGATCCTAGAGCTTCACATCCAAGAATCAAAGCTATGTCGTTTATCAAGGACTTGACTTCTCGCGACTCCGTCCCCTTGGACCTAAGACGACTAAGCTTGGCCATCAGGCACGGGTGCTTAGAGACGTGGACGTTCGATGGGAGCGACATTGTGAATTCCTGATAGTATCTCGTAACTACAGTACAGTTGCAGTAAAATAGAGAAGGTATACGTGGTAAGTATCAATGCCACAATTAATAGACAGTTCTAACTTGTGTAGTCCAAAAAAAAGATGATAGTAAGGGGAAGTTCAGATCGGGAATTACGGAATGTAGTAGGGATTATGGAAGAGCAGCTTGCTCTTGCTAACTCTAGACCTTAGGCTTCTTAATTGGGCCATTGGGAAGCAACGGTAGGGCTATCGAAGAGTTCCAAAGTTCCGGACGCGGGGCAGCTACAGCTATCATTCCCCACCACGACAGGCGCGCTAGACCGATTCATGATAACGGTATTGATAAGAAATACGCTATCAGGTACCGGTACGCTTACATTAGGACGCATTCGGATAACGGAATTGGATTTTCATAACCGTATCGGAACGGTACTATTAATGAACCTGCCAACCTAAATTGTGCAGTGTCTCATAGTTACATAATCCCATGTAATGGCCGGAAATCCCTGCCAAGAGGAGAATTAAATCTTAAAACTCCCGTGACGATGGCGATGTGTAAACAACATATTCGAGACTTGAATGTCAACGTCAACAACTGACCAAATGTTCCCAAATATTCGAAAGAGGGCCCATATACCTTTTTCTATAGACGCGGGGGATTGGTCTAGTTTTTGATTTCATGTCCTTTTATTTCAAAAGTCTATAAGTCAGCCTCGCGGACGGTGAGATGGAGGATAGCCAGTCCAATAATCCCTCACAGCCGAACGCCGAACGAGATGCTGTGCGCCGCAATAGCGTCTTGTCTGCGTCCCGTGACTCCCGCCAATCCGTATCACAGCATGGCTCAATTCAGTCTAGACGCCGGCGTAGCGCCTCGCGTCCGTCTTCGGCAGATTATGACGCGCCAGAGTCGTACAGGAACCTCCACGACGTGGATGAAAAGGATGATCGACTAGATCCCGAGGTACCACCCACTGCCGAAGAATTGAAGCGTCAAGAATCCCGGAGGAAACGGCGTCGGTCGTCTGTATCACAACCCAATTATGATATCCCCGACTCTTACGTAAATGTACCGGAGCTAGAAGAAATAGCTCCTATCCCAAGTCGGGATGAACGGCGATGGCGTCCAAGCCCTTCCCTTGAGGAGGGAAGAGAGCTCGAGCGTCGGTACTCTGTACAGCAAGAGGCTCAACGGCGAAGTGGTGAAAAACCACAGAAAGCCGAGGAGGCAAAGACGGAAGACCACCATGTATCGAGATTAGCAACTGAGATCTATACTGTCTCCTATCTCATCCTCTTCGCCATATTCGGTACTCTCGCTCGCGTTGGGCTTTCAGCCCTCACCAATTATGTCGGCGCCCCCGTTGTTTTCAGTTCTGTGTGGCCCAACTTTGCGGGCAGTATGGTTTTAGGTTTTCTTGCAGAAGATCGCATGCTCTTCCGTTACGAATGGGGTACGCCGACGTATGCGTTACAGCTCCTGAGAGCCAAGGAGAGTGAACTCAACGAGACAGGCGAATCCAGCTCCGATAGAGTAGCCATCGATCTTGCTGCCGCGAAGAAGGCACATATGGCTACCAAGAAGACTATACCGCTATATATCGGGCTTGCCACCGGATTCTGCGGTTCTTTCACATCCTTATCCGCCTTTATACGCGACATCTTCCTCGCTCTATCGAACGATCTGCTCACGCCGGGCACTGGTCCAGTTACTACCCCTCGAAATGGCGGCTACTCATTTATGGCCCTTATGGCGGTTGCCATTACCACCATCACGCTATCCATTGCTGGTCTTCTCATCGGAGCTCAGCTTGCCTTGGCCTTGGAAACGATCACGCCCTCACTTTCTTTCAATTTCACCCGCAAATTCCTCGACCCATTCGCCGTCTTCCTCGCATGGGGATCATGGATCGGCGCCATCCTCTTGTCAATTCTTCCACCAGACAGATTCGTCAACGAAGTAGCATCAGAGATCTGGCGCGGCCGAGCAACGTTTGCGTTGGTATTCGCGCCCCTAGGCTGCCTTGGACGGTTCTACGCTTCTCTATACCTCAACGGGTATCTGCCCTCCTTCCCGCTAGGCACCTTCACCGTCAATATCTTGGGCACCATGGTGCTTGGCATGGCGTGGGACCTCGCGCACGTCCCCGTTGGCGGTGTGATCAGCTGCCAAGTCTTCCAAGGGATCGAAGATGGGTTCTGTGGGTGCCTGACCACGGTCTCGACTTGGGTCGCGGAGTTGACTGCCTTGAGGAGGCGACACGCATATGTGTACGGAGGCACGAGCGTGCTTGTCGCGCTTGCTTGCATGGTGGCCATCATGGGTGGCTTGCGATGGAGCGACGGCTTTAGTTCGTTGAAATGCCTGCATTGACGGACATCCGACGGGGTGTATGCTTAACTGTCTGATACGAACGAACGAGCGACGAAAGCGGTAGCTTCATGAATGATCTACTTTCCCCAGAAAAAACAACCTAGCTGCCTAAAGGTTGGGGTTCAGGGTATCGACATATTCGGATCACGCTATTGCCCTACTCATCATACCCTCTAAATCTAGACAGAGGGAAAGAACTCATTCTCGAGACGTGAGTCCTACCTTGTTTAATGATCTAAAAACTACTTTACTATATCTAACATACTATTAATAGAGGACTATATGATCTGAGTTATATACTATGTATAATATACATATAGGTTGGCATATGTCACTAACTACTGGTCTCTAGAAACCTGAAGCCCCTAGGATATACTGCAAGTTCGTTGAATATAACGAGGGAATGAGAATGAGCAATTGCTAGCACACTCGCTAAGAGACCCTTGGGCTGTTGGCACCGTTGCCTTAGAGCAGATCCCAACGCATGGTTTCTATCCTAGCTCGAGCTACGGCGAGGCGATCGCAGTGTAGATTCTGCGACGACAGGCTCATTTACAATGAGTTCAACAGGCCTAGGAATACTAATTAAAGTGTCATCTAAATCTTGTCACGTTTATAATCACACTCGAATTCGATATCTATGAGGTCAGAAGTCATAACGATAAATATTCAAATATTCGAATTGTTGCTTATATACCTATATATAACGGCAACTCCCTAAGCATATCAAAGAAGCAGATTATGCACACATCCGGCAAATCCTCTATCGTACACCTTCCGGTGCGGCACATCTCTTCTCAAACCATCTAGCAAAATTGGTCGAAGGCACATCGATTCCTCTCCAGAACACGTCGGAGGCCCATAGAACAATAGGAAAGTACAACGTGGTAGAGACGATGAAACTTATGGCATAAGACCAATACCCTTCCTTGCCTATGTAGGCCCAACTAGTATTCAGCAGCCACTTGCCGATCGTTCGGTTCCCAAGACCGTGAACGAGGTAGAGTGCAAAGCTGATGCGGCCAAGATACCGAGCCGGCCGAGTGAGAAAGAAGGATTGGATGGAAGGTAAGAATACCATAGGGCCAACAAATAACATGGCGCCGATCGCCAACCAGAATCTCCGGCGGTAAGCGGTTAATGGCCAAACATATTTGGACCAGATGTACCCAGGGGTCTCAGTATTGTGGTCGCGAGGATAACCGCAAAGGAAAAGGCCAAGGACCATCGTAAGGATAAGCAGGGCATTGACCAAGTTCCTACCCGACGGGTTCTTTGGCTTCTTCAATAGAACTTCAAGTTCCGCCAATGTCATACCGGCGATGAATAGGGCGACGTCCCAGCGTTTGTGGCCAAAGGAATGGGCCATGATGACACCTTCGACAGCTAGTCGAACAGCTGTTCGAGTCTTTGCCAACCCAACAAGGAGCAGGAAGACAACCATAGAACCACGGAACTCGACAGCGATGGACCATAATTGTGGGTTATAGAACCCGGAAAAGTCCGCGGCCCAGTCCCACGGGTTAGATTCCATATCGAGGTACTCCAGGTACGAATTCAGGCTGTGCTCAAATGGTTTGCCGTCCACTTTCTTAGGTACATTGACTATACCAACGCAAGCGCACAAGAAAGCCAAGGTGCTGGAAGCAAAGGCTGGAAGGAATAAGCGAATGGCCCGACGGAAGGTGAGCGACGTCAAGCCGGAGAACAACTCATTGTACTCGCGGCGGTGCATTCGCTGAATGAATCGATGAGAAAGTACGAAGCCGGAGACGACAAAGAAGACGGAGACCATGGCGGCGCCGGAGTAGATGATACGGATAAATGGTAGCAACCAGAAAGACCTGTTGTCCTTGTACCCCCATCCCGAGTTGACAGCTGGATAAGGGATGTGAGTCCAGTGCAGAATGAAAACGATCAAAGAGGCAACGCCGCGGACGCCATCAAGATACTCGGTCGCATAAGGCTTCTTCGCCGGTGCGCCGGATTTCTCAGATGCATCGGAGGTTGGCGATCGCCTCCCCAGGAAACTCGGCTTCAGAAAGGTAAGGGATCGCCACAAGGCCGCCCGCGGCGAACACGACCGAAGAGTTTTTCTCCATCCGGGCGGCGAACTGGTGCGAGCTCCTGTTGGTGAACTGGGGAGAAGAGACTCTTCATCCTCCCTATTGGGGTGGCCCGGCAGATACATGTCGACGTTACCCAACCGATACCTCACGCCCTCTTTGTCGACCTATGGATTTCGAAGTCGATAAGGAGCGGAAGTGTCACTGTCCCTCCTTTTAGCAAATCCACCTCCTATTCAAAGTTAAGCTTTTCTTCACCTACGTAATGATCGTACAGATCTCGAGAGCCGTTCGCATATCCCGGTTATCGGCCAAGACTCCTGTAGTGAAATGAGTAGATCCACACAAGGACACTAACAAGACCTAACACGACTATCTAATAAATCTATTAAACAAAGCGCGGTAGATCAAAACTAAGGACCGGTTATACTACCGCATTTGCAGCAAATGGTGTAGGATTCGATCAAAAGTGCTAAAGTGGTGTAATTACCAACTCAGGTATAGAGGGAGAGAGAGCGTACAGAACAAGACGAAGCAACATTCACCGAAGCCGGTGAGGGAAGATAAAAGCAAAGATACGGATATCTAGCAGAAGGATTCAGATGCTCGACGGCCGAACCCTCCGATTGTCTAACATCGTTGTCTGTTGAACATGAACATGATCAGGAAAGGAACGTCACATTGGATGCTGCCCTACTTTGTAAGGCCTGCCTGTAGGCCTGTCTGTAAGGCGTCAAGAGTCGAGATAGGGGATCAGGGGATTCGCCATCTAGTCTAGGATATCCTAGGATGTCTTTCGCAAGTGCTTCATCACGCCCAACACCATCAGAATGAGGACCGCCTAACTGGTAGAAAGCCAAGGTCGATCGCGGACAGATTAAGATTCAGGGCCTAGGCGGTATATCGCCAAATCGCCAATCACAGGCGACGGGAATACCGGATCTGCAAGGTCAGACGCTGAAAGGGCTTAGCATACGTCGTGCCAAGAGCTGCAGTATTGCATGCCAAGACGCTGTGTTGTCGCAGGCTCGCGAGCCCTGCAGATAGTGGTGTTTTCTCTACCCTCCCATGCAGCCATGCCATATTTATAATTCTTTTATACTCCCTCTTAGCTGCCCCCAGTCGGATAAACTAATCTGGGGCAGATCACTTCTACAACAACATTAGCCTCTCGCGATAATTATGCGTCTGATCAAATCGCAACACCCTATCGCAACACCCTATCGCACAAGATAATAGCCCCATGCGGAAGGTCTTTCAGAGAGGTTTCGCCGCACGCGACTTCAATCGAAGCGGAGCTGGACGTGGCACGTGTGCGATTCCCCAGAAGAGAAGGAGATGAAGCAACCGCATCTCATCGGACCTCAAGCTACATCAGAGCTACGCAAGCTAAGAAAAATGTCTGATAAAACACATCAGAGTGACGAGCTCAGGTGAAAGTTTTAAAGCCTTCAAAACTTGATAAGTCAAGAGTCACGATGACAGGATCCATCATGACTCCAGTCTCCGATAAAAAAAAAGAAAACAAGACTAAGATGAACAACGATCACAGCAAGTTTGTGTTAGGTAATGCAGATTCGTATGTATGTTACCCAAAAATGCCCAGCCTGCCAGCTCCCAACGTCTCGCGTGTCTCCCGAAGTCTCCTGAGTCCCGTCACTATAGCCCGACTGGGGCAATTATATGCAATTATATGAGGACGTCCGAGCTCGTGATTGGTGAGCTAACCTTCGTCTCTTCCGAAAACAGCAAACCTTGCACCCCTGGATCTTTGTATTTTTTTATTATTATTTTTGCCTTCTTATCGTCACATCCATGACGTGGGGGAGGCCAGTCACCACTCCGTCCTAGTTGCTTGGCGGCTCTATGAACCTGGATTGGAAGGCCAAATTCTATATCCCAGAAGTTGGGATCTTCGCCGTGAAAATTCGGTACATTTTCTCGCTACCATGGACCTTGCAGAATGCAGGTCCCCCCCCCTTCGGTGCCCCCTCTGCTGAGTCTCCTGAGATGATTCGCCCGCCCTCCCGCCTTGTGAAATTTGGGGATGTGGGCATTCCTGTGGACGTTAGACCTACATTGGACATCGATAATGTTAGTCCGCGGCTGGTCCGTCTGAGTAGGAAAGTGCTCGTGTGCTGTCGATCCGTTTCCTATACTGCCTGCTCGGTCTGCTTTCTACCTGCTTATGAGAGTTCTTCCTCGTTGATAGATGCGACCATCGTGAGACCATACCCCTCGACCTGATAACAGTCATGAGCTTTTCGACGTCGAGATTGGCTTTCTCAAGGTGACGCCCCCTGTAGTTATCCGGACCGAACATGTGAGAAACGGAGCACGCGATTCACGATCGTTACGTTACGGGCAACTCGGTTGTCGTTCCACTCTTTACTTTGCGCATTCACGAGGCAGAAATCCTCCAGGGATATCTGAGATACTTAGGGAACTTTTACCTTCGGCCGTTGGAAAAATCTTAAACGAATCATTTGGCACTCCTTACTTACGATAAGAACGGACGCCAAGTCGGAACAACCTGCAGCATCTTTACAGGATGGTGTGGTCAGGCGAGAACTTGTCTATACCTCGCCGGAGCCAGAGTCAAAGCCCAGTCGAATACTCCAAAGCCATGCTGTCGCCAAGAATGTTACCTCGACTTTTCATCAAGGTCCCCAACTCCCCTACTATAGAGCAAGGAACATTCACATCACGACGCATACGGAGGATACTATGCTTCACCATATTCATAACATTAATATGGGTGTTAATAGGGAACAAGTGGGAGACGGTTGAGTCAGACGGGCAGAGCTATACCACCTTGCAGTTGATGCGCCATGCGGCGCTTGACAGCACGCCATCGCAATGGGTTGGCGGTGGTGCCGTTGTGATGACGAAGGGTAGCGGGGAGGGTGAGAGGCAAAAGCCTCAGCCGGCGAAGGAGGAGCACACATTATACTACGTCTTGCCTGATGTTATCCGAATATCGTTTGAGGAAGCAGTTAAAGACATCAAGTTAGACGGGTGGGAGGACGAGTGGTTTTCTTCTGGACATTTTAATGTCGATAAGCACGGCCCGCTAGCCGAGCCAAAAATTGACTTCGTCTATAACTGGGTTAACGGCAGCGAGGATGCCTTTAAAGATATTCGACATAGCTATGAGTTAGAGTCCCCCCTCAACGACAGGGAAGGGAAGTGGATATCCCAACACAGCATCAACCGATATCGTGACTGGGATGAATTGAAATATTCGCTCCGGAGTCTCGACGTCTACGCCAAAGGTTTCGTCAACAAGATCCAACTTCTCGTAAACTCTGTTACCAATGGCTCTTACGATAAGGATGGCAAGAACATGCGTCCTCAACGGCCAACTTGGCTTAAAAACGACGAAGACACCAACGAACACGTTCAGGTTCTTAGTCACGAGTCCTTTTTCCGGGAGCAGGAAAAGGAATGCCTACCTACTTTCAACTCCCTTTCTATCGAGTCACAAATATACATGACTCCATCCACGACAGACCAACTTGTCGCATTATCGGATGACATGTTCCTGGGCATGCCTCACGCTGCGTCCGATTTCTACTCTCCCTTATTCGGACACACCATGGGCTTCAAGCCCGATCACTACAACGTCAAGCAGCTCGGCGGCAAAGACCAGATTCCTTCGTTTGGGGAGAAACCATTTGTTTACTACACGTCATACCTCCTCAATCACCGCTTCGGCGAACGTAACCGTCACGTCCAAGCCCACTTCACGCACTCCGTTTCCCGCATGGTGATGGAGGAAGCTATGGCTTCCTTCCCGCAGCCGTCTGCCAAGGGCGCCTGCGAGCGATTCCGCGGGGAATCGAAGTTCCAGATTTACCCATGGTTCGCCAGCTTCCACTACACCATCGAGAGGTTCCGAGAAGCCTTGCTATGGTCCTTCATCATGTCCCGTTCCGATAAAAACACGGACGGCTACCTCGATTGGGGGGAACGCCAGCACATCTTAGAAGCCATGGAACCCGGCTGGCGACAGCTCGCCACCAAAGACCCGTCCAAGCCAGCGGCGCAAAGTCCGGATAGGGACCGGATGTACTACAAGCTCCCCCAGATCCTGCAAAGAGCGGGCCTACAACCGCCCCAAGCAAACATAAATATCCTATGGACGTCGATTGACGGGCCAGAGACGATCCGCAACATCAAATGCAACGACTTCAGCGTGGAAAAGTGCTTCGGGGACTCGTTCGCATCGCCCCTATCCGACGCCACGACGCGGGACCCGGACTTCACCGCGTCGAACATCTTCTCGCGGATCTCGTACCAGCACCCGCAATGCGGCGACTGCCTGATCAAGTTCCTGCTGGCGTCGCAGCCGCGGGGTCTCGAGCCGCTGCTGCCGCCGAAGAGCGCGAAGCCGCACGACCGCGAGGTCATCGTCAAGGCGCTGCGCAAGTACCAGCACACCATCGTCGACACGGACGCGATGAAGTTCGTCATGGTCAAGGACGCCGAGCAGGCCGAGACGGAGCTGCTCGAGCGCACGATACGGCGCGGCAAGACGTTCGGGCAGTGGTGCCTCAACGACGACGTCATGACGGAGAGCGCGCGCGAGGTCGGCCGCGTCCGCGACGTCATGACTCAGGTCTTCGAGGACTTGTGGCCCGGGAGGGGGCGCTGGGAGAAGGAAGAAGATGGGGAGGAGGAGGAGGAGGTTGATATCGATGTGGATCAAAAGCTGCTGGAGAGTGACGAGGTGGTGGAATTGGAATCATAGGTAAGGTAGGTAGCAGGGTAGCAAGGTGTAGGTTTGCGGGTTTGCGGGTTTGCAGGTTTGCACATCTAGGGTGGCAGGGCAGTTTTCTGTGGCATACATACATACATATCTAGGGAAGAGTCATAGGTTTTAGGGGATACCCAAATATTTTTACGCAGAGCGTGAAGAGGGAAAAATTTTCTATATAATCGTTTGTTTGTTGTATTTACACTCTGAAGATACCACATTTTCTTGCTGCGATGCTAAGTACATAGATTCTCATGAATTATAGCGTCTGATACTGTTAAACAGGGGCGAAGTTGGACTGCGTCCTGTTCTCGCGTGTTTAGATTTCTCGTCGTAGACTTAGAAGCTTGAGTTGATAACCACCATCTTTCAGAGAAACGAGAATATCGTAGATGCATACCCAAAGACTCCAACAAATATCGACTTCACCTCCCAAACCGGAAATTTGAGAGGCGAACATAAAGAGCCAAGACATTCGCCATGCGCTGTCTAGAACGCCGGGGGAGTGGCACAGCAGCAACGGCGCATCGCATGCCGGGCAACCTGATCGTGTGCAACCACACCAGATCAAGATCCACCGCCACCGACATGGTTCTGATGGTACATAATCTACAGGGGAAGTCGTCCCTAGCCCCGGCAGAAGTGCGCGGGGACGCGGGACTCGGATTATAGTGTACAGTAAGCAGAAGCAAACCAAAAACGAGCCGAAGTCGGTTGAAGCTCGGGGTTGGGATCGTATACTCGCATACTCGCATCCAGTTCTCGGTGAGTAAAGCGGCGTAGGTGACGAATACATACCTACCCTAGGTAGGTACCTATTTCAAACACCTACCTAAATTTACCGAAAGTAGCCCTTCTTACCTCGGAAGACACGAGCTATCACGATGGAATAGCAATTTGGAAAAGGGAAGGTTATATCAAGTTTTACCATTACGACGTTAGCAGAATACGTCTTTCATTGGTTTAACATCCCCGCCGTTGGTTCTGAAACCGCATCATTTCCAAACAAGCCCGTTGGACCTATAAAGTGGCAAAGCTTGAACACCAGCCCCTTTCGACCAAACGCGCATACGCATACATAACTCGAGATCTGATAAACTTTGCGGCTGGCCGAGGCTGCTCCGAGTATATACATGGATGTCTTAGTATCGTCGAATCTGAAACAGAGTATAGCTTTCCGTACTAGAACGGAATAAAGATGTAGCTATCGCGGAAGTCTGCTAGAGCCCTTACGTATGTGTGAGTTAGCTACCTACCTAAATAGGAATCACTCGTCATAACGTAACATCAGTTCTGCCAAAATCCCGAAAGAGCCTTCGGCATTAGTGCGACTGAAGATACCTTGAGGCTACGGAAACTGATTTCCAGGGCTTTATCCAGTTACCTTGTCAATCGTGACTCATGCCGGTGTCGTGTAGTAGCCCAAACATGAGTAATGTCCGTAACAACTCACATCTCACATCTCATATCCATACTAACATGTGAAAAGCTTCGCAAATGAATATCGCTCATTCAGATTCATCAAACATCGCTTTCTAGAATAGAACAGAACATCGTTCGCATCCACGGCCCTCAAAGCAAACCCCCCACAATCACAGCACCCCAGAGCACAGCAACGCCCGCCCCTACGCACCACCTAACCCGGGCCCTCGCCCCCGAAGCCTCCGAATCCGCGACGGCTGACCCGCTCGCGCCGCTCGTCGCGGTGATTCCCGTTGTCTTCGCGGCGCCGGAGCCGGTCGCGGTAGCCGTAGAGCCGCTTACGCTCGAGGTGGCCGCATTCTTGGCGGCGGGCGCGGCGCAGTCGCCCTTGATGGCCGTCATGTTCGTCGTCGGCGTGATCTCCATCTCGTTCGTGCCGCAGTTGACGTATTGGGCTAGGTGAATGGCGTTATTGGTCTGGTCGAAGACGGCTAGAGGATGAAGTCTTGTTAGTTTTCATTTCCCGTTCAAAACTATTCGGTATACGACAATCTCTCCTTAAAATGTTAGGTAGGTGGTAGGTCATAGTATGTCCGGACTCACCATAAGCAGAGCGCAGCATAGTATCCCCGAGGAGGGCGAAGTCGTCGCTCGGGCTGATGCCCAAAAAGCACTGCGTTCCGAACCCCGTCGCGAGTTCTCTGACGAGCTCGTTGTACGGTACCTTGATCATGACGCCGTTGAAAGCGAAGTTGAGGCTGCCCTGCAGATCGTTCAGGGAGCAGTCGACCGGGTAGAATCCATTGGCGTCCGTAGCGGAGGCGCCGAAGTCTGCCGCGATCGAGTTCGCTAGATTCGTCGGCAGTAGGGTGAGGGTGGCGCCGCTGTCTAGGAAAACCGCCATCGTACTGTTCTCGTACACTTTGTTCTGGCCGCTCGGCGGGGTGAGGCTCAAGGATGTCATGTTGACCCAATACCTAGGGACCTTGTCTGGAGATTGTGCCGCGGGGATGATCGGTAGCGTTTGGAGAGGACCGGTGAACTTGCCAGTGTCCAGTCCGCCGAAGATGACAACACCCTCTTGCTCATCTTTACTGCCGAGTGCTAAGCTAAACGCTTTCGTCCCGGTCACCCCTTGCGCCGCCAACTCGTCTATGAAATTCTTGTAGTTAATCGTAACGTTGAATCCGTGACCAATTCCCAGAATACCAGCAAATTCATCAACCGTATCCATAGCAACTCCAAACTGAACCCCTTTCAACTTTGAGTCTAACAAGATGTTAGGTACGCGAATCGTTATGATAGGTTTAGGTGAGAAACTCACTCGTGCCCGCAAGGCCAATGTCATCCGCCACATACTGGACCTGGGCGCTACCGATGCCATACCGCAATGTCTTTGTACCGGTCATTTGGTTGGCGCTAGATGAGGATGACGGCGTGTAATGTCCCACCGCCTGGCAAAATTTGATATCTGCGGAGCCCTGGAGATCTGAGCAGTCGGGATTTACCCATAATTCGAACGAGCCGGTATCTAATTGGACATAAACCTGTTGTGCCGGCGTGCCAATATCGACTCCTATGTCTTAGCAAGAAACCTAACGAGTGAGATAATAGGAGGGGTCACGAACGCTGCGCATAATATGCTACATCTGATCGATTGGCAAGGGGCACGGTGGTTATCGCTCGCCTGTCCCCAAAATCTGAGAATACCTTTTTGTTCGTAGAATGTACGACAGGTAATTTGACGTAAAGGTCAGTCCGGCGTTCGAGGGTAGAGACATCGCCGTAAGCTCCTATTATTAAGTGAAGGAATTGAAAGAATAAGATGAGTCGGGCTGCCATCTCTGGCAGGGCGGGAGCAGTTAAGACTACCGTCTGAATCCCCGCATGGATTCACTACGACGTAAAAATTATAGATCGACCTCGAAGTTTGTCTTAGGTGCTATCGCTACTGAATTCATCTGTGGCTGACCCAGCAGCTCCGTCTATTTTCCTATTCGCCTTGGTCTATCTGGCGGTCCAAGTTGACGGATGAATGAACGAAAATGAAATCCTTCTAGGATATCGGTGAGAAGAAACGAAGGACAGCGTGACGAGTAAGAGACTCGGGATACGGCCGGAAACAATATTAAAATGAGAATGAAGAAGCGAACAAAAATGCCGAGCCGACCGGTCGGGTGCCAAATGAAAAGAGAGAAAACAGAAACGCCGTAGCAATGAACCACGGCCGACAAGAACTGACAAGCAAACTAAGAAAGTGAGAGGAAGATCACGAGGAAGGTTGACGAACATTCAATTGGAGAATATCGCCAGCTCCAAGACCCCCCGGTGAGGGTAGTAGGTAAGTTATCCATTGCTGGGATCCTCATAGGGTATGGCGCAGGGGTTCGAACTTGTTGCGGCTCTGGGCATCGCTAATGGTGAACCCTGGGCAGCTGGGCATGTTGGGTCAGTGTCTCTTTAATTAATAATGGCGTTTCAGTACGACTTGAGGCATCCTTTACAGCATATGTTACTACATATGTGAGGTAACCCCGTTTCAACGACAACCCCGAGTCGTATTCGACTTCCAGCTAAGGTCACCTTCGCTATTATTCATTAGAGCATCGTTGGAAGCCCTCAATTCGAGAACACGGAGCACTTGCTAGACTATGCTCCGATATATAGCATGTTTATCGAACGGTAAAAGGTTATGCTTGAGGTTGATCATACCGAAGCCTCATAGTTTGGCCTATGTACGCGTAGGATGAAATCCGATAGAAACTCCAAGTTTTCTTAGCCAGCTGGGCCAGCTCAAACCTAAGACAAAATCGCGAAATCGCAGGGGTCTAGCTGGTTCAAAGGGGGTGGCACGAGCCACGATACGAGAAATTGCCAAGATCTCGAATAAGGCAACTTCTATCCGTTTCAAGTTAGCTGAACCATTATTTTCCTCGGCTTTCTCTCTTGCATGTAGGTATCTACACATTGCGCCTTGGGAGAGTTCTCATAAATGAGACTCATGCAAACCTACCGAGGATAGTAAGTTAGATAAATATAAGGAATGACAAATGACTTGCCTTTTATGCCTCTTATATTCCAGATGCTCTGCAATTGTTCTAATTTGTGGCCTGTCTGGGGAGGGCTTCCGTAAACACCAATTGGAGACATTTCACACGTGTTTCCGCTTCGTGGGTTTGGTCGGTTCGTCTCAACCTGTCCGTCATGTCTCAAATGCAGAAGTACCCCACGTTACCCATGATAGGAGCAATAAAATGCACGAGGTTAGTATTCGGTAAACGCAAAGTTGAGTTCATCCGGGATTGGAGGAGTGGACGGATATGTACTGATCGACGAGCCACATCGCATCCTCGGGTTGTTCTTCAGCACGCAGATCTTGTGCCTAACCATGAGGATCGGCCCGGAGTCCACAGCTACGATGACCTCTTCCGCTCCGTGACCGTTTATTCCGAACCCCACTCCTCCAGGAGAGAATTCCGTTTTGTCTTTTGCTGCGACCGTCTTTTCTAGTCTCTTTAGATTTTTCCGCGATGAGCGTCAGCATGAAGAAGTCGACAAATACCACCGTAACCCAGGAATAGTTGAATATCAACAAAGGGAGACCCGCACAGATTTCACGGAAGATATCCTATCGGAGATGCTAGTCAGCAATTTTGATTGTAGCCAACAGCCGGAAAACCCAGCCCAAGCAGAATTGCATGTACATCTATGCGATATGTACCAGTATTGAATCCCATAACATCACAATTGGGATGTTGCTTAATTCGAGATTCTCTGCCAAGCTCACGGCGTGTAGGAAGGGCGAATACTCCCACATCCCCTGAGGGTTGGAACTGGAACAGCGTGGTGGGGAGATTTCCATCAACCCAGATATGTGTCGACTTTCGTCCAGCCAACGAAGCGGGTTATTCTTAACAAGTCTCAGAACTACTCTTTCTGATGTATAGTGATCGATGTCGTCGTGATACATAGCATCCACTTCAGACATCTATTTGAAAAGGTCTACCCTTTTTATCTATCACCTATGACTGCATCTTTGATTGCTCCGGCCCAAAAACTGGTCAACATTTCGGTTGGGTCGAAATTCATGCGCTGGTACATCGAGAAAAGAACCTTCAAATTTAGTAATAGATCAATCGCGGGTAAACGAAGCTGTATTGAAGCAGGAAGACATAACGAAGTAGGACCTTCTGCCGAATGCCTGCCCTGGCTTCCGCATGGCCAAAGTAGTGACAACTCCAGAGTCCCTATTGGTAAGACCGAAAGTCGAGTCACTCAATTCAAAATGCGTCTATGGCCGTTGGATATTTGATGGTGATCCTCGACGAGGTAACTTTCTAGTGGTGCTTCGTCCAGGCTAGATCCCTTAGCAGCTACCGGAGCCCACTTCTTCATCAGTCGCTTCCCCTTTCTTGCATTCTTGTCTTCCCTAGACCTCGTCTGTCGTTTCTGTGCAATGGGCACACAGACTCTCTTAATCGGACGCCTACTGTCTTCTTCACCAGGTTTACCCGACTCGTCCATACATGAGACGGGGAATTTGTTGGAGATGACTGCATTTTAGACGATTGCATACTCAAGGGTATCTCTCATCTCGGCCCTTCTGGACTCCTGATCAACTTCTCATATTTCGCCTCCCAGGATCCGGTAGACCTTTGTTCAAGTATGGATAAAACAACTCTGTGGAGCATTGTTCTTTTCAATATCCTGGTCCGGTTATGAGATAGAAATTTGCTAGGACATGGAGAGAAAAGCCATGTATCCTTGCTTTGATTACTGACGTAAGAGGCGGTAGGTGAGGGTAGGAACGAGCTGAACGGGATAATTGTCTTGTGTGATGAGACTAGACAGATGAGATCTGATATGGTAGTCCTACCAATAGTGTTCTAGATGGAGGGACTTTCGACATCTCCTTGAGAAATCAATGGTCTGACGGTGTCATTTGAGGTGCGAATCATCTATATCAGACGTCGTGTATCCCGTCTGCATGCGAGATAGACATTATGATTGCATATATTATAATATGTGGCGTTTTAATCTGCGAGCTCCGTAAGATCCAGTCATTGGAGGGGTTTTTGTAAGAGGGAACTTTTACAATCATTATTTGGAGATAGCCCCGGAGGCCTTTTAAGGTTGGCGTTTTGGCGTGCGTGAGGAAGTGACGGACGGAGGGGTCGCTTTCCCTGAGTAACCCGACCACTCCTACCCGGTTGACGTCCGTCGCCTTAACTTTATATGAACTAGGAGCGGTAACGTGATGATAACAATCAACATACTTCTTATATCTGGCTGTGCACACCGAGGTACTTATACCGCAACATCACCGAGCAAGAGACTTAGTGCTATCATTCAATTTCTGGTTCAATGTTGATTTCAACACCATTGCCTGTGTAGGTACATATGTATGTAAGTATAGAAACTTACACACGGAGTAACTTGATCTCATCTCACTCCCATCCCCGGCGCACCCTTTGTTAAGGTGGTTGCATATTGGGCGTTGGAGGCGCAAAACGATTTTTGACAACTCCGCCGTACCCGACTAAATTCTCAACCTGGGACCTAATATCTCACGTGCCCTGACAGCAACAAATTTCCGAAGATGGGCGGAATGTCTAGCACAAGCTGCAGATGTAAGACAGTCGTAGCAATCTATAGATTTCTTCAGAATACGTTTCACTCAGCAATTCTTGATCATCCTGAAACCACCGTCATCTAGTGGGTCTCCCCGATATGTTGGAACTAGGTTGCCACATTTTCAATGACAGTTGCCTGAAACTATTGGAAATATGTCGACGCTAACAACTTCGCCGTGTTTGACACAATGGCATGTGGAAGTGGGGGCGGAAAGTGGGCATTGAAGCTCTGAGGCTTCCGTTTTTTTGTCCACTTTGTTCAGCCTCAAGAGTCTGACGGGGGAGGGGAGTGGCGTAAGAGGGATAGTCTGGAGTTTCTGACAGGTCATTTTGGATCAGTTGACTAGCCCGATAATACCGACCTAGGTCTTCTTCGGTCACGGCAATGACAAGCGATCAATTTGGGTCTGGACCCCTTCCGGGATGCTATATAATCATCCACTATCGCTCTTAATGTTTGCACTAGACCAACAGAATTGTCAATGGTGTTTAGGCAATCCTTAGAAACATACCCTGCTTGTTCACTGTTTATAAGACCTCAAGCTTACTACGAAGCATTTTACCACATACCGCATAATGGGCGAACTAATAGGAGCATCTGCGGGATCCGCACCATCCGCTCCAACGATTTTCTCCTTCTCACCTTCATCGGCTAACTTCAACCTCTCCATGCGGGAATATCTGATCACTCACCGGGAATTTAATGGTATAGCAGTTGGCGCCTTCGTCTTCAACCCCGAAGGAAAACTGCTCCTCGTCCAACGAGCGGCGCACGACTCGATGCCGTCGCTATGGGAGATACCAGGAGGAGCATGCGACTACGAAGATGAATCTCTGCTGCATGGTGTAGCGCGCGAGCTGTGGGAAGAAAGCGGTCTACGCGCCAATTTTATCGGTCCCCTCATCGGCGAAGGCAGGGTGTTCTTCGTCAGGGGATCCCGGACCATGTGCAAGTACTCCTTCATGACTGAGGTGGATGGGTATGAAGTGACGTTGGATCCGAATGAGCACCAGGCGTTCTTGTGGGTTACCGAAGAGGAGGCTCGGAGTGGTAGGTGTGGCGATGTCAAATTCAAGTACACGACAAAGGACCAACGGCAAGCGGTTCTTGAGGCTTTCCAGTTCAGAAAGGGAGAAAAGCCTCGAGTATGAGCGGACATGGCGCGTGCGCGTATGAGTGCGATTTTGGTCCTTGTTTGGTAGACTTCTTGATAGATAGAAAGGGGGGACTCGTTATTGGTACATGGGTCTGGCTGTATTGGCGTACATACATAAGCAGAAGAGCATTCCTACCAAAAGTCGGATATGCATCTAGTTATCTGGTTAAATCTGAACATTTCTTGAGTTTGTTGTCTCACAATTGCAGAGGATGGGTGTGATTGTTTCATATAGGACACCACACTCGATATTTTGGTATTGTTGTATGAGTAGACCGTGGTGTTTATTGCATATTCCTCTGTCGCCATCTTCGCCAATATGAATCAAGGTTGTCCGACATAGGTAGTCGCTTACGACGCATCGCCACTAACTTAGCAGTCTGCCGTTACAGAGCTAAGTAGGACATGCATAAGGCAGTCATGTATGCGCCATGTTGTGCTGTTGTTTATAACTCGGACAGGCCAGGAGTAGGAGTAGACAGCATTAGGGATTCCTCGTTGAAGACCAATAATTATATGATGCTCTATCCTCAGCATGACAGAGTTTAACAAGATTACCCGGGTATTTCTACCAAGGAAGTACTCGCTGGCTCTGTCAGTGTAACGCGCTGTACAAAGTTAGCTTGATAAATTCAAATTGTTTAGGGGAGGGAAGAAAAAAGAAAAGTGAATACGTACCGTGCGGCCCAGAACATCTAAGGGCATCACAGCAGAGAAGAGGAAGGATTTCACGCCGCGTCCCCAGAGCTAGGAATTATTAGCACCCGCTGCAGGGCATCCCCCCGAGGACCACGCTGTAAAATCAAACCGTCACCAGCTCTTTACTTGGGCCTATCAGGTCTGATTATAGAAGCTCGATTTCTCGAGGGCTTAACACATACCTACCTCAGGTCGACACAATAAAGTCAGAAGAACTTCAGCGTTGGGCGCACATACCTCTTTTCCTTGTCGAGGCATCCATAAGCACGCATGATATCTGTAAGACGTATGTATGCCTTGCTATATGAAGCGACAGCTGAAGATTGTAGTCTAGACCATCAGTACTTCCGTAGTCTAGACTTATCCCAGTAGGTACGCGATCGAATGGGTATATGAAAGATCGAAAGGCTGCAAGTATGAGGCATATGCTCTCGCCAGCGCACATATTCGTGCATACATTATGTAGAAAACAGGTGAGAATGCAGTGTGATATGGTCGATTCATCGATTTATCTGGGGTTGCTTGAGATTTAAATGTGGGTACTCTTGAAATACTACCAACGTCCCAATATCTAATACAGTTGCACAGAGATCATGTGATTCAAAGTTTCAAGCTTAGGATAATGATGACTAACGATGTGGTCGATATGGGCGATGTGGTGGGGAATATGGTTCGTCTATGATCCCGAATGGGGAAAGAACCTTGGCAATCGGGTGCCAGGAGCAGCAAGTCCAAGCTTTCGGTTCGGTACAGCGGTACAATCCTCAAATCAGACCACTCGCAAATCCCTCTTTCCTAAACCTCCAATTTACAATCACAGAACGTCACCGTCCACCCACCTTCCACCAACACCCGCCGAACGATCCAACTCTCCACTCCTAAAATCGCCCACGCCATGTTCCTGCAACGTACCGCAGTGGCCGCCGCCCGTCGGGCTGCCGTGTCTCCCGCAGTTCGACGGACTTTCGCCGTCTCAGCTATTCGCCGTAAGGAATACCGATCCCATCTTATAGCCGAAAGCGCATCGTACGACACACCGATCATGATGAACGAAGCTGATATTTTGCACCTTTAGGCGATGCGAAGAATGTCGAGGCTTCTCCTAGCACTACCAAAAAAATGAAGACCTTCAGCGGTACGCTCTAATTGGGTTCAATTGAGTTTTATATGAGCCATATGGCGTGGTGGACAAACTTTATTGACATCGGGCATCACGATATATAGAAATCAGAACCGAGGAAGACCTTCTCGGACCCGGTGCCGCGCCTGGTACCGTCCCGACCGATCTCGAGCAATCGACAGGTCTCGAGCGATTGGAAATTCTCGGCAAGATAGAGGGAGTGGATGTCTTCGACATGCGACCCCTCGACGCTTCGCGGAAAGGTGCGGTGTTAGCCTTATCAGTTATAGAAGGCGAGTTGGGCTGATGGCATATATTAGGAACTCTCGACAACCCAATCCTGGTCAGGTCCGCTGGTGATGAGCAGTACGCCGGTTGCACCGGCTACCCTGCCGACTCTCACGTCGTCACCTGGCTCGGCGTATGTTTTTCCCCTTCTCCTTTCACAGCCTTGTTCCAAATGCGGAATTCACCCATTGCGCAGGCGCAAACTTAGCCGAGCGAGGCTTGACTGACGATATACATATATAGATGTCCCGCGAGCGACCGATGGAGCGATGCCCCGAGTGCGGCAGTGTCTACAAGATGGAATACGTTGGACCTCAAGATGACGGACACGGCCACCACCACGACCACCACGGTTATGAGGAGCCTAAGACCTTCGCCAACTACGTCAAGCCGGAGTACTGGTAAATGCGCCTAGATATTTATTCCCAAAAATCCAAAGTTGGGCGGGGATACAGTGAGGCTGCGTAGAGGATGGCAAGAGGTGTAAACTTGTATATCGCTGAAGGCTGCCTAGGTGTATAGAATTCGATGGAACTTGCAGCAGCTGCACGTGTTGTCTAGCCGTCCCTCTCCTATTTACCTTGCTGATGGCTGGTACAACGTGGTTGATTATATTAATTGGCTTCTTCCCTGTAGGCTGTGGCCTTTCTACCGAATGACGCCAAGTATAGAAACCCACCCGTCCACACCTACTTCCTCGGTTATGCTTGCTCGCCTCCTATATATACATAAATATACCTAGGTATATATCGAGAAGAGATTAATCATAGCCAGTTCAGTACATGGAGGGTGGAGAATATGATATTCGATATTTTCTAATAGATTTTTCAAGGTTACATAATGTAGATTGAATACCGAGAACTGAAAATTTGGCGAATACATGTAGCCATCTTATTCGCGGGACCTCGGATAGCGGAATAGTCCTAAGACGAACTAACAGGGATGGTGATATAATCCTACCTAATTAGGTAGGACGCCTATGTAGTGCTCTCTGCTTGAGGGTAATGTATGTCGACTGCGGATGGGAATATGGAATGTACACGTAAAGGAGAAGCTACTAGGTAGGCATATATAGTACATATATGTAGGCTATTAGAAATAATCATAATAATTGTGATATCCTTGGGAGCTTGCCAAGTCTGATAGATTAGATCGGATACGGGAGTACGGAGTATGACGATGAATGGATGAATGATAGTGCCAACTATGGGATTCGTGAGACCGGAGCTCTCTATTTATATCATTCCATGTTACTTCCAACGCGTCCTCCAAAATCCTACCTGCAAATCAAAAGATGCATAGGTACTGTATATGTTTATGCGTGTATATATGCGTATACGTATGCGATTTAATTATGTCTGCCTCCCTCGTGCGCAGTGGCTTTGAAGTCTAAGCCGTAAGGGGGCAAGATAGAAAGGGAGTAGCTAATACTGAAAACTTGAGCGTAAAGGATTAAGAAGAAGGTGGGATGGCAAAATGGCAACGAGGCCGCCAACTGAACTGTGGGATAGCCATTGTAATTTTAACATTTAACCAAACCGAACCAAACCGACTACTCAACTCATACTTGATAAAGTACTATAGGGAGTAAGTAGGTAATATTTAGGGACTATGTATTTAGAGAACATTAAATATTTAGATAGCCCTGGAGGATGTACCGGCTACATATCGTCCTAGTATAGGACACCCCTTAAAAAGGTTGGATGCATAAATGCGCCCGTGTGTATTAATATTGGATCATCTCCAGCTATTAAACGTGATAAGAAAAAAGGCGACCAAGGCGATTAAGGCGACCACTCAACCCCCTTGCCCGAAATCTCCGTAAAAGACGAGCGCCTCCTGTCCTACCTCACCTGCCAATTGCGCGCCTCATTGTCTATTCCCATGAGACGTATGGAGAACTTACGTACTCCGTGCCAACGGGATTACACGTACTTTGTGCGCGAATACGCTAATAAGCTAATAAGCTACCAGTAATAAGCAGGTCAATTCGATAATACAGCCGGTACAGCGTACTTCTCAGGTTAGTGCTCACCCTCCACCCCCTCAAGAATCATGCATATAGTCAGTTCGGGTCTGACTATTCTCCAATTTGACACGACCAACATCAGTGTTCGAATGGATGACATGATATGACGGTACGAGGCTTCCCTGCCCTGGCAGAACTAGTAAGGCCAGTAAGGCTTCCCTTTATTAACTTTAGTCATGGTATTGTAAGTTTTTTCTCCGATGTTTTCCTCGTTCCGTGAGCAGGCTTTTGAGGGTCAGTATTGCATTTCTCAAGAATGCGTAGTAAGGACATATGTACGAACGGTGTCATGTAACATGTAGCTCGTATACTATTCCTTCGATGACGAGTGGGTACAGGTCGTCGAGAATCGACGTATGATAGGTACCTGCATATCATGTACTCGATGGAGTACACCTTGGCATCTGCGGGCAACGCGTGGGTGCGTGGGTGCGTGGGTAGGTTGTTTGTTTAATGTTTCCTAGGTACCAGCTATTGCATGGATGCACACAGCACTCAGCACAGAGTACACACATTAAATCCATAACACATAACACATAGCACATACAGAGCTACCGTACACCCGTGGCCCGAGTCTAATAATGCATGGGTGACCTCTACCTAAAACGTTAGAGAAATAGTGTCATACCGCGCCAATAATAAGTCGTAGTATTGGTATTGATTCGTTGCCCGCCTATCGCTTTTTTTGCCCATCTTTCCCCTTGCCTATCGATGATGTATGTACCTCTTGGAAAAAGAAAAAGAAATGAAAATCTAATACTAATACCTATATACAAAAAAGGAACATGGGATGAGAGAGATGATGACGACATCCCTGCACTCCTATTAAGAAAAAGGGTTGTTATACCATATATTATTTTGGTAAGTATGGGCGAAGTAAGTACCTTTAGGATAAATGTTTCGTTACCCAGATAATGACATATGATAATATGTGGGATGCCCGGGCTGGATAGGATACTGCGTAGACCCATGGAAACTGTTCAATGCTCAACGTTTGATTTTAAGCATATCCGTCATATTTATTAGCATGTGGCTAGGTACGGTTAGGTAAGTGTATAGGTCATCAATAAAAAATCAGGATGGAACCTTGGTGCTAGGGAGGTATACGTATTCTCAGCTGTACTTATAGCAAGGTAGATATACATTATAGGGACTAGTATTAAAGTGTAGGCTGGTAGGTGGTAGCTGCCAACCAACCTGGAACCTACCAGGAACCTACCATTTACTTACCACTTTACCTACCAACATGAACATATTAGGGGATACCCAAAACATACCAAGATACATCCGCCTGACCTGATTGAAAAAAAGTTTATATGGAACATTTGAAATGTAAACCTACTTACTTCGTACTCTACCTAGTAAATCATATTCCTATTCCAGTTCCTAAACCTTTTCTGCATCTACGCACCCTTTTTGACCTCTTGATGCTATTTACCAGTCATTCCTCGAGTCATTTGCCTGCGCACGTCCACAATCACCTACACGCGTGATTCTTCACTATTCGCTATTTGATAGATAATAGCCAGACATGACCTTGGAACCCAGTCTAAACAAGATCTGGCCGGCTATTATTCTATGCCATCGACGCTAGTAGATAGTCACCCATGTCTCCCTGCCTTCCATGTCTTCCATATTTCCCGTATGATTGCGCACTCTACTTAGCCCAAAGGGACCTATAACTCGACAAATTTGCTACATGAGAATTCGAACTCGTCACTTTTTCTTCTTCTCTTCTAGCTACACCCATACACCCTGCCAAGACCCATCGAAGGCCCCCATCAACATACCCCGGCGCGTTTCTCCAACGCGCCATCACCTACAAGCATTACAGGCATTACAAGCATCTGAACTGCCATCGTCGTCATCAATAAAAAAGAACACGCTACTCCCAACAAGGGCGCAAAACGCAATAAGCCTCCTAAAACAGAAACATCTCGGGTAGGGGGTAGAATAAAGCCTTTTTTTCGAAGCTGGGCATCATCAGCATCGTCGCCACCGGACAGATAGTTTTTCGTACCTGGGCTGATTCCATACGACGACCGTCGAATAACCCGTACGTCAACGAGTGTTTTTTTTATCTTATTTTTATTCCTTACCGGGACCCTGTAAATGGGAGCCGCATCGACAGGCCTGGTCGAAACGGGGAACCAAACTTGGAGAGATCGACCGCATCTGATTCCGACTATTGGACTGGATCGGGCCAACTAAGACTATTCGATTCGCCTGACATACGAATACACGAATACCTAATTAAACACTCACCCTTTTTCTCGGTACCGGCAAGCCGATTTTCGACGATAGGGATTGCCCGCCATCACCACCTAATCGACTATTACTGTCACTATTCTACGCTGATTAGTATCTACCGACTTACTAACCTTAAAGGTAAGGTGGAATATCATACCTACGCTTTATTCTGTCCCTTGGCTTTGCGACTATACTCCTCCGTCTTATACTACCTTTTCTCACTCTTCCAACCACGACCCGCGTACCACGTATCCCCAGATATCTTATACGCATTTACCTATTGCATGCGTCCAAATATAGTAAGTACGCTTACACAGGGACACTAGCTGTGTTTTGCTTTCCCCGTATTCCCAAGGGGTTTCCAGATCACGCATTTTCGTCGACTTTTCGTTTCCCCTTTTTTGTTGTTGCCCGTTGCTGCCGATCCTTTTCGAGTACACACATGTCTGAACCTTCCAACAAGTTGTTCCAAGTTGCAGCCCTGGAGGTGCTTCCAACATCCCGAATCCGAGGAAGAGGCACTTTTTGGCGATCCTATTAGTCACTTGGAGGCTGGTCATCAATAATTTCCTAACCCAGTGCTCCATCTTACTGAGTCTTCTATAGGCAAGTGTTTTATTATATCTCATCGAACACGTATATCAGTCACATTTACTTCGTACCTCCTGCACATCAGTTTTATCTGGTGTCTCGATCCGGCTACCCGCCCCTTTTCTCTTTCTGTTCCTATTTCCATCTCTCTTATTTTCTGATTTTCTTATGGGTTGCAACTATTATCATCGTCACTGTCGTATACTAGGTACTTGCATATCTAAGATATCTACCTAGCTGCCTTCTACTATTTGCATGAATTCCCCTTTTTTAATCTAGTGCTTGCCCAATGCGCCTCCTATTTATTCGTTCACCACTTTTTTCCTATACGAACTAGTCACTAGTTTGGGTGGCAGTAGCCGGCAGTCATCTCAAAGCACACCAAGCACTTGCCCAGCTAACCAATATTAATTGCCTTTTTCGTACAATTTATAATTTACTACCTGCACTTCAACACCACAACCGCAACACCGCAACACAGTCCCTGCACTTAGCAGCAACGATGATATGCCTACATAGTGCAAATATTGCACATTACTTGACCGGTCTCATCTGATCTTTCTATTACTCTTTCTATTTCTATTCTCAATCTCGAATCCACCTCTATACTTATCACGACTTTCTTCTTCGCTCTGTCTAATAACGACTTTCTCATTAGTAGAAGCAGCCAACCTAAGACATCCATCCGTCTGTTCTCGCCGGTCCATGAGTCGACTAATCCCGTCACCGACCCTTTTTATTCATTCAAGTCTAAACAAATTCACCTTATCCTAGACTGGTAAGTATAATTACATATTTGCTTAATGCACTCGTACCTACTACTTACTTCCCTTCCATATATCATCATAATATGACCCGCATCCCCACATCGACTATACCGTTCTCTATTATAGATGCTTCGTCTTGCCTTACTTCGTCATCTCACTTTTCTCACCCGTTCACTTCCCTCTCTCCCTTTCCTTGCTATTTCCATACTTCCCTTACTCTTTTCGTCCTTGATTTTATCCTCTCCAAGTGATACGTCTCATATGCACCAAGCCTTCCAACGCACACTATCAGCTATCCGGCCTACCTCTGTCCGTGCACCAGCTCGCAGTTGCCGCGTATGCCCTATTGCTGTTATTTACACCTTATCTCATATACAAGCTTTCAAGTTCATTGATAGATAACTGAGGCTTTACTAGTGATATCACTAACACATAGAAAAGGCTAAGTTGGTGATTGGGCGGACGCGCGTTGAACTGGCGTCATGTCCGCCAAGAAGGAGCCGTCCGGCCGACAAGACTTGGATGAGATGGAGAGAAGTTACTGGGAAACGACGAAGTATAATAGAGAACGAGAAGACGCATTGCGCAATCGCGACTACGCCGTTCATCAAGACAACCTAAGGACTAGTCTCGTCCAGCTGTACGATACACGGACACGTCTTCAACACGAGCTCCTTATTCTGACGGATAAGATCCAACAACACGAAAAGCAACAGGAGCAACTGGCGCACGAGTTTGAGGAAAGCGAGCTGCATCTTAAGGAGAAGCGGCAAAAGGATGACCGAGCGCAAGAAGAGTGGTTTTTACGCGCACGCGAGGATGTCGCATCTAAAGAAAATGCGAGGCCGAAAAGCAGCGGCGGAAACCGCCGGCAATCTAACCGTGATGTGCCATCGCAGACGAACGGTGCAGGGTGGACAAGTATTAACGGTACGCGACGGCGTGGTCGGCGAGAGGAGGAGGAAGAACCCCCCGCGGACCCGGGCAACCTGCTCAGCAGCATATACCACAACCCTGTAGACGAAGGAGAGTCCATGAATGGTAGGGTTATGCCTTTGCGAAACGGTGGTGGTAACCGTGTCCGACCCGGTCCTATTTCCAATGGTGTGCCTTCAAACGGCGTGCCCAATGATGTGGATGTGAACGCTGCAGAGGGTTACCCAACGGGTCGTACCAAAGACAGGCCTCTCAAACCTAAGCAGCGACATAGCTTACCGAGTTTCCCGGCGGCCGCCCGTTCGCCCAACGGGAAACCACGTAGGTTTCCCTTTCTATATGCTGTTTTTGCTGTTAGGCTAATTATGCTTCTCTAGCTGGATCGGAATCGTCTGGCGAGACTAAGGCTAAGTCGCCTTCTGGTCGAAAATCCTTACCCAGTGCCAAGGGCTCCCTACCTCCAGCGGATCGCTCGACGCCAGCAGCCACCGATGCTCGAGAAATCACACGTGAGAGGTTAGCCATCAAGGATGATGGCAAAGTTGTAACCGAACCACCGATGTTTGCCGGGATCCCTCTCGAGCGGATTGACATGAACCACCCCTACTGGGACCCCGAGTGGGAATCGTTGGATGGGATTATCCAGCCCCAGTTAGACAAGTGGAAGGAGAAGCTAGAGCAGCTCAAGCAAACGCCAGATGCTATACGTCACACCATTTTTCTCGCCAATCGCCAGGTCAATAGAGGCCAGGCCGTCGTCGACTTCCTCAGAAACGAACAATGGCATCCGTACCAGTTTGTGGGCAAGGAAATGATGAATAAGTTTTACAAGACCTTCATCAACTACGACACCATGTTCCGATTAGTTAACGTACATGAGGAGCTAAAGAAGTTCGATCTTGACATGACACCCCTTGAATGGCTTCGTCAGCGCATGTGCGACATCTCTGAGGCCCAAGGGGATAAATTTAACCTCTCGAGGACCACCCACGACTTGTATCACGACGCCAACTTGAAACTTCTCCGAGAAAAGCATGGCTTTGGTAATATAGGAAGACCTTCCGGATATAAGCTGAATGAGAAGAATCCGGAAAAGGCAGCGGCTAGGAAGATGAAGCAGGAATCGGGTTCGGTTCGACGTAAAGGTCGGCGATCAATCGGCCAAGTTGATCCTGACGATGCGCCAAATGTGGAAGACGTGCAGAAGACGGGGCTCGACCAGCCGCAAGCCGAATACTTGGAGCCTGTGACACCACGTATGCAGAAGCGACAGCGTATAGAGCCCGCATCCGCACCCGCGCCCGCGCCTGCGCCTGCGCCTGTACCCGCACCCCCTAAGCAGGAACCCGAAGAGGACGACCTTGATTACAGCGGCTGGACGTCGACTGACTCTTTCTCCGCCGGGCGAATAATGCACCTCGACTGGAGAGTGTATCAAATCAAGACTCGAGCGCTGACTACCAGCACGGAAGTGACACAATACTGGACTTGGAAACAGGACAAGGGCATATTCGAGCACCAAGTGTTAAGAGACGTACATCCCAAGGTTACCTGGGGCTTCTACCAGAAACCGATCAATTTCGACTTGTCGCTAGAGGAGATAAAGGAAATTCAGTATGGATCGGACACCCAGAAGATTTTGGTAGATATCAAGGACGAGAAGCGTGGTAATGTTCTTGCCTACTTCAAGCGGGAGCGTACCAAGAAGCGGTTCCTCGCCTTCGCGAAGAAGAAGGGTATTAAGCTCGTGAAGAGTACCCGGTAGGCAGTTTTTTTTATCGAAACAACCTGGAAGAACTATGGCTAACAGGTCACATACAGTTTCCAGATTGAGGAGTTATGGGACACTATGGAGTCCAAGACACTCCCCAACGAAGATTCGGACACGTGAACTCGTACCTTCGATATCACCACGTTTATTCTCGACTTAGCTTTTTCTATATTTAGACTTGAGATTACGACACCCCGCGGACGTCGAGGGTCTCCGTTTATCGTGGGGGGATTTAATAAAAGGAGTGCCGCAAGGAACCAGGAGGCTTTTCACATCACGCATTTTTACTTTCTATGGACGCGGACACGGATGAATTGGTAGGGGCGGGAAAATCGGCCGGACCAAGGGAAGGACAAAAGGATGATTGGGTGGGACATTGATACGGCCCTGGCTAATAAGATGAGAGGACTGCGAAAGATCAAGAAGAGAGTGAGAGCGAAGGAAGCATTGGGTGGCAACACCGGTTTCTTATGCTGCCCCCTGTATTTGCGCGGAGGATGGGTTTTCGGCCTCACCCACCCCGTCGCGTGTGTCTATTAATTCATTCTCTGGCGAAAGAGATTGTACACTACAAACCTTACATCTACTGCATAGAAAGGGAGGCATGGCGAAAAGGCGTAGGCGAATGCATTTGCGTTGGTTTTTCTTTTTCTTTTTGACAAAAATTGTTGCTTTACACGGACATGGACTTGAATGCCTGAGCTGGCTCAATTTATCATAGGTAGCAGGGGGATTAGTACTATTGTGATCAAATAATTGCCGGTACCTACCTACGTTCTCAATTATTCTTCCACAGGTGGAGGAATGAGTTGTGAGAAAGAGACGCGATGTCGAGCACAACCAAACCGTGCATAAGGTGAGGACGAGAAGGGAAACCCCACACGGGTTACCGACGTTCTGGCAATCGGCATGTGGCAACCCCTGTGAAATCTGTGATGCGTAGGCATTTCATACAGTAGCGGCAGATCCGTAAGGCGTAGGATATGTATGCCAAAGCGTGGTCGTTCGGCCCCCAAATGCACTGTCGCTCCCCTCCCCAGTCAAAAGCGGCACGTCATGCTACTCACCAATTCGATTTCTTGATTTTTCTCTGCCGGTATGTTTGTTTTTCTGGGTTCCATCCTGGCTTGCAGCTCTTCGTTTCTGGGCGTCCTCCTAGACCCCGGCCTGCCCGGCTCGATCCGATGGCAAGCCAAGACGGCAGGAAGCGGGCTTCATGCAGGACTAAGGTGTACCTTGTCAAGTAGCTCAACCCACTTTCAAAGCGAAGAGGCACACATAAACTTAACCTACGAATAATAAGCAAAATCTATCACGAAAGACGAGTTCATATGGTGCCAGAAGAAGATCGACGAAACTGCTTTCAGCATTTCTCTCCTACTTTGCGTAGGGTCGTATCTTTACGGATAGTATATATATCTAGGTATGCTTCCTAGCCATTTTGACTACAACGATATCCCAACCCCGACTTTGCCAACCAGCGAAAGGCTTGTTCGTCCATGGTGGTTATGTGTAGGTTCTTGACGTCGTCTTCTTGTCGAAGACGGGGGTCCAAACTCCAGAAGACCCCGATTTCCTTCGCAGCACGTAGTAGCTGCTCTTCGAAGTTCGGGGGGTGGAGCTTCTGGAATTTGGCCCCCGTCTTCCCGGAGGCGCGGACGAAAGCATCCAAGTTGCCATTCATGGCCATCCATACAAACGCCATCGTGAAGGAGACCCAATGTTTGGTCTTCTTGGTTGTTGTAATGGCAGGGGGTCGGCGAAATTCAATGGAGCCCGACTTTCCTTCCTTGGACGGTTGGAAGTTCCAAGCAAAGTACTTGGACAGGCTTATAAAGTTTACAACTTCATCTCTAGACATGTTGTCTAGTTACTCGAACAAGGCCTTTAGCCCCTTGTATGGCCCCTCGGATTTCATATGGGTGTGTAGCTCCGGGGCTAAGAGGTTTGATTGGCAAAACTGAGTTGCCCTATCTTGCCTTGACAAGGGAGCGCACCTTGTCGTAGCTGTCTCCTTAACCGCTACGGCTTTTGCGACATTTTTTCAACTGGCCAATTGTGTAATGGCCTTCACGGAATGATATGTGTATATGAGTTCCGCATGTTGTATCTTTTCGAAACTCAAAATGTCGGTGTAAGGTGTTCCAGAGCAAATCAATCTTTGTCGTCCACCCCTCGTCGGCTATGAGCGCCGGGGTCGCAATTTCGACGGGATCTTAACTATTAATTCTAGCATCAAACGGATCGCTCCTCCAAACCAAGGATGCTTATTAGGACGTAGGGACTGAGCCCTATGCCTGGTGATCCCACCAGCCAATTGAGCCCAACCACCAAAAGACGAGAACCTACAAGTCGGACAACTTGCGATCTATTGCAGGTGATATGGCCAGTCCGTCACAGTGCTTTCGTTTAACATCGCTTTTTCCAATGCCTCCAAAGCTACCGAATACCCAATCGCTGTTAATCTGAGCCGATCAACCAGTGTTTCATAGAGATCAGAATTGAGTGTGGATATTATATCTAGTGGTCTCCTCATCGCATGCAGTGCTCATGGGTCGACGTCGCCGATGAATCGAAATGTGAGACCCTTGACCTTCTCGTCGCCCATCTGGATTTCGCACCGAACCACATCGTACTTGTCGGTCTCGTATAATTGGAGGCAATCCTCTTGCTCATGGTTATGTACAAGGAATGCATGACCCTGCACTTCTGCTCTGTCATCGAAAGCATCGACCAACGCTTTGTATTTGCCACCCCAAGTCTTTAGAACACCATGGGTCACGCTCGCCGGGCGGTAGCAGGGCTCGCAGCCCACGAGACGCTTTATGACTGTTGGGTCCGCCAATGTCCCGTAGAAGAAGTACCAGACAGGATATTGGTTCGGTGCCGGGCTTAGTTTTGGGTCGTCCATAGATACGGGGCGATGCTGCGGCATGGTGGTGTCAATGCCGAGGCTGGGGTACGCTGACACCGCGGACAGATCCTTCTCCGCCTTCGAATATCGGATGAAGGTAGGTTGAAATCGGGAACCTTGGCGAGAGAGATAGTCGAGAATCTTTTCTTTGTCTTCCGCGTTTATTTTGCAGAAAGCTGTAGACTCTCCCGAGTCATCTGTGCCGCTGAGCTTTGTTGGGCTTTCCTTAAGCTCGGCTGCAGATTTCACTTGTGCCACATGGCTAAGTGGCCCCTCGAGTTTGAGCAGATAAATAGAAGGCTTAGTAGCTTTGGTTGAAACTTTTTGGGACGCCGACGGGTTGATGCGGGTTGTCAGACTGCAAGAGTGCTCGTAAGCCTCCTTGTCGTATCCTTGTGCTTCCTTCTCCGCGCGCACAATCTCCCAGTGGGACTCCGTGACTAGGACACGAGATAGGTCCGACCTGTGCTCTTGGATTTTCTGTGCTGCTTGGGAGTAGGTGTACCCAAACAGTGATTGCCATCTTTCGATGTCATCGGTATCAGGCTCATCGGATTCGTATGGTTGTTGGATAGCCACTTGGGCCATTGACTCAAGCTCGTCAAGAAAGTCCATTGTAATGACTGCCTTAGTTATTTATAAGTAGATATGTGTATGCGTATCTGTGTATGTGTTTACGGTGTAGGTAGGTGAATAACTTAAAGAGTTAATTTGTGATGTCAAGTATTATTGAAACGTTTGTAGTGTTGTTTTGATAATGATTTCGAGCGAGGAAGTGGTTGCGAGTTTTCTGGGCGCCCTGGCTCTTTATATAATTTCGAGTCCAGCTTTCGGTGATGCCTTCCGGATGGAATTAAGTTTGGCTTAAATTTACTCACATCTTGAAGGTTACCGCCACCAAGTTGGACAACTGGTGAATTGACTTTACGCCACGATGCCTCCTTCCAATATAAGAGAAAGCATAGTCGGTCGGATAAGATTGAGAACCATAAATGTTTATTTGGGAGAGAATTGCCCACGTAGGTAGTTGCTGCGGCTTTTCCAAGTAGAAGAATGTAGTGTGTAGATTCCTTGCTTTTATGACCTTGTTTGAAATGTCGTACCTACCTAATAAACAGAGCCATTGGCTAGGAATTATATATCCTACCTATGAAGAGGTCGACTCAATTATGGGTATGAGATATCAATAGAGCCGGTACTTATCTGTTATATTGTACCTCAATCGTGTAGCCTATATCTGATGAGATTGTTGAACGACAAGCATCAAGACCTAATTCTAAACAACAAGAAAGAATTACTTGACCGTCAATTTGGTGCTCTCCCAATTAAGAATGATGCGCTCTTTGCAAGACCAAGCATCCTTTCTTTAGACCACGCGGTGCTTATTAGAAAAAACATAATAAATAAAGAGATACCTAGAGACTAACTCAGCCAAGTTCGCGATTCAGGCCGACTATATGAGATTTAATCGCCTATCTTCGGAAGCCCGTGAGAATGCGCTCGGTAATCCAATATGTGTTGATATTGGCATTTATCACAAGTAACAAGGAGAAAGCGAGCAAGCCTGTAGATAGACGTGAGGGTTGGTTTGAAGGGGTGAGGCTTCTGAGACATCCATATATTCACCTACATAACAGTAATGTCAATGTCAATGTGAGAGGTGATGTTAAGATCTCGGAGAAAAGATTAGAGGGGATAAAGATGTTGTATTTCTTTGAAAGCTTTAGACCTTCCTGCCATGTATACTCCATCTCTCGGTACACTCCGGAAATACATCCGAAGTTATTCCGGGCCCATTAAAATTCAACACCCGTTATCGATTCGCAACTTTGCTATCGATTCACTCGGGAATACTTTCACCAAGAAATTGCGATATCGACTCCCCTCGAAACGGCGGCTCCAATTCGACCCAAGGTCAGAAGTCATAACATTCTACCGCCGAAGGAATAGAATTGACTCTGCCCCGCGCTCCATGTGAGCAAGCAGCCGACAAGATGCTGTACGAATTGATTGGAATTGTTAGTCTTGGTTTTCTCAATTACTGCTCTCTGACTATATGAATGAGAAGGAATTTCTACTAACAAGCCATAGGTCCGACCCGGCAATCTTGCTGAGGTGAAAGAGTATGTTTCTACCCTACCTATATCGAATACTGCCACCGGTCCCATTCTACTCTGTTCGAGTCCGAATACCTACCCACCCACCTACCTACCTACTCAACAATCGCACCCTTCCTACTCGAAGTAAAAAAAGAGCACTATACTAAACTGCCCAAAAACAGAATCGTCCTAACAGCAGGCCAGCTGATCCTCCAGCAAAAGGGCGTGATCCGCGGGATAGCGAACTGGGGCGTCTTCCTGCTGCCGAAGCCGACGAGCGTGCACCAGATGCGCCACCACCAGGGCCACTACTTCGCCATGCGCTTCGACGGCTCCGTCGCCACCCAGGACGCCGTCCGCAACATGCTCGCCCTCGACCCCCGCATGATCCGCCACTCCTCCGTCAAGCTCGGCGACGGCAAGCTCGAGACCATGAGCCGCTTCGGCAAGCCCAGATGGTTGACTACGAACTAAGTAAGGTGTTTACCTATTTATGAACGACTTGGTTTATGCGGGTTAAGTGGTGATTGGGCGGGGGGAGGGGGGGGAAGGATTTGAGGAATCTGGTTGGTTGGTTGGTGGGGCTGGGAGACGAAAGGCAATGTCTGGCATGGCTTTCCAGTCCGGCTGCTGTTCCTGCAAGAGGGATATGCGTAAGTGCCAATGCTCTTACTATAGGAGTATAATAGAAGTGGGGAGAAGACATCTTCCCTCAACCCTCAAAGAAGAGCTACTACGATGACACGAGCTGGGAGAAAGGGAAGAAAAGTCAAATCAAATCAGACAGCATAGACCGCCCATCTGACTGCTGATCTGCTGTACATTTACGACGCCATAGGAGGACGTACATACGCAGAGAACATAAAAAAAACAAAAAAAAACATCGACGTACAAACTTAATACTTCATTTCTGTAATGTACAGAAACTCCTCTAAGTCCAAGTTCTAGCTTACCCCTTTAACCCCTACCGAGGCACTCACCTGTCAAATCTATGCCAATGGCAAGGAGTCTACACATGCACGTCTAGATATCATCTGGAATCGCTTAAGAATAAATCTCTCGTTCGCGTAGCTACGTAGCTCTTTTCCGCGTCGTCATTCCGTGTAGACGCGAGTGCGTCTGCTAATGATCTCGTCATAACGATAGCACAACTCCTAATCCCATGCGCATTGCCATCTGCCCACCTCTGCGTTGCGCCGAACAGTGCTTCCTGGACTATCCGTTCAAGCAGGCAATACTCACGTGCTCATCCCCCATCTGACTTGCCCCTATCTCTAAGGCATATTCTGCGGATGAACCACGGCCGACCTAGATAATAATAGCAGCGTAAGCGCGGCCTGCTAAGCATCGACGTCCATTTCCGACTTTTGTCGGTACCATGCGACGAACTGGTCGATGACTCCGGGCCACGCACCGTCCTCGCTCCAGAAGCTTAGCGTCTCGTCTTGGATGCTCTTCATCGCGAACTCGAACGTCTGGTTCCACATGTCGCGACTAACGGAACGTGTCCATTTCTCGCGCAAGAACGCGATCCACTCACCCAACCAGTCGACGCCCGCAATGCTTCCGACCCAGACCTGGCCCGGTTTCTTGAATAGCATTTCCCAGTATACGATAGAGTTGTCCAGGGAAAGCGCACGTTGATCGCCTTCTTTGCCGACGACAAATGCGTATCGATAGACTTTTCGGAAGAGGTCGCGGTCGGTTGATAGAGAGCTTACTAAACGCTTGAAGTACTGCTTCTGCGCCTCCAGCTTTGTATCAACCCTAATGCCAGTCAATTTTATTACCAGGCAGCGAAGATGCCTGAGATGAAAAAATAGGATATAAAACTTACATCCCCTGAGCACTCCACCCCTTGATGAAACCATCTCGTGTGATCTCTCCTATGGTAGGGGCTTGCACTAGTTCCATGGCTAGAAATAGCGAAGCGCCCTCAAGATCAACACCGATCGAATTCAAATATTGCATAGATGAATCTGCGCCCAACACATCTTTCTGATCTTCCGCATCGTCTGTCTCACTTGTCAGCGAGCCAGGCATAAGTAGACAATAAGGGATAAACCGACGCACTTCTGAGGCTATCGAATAGCTTCCCTAATTGTGCTTCTTTATTCGCAGCTGAAGTACCAGCAGCGTTGGATTGAAAGTACCTGCAAAGCTTGGAGTTAGTGACATTACATGACCCAACATCGCCAGACACCAGAGATTGCTTCACATAATATATGTGGTTAAGGAGATAGACTGAAATAGAAATATAAGGTAAGACAGCATAAGTTCGACTTGATCTAAGTATCCAAGTTATGCCTGGGAGTGCGGGTATCTAATTAACCAAGCTTTCTTCTGGCTACTGGAAGGGGAGTAGACATCAAGCCACCTTGCTATAGCGTGTATCATCATATCCGCCCCATCCGACCGGGTAACAAGTCGCGAGTCGATTCGTGCTAGTTTTCTTCCTGTATCCCGGTGACTAGATCTTGCTGACGCCCTATAAGGAGTGCATCTAAAGCTCCAACCCCCATCCCAGATATCAGGATATCTAGACCCCATTGCACATATATAAAAGGGATATAAGAGTAGAGGAAATCCACTTACGCATCGACGGCTTCGTTCAGTTTGTATGACGAATTCTTGAGATACTGTAGCAAACAATCCGTTAGCACGAGACGATATCGCGGACCAATGCCGACTCGGACAATAGGAACGGGCAGGATATTATACCCTCATAGCAACTTTATCCGCAGCTCCCGTTATGGACACGAAGCTAGCCACTGCCGCTTTCTGGGCGGTAGATAGCGGGGGCATCGTGACGCCTTGTAACACCGAGCTAATTCGTGACCTTAATTTTTTTAAATCAAGGACGGTGAGGGGATAACGTCGTCGGCCGGTCCTAAGGTCCTAATACCATCAAGACTCTTAAGACTCGGACTTGGCTTTCCCGGAAGCTGATCTCAGTTCTAGAAACCGGTCGGTGGTTCGTCTTGCGTAGACATGCGATCGGTACGATTTCTTTCCGTTCTCTTGCCTTGTGCTTCGTGCTTCGTGCCTCGTAACGAAATGGCTTCGGCGGTTCGAATATGCTCGAATATGAAGGAGGGGTCGTGACGCAGTGAGGGGCTATCGAATTGTTGTCGTTCGGAAATAAGGTGGTGGGTACCTTGACGAAGGGGAGCAATATGTGAGAATTGTCTTCGCTTTCTAAGTAGTCGGTTGTTTGCTTTATTTTGGCCGCATAAGATAGACTCGAGTAAAGTGAATGCAGTGTAAGCAAGAGTTGAAAGAAGTAGAAATTCCCACGAGGTTGCTGGAATTGGAGTCGGTCTTCGTCGTGCAAGTCGTAGTGGGGTCGCTTCCTGTTACGTACCAACTCGTTTGTTTGAGATGGAAGGTGGAAGGTGGAAGGCGTAGGGCGTTTTGGGCGTCACCTTGGCAGCTGTTTCTCGCTACCTAAATAGGTACCTCGCACGCACCTAATTACCTAATTCGACCTATGGGTCACTACCTACCTAAAGGTAGGTGCTATAGGTGCTAATTGCAAGATATTCGGATATTCTCATAGGTACTAGGTAGTCGTACTCATATTCCATATGAACAAAATTAGTCGCTATTTGCCCTCATAAACTAACAATTTGTCATTGAGTGGGCAATGAGGCTTGGAGAACATTTTCTATCCCCGTCCCCTCCTTTCACTTTGACCAAATCTCCTAATGATGCCTGTCTAAGCTAGGCATCATACTAACATACATGGGAATGATTAATACTATGCAACTGAAAAGGGAAAGAAGGGTATCGTGATAACTGCGTGTCCTTCCTCAGCATGTGCTCGTCCCCTCAAGAATACAGGGATGTAAAAGAAGCAGAAGGAAGAAAAAAAAAGTACAATGGGTACGCAACCTCTCATGCATTCTACAGTCCTCCCAAGGTCATGCAGTTTAATGTTGCGCTGTCAGAATGTTTCATCCCCCTTTGGACGTAATCATTCTGTCTCAATCTCTACCCACCCTCCCAATTCCTCCGTCTCCACGTCTCGCATGCACAATCTAGCAGGTTTCCTAGCCCTGGCCGGATTCATACCTCGTTGAGAACTCTAGTCGCCAAGCGGCATGCCTTCAAGCTCGTCTAATAGTCGGCGCCAGTTGTCCGCCAACATTTCCGAGTATTTGACACGCTCTTGTGCCCAGTCCTGGTTCCACCGGCTAACATGGAACTGCGTCTGCTGGAAGTAAACGAGTTCGTCGCGAAGGCATTCCTTAACAAATATAGAGCGGTTGTGCTGGTTCACAATGGATTCCTTGTCCTGCTAGCGTGTTAGACTTACGCATCATAAGAACGGGGGGTAAAATACGAACCTTGATGATAGCTTCCACAACCTTCTCTATCTCTCCTGGCCTGACTAACCCGTCTGGCTTGGCTCGTAGACCGGCGAGCTTTGTTTCGTTGCTCTGGATCCTTCGTTCTAGATGCGGGATATTGTCCTTGTCTAGCCTCTCCCTCCGGTCGAACAGATCTCTAATGCTGACCAAAGCATCGCGCTGTCTCTTCAAGTCCTCAAGCACGCCGGCATCCCACGCCTTGCTCTCATCCTCCATAAGACCTTGCGTTGTTTGCAAGTGTTTGCTCATCGCCACTAAGCCATCGTTTAGGAGAGGCACGTCGTTCGTATCGGTCGCGTATGTATCCGAGCTCGCCTCGGTAAGTGATGTAAGCGACATAGCTAGACGCCCGTGATCGGCGGCTACGCCCTCACTCCGCTTGACAAGGCGGTCCATGATATTACAGGTCGAGATATATAATTCAGCTGATCGTTTGACACCCTGTCTTGTGCGTTCGAAAAGCTCTTCCAACGAAGATGGCAAGGATTCTTCGAGGCCGGCTGGCAACGGTCGGCCCGCAAACTCGTCTATCACCGAAATCGCAGCTTGTTTGCGCCATACTGCAAGTTCCTATAGTGTGTTAGCTCTAGAATCTTAATTGTCAACGTTGTGTTTGGTACATACCGTCGGTACGGTCAGGAACATTATCACAAGCTGCTCCTGACCTAGGACGGGGTGTCGAACTAGTGTGTTCAAGAACCTAGCCAGGCCACGTCTTCGCTTCTCGATGAATGCGCCATCGTTAGAAAGATGATTGCCGTTAACGGCAACTCTCTTGGGCGGAAGCAGAGGCAACGCGCGGAACGGATACCTCTTGTGTAGACAATCGAGCAACCACACGAAATCGCTGTACCTGCGGATCACCTTGCTACCTCGCCGCGAGCTTGTCACTTCGTAGTTGTGATGTTGGAATAGAAACACGCCTTCTTTCTCTGGCATGAGCGTGACCACTATGTTCTCCTCGACCGCACTGCCAGATCGACCACCGCTAATGGTCCGATAATGGCCAACGGTAGCGCTAGAACCTGGGTCACGTCCTTCTCCGCCGCCGACGCCGCCGAAAGGACTCGTAGGGGCGTTTGGAGGCGCATCACCGAAGCCTCCGGCGTTGTTTCCATCGTAATATCCCCAACCACCGGAGTTCGAAGATATGGAGCCGCCAACAGACTGAGATCCAGGGCCTCCAGGCGAACCCGTGCTTGCGGTAGTGAAGTTGGAGGTTGTACGAGAGTGCATATCGGGGGACTCAGGATTACCATAACCATTACCGTTCGTGCTCGCGTTCGCGTTGTGGGTGCCGTTCGTCTTCATCGTGTCGTCATGCTTATGATTCCTGTGGAGATCAGACGAACTCCACGGATCGTCTTCGGGACCATCCATCGATGGCTTTCTAGCTCTCGATTGCGAGTTAAATTGCGTAGGCGGCGAATCGGGTCTTTGTGGTGGTTTTGCTGCAAGCTCTGCAGTGTTTGGAAAGGCGGGTTGTTTGACGTGGTTGACGGGTGGTGGTGACCATAAAAAGCGAGTTTTCGGTAAGTCTAGTAAAATGTTGTTGTATTAGTAGAGAGGTAGGATGTAATTTCTTCTCGGCGAATAACGTAAATGTCCCCGCAAGATGATGCACAGGGCAGCGCAGCGCAGCGCAGCAACGAAGTTACGATAAGCTCGCCCAGCCAATTGGACGACAAATACAGAATACGATTCGTCAACAGTTAAGTGACAAACATATGAATATGTGGAAGTTGGGAAAGTTGATATTTAAAAAGGGGAAAAAAAAGGAAGGCAAACGTCATATGAAAGTCTGCTCGATTTGGACTTACTGCGTCTTCTTTCGTCAACTCCATCCAAACTAATGGATTCACCCTCCTGCGCAAGGCCGATAAGAGCCAATAATACGTTAAACTCCTTGCGCCCGATTGGATCCAGTTTACCACTAGGTGCAATTATTCCCATTATTTGCGCCTGGTCATCAGCGCCTAACTTAGCAGCAGCCAGTGTATTGGTGATTCCTGAGGGAGTGATCTTCTGGTCATGTGGATAGTTCTCATCCATTAATGCATCTTCTCTTGCGGCTTTATCATATGCTTCTACGTAACTATCCGGCACCTCAACACCATCAAGCAACTTCCGAATCAAGTCGGCACGCGATTGCTGTTTTCTCGGTGTTGGCAGATCCCAAGGCGACGCAGAACGACTGCCTCCGAAATCGTCATCGTTAAAGAGGGTATCCGAGGTCGACCGAGTCATAGGCCCATCGTCTTCAAACAACGAATTTCGAGATCGCGCAGTACTCGGATTACCGGAAGACGAGAAATCGTTCGTAGGAGAAGTGCCAAAGAGAGACATTTCTTTGGCTTCTTTCCCCGGAGAGGTTTCGAGAGGTGGTTTGGTACTAACTATCGTGAACTAAAAGAGAGCGTGCTGATCGACGTAGCCGAGGACGATCGCAAACTTATTTGAAGGCTACGAGATGTCGTAATGGATTCGTAAGAGCTAAGTAGGTAGGTAGGCTGAACAAACCATACAAGCAATTGCGAGCGTAGCGCAATACAATACAATGACAATGACGAGACTAGAGGGATCGATGGAACCACATGCGTACTCAAAATCAGCGAGAATAAAAAGAAGAAGTTGTGGATTGAGTTGAGGAATTGAGAAACTGAAGCTCGAGTGTTACAAGAGCCCTAGACATGCAACTACACGCCCGTGCAGCCGTGCTTTCCACAACTTGAGAAAGCTATGCCTGCGCTGAAACGCCTGGGGGGGCTTAGGTGGGACAAGTGGATCGCCGCTGACAACTGCAAAACGCAATTGCGGAGCTGAGTATAGCAGTGGAGAAAATATTTTATCCCTGCCCTTTCAGCCACGGGAAGAACCGGCTTAGGTTTAGATACTTCGATACATCGAACATATTCATATAGACAAGCCACATCAGATATCTTGTTCTTCAACCCGTTGACGCAGTTCACAATCACAACAGTTACAGGGACAGAGGTATGTTCATAATAGCATATTTGCAGATGGAGTACAAATATGATACATTCATCGGAAGTGGCGAGTGTACTACTACAACTTCTCCCAGAGTCTCGTGTCCTCTTTGCTGGCCCCCTTCTGACTCTTTTTTTGCTTGGAGAGCTGTGCCGGCGGCACTTTGAAGTATAAACTGGGTGACTCTCCCGGCTTCAGCATATGGCTCAGATACCCGCGATGCGCAGGGTCACGATAGTACTCGATGTCTCGACGTGACGTCGGGTCGGGCAGTCTGAAAGCGAACCCCTTCTTCCGAACTGCCTCTAAGACCGGCTCGACGTGCTCTGGTCCGACTGGCAGAGGGTTGTCTGTGTGAAAACTCCTGCCCAGTACCAATCGTCTGATAGACTGCTTAGTGTAGTATCTGGTCATGATCTTGCCTCCTGCTTTTTCCACTGCCTCGATCGCCGATGCGGAAGCGCGAGAGACGACGATATCAATCGGCTGCTTCAATGAATCTGCTCCCCTCCCCAATAGCTTAACACCATCCTTGATCGTTCCGATAAGATTGGACTGTATCAACTCTTTAGGAGTGATCTGCTTCGTAACGTCGATGCGGCCGGCATCGATCCACTGTTGAAGTTTTTCAATATTGACTTCGGACATGGTAGCTACATGACTGTACAATAGTTAGTCTACACTCGATATTGGGCAGATGTTTAGGTCGGTGAATCATACAGATTCTTAAATCCAAGCTTTCCCCTCTGAACTATCAGGGGCGTCTGACCACCCTGGAACCACGGCTTCACCTTTCCATGCTGCTTCTGACCCTTGTGACCTCTTCCGGAAGTTTTGCCCTTTCCCGAAGACGGACCGCGACCAAGACGAATGCGCTTCTGGTAGGCGCCCCGGTTGTCAGACAAGCTGGCGAGGATGTGAGCGCTGCGAGTCTGGATGGAGAGAGCGCTGAATAGTCCGACGATGGACGAGTGGTTAGATTGTTCAATCGAAGCCCTGCAGCATTGAGCGGCCAGCTGCAGGGGTATTCGTGGAGGCATCTTGCGACTTGCGCGGGTTTGTTGAAGTTGTAGTGTAGATGGGAAGCTCTGGGCTCCACACGAGAATTTCGATCTTGCATCTTTTTCGGAGTCGCATCAATTGATGTGGTCCAAGCTTAGATACCTAGGTACTTCATCGGAACTGTAAAAGTGGAATTATAAAAGTGGAACATAACCCCCCTTTTTACGCCTGGGCATTAAACATCCTTGATGTCAATGGCTTAAGAAAACACTCATAGAACTAATATTTATGAAGAGGTTTTTGAGAAAGAAAAAAAAGTAGATATGGTTTCACAGAAATTACTAGCTTCAAGCAAAAGGAATCTATGGTTTTTCTCGACGCTTGATGCTCATCCTCACCGCTAGGTAAACAATATGAATAGTCGAAGATGTTAAGTTCATATATTATCTTCGAAACTTATAGACTCACTCGACCTAATAACTACCCCTAGTTCTAATGCGACCATTGTATTTATGCAGTACTTCTCTCAAAATAATTTGCCGGGCAGTCCTCCCGGCATCGGTATATCATAAGATATAGTTGCTGATGTGGTATGTTTTTAATCATAGGGTAACATTAATATGAATCTTCAAGGAGTTTTATTAAGCCGTCATTTTGTGAGGGCTCTCTAGATCAGTGGGAAACATGCCGCCACTTCCGAGAGTGTTAATATGAACAAGTCACTGCACAATTTACAATGACGAACTTAGTCCTTCGTACATGATCTAGCCTCGTGATCTATTCCGGCTTGACAAATCGTTTTTTCCAGCAGCTCCAGAGCAAAATGGATGAGAAATCGGCTAATGAAGCTACCCCGAACCATATCTCTGGTCCAGTTTCTACTCGAGCGGAGGAAGCATCCTCAAAATCATCAAGAGACCTTGACGATGCGTACGAGCTTTACCAGAGACAAGATGCTATAGATATCGATCCGCAAGAAGCGCACCAAGTGCTACGGAAAATTGACTGGCATATCATGCCTCTTCTGATGGGAACTTATCTGCTCCAATACCTTGACAAATCCACTGTCAATTTTGCAAGCGTATTCGGACTACAGCAGGGAACAAATTTACATGGTCAAGACTATTCGTGGTCACTGTCCATATTCTACTTCGGTAAGGGAGTTTAGGAAAAAGCTTGACAAGTCCAGATAACCGAACCTACTGTTAGGTTACTTGGTAGCACAGTGGCCTGCTGGCTACCTTCTCCAGAGACTTCCAGTTGGGAAGTTCCTTGGCGGCACTACCATAGGTAAGTGAGTCTTTTATTCTGGGAAGAGACACCTGTCTGATAAGATATTAATCTAGTTTGGGGCATGCTTACTATTGTTACACCGGCTTGTAAGAATTTCGCTGGGCTCGCCGTAAACCGATTCTTGCTAGGTTGCTCCGAGGCTGTTGTGAATCCGGGTTTTGTGCTAGTCCTTTCGATGTGGTGGCGACAGGATGAGCAACCGTTGCGAGTAACGACCTACTACAGCATGAATGGAATAGCGGGAATCTTTGGAGGTTTACTTGGGTATGCTGGTCAGTATGATAGCAGATTCTGTTGAAGTTAGATGCGTCCTAATACTGCTACAGTGAGTCAAGATGTTCATCTTTCGCCAATGATCTCTTACAAGATCCCCTCACTTCCACTACTTGAGTGAAACCCGTTTATCTAACAATGATGCATTGGTTCCATTGAATGTTGACATACAGTAGGTCGGCCATATCACCTCAGGCCTACCACCATGGATGTACATTTTCCTCATATTTGGCTCGATAAGCCTGGCTTGGGGCATTTTATTCTTGATATTCATGCCCGACATTCCTTCTACTGCGCGATTTTTGAACGAGAGGCAGAAAATTATAGCAGTTGAGCGAGTGACCATGAACCGACAAGGAGTGAAGAACCACCATTTCAAGTCCTATCAGATGTGGCAGTGTTTCCGAGATCCGATGACATGGATACTATTCGTCATGGCCATTGCTGCGCAAATCCCTATTGCTGCGCAATCCAGCGTCAGTCATGAGTGTTGATATTTAGAAATTGACGCTGATATCTGAGCTAGTTCACGTCAATCATTCTAGAAACATTCGGGTTCGGCGTACTCGAGACGCAGTATCTGCAGATACCAGGGAACGTGGTACAGGTTTGCTCTCTGCTCCTATCCGGTTGGATCAGCTCCCGATTTCCTAATTTACGCTGTGCTGTTATGTTGATAAGTAACTTGATCTGTGTTGGCTGCACTGCGGCTCTCGTCGGATTGCCAGTTGGCTCAGATGGAACAGGAAACCGCTGGGGGCGATTAGTTGCTCTGTGGCTATGTTCATTTAGTTCGGTGGGCTTCAGTTTGAGCATGACCATGGTAAGCAGCAACGTGGCTGGATATACGAAGAAACAACTCACGGGCGCTTTCCTCTTTGTGGGCTACTGCGTTGGGAATATCATTGGGCCGCAGACCTTCAAGGACTCAGAAGCTCCATTCTATACCTCAGCTTATATCGCGTGAGTCTTCTCAAATCATAACCACTTATACGCAGAAGACTGATAGTAAATGACAGGATGCTTGTCGGCTATTGTGTGAAAACGGTGATGGCTGCCGTATTATACCTATACATGTGGACGGAAAACAAGAAACGGGACAGGGAGGCTGCCATACATGGCGCGAGACTCTCAGAAGAACAGGAGAAAGAAGCTATCGAACAAGGCATGCAGGATGTCACCGAGTTGGATAACAAAGGCTTTAGATACGTGTTGTAATACCTATCTATCCGGTTCTTTTGGGCTGTAGCATCGGTATGGCCAACCTATCTCTCACTACAAGTCTTTGTTTACTGTCATTCCCCTCCTTCCAAGACCCCTTTATCCCCTATATAATGGTATTGTACAAGGCTACAACGGTATAAAAAAATTGTTAGGATTCTGTAACCTAACGGAGAGGTCATCGCCAAAACAATCGCTTTATTATAAATTTATATATTGGAAAGGATAATATTTCTAGACAAGCCTTCGATATGTCAAGGGACTTATGCATAGAGTGAATATACTTTGGAAGATAGTTCCAAGCCAACTAAGTGACGCAGAAGCTTCATATAAAGTATACAGAGGTAGCTAACCACAGTTCGGAGAACATGAACATGGACACTATTCTCGCCCGCGGGCTTCTCTCCTATTCGGCGCTTTTGCTCATCATTCTTTTGCCGAATGAGCTTACGGCACAAGAGACAGGTCAACTCGTTTTAGAAGTGACGGCCATATACTCCGCTTCTATTATTGTCATATATTATCTATTGGCCTTTTAATTTACGTCCTTGGGGAGTCGGCCCTTCTTGAAGAGTAACATAAGTGTCGTCTTTAGAATACCTACAATAATGATATAAATATACCTAGTTCATTTCACGTCTCTCATAATGTAAATTTATTGAAAATCTTCTCATTTACGTCTGATTTGCTATAGGTTACAAGTCCCTTGCGCGCTATTGTCTTTGAAACTACCAGCGATACTTCATAGGTTAGTACGTAATTTGCCTACATAGAAGTTTATGCCACTTACCCGGAATTCTTTATTCTCGCGGTCCGTTAGATCGAAAAATTCACTATTTTCGTTATGCGAAAGGCCTGAGTACTTTCGGTCGCGCCTCCTATTCTCCCAAGCGTAGTACGTCATGAGAACAGCGGTCGTGACTATGGATACGGCCGTCGAAGCCACGATAACAACCTTGGCTGGGAGATATCGGGGCTTGTCCGCGTCGCGGAAAGTGAGTGGCCCAATGATATTTCCCAAACAAAAGGAAATGAGCAACACCGCGTTCATCGTGACCTTCTTCGTATGGCCGGCGTAGTTAGCCGCCGAATATGAGTAGATGAGTGGAAGACTTGCGCCTATGACATTGGTTAAATAGTTCCCCGCCAATAGTGCGCTCTTATTTGTTGTATTTGAGAAAGCCAAAAGACTGCCTCCAAGAATACCTCCTATGAGTAGGAGAGTTATGATAATTGGTCCGCGAGCATTGAATTTTGCAGAGCTTACGCCCGCCCCGATGACGGATATGCAAGCCAGTACGCCAGATGGGATCTGTAATAAGGCAGTCTGCTTGGATGTGTAACCGAAGCCTTTAATGATAGTGGCCTGATAACTACTAACAGCGCCATTCGGTATATTCGATGTGATAGTGATGAGAACGATGAGCCAAGTTTGAGGATCGGTAAAACAGTCCCACGCCTGATATATCTTGAAGTGTTTGTTCTCGATTCCAGTCTGGTTCTCGCGGAGCCGCTCTATCGCCCATATTTTCTCCTCGCGAGTGAGTCGAGACTTCATTGGGTTATCGGGAAGAAATATCATGGTCAGGATTCCGACGGCGACGGTGATAAGACCGAAGAGGAGAAACATGATTTGCCATGACGTGAACACTTCTGAATGGTAATGCTGAAATCCGAATGATGTGAGGGCTCCAATGATCGACCCTGTTCCCGTTCCCACGTACCAAAAACCGAGGCGGGCAGGCTGTTCAGATCGCTTATACCACATACTAGTTACCAGAATGAGTGACGGAGCTACTGCTGACTCGAAGCAACCTAACAATGTCCTGAGAGCTGCTAGAGCGGCCCAATTTTTCGCAGCAGAATTCAACGTGACGACCGATCCCTGAAGTGACTCAGTTAGCTACTAGTCTAGGATATTTTAGCAGATACCAAAAATACGTTCAGATCGTTTTTATGGATAGCATTGAAGTATCGACTAAATCACTGTATGGCTAAATTTAAGTCTTAGTGAGCTCACTTACCCAAAGGATGACATTTGCACCGAGATATTTTGCGGTTGGTAGCCTTTGCATGAGATAACCCGTTGGGAACTCAAATGCCAGATAGGTTATGTAGAATAGTGTAGCCAACAGAGAAAATTGATTTCCCGTAATAGATGTATCCTCTTGAAGCCCCATGACATTGGCGTAGCTGACTATTTCATCATGAGTGCTTGAATTCACCAAAGGCGGAAGGGGGTTGGCCTACTCAGTGTTTTATCGAGGTATTGAAGATTATAGCAAGCCCCTATATGACTGTTAAGATGACTGCCGTGACAAGTTCGCTCGTTCGCTCGCACTAACACATGAGAGGTATAACCATCATATCAATCTTTCTGACAAGCGCCTTCTCGTTGATTTCCGTCATCACAGTTGCACCCTCGCGGTTGAGATATTCGAGTGCCGCGTCGACGTCAGTGACTTGAAGAGAGTTCCCTTCTTTATCTGCCTTTTCTGGCTCCATGATGATGTCGAGTTTCAATTGTTAGTTTCGAATAAGGGTAATAGTAGGATCCGGAGGGCCTGGCAATATACAACTAATTTCTTCAAGTAACACTAATAGTAGTAATAGCCAGAACGAATCAAATGGGAACTTGAAGAGCTACTCGATAGAATCGAATAATAAAATGCAAATTAGTACCGAAAGTGGCAACGAAGGCTTTGCCCATAGAATTCTCAGAGAGGGCTTTTAAAGAACTATGTTGAATAGGTGGAGAATATGGGCAATGTAAAGAAAGGGTTTCTAGATCAATATGTTAAATCTAAGACAAAAGGGTATAAGGATCAACCACGTATATGTAGGACTTCTACACCTACTAGGAACCTAAATAAAGAGGGGACGTAGTTATGCGGAGATAGTTACCTAGGCGTATTGGAGGCATTGCAGTGAGGGTTAGATAAGAGAGGATATGAGATAGGCTGATGGATATTCCCGATGGATGGTTATCTCCAGGGTTAATGGCCAGGTCTGATAAGGTGGACGCGGGGAAGATCTGAACACGATCGCTTAAGTGAACTAAGACGGAATTGAGAAGATGCATGGCGGTTATCAACAGTGGATTTCCTTGAAAAGGAAACATTGCATTGAACTGATAGGAGCAACCGCCTTGCCCATGAAATAAAATATCACAAGAGGCCACAGCCTTGGTGGTCCAATAACCAATCACTGTGACATCTTGATAGGCTTTCACGACGCTGGCGTGTTCCTGCGTTAATTTAATGGGGTTCCAAGGCCCTCTTGGTGATAATCTGAAGCCTTCCTATGCGCTTCCTGAAATGGGTCACCATTTCTTTGACGAGGTTTCCTCCTATCTCTAAACTGAGATCCATACTTTGGGGTCAAGTTGGAGACCAATTGATCGGACATAGAAATCCATGGATGAGCCTTGTCGTATCAAAGGATGAGCTGGGATAAGACAGGGGTATCTTAGATCCGAAGAGATTTAATTTTTGCGGTCAGTGCTCATGATGAGTTCTGAGGAGAGACGAGGACAACACTATCACCTATGGCCGAAAGTTAGGTAAAGATCAACGAGATGAAGTAAGGGAAAGTGTGATAACAATAATATACCTCTCACAAATAACATCTCGGATTTCTTAGTTGTTGTCTAGATAGGAAGTCAGCGGGCATAAGTGTATTATGCAGTTGAAGAAAACTCACTCTGATATCTTCATCTTCGTCATCCTCATCCACCGTGTAGATAGTTTCTACAACGTCACCTAAGACCAAATTCATGTGGCTGTCGTAGGCCTTGAAAACAGTGACCAATTAGCGGATGTAACATGATTTCGAATAACTGGACCACATACATGAAGGCGACCCTTCAATTCTCGATCACCTCGCAGCTTCACGAAGACTACCTCGTCGAGGAGTAGGCGTACGAGATCAAGTGGTTCAGATACCGAGCCACCAGCTGGACCCTCTTCGCCTCCAGCCATTATCATGAAAAGGGCTTATACCAATGGTGATATGGCGTGACTTCCGAGTTGTTCGTGTAGAATAGGGTTGGACGAGGGATTGGCGTCGATGTTGGATTGTTGTAGAATGCAGATTTGACGATTTAGTGAACTACAGCACAAGGTTGAAATCTGTAAATAATTGTTAGTGAAATGTGCACTGACCACATAAAAAGCTTATATAAGCATATTCGACATGGGTCGTGCTACTAGGTACGTATTATGTACAGAGGTACTTTCAAAAGCTTCTTCCAAATCTAAAATTACTATCCCAAGGTCCACTTCATCCACTTTGTCAACTTCTCCTCTCCACATTCCCCGCGGATAGCGCAAGCAGACTAACAGTTAGCTTCCCCGCAAACCCGTGTTAGATGATAATGTATGTACTATCGCCAATCACGTCGTCGTCGGCCTCTATCACGAATTAGCAGATCGTTCTGCTAGTATGATACTGCTCAACAGCTGCCGCCATGCCCCCCGCTACCTCGATGGTGACGCTTGGTGGCCACCGAGCTCTTTTCTATACACCTCCAAGGGGAACACATTCGAGGATCATTAGCCTTCATTTACATCGACATTCAAGAGTGCCTACAACTAACTTCTCGTCATGTCGGAGCCTCTACGCTTCCCATGCTCATTCTATAGCCAATATTTCGAGCCAAGACTTTGACTGGTTCTGCCATCTTCTCGGCAGCAATGCAAATAAAACCCCTGGGATAGCCGCCTCTTCGGTTGCGGAATCATCCGATAGTGATCCAGTCAGCCATGTCACTGGTCCGCTTCGGAGAGTTCTTCTGGCGCTGCAACATGGGGACCCTCTGAGAATGTTCATCAATATACGCTTGATCTTGGAGATAAAGCCGCTTGAACTGCAAGAAGCTATAGCTGCCTTGCCTCGGACTACCTTTACTCAGATCCTCAAAGGGCTAGATCCCTCCAGGATTTCCTGGGCAATCGATCCAACCGACAAGTTCAACATAACGGCTGGGATGGCCAAGGTCCTTGGGATGGAATCTTACATCGATGATTGGGGAATCCGAAGTGTTTACGTAAAGCTTCTAGAGTGTATAAAATCTCTTGTGTTAGCATTGCAGGCCACAGGCCAGACGCTGCAAACAGAAGAATATACGTACCTCTTCAGATACGCGGGGTTCGCTTCGGATATTGAAGCCGCGAGATGGTTCTGGACGGATATGATAAAATTCAACACCAAAAGTTGGCGGGCAAAGGAAACTTATGACGAGTATATGTCTGCGCGTTTCCTTACAAAAGATCCTTACAATGGCTATGACAAGACTAGAAAAGTAAACGATCCGCGAAACCTCCACAGATCTCGATTTAGGCTCAGTCGACATAAAATTATCAAACTGGATATCCTAAGATTTCATGTCCGGAAGAGAAAAATGTATTTCGGACTCAACAAGAGTATAGGTCACGCTGAAGATCTTATCCGGTCAGTACGGAAGAGTGGCCCAGTTGCAAGAGTATTTAGTCATTACCTGCTGCAGAAACGCGGACTGACTCCAAATCTATTATATACTGCGATAATCGCCTACGCGCGGGTTGGGGCTTTGCGGTTTATTGGCACCATGATATTGCGAAGGTATTTCGGCATCTGCTTAGGACGCTTGATCTATAAAGACGATCTTCTCGGTCCGCACGACCAAATCACGTCTTGCCCTTCCATCTATCGTCCTTCGTTAAAGCTCATGAAAACTATTGTGGATGCGTATTGTATGAACGGGGAGATCGCCCTCGCGTGCCAATTGGTTGATCACATATCAAAAACACAAAACATTCCAGTTCCAATGTCTATCTGGTATGAGCTGCTGAACTGGACTCACGTCCTGAGCTCGCCGCCTTTAACTACGGCATGGAAGATAGCGGACATATATTGGAAGATACCGGGCCCCTCAGCGGTAGAAACAATGTTTAATTTTATGGTTGAACGAGGGGTCCAACCTCGTTTCAAAGAGTATTGGGCCCTCATCCAGAGTCTTATAGCGCGACACCATTTCAGCAAGGTCGTCCCACTCATGAGGGAAGCGGTGCGATTGAACGACACAATATGTGAAGAGTACGAGGAAGCGGTGCTTGAGTATGCCCAGTTGGTTCGTGACGGAGTACGTGTCAGCGAAGCCATTATGCGATACGAGCGGCTTCGATTCTTGAAAGCGAGGACGTGGTACGATCTCCAGACGATTTGTCGACAGTTCCTGTTGAAGGTCCGCAGCCATAGCCTTACCAATCCGCTTGTGACTGTCGCGGTTCCGAATTTCATACGCGAATTCCGGACTTTCATTCCAAACCCGGCCCATTATCGAACATCTACCGGGTATGTAGAGTTGTTCGACCCAATACGAGACGTCCCACAGAAAATCCGTACTTACCGTCTCCCTATGGATACGCCACAGAAGCATAATAGGAGATGGTTTCTCAGACGAACAGTAGTACTGAGAACCGAATTGGTGCACGGGCATTCTCTAGCTGGGCACCTACCAATGGCCAAACTTGGCCTTGATACCCTTCTCCTAAATACGTCCCGATGGAGACGGCCATCTAAGGGCCACGTGCCGCCGGATAAACCGGCAGCTCCTTATGATGACGACGAATTTTACTGAGAGCGAGAAACTTGGATATATATATGTAAGCTGCTATATCTGTTATATACATGTCTGGCATAAAATCCGCTGTAAGCATGTCCCATATGGGCACAAGCAGTAATTAATACGTAGTCCTCCAGGGAACGGTACTGAGGTCTTCAAAGTATGTAGTCTACATGGAATGCTTGTCTGGTTCAGTGTTCAATAGATGTCTTGTGATATATATTCACGATTTCTACGTACTAGCATTAATCGCCATTGTCCGACCTGCACGAGGATAGTCACGACTTGACCCTCTCCAGCTTCAAGTCATTAATATACATATACCGGCTTAACGCAATCCAGCCCCACCGAAACCAAACCATCTGACTCTTGTGTGCCTCGGTCATGGCTAGCCGCGCCGTGCCGTAGCTCTCGCGACCTCCGCCTGCTAGCGCGCTCATGCTGACGAGCGCCCCCGGGTTGCCTTTGTCGCTCCTACGCTCGCCACCGCCGTTTATGACCAGCGATAATATGGTGGGAAAGACGTCGAGGAAACCAAAGTATTTACGCGGTAACGAGACCGTGGTTAGCGTGTAGAGGTCGACGGGGGAGGCCCAGCCAGGCTTGCCCCGTGTTAAGGAGGAGATGAAGGTTCGCGCCCCGTGGTATAGGGATATGTGGTTTGGATGCGAAGATATGCCGTGCGCGTCGAATGTGAGGAGAGCGTCGATGGTGGCGGCAGGGTTGGAATTAGAGGACTTTTGAGAGGTGAGGTTCGGCGCGAAGGCAGAGGTGAGGAGGGAGGAGATTTTGTCGGCTTCCCAGGTTATGGTCATAGAGTCTTGGAAGTCGCTGTCATTCCAACATTAGTACATTTTTACGTATGGGGATGTTTTTATTACTTACGGGCTATCTATAACCAAGACATCATCCTCATGCTTCAGGCCTAACAGCAAGCCGCTCTTAACGAGCTCCTTCTTGCGGACCTCGCCTAGTCCGTCGGCGTTGCCGGAGCTCAGACACAGAATCTTGACGTGGTTGCCGGACTCTGGGCGGGTCAGGGCTAGCACCGTAGGCGCAAAGAACATGGCCTCGTCGTCTGGGTGCGCTATCAGCAAACAGATGCGCTTGTTGCGCAGCGTGGGCAATCGCGTTTGCGCGACGGAGGAGGTGTACATGTAGAGGAGAGGTAGGATGACGGCAAGGACGCCGAGGGTTGAGAGAGTCATTGTCGAGAATTCTCGGAAGGCGAGGGGAAGCTCCGGGCTGCCCTACTCCTTCGATTTCACACAGATTCACAAACAGTCCCGGTGACGGGAAGGCGCATGAATATAATGAAAGGTAATCCGGGGAATTGGGACCAGGCAAGTTTGGGTTTGGACCCTGGCCCGGCCTAGTGGTTAGAGATGATGGAATGGCAATCGCGTTGGCGTCAAACTACCTACCTAGTAATTGAAAGTGCCCCTCTTTCTATACCTCCTTAGTACATATTAGGCCCCAGTTCTTGCATAAAATCAATTGGTGCAAGGATTAACCATCAAAATGTACATGAATGTAATCGTCTTGGCCATTTCTGATTGGCTGTTGAGTTAAGGTACGTGTGCTTAATAGGAATACACTCAGAAGCTCCTCAATACTCCATACCACCAATTAATTGTCTTCTCTAGCACCACTGGCACGCGACCATCTTTACTTAACACAATTCTATCGTTTTTCTTAAGTCGACTTTTAGGTCATCCTCCGTACCTCATCCAGTATTCACCATGGTTCAAACTAGAAAAGAAAGGAAGGCAGCAGACATCAAGCTAGCTCACCCCGACCGATCCGGTCCCAGCGAAGAGACCTTAGTGAAGCTCGCGGAAGATCGCAACCTTTTTAAGCAAGCTGAACAGCATAAGGGGAAACAACTAGATGAGATCGATGATGAAGAACCCTTATCCCCAAGGGCCGAGAGAATCATGGACGCCATCCTCTGGAGCGTTAGTTTGTCAATGCTACATTTTACCCTTGACGTGCTTGTCCAACATCAATATGCCGTCTCTATCGAATGGCCTCGGATTGTAATAAGGACAATGCAGGCTTGTGCTGGTAAGATTTAAGCACAACAGCTCGGTCAACCCAGTGGGGATATAACAAGCTAAGACTTATGTTACAGTATTTACGTTGCTCATCTATGTGCTCCATCCACACCAGGCTTTCCCAAGGTTCTGTCCCGGATTACCATTAAGATACCAGGATCCGCTGCGGCAGACTATTTTCTTCGTTGCTAGCATCTGTTCCGGTTGCTATCTAATTCACATCTCAAATAAATACAGCTATCTTGCTGTTATGAAGCAATCACCACCATTGGGTTGTATCTGGGTTTGGTCCGTTATCGAACTAAATTTACCTCTTGCTGTACTCTCTTTGGCTGTCGCAGGCGGATTCTTCGTACAGGGCGGATACACGATGAAGGCGCCATATTAAATGTATTTAATAACACGGCAGCAACTATGTAACACTTTCTCGACTTTTTCTGTTTTTAGGATATGGGTCTTCTTTGAATGACCTTCGGCCTGAGTTATTGGGCGCGGACTGGTTGGGGACTTTTCTACGTCGCCAGAAACCCGATTCTGATGCATTGTCCTAGATGCCAAATCCTCCAATCGATATATCTCGGCCCTCTGGTCTTAAATGACAGCCTCTAGCCTTCCAAGGCTACTATCAAACGTCGTCTCCATCAATCTGTTCCTAAGTTCAGATTCCCGAATTGTTCTTGAGAATAGTCAACAATATTACGCGCAATCTCAAGGGTCCCTAATTAAGCCGACTGACGGAGATACCAAGCGTTCTTCTGCCGTACCAAATTCAACGCTTACGTCCTAGCAGGCAACCACGCCATTGCAATGGTCGCAGTGAATCCCCAACTACTCGGCATGAGCGTCCATCATTTACCATCTCTCTTATCCTCACTGCCAGTCTTAGATTCTATTTCCTCAACTAATTCCAGTAGTCTCTTCTCGAACCTAACCAGATTGTCCATAACGAATGCACATATTTGATACTCGGGCTAGTATTTTGCGTCTAGTCGGCTACCCGCGGCTTTTACGAGTTCAGCCAGCCGTGCCGATTCCGTCTTGTATCAGGAGAGCTAGGTTTTTGCCTGGAGATATTCCTGGTCACTGTTTTTAAGGTAGTACGTTATGCGCACACACACGGCTGTCATGATGGCAACGAAAAATGTGAGGATGCCGGGCGGCGCTAGCGGTTATGGACAGTGGCGAATCCTGTTGAATCACGCCCGCCATTAAGAGCTAAATTTGACCAATTCCCCCCAGATTGAGACAATTTCGTCTGGCTGGAAAGCTAAGCTCTGCCGCTGGAGATGTCAAAGCATTAATTAAGGCATATCCAATTCAAATGGCAGAGAGGGGGTTGTCGTGGTGTTGGTGGAGCCAGGGTTGTCGTTTGTTTTAGGTGAAGGAGAACCAAGCGTTGTGGCGCAGAAGTGGCGCAACTCCTGGGCCTCACGTGATACCCCTAATTGTCGACTGCCCCTATCCCACGAATAAGGGGCTATTACTATCATTGACATAGCTCTACAACTATATATGGTCCGTATATGGTATACTATAAAGCATAGGGCGGTTCTCAATTTCTACGGCCAAACCCATTTTTAGGTACCTGTTGTGACATAGCAGGTACAGTGCTGTTTATCAAAAACAACGTTGATTTATAAGTAAATCTTATAAACATGTTCCAACCGTTCAAATAAGCTTAGTATATAAGGATAGGTCTCCTATGATTGGTGGCCACCGAAATCTATGACTAGTTTACTGTAGGGGGTTCAAACTTACCAGCGTATCGTCGCTGACAATGTATCCTTATTTGCAATAATACATAACATAAAGGCTTACGTATTAGAAACATATGTTACGTTCCTAGGTACAATAATAGTTATGTTATTGGAGAATTTACCTTAGCCCTGATATCCATCAATGACGATATGAATGTATTCAAGCAAGGCCGCGGTGGGATCTTCCAAATGAAATAATAGCATTGTGTAAACATTAAAGGTTTACATGAATTATATAAATCTACTAGTTGAAGCAGTTTATACAGTCCAATCTCCGAGAAAGACCCTCATGTTGTTTAATATACCTTTTTTGTATTGTATTGTGATATATGTTTCCATGGGGTTTAACTGCTCTATTTCATTTTCCCTGTCTGAGGATGTTCTACACCCATCATCAAAAAGTTCGGATTAAATATATGGTAGTATTTCGGAATAATAAACCCACACAGTGGTACTCCATAGTGAACTCTAACGCAAAATATTCTAAGTATAGGAGAGAGGTGACGTAATAGGCGCTAGAGTGAGCCCCTAGCAAATCACATAGCTCGTACACATCCATATGTATGGAGTTAAGGTGATGGTTCGGCAAGAAAGAATCATGGACCGGGTTGGTACGGCGGGGATTGGAATGGCTCAATGGGTATTGGCTATAGATTGGGTTTCTGGATAGAAATTATCTCTTGATATAGACGATATGAGCCGTTTGGATAGTCCTCGTTCAGGGTGTTCGATTCCCCTGACGGTCAAATCGAGTTTCTTTTTTCCAAAATTTTTGCAATGTCTTCACGACAACTAGATCACTTTGAATCACTAAGAGTCACCTTAACTTACCACCTACACTACATTATTGCGCTTGACACCATCTCCATACTCATCTGCGCAAACTCCTCCGTGCAACTCGTGCCAATCCAACGTTCAACGCCTTTTTCCAAACTCGATTTTACTCCAAGCCAGCACATCACAATTTATCACGATGCCTCGTTGGTTCACCAAGATCAAGAAGTTCTTCAAGAAGAACAAGCGTACCGAGGTTTGTCGCCACCCATTTTCCCTTGTTACAAAATACAGAAGTTCTATTTTCGCATTCACACAGTACTTATAATTTCGCGTCTTCTATGCGACTTCCTTTCATTCCACCTGTCAAGATTTCGCACGTTCTATCCTTCCGTCGAGCGCAAGTAGATGACGTTAACCTTCGTCGTTCTTTCCACTGTTTCTCTTCCTCCCCTCCAGCGAGACGGCGCTTTCCCTTATCCTAGCGGAGGAAATCCTATTTTCTTTCAACCGCCTACCAACCCACCTTGTACCTTTCTATCTTTTAACTCCCAAGTCTCAACGGTCATAAATATCACTCCTAATCGCCGATTATACTGGTCGTTCCCATTATCCTAGGCGCAAGAAGCCATTGTCTTTATTTGATCACTGACAGATGATCTCAGTTGCAGGAGTACATACACATCGAGAATCAGGACGTTAATGCGACAATGTCAAAGCCAGAGAAGTACAAGACTCCCGCTGAGAAGGGCGTCAGCGTTCCTGGAGTAGCCCAGACCACAGAGCGCAGTCCCTACACCATGCCGTACAGTGGCAAGGGCGCTGTCCGCGACGAGCAAGGCAACTGGTGGTCTGAAGCTGCCGTTCCGTTAACTGCCGTTACCCGCTCGCATGCAGCCCCTCCCCTGTACATCGTCGACAACAAGAAAGACAATGGAGCTGGTGCTGCTAAGCGTTCCAAAGATGGCAATGGACAGGAGGCTGGTAAGGAGCCTCAGCGCTTCCACCAGATGTACCCTGGCGTTTACACCCGACAGGGACCCAACAAGAATTGAATCAGTGAACAGGTATGTACTTTCAATGTCGGTTCTAGCATGGGGCGGGAACAAACCCTGGTGAAATTCACTCCTCTAACATCCTTTGTCGTCCTAGGCCACAACGTCGTATCGAGCCTTTTTCGTTTCGTTTCTACGTATGAACGAAGCATTACTCGTTTACAAAAAGAGATTGGAACCATCGACCTCAAATTTCCGTTTGCGAAGCCAATTCTGAGCCACCCGGTCCTTGGTGGTGTACGGCAGATGATAATGATCATGAGGCACGACTGGACTGGAGTTACCGGCGTATTTGCTGTCGAGGTGAACTGGGAAGGGAACACACACATGGTTTAAATATGAACAGAAAATGGGCGAAAAAAAACGGCAAAGAAAAGGCGACAAGGTCGGATTCCTTTCTTCACCCCTTTCTGGGCGTTGAATTGTCCACCCCCTGGTGATTGGTAGCATGGTGCTTGGCAGTTAGGTACTACAATGAACACAACGAGTTTACCCCCATAATGTCTCGAACAAGTCTACCTCAAGTGATGGCTAATGTGCCTGTGTGAATAGCTGCCTAGAGCAGAATTTGGTCGCCTAGATTGGGGTTGCTATGATCGAAACACGGTGACCATTATAACACGGAGAACTCCTCCTTGAATTGTAATAGGGGTATTACTGGCCAAGACATCTAGATCCCTTTCTGTGTTGTAAGTCATTTTCGAGGTAACGATACTTACAGTTTATAGATTTACCCTCCCCCTTTTACCCTACTACCTGTAAGAGGGCTAGCAATGCTCCTAGCAAGGAAGTATCTAATTAATAAACCTAGGCACGTAGATCTACGTCTACAGAACTGATACAAGCCCGAGAAACTTAGGACTCCCCTTTCTTCATCCTCGCCTCCTTACCTACGATCCAAGCCCTCATAACCTGCTCTAACCAAGCTATCCGGACCATTCACATCACCCACACCAGTCCAGTAGAACAACCCGCCCAACCCCATCTGCTTAACATACTCGGCCTTCATGCCCACCGTCCTCGGCACATCAAAACTCACGAACCCCTTCCCTCCCGGCGCGCTATCGACATAACTTGCAGCAGCGACGTTCTCATCCACGACCGCGTCCCGAATCCACTCAGGCGGCAACTCGTTGTAATCCAGCTCCGCCGCGCCGCTGAACGGCTGTCCAACGCCCCTAGCCCCGGTAAACGAACGCGCGTAAGCCGGGACGCCGAGCACGAGCTTGCGCGCGGGGAAGCCGTGCGCGAGGAGGAAACTCGCGCCCCGGTGGCAGCTGTGCCGCAGGCCCGGATGGATCGCGCGCTCGTCGCCCGGTTGTCGGAGCAGCTGCGCGTGGTGTCCGCAGACGTCGGTCCAGGGCCCGTTGAAGTCGTAGCCCATCAGGTTCAGGGTGTCTAGCAGCTGGCCCGCGGCGCCGATGTCGATGTTCTTGAGGCAGTACTCGCCGACCGGCAGCGCGGTCGTGAGGAGGTACCGCGGCGAGGGGAGCGCGGAGCGCAGCGCGCGGAGGAGGAGGATGAAGTTAGACCCGGCTTCGGGCGTTTCTGGGTGCTCCCAGTCTATGTCTACGCCATCTAGCGCGAACTCGTCGACGAATTGCCTGCATGAGTTTGCGAAGGTGGCGCGGAGGGCTGGGTCCGCGGCTACGGCTGGGAACTCGGCGCTGCCGCTGCCGCCGCCGATGGAGATCAGGGTTTTGAGGGAGGGCTTCTGATGTTTTAGCTTGGCGAGGGCGCGGAGGCAGCCGGTTTCCCCGTCGACGGGCTTGGTTAGGTCCGCGTACTCGTCCAGGTACTTAAGGGTGCCGTCTACGTTGAGCCTAGCAAAGGCGTAGAAGACTTGGTCGATGCAGTTGAGTTGCAGGGTTGAGGGGGGGAAGCCTTTGTATACGCGCCAGCTGGGGTAGTAGACTGTGTTGAGGAAGGTTGGGGCTGGGTTGGACATGGCTGGACAATGATATGTATGATATAGTTACTACGTATTAGGGGATCACGGGACTTTGATAATATACTGCTAGATTTGGTTGACGAATAAGTAAGGTGTGAAACAACTAGGTTGGCGATGCTAAGTCCGGAAGTAGAGGTAGAGGTCCTTGCCTCGGCGTGGCTTGAGATGGTAACACAGGCACTTGGGCTCTTTCCGGGACCCGGGTCATGACAAATGCCTCAAGCCGCGGCTTCTATCTAGCTCCATTTCATGACTAAAATCCCCATTTCCTAGGTCCTCTGGGAATTCTAAGTTTGAGGTGACTCGGTCCCTTTTTTCAACACGAAAGCAGCGTTCAGGAGGTAATACCCGTCTAGTGTCTGCTTTCGATCGGCTTTTACTGTAACTTTGGTATATGCACTTACCGGTGCCTATGGCCACTGAGCATGATGAAGATACAAAAACGAATGTATGAGGTTAAGTTGTACGCAAGGAATGGCATAGTTTTTTATCACGTCCACAGAACTATATACTTGGTGATTAACCGAAATAAGTTTCTAATTACATTTCCAAGTCAATTGCGAAGGGAAAAAAAGGAGTTCTTGATAGAAATATATTAAAGTAAAGAGGGTGCGCCTATTTAGCCGATTGTATGAAAAAGACCCGTAATCCATGCCCGCCTAGATGCATTGATATGTAACTAATAGGATGTAATTGAATATCAAAATTCCGCAAGCCTCGTAATTTAAACACATTAAAACGCCGACAAACCAACTTCAACTCATCTTGGCACTTTTGCGCTTTTGATTTTCGCACATCGTCATCGCCTCATTAAATTAGCTAGAACTCCCCAGATAGTCGGTTGAGCCGTCTCGAGTGATCCGGAGGAGATGATGGCATCCGTTACGGACACCACATCTCGACCTTGACGTTATTCAATTCCTCGAGAATCTTGAAGTCCATCCCGGTTTGTTTGAAGGAAACGATGATCATGTCGAATCCTTCGAGACTTGATGTGTTCCAGTCGTCCATGTCTAGACGAGGAACATTAGGGATGGCGCTTTGTTCTACTAGCGCATCGGCAAACATAACGTCCACCCGTCGCGAGTCCGCGAGGGTCTGGATGAGTTTTAAGCCTGGGGAATTGCTTAGGTGAGACTGACCAGCCTTGAACCCAACACCGACCACAAGTACTCGTGGTCGAATGCCCTTAAATTGGCTGATCTGTGACGTCTGAGGCTTGTCCTGGAAGAGGACATCTAGTGCTCGCTGACCGATCCTCTCCGGTCGTTGCCACATAGTCTCAGTAGCCATCTTCAAGAAGGGAAATTGGCTGTTAGACAAGAGGTAGTATGGGTTGACCGGAATACAGTGTCCACCAACACCAAGACTGGGTGTGAACGGCGTGTAGCCGAACGGCTTCGTAGACGCCGCTTTGCACACCTCGTAAGGGTCGATGCCATGATCGAGGCAGGCATCCGCCATCTCGTTGGCGTACGCGATAGCTACCATCCTTTGGCAGTTCTCGTATAGCTTGGTCATCTCGGCCGTCTCCGGGGTGGAAACGGGAACGATGGTGTCAAACACGCGCGAATAGAGACGAATGATGGCGTTGAGAGATCCCGGTACGACGTCATCTAACCCAGAAAGGACCTTGGGAATTGTCTTCATTGGTGGGTCCGTCCGTCCAGGGTCGACTCTCTTCAAAATAGTTAGTGAACCTGCTGGGTCTTCAATCGTATATGTGGACTTACCTCTGGGGACATGCCGGCGAAAAAGCCTTTTTCTTGGGCCAAGGGGCCAAGTAGTTGTCTCGTCATTCCAATGGCGACCGAACTTTCGATCACTACAGTTGAACCCGCTCGAGCATATGTGCGAATGTTCGATAAGGCGTTCTTGACGTAGGAAGTGTCAATGGTCTTGTCAGCCTTAAGAAGCGTTGGCACTGAGATAAGGAAGTGGGTAGCCTTGGAAAGGTCTCGAGGATCAAGGGTGAAGGTAGCTCGGCTTCCTTCGCCGCCATGCTCTGCCTCTACCCTTCGAAGTTGTTCCTTGGAGACATCGAAGCCAAGGACGTCATACTGAGTCGAAAAACTACCGATGAGCTGTGTGCCGACATATCCACATCCGATCACTGCCACCAGAGGTTCCTCGTCCTCTCTGATGCGGTCAATGCTGGCTGGCTTCAAATCCGATAACCCATCTGCCTCAAACTGAAAAGTGCTGTACTGGGGAGTCCTGGGCGGCGAGGTCTCCTGACTTGGCGTATCGCTCTGCTTCAATGCTTTAATGGCTAGGGAAAGGTCCTGGACCGAGAAGGGTCCCCGAACATCCTCCACAACATCGTCTACAACGAGTCGATGCATTATGAGTCTTTAACAACAAAAAGAGAGTATTGATTGACAAGTGCTTCCGAGAGTTGGTCTGCCGGAAAGCGCCAAGAGAGAGAATTGGGTTGGAACAAGAGAGTTCAAAAAGAACGATCGTCGACAAAAATAGGCTTGCAATATGGATGAGGAACGGAACAAAACGTATCTCGTAGGGATGAGACAGGGAATATAAAGTATTCAGACTTTGGAGGAATGTCATAATTACTGACTCGAGTACAGAGCAAGTACAAAAATTTTCGCCTGTCTAATCGATTCTCCATTACGACTACATACAAGCGATGATCGATCTGAAAGAAGGGCCTAGTTTGGAACCGACTCAACACCACGAATAACTTACCGCATTCTTGAATCCGGCCAAAGCTGTGGTCTCGCCCCTTCTGGACACGTGATATCGTCCCAAGCAGATGTTGAGGCCTATATCTCCACCAACTCCAGCCGTAGCGAGAAGTGGATAACTCACCCGAGTCATGGTATCGCGATCCATTTTTTAGTCGTTCTGTCTTGATATCGTTTATACTACTTTACGTCCACACCAACCGCGCTACCTAGCTACTAGGTACTAAGCTTGATGAAAAATCCAGGTAGTTATATCGATCTAGACTCCCATATCTTCACATATGGCCTGATGGGCCACGTATGATCAAGTCACCGTTTATAGCTCATTGGTCCCCAATAACTTCAGTATCGTCTCGTAAACATTAATTTGGCTGACAAGCTTGCAGCTATGCATTGCTGTCCGTGGGGAAAGCAACAAAACTCTGCTAGATCCTGGCCATGACAGCTACCTAAGCTTTGAGGTTTAGCTATCCACTTGGTCGAGTCCAATACGTACACTTCGTGGAGCCGGAGTCTTCTTTTCTTACTCATTTTTTTCTCCCTCAAGATCGCCACACCGCGGTAAAATATCTATCTTGCCACAGAAGCTAGGCGTGGTTTTTGGTAGGTTCTCCCCGTCGTCGTCATTTCGAACTGATGCGATTTGTTTGCTACCTAGGGCGAGACTAGCATTATTCATTCCTGAAGCAGCTTGCGAAGCAGTTTGGATGTCTCGTTTAAAATATTTCATTTTGAGTATAGCCGCTTGAGCTATTATGGACTTTGATGTCAACTTTCTGACTCGAGGATATGGTATGGCATGGTCTCATTCTCTATGCTTTCATCTCCGGTTATATGGATCCCCTAGTTTTCAACGGACCGGGTAAGCTAAAGCCTACCAAGTGGTTCGTCTGAATCTTCAAGGCCAGGTCTAGCCAAAACTTAATCTCTTTCCGTGGAGCCCATCTACGCGGATACATATGCAGGGCTGCTTGAATCGGCTGCTCCTGGGTTTTCTCAGGTCTCTTGCGCTTCCGAATGACTTAACGGCCCCGTTTCTCTACGCAATGATTTCCTGTTACCGGATAAAACGCCCGGTCTAAGAGACACCTATGCAGCTATGGTAGCATACCTTGTGGATAGCCGCGATCATCCCTCGATGTGCTCGTCAGGGTCCAGTTTACCATTCAGCTGGGTTGAGCACCTCTGACCTATGAGGTAAGATTTCGCCCACACATTTTCGAAGCTTGTGGCCTTGTAACTCGGATCTCCCGTCCTGGGCCCTTGCCGCTATACCTCCTAAGGTGTCAGTAGTGACTACAAAGAGATACACAGGGCTTCTCCCCCTCTGAACATGACTTGTCTTCCTTCATTTTTTCTCTTCACGAGAGAAAGCTTCTAGTCATTCATTAAAACCAAGCTAGCAACGCTTGAAGTCTCTCGTTCTCGAGCGCCTCTGTTCTTCTGTACGGCCTCCAACCTGTTCTCTCACTACCCCGTCGTGATCTCTTCGAGAACGTCCGGTGTTTGTGATCGCGTGATCTGTGTTCTTAGTGTTATCGTGCTTTTGTTTTATGACAGTGTATCGTCGGTATACAGCGGCTGTCAGGTCACGACAAGCATCCTGACCATGCCTGGTCAACCTATAAGCAGAGTATGTCGACCACTCCTCATCTCATATGCTTTAAACTGACCATGGCGAATAGAAGGGGAGCAATCCATTCTCCGACAGACATGAGCAACATGAACGCCCTTCTACAGGAGGTCCATTCGCAGACTCTTCAAAGGTGTCTAATGTATACCCATCATCTCGAACTCTATCCCAACATGATGAGTCTGAGATATTCTTCACGCCGCTTGCTACCCCAATGCCTAGGGAAGCTGTCAGTTCCGGTGTTGCGACGGAATTATCTCCTCAGTTTTTTGAGAAAGGTGCAAGCCCAGACGGACTTCCTAGCGCAATAGGGTCGCCTACGTCGCAATTTTCGTCGTCGCTACCTACGACGCCTTCAACAGCTCTGTCTGAGGTCGATGGGTCTGAGTGTGACGAAGAGAGAGAGTTAGATATTCATGATCTACCTCCACTCACTGTTAACATAACGAGTTCAGCCCTAGCCGCTGAGGCTATCGACCCCGAACTCATAAGGAAGGGAAAAAGAAAAGTCAAGATACACAAGTACCTTGCAATATCGCTCATCTTTTCCTTAAAGTGAGTAGAACTGTTCATCTATGTTATGTCGTATGCAAAGCTCACCTTTTATAGCTTCATATTGATCTTTGCGACTTGGTACTGGCCTAGATTCTATTATCTTTACCTGCCATTGATCTCATTACCGCTTGTTCTAAATTGTGTCATGATATTCGATGTCATTACCTGGTCATTGAAGAACACGATTATCAAGCCAAAAAAGATCATACCTGAGAACCCGGAAGACTTGGTTCTTCTTATGCCTTGCTACAACGAAAGCTTCGAAGAGTGTACTAGGTCACTAGATTCGCTTGTCAACCAAGTCAACATCAGTCAGCATAAACAAGCAATCATGGTTATCTGTGATGGCAAGGTTCGCGGGCCTGGTATGGAGAAGTCCACCGCCGACTACCTCATGGAGGATATCTTTTCCGATCAAACTGAGCGTAGGATGCTTCGCGCCGCATACGTCGCATGGGATGGCCAGTCGATGGATGTCGAAATCACAAGGGGAATGTACAAGGGCATACCGTTCTATTGCATCGTCAAGCAGCAAAATCAAGGCAAACGAGACAGCTTGATTGTTGTTCGGTCGTTCGTGCACAACTTCAACCTACGCCACAAACGTCCAAAGGTTATCTTCAACCCCGAATTTTTCAAGTCCATGACAGACTTCTTAGTCAAGGATGCGAAGATCAAGCACTGCGAACTGCTAATTGGCATGGACGCCGATACGATATTTGCGGATGATTGCATCAGCCATCTCGTCGACGAGTCTCATTATCCTGGTACCGTTGGTGTATGCGGTTATGTTGCCGTTGATTTCTCCACCGGCCACTGGAATATCTGGTCCATCTATCAAAATGCTGAATATACCATCGCCCAAGGATTACGACGTCTTCACCAGAGTCTATGTACCAAGAAGGTTTCTTGTCTTCCCGGATGTTGCCAGGCACTTCGTGTTTGCGAGGAGACGTGTGGTGACTTCATCCTCGTCCAAGAATTCGGTTACCACCCCAAACCAACGGACGGCATCATCAAGCGTATCCGTGCTACAGCCTCTGAGGACCGCAACCACGTGTGCTTGATGCTCATGACATTCCCCAAGGCTAAAACGCGACAGGCTCTGAGGGCGTACGCTTTCACAGACGTTCCTCACAATCTCTCGGTCTTTCTCAGTCAACGTCGCCGCTGGACGCTCGGCGCAACAGGCAATGATTTGATGTTGTTCGTCGAATCAAAATGGAATTTCAATCTTTGGGAACGAATTGTCGCATTTTCTAACTGCTTGACCTGGGTCCTTAACTTCTTCGTTATCGCCAGTTTGGGTTGCATGATCTACGCATTTATGCGTGAGTATACCCCCTCCGAGGCTATCGTGTTTATCATGAGCGCCACACGGATCGTATGCTAACAGACCGAATCCTACAGATCAACCCGCTTGGATCATCTTGATTTTCGCGTCCATTATGATCATTCCCCTGTGCTTCTACTTCACCATGGTGTTCTGGTTGTGTCGCACTTGGATTGAGCGTCGCCAATTCATGCTAGGCCTAGTCATTTTCACCACTTGTGGTCCCTTCATCAACATCTGTGTCACCCTCTACGCGTGTGTCTACATGGACAACTTCGGTTGGGGAAAGACGCGCAAAGTTATCGCCGAGACCGGTGAAGCTGAGGAGCCTGACTGGCAGGCACAGCTCGACCGGTTCGAGGATGCGCTTAATAATGATGAGAAGATTATCGGCACCCTGGTTCCTGACGAGGAGAATCAATTGGACCCTGCAGTTTACAGGACGCCATTCACGGCACCTACTCCTGACCCAAGCAGGCTTACCAGCAGAAACCCCAGCTACAACATACAACCGCCTACTCCTCCTCCTGGAACCACCGAGCCCAAACCTAAACCTAGCCATCTTCAGGTACCTGGCCAGGCACCGAGCTTGGCAACGGGCCAGGTAGCGAGCACATTCAGCACCGACAGCGGGACTGCCAACTATTATTTAACACGTCCCGCCCCTACTCATCTTCCTCCCCATATTCTTCACGATATCGAAAAATCAGCAACGTAACGAAGTCACACCAAAAGCTTACTATGCACCTTGGTATATTATTCACCGAGTTGGAAAAGTTTGTCGGCAATTCGCGCTATCCTCCGTTTCCTTTCTTTTCTTATGTTTATGAGCTCCATGCTATCGGAAGCCAGATGAGTGAAATCATGATGCACAGAATGAAGAGATTATGAACGCTAAAACAAAAAGTTACTTTCATTTTTGGATATTTCCTTGAGTTGGTTGGCCATTAGCAGGGCCTTTAGTTGGAATATACTCCAGCATACCAATCGTTGCTCTAATTATACCTAGCTTATTGTTGTATATACCTAGTTAGTAGATGGGTGTAAATATATCACGCCTCATAAGGTTGTGGCCGAAGGCAAGACTAATATTAATTATAAATTCTATTGCTGTATAATTGGCGAATATTTATTCCACGCATAGTATGTCGTCGTGTGTTTGTTGCTCAAATTTCGTCACGTCGTTCTTTCAATGGTCTGCTCTTGAGTGGCGCTTAGTGTGGCAATAGAAAAGGGGTTATAGCAGAGTCGAAGGGGTCAAATGTAAAAGCCACGACTGTTATCAAATAGTTCTTGATGTACTAAGCTCTGATGGCTGGAATATATTTGGTACCTCAATATAACATGAGATGTCTACCTTCAAGCCACCCACAATCCAAAAACTTACTATCGGCGTCAAAGCGTCTCTCATTCGGAGACTACTCTCTTATACAATACATATATCCCTACCCTCCTTCGTTTACCTATCTGCTCAAGTCAACTACAGAAAGTAAACAACACATTCAAGAACTGTCAACATTCACAATAATTCAAAATGGGTGTACTTATTGAACGACCAGCTGAACAACCAGCTGAACGGCCAGTTGAGCGGCCGGCTTCGTCCTCCCAGATGCACCACCAGCTACTATACGTAATGTACATCATTTTATATGGTACGCTGTCGCTCGCAGGTATATGCGCCGTCGCTATGTTCATGGGCAGCAACGTTGCGAAAGACATACGCAGTCTCACAGATGAGAGGAACATGCCGCCTCTCTTACCACGAACGTACGTATCTATCTATCTATCTATCTACTCGCCTACCTGGGTACCTATCTCAACGGCGAAAGATCAAAAACAGCTAACCCCATACTCAGAACCCCGACCGAACCCGCGGTCCCGATGCCGACTGGCGCGCCGCTCTTCGACCTCCCGCGCAGCCACGTAGGCGACGTGCCGTACGGCGTCCCGATCTTCACGTGCGCGAACCCGGGACAGATCGCGCTAACGTTCAACGAGGGCCCCTCGGAGTGGACGCAGACGATCCTGGACGCGCTGGACCACTACGACTTCAAGGGCACCTTCTTCATCGCGGGGTCGGCGCCCACGGACCCGAACAACAACTCGTCGGCGCGGCACACGAACGTAGACGACCCGGGGACCGGGTGGCCCGCCCTGCTGAGCCGCATCCACGAGAGTGGACACCAGATCGCGTCGCACACGTACACGCACGCGCGGCTCGACGGGGACGGCGGGGCGGAGGCGCTGGTTAATGAGATGGTGTATAACGAGATGGCGCTGCGCAACGCGTTTGGGCTGATCCCGGCGTACATGCGTCCGCCGTACGGGGTGTGGCGCGATCCTAATGTGCGCGAGCAGCTTGAGGGGCTGGGGTACCATGTTATTATGCATAACCTGGACACGCACGACTACGAGCACGATGGCCCGGAGGAGATACTGAAGTCGGTGGATATGTTCAACGATATTGTGCGAATCGACGGGAATGGTTCGTATATCGTGCAGATGCAGGATTCGAGGCAGTGGACGGCGATGGTGCTCGTTCCTGCTATACTGGAGTCGATGGTGCAGAGGGGGTACCAGGGTGTGACGGTGGGGGAGTGCTTGGATGATGCGTTTTTCTATTGGTACCGCCAGCCTGAGCCATGATGGGGCTAGGTGTTGTATGGGCCGGAGCAGAGAGCATGATCCGGATTATAGATTGGACTTTCCGGACATTCATAGGTGAACATGGCCTGATTAGCGATGATATGGGAGAGAAAAGGGGTCACCCCTATTCATTCTAGTTTGAAGCTTTCTTGGAACATTCACATCGTTAAACATAACAATTGATTGCTGTGCTTCTTCACTCTACCCTTTTCCGGAGGTATGTTTGTTTGCATGTGATACGTTCGATTAAGGTCTCGCTCTCGCTGGCGAACTCCATCGGAAGACGACATCCGTTCTTGTCGTCTAGTGTACTTGCGAATACCAACCTAAGTGTAGATATCCACGAGGATGAAGTTTAGAATCGCCTTTCCAGATCAAGACTGTAAAGTGTCGCTCGATGATCGGCCGAACGACGTTTAGTTAGCGTCATCCCTTCAGCCGCAAAACTCGGTAAGATCGCCTCCCATATAAGCGAAGTCTTGGTCTGCGGTAGGTGAGACACCCTTGTAATAAGCTAATTTCCACCGGCCGCGATGGGCACTGATTGGAGCGCATCAACGTTAGTGGCTCGCGTCGCCTCTCTACCGAGGCTTTGTTGTTCAAGTCTCCTAGAAAAGATGGTTTTACTACTAACGAGAAAGATGATAGTCAAAATATCAGCTGTCCCTAGACTCAAATTTGAACTAGACGAGGCTCAAGCGAGCAGTGTCATCCCCAAATAGGCTTGGCCGGCTCTTGATCGGAGAGCCTCTCAAAGCTTAGCAAGAAATAATCCCTGCTTGCGGCGGGTTTCCTTTCTCGCCTGGTGATCTGATCCCTCTGATCCCCCCTCACCCAGCGGAATGTTGCTTTGTGGGGGCTCCATGGGGGAGAGGAGATGACGCCCTCCTTCGGCTTCCCCATCCCACCCCCATTCCCTTTGTATGGAACTGGAACTAGAACTAGGTATGTATGTCACCAATCCTACCTAGCCTGCATATTTTGGAGATTTGGGGCAGCGGGGTCAGGCTTCAAGGAAAACATCGAATTGTCTCTTCGGCGCCGTATTTGGGATCCCAGTCTCAGTCCTAGCTCTGCGCAGCTGCCCTGGTTCTTTGTCATGTTTGTAACCTGGGTTGGCCACCTCGGCCTGATATCGGGTACGAGACACAGCGAGGACCAGGATTCGTGATTTGTTTCCTCGAAGCTATTGGTTCCGACGCAGAGGTCATGCTGTGACGCGACCCTAAGCCGTAACAGGTATTACGTTCGATGAGATTCCTTTTTTCCCCTACATGTAGGAATATTTATCAGGTATATATCTTGTAGATCATCCCCCTCTCCGGTTTGTCTTCGAGGCTTTTAGAAAACCTCTCACAACATTAGCTCTTGCTTTCGTGAAAGCAAAAAGTGAAGCTCGTATATGTGTGTATATATGTCTCAGTGGTGCTGACGAATCGATCTCACGTTGCTACAAGCAAGGAGAGACGAGATGGAGAGGCTACCGGGCTTGAACGTAGCTAACTTCCTAGAGAAGCGCCAGCTACTCATCGCGATCAATTGTATCGCGGCGCTGGTACGTACCAAATCAATTTTGCTTTTCGAACTCCGGAAGCTTACCTTTACGGATTGACGCATAATCTAACTCGTCACCGGTCGTATTAGTCCATCTTCTTCTTTGGATATGACCAAGGTATGATGGGCGGTGTGAACAACGCCAAGGATTATATCGATCTTATGGGCTTTGGCTATGTCGACCCAGTGACAGAAGAGCCCATCGTCACCGACAGCCTGCTTCAAGGCGGAATCGTCTCTGTGTATTACTTGGGAACTTTGTTCGGCTGCCTTGGCGGAGGATGGGTTGGCGACAAAGTTGGTAGAATCAAGACTATCGCTTTGGGAGCCGTCTGGGCTATCGTGGGTGCCAGCTTGCAGTGCTCAGCCCAGAACCATAAGTGGATGATCTGCGCTCGGGCTGTTAACGGAATTGGAACTGGTATTCTCAACGCCATTGTCCCAGTCTGGTAAGTTTATTCTCTGCCACTTTTGCAATAAAATGTCTGACCCGGTATTTGCCAGGGCAACTGAGACAGCGGAACACACCTCGAGAGGCCAGTTCATAGCCATTGAGTTCACGCTGAACATTTTCGGTGTTGTCGTCGCCTATTGGCTCGAGTTTGGTTTGTCATTCGTCGACAACGGTGATTCGGCAATCCGGTGGCGATTCCCCATCGCCTTCCAGATTATTCCTCTCCTTATATTGCTAGCTTCGGTTTGGTTCTTCCCCGAGTCACCGAGATGGCTTGTTAAGGCTGGGCGCGTCGAAGAAGCTCGATTCATCTTGCATCGTCTGCGAGGATCTACCGGAGAAGACCGTGAGAGGGCAGAAGTGGAGTTACATGACATTAACAACATCGTTGCACTCGAGTCCAAAGAGTCCAAGAAGAACTCGTATCTGCATATGCTATTCGGCATCGGTTCAGGAGAGCTTCACACCGGAAGACGTGTACAACTCGTCATCTGGCTTCAAATTATCCAAGAATGGGTCGGCATCGCGGGAGTCACGATCTATGCGCCCACCATTTTCCGCATAGCTGGCTTTGACACGTTTAAGAGCCAATGGATTAGTGGCCTGAACAACATTTTCTATATGTTTGCCACGCTCATCTGCGTCTTCACTTTGGACCGCATCGGCCGTAGGTGGACTCTTTATTGGGGCGCAGTTGGCCAGGGTATCGCCATGTTTCTCGCCGGCGCTTTCTCCAAGTTAGGTCAAGATGCGACAGCGAGAGGAGAGATTGATAAGGCCAACTCTTACGGAGCCGCCGCAGCGTCCTTTGTCTTCATTTTCACTTCTGTCTTTGGTGCAACTTGGTTGACGGTGCCTTGGCTGTATCCTGCCGAAATCTTCCCTCTCCAAGTACGAGCAAAGGGAAACGCTTGGGGTGTTTTCGGTTGGTCGATCGGAAATGGATGGCTAACATTGCTGTGTCCTGTCATGTTCTCCAGTAAGTCAAGCTCGCCGCTTACGAATCTTTCCCCTTTTTGATCGATGGAACTAAACGATGATAGGCATTGGCTCCACGACCTTACACATCTTCGGTGCGTGTAACATAGTAGCGATCCCAATCGTCTGGGCTTTTTACCCCGAGAGTAACCAGAGGACGCTTGAGGAGATGGATCTCTTGTTCGCCGCGCACAGCCCTTGGGTCTGGGACGCCGAGAAGAAATTTGCGGAACTGAAGGAAGAGCAGCCAGACCTCGTCCAGGCCGCGAGAAGAGGCGAACACGTCGTTGACCCTGAGGCCGGCGTCCTTGTGCATCCCGCAAATTCAAAGCCGGAGGATGCTGTCCACACGGAGAGCGAAGAGCATGTGTCCCCTTAGACGTGTTTTTTGCTCAAGCTTCAGGCGACACTTCCGTGGATGTCCGCATGTATACTTGCGTATTCATCTTTTGATGCACTACAGCTATCGGCATAGGTCCCGAGTGAGTTGATGGGATGGGTGGTTTGTGATTCCATCTAGAGCGTCAGCTCCTATTGTTCAAAGAAAACCAACTACCTAGACAACATCCATATGTCCATTCTCAAGGTTCTTTCGATACCCCAATAAATAAACGAAAACTAATTAATTTTCTAAGACGTCCTTACAATTCCATTTTTCTCAGCTTACACTTGACTTTGAAACAGCCATCTGCCGAGCGAAGATATTGGAGAGACCCATCAAAGCAAAGCCAAGACCCGAGAGATGGGTACTGAAACGATTTGCCCGCAGCGATCTACAAATGCCCATTTATTTTTAGAAGTGTTTCGCACGAAGCATCTTGGAAAAGAAGAGAAACAAGCCGAGACGGAGTCGTGATGCTGAAACGTCTTTTTCCTATTATTTTCTCTCGGCATCCCTTGGCATCATTTCTTCTACGTAACAAGCTTCTCATCCTTCCCGGCCCCGGCTCCTAAGCCCATTTCATCGTATCTTAACTGATCTTATCCCATTACGCCGTCTAATAAGTGACTGGATATTCCAACATTGAAGGTATCTCACTCCATCACGCCGGACTCCGCAGTGCTCGCCTAGCCCTCCACCCAGCAATCCAGACAATAAAAATATTAGATATTCACGATGAGAAATCCATAGGATGCGATCTCTCCGTGCCCAAAGCCCCGAAAGTATTCAGCGCATCATTGAAGACGCTATCTGGTATAACAGGGGGTATCAATCTACGGCGATATGTTAGTCTATGAACATGCCAATAGGTACTATAAGTGAATCCATACTTCGGAGCTCTGTGACGTCTAGTCAACATTATACAATGTTTATTTCGAGGCTATTCCCTGGCCTCCAAGAGCCGCAGCATTATTTCTGGCAGCCTCTCCTTCCGCGCCGTTGAATCCGATAGCACCATCACCGACCACCAAGGCAGGTGAATAAGCTCCGAGGTTGATGTTTAGCGGGGCAGCGGCAGCAAGAGCCGCGAAGGTAGCGAAAGCGATAGCGAATGTAGACTTCATGTTTTTTTTGTCTTTGGTGAAATATGGGGTTAGGGAGAATGGGCGGAGAGACGAGAATGATGCGATGGAGAAGAAAGACGACTAGATCCAACGTAGAGAAAGTAATATGGTGCACCTGTGCACTTTCCTGGAAAAGATAACTATGAAGAGATACAAGAGAACGGAAGTTGGGATGAAGAGGGCCGGCTGACGGAACAAGAGGAGAGAGATGGAAGATTGGGAGATGTCAGCATTCTTATTGTCTTCCCCAGATCTCATCTCCGATGAACTTTCAAACGCACTGACTAGCTGTTACACATTTCTCTTCTATTCCGGGGCAAGAACCCAGAATATCCTTGGATATCGATGAAGCGCAAGTGCTAAATCTGCCAAGCTTCGTCGCCAAGGGCCTCAGATCGGGCCAAGCCGTGGGATCTCCTGGAGTCTGTCGCAAGCCCCACGAGCAATACACCCATCCGTGTCTGGGAGTGAAGAAACAACTTTAGAAATCCATCTACCCTACTAGGTAGTTCACACACCAAAAGCTCACTAATTAGTTAAACTAGTTGTCGTGACGCTAACGGCGAAGGGTGTGTTTCGACCTTGACGACACCATCGAATCAGATAAGCCAATTGCAGGCTATTGAGAGAACTAAGCGGAAAACTACAAGATAGTCTAACAAGGCCAAGCCTCTGTAGTACGTATGTGTATATTTCACGAATCTAGTTCACAGGTTACCTAGTATCAACAGATCCTATTAACACACACCCACCTAGTTGGAACATTATTACCTTCCGTCACTTTAGATCCTCCAGAGGACCATGAAGTAGAGCATGTGGCTAGGGAGAATAGAGAGTCAGCAGTATATAATGCCTATGATACCTAGGTAGGTAGTTATCTGTTTTAATAAACTGTACTGGTGATGCATCGATCTGGTCACGGTGCGTCGATATGCCGTATTGCCAAGCTGTGTCATGGAAACCCTCTTGGACAGACATGACACAACCCAAAATAGATTCAGTAGACTCGCTAACTTATTTTCTCATATTTCCTTCCCCGTTTCCCTTAGGATAATGCCTAGTTGGTGAAACTGGATGGCATCGGATGGAACTATCCTGCTTGGCTTTTACAAAGTAGGGGCAGGTTCTTATATGGCAACAACGGTTATGATTGGATGTGAAATGCATAGTTTAGATTATAAGAGTAACTTGACAGCCTCTCTTAGTGCGCCATTGCCAGTTGCTGGAAGACCAATTTTTAAAAATACCTATAAGGCCTCTGCAGGTTGTCAGGTTGGCCAATGCATACCTAGGAAGCGTGGGATGTCTACAGTACAAATATATGTATAACTTGGATATCGTGATCCAAAGTCCTCGTGCCAGGACAAGCAAACTCAAGTGGTCGTGGACTCGTGGTTGGGTGTCATGTATCCAGGCGCTACAGCAACTCCTTAATAAGAGACCTCCTTATTATTCAACAACTCCTACATCAAACTCCCTACAAATCCGGCATGTCACTCAAATAGCTCTCCAAGCCCTGTAACTCGATCCCGCGCTTCTTATTGACCGTGATATCCAAATCCCACGCGACACCTCTCCCCACCGCCCACACATACGTATACTTGAGCATCCCATCACCCGGCCTCTCCCTCAGCCTCTCCCTCAAGAACTCCTCATCCCACATCTCCTCCACCCACTCCCCGCCAAACCTCTCCCTCACCAGCTCCGCGATCCGCCTATACGACACCGTATCCCCAGCAACATACACAACCCCCCTCTCGCGCTCCCTCTCCCTCTCATCCAACACAATCTCCGCGGCAACCCTACCAATATCCCGCGCCGTCGTAACCGACACCCTACCCTCCCAGCTCCCTAGCGCCCTCACCGTCCTCCCCCTTAAATCCACGACCCCGAACTCAGGCTTGAACAGAAAACTCATAAACAACCCCGTCGAAACAATGACCCACTCCATACCCTCCTGCTCCCTAAGCAGCGCCCGCACATGTAACTGCTCGTCGAACAAATCCTGCGCGCTGCCGCGCCCCACGACGTCGTAGTCGACGCCCCATTGCCAGGGCACGTACCTCTTCACCCGCGCATCGAGCACCGCTCTTGTGATCTTGACCTGCGTACCCTTCGGCATGCCGAAGCCGGCGCAGCACACCACGGTGTCGAAGCGGGCAAAAATCGCCGCGAGCCGCGCCGCGGAGTCGGTGGCCAGGTCGCCGGGCTCGAGGGACGCGCCTAGCGACCGCAGACGCGCGTTCTGCTGCTTCTTCTCAGGGTCCCGGGTCTCGATCGTGGAGTTTCTGAGCAGCACGGAGATCTGGGTGCGCCCACGCTCGCGCTGGGGATGCGCGGCGAGGGCTTCGAGGACGCAGGTCCCGAGCTCGCCGGCACCGAGGATGAGGATGGAGGAGGGGTTGGACATTTTGGGGATATAAAAAAGGTAGATCGGTATACTAATTCAGAGTTCCACGGTTGAATTTTGTGCCGAGGTTACAGCGTCCTGATTACAGAGTTATTTGGAGAAAAAAGTCGACCATCTTGGATGAGCTACATGTCACCCTTTTTGTATACTGCGAGGGAATACGCTAGAGAGAAGTGATGACAAATGAACATTGGATCTCGAGAACTAGACGGCTTCATATACGCAGTATGCATTTTTCTTTACCGACTATACAGGCATAGAAACCAACCAGGGTTTGACAGAACGACGATCTTCGATTTTTAATTAGTAATGCGTAGTAGTCTCGGGGGAAGTATGTGAAGTTTACTTAGACCTTAGGAGATAATAGGGGTTAGGCCATTAAAGTCCGGAATGGCTTGGCGGGCGTAACCGAATCGAGATCCAAGCTAGAAGATCTAGTAAAGTTGGGCTTCATGGAGCTATTCAACATCTTCAACTTTCATGAATTCATATTGTTAATAGTCTAAGTGTTGTAGCAAAATAGACTCTAGCTTTTTGATAATGTACAGAAGTCCAAGTATCGAAATAAGCATTGTACTACGAACTACAACATACTAACATTGCTAGAGCAAACATAAACGTTTCTAATAACGAAATACATTAAATACAAGAGTATAAGTTATGGTATTACTCGTCATATGGGGAAATCAATGTTTCTAACGTAAGCCGCTAGCAAATCTACTTGCTATAAGCCAAGGCAGGAAACTAGCGGAACACGCCGTACATGTAAGACAACACTCAATCATACAATCTGACCCATCCAAGACTCTCGATAGACCACATCCCCGGTTGGGGTGCCATGTAGACTCCCTTCCAATAAAACTTGTTTCGCTATCGCCTTAATCCAAGACTCTACCCGCCACGCCTGCGCCGCTCCTATCCTTCGTTTGCGTCTTCTTCAATGACTTGCCTAGCTGAATCTCGTTCAATAGAGCGGCAGGCCTACCACCGCTAGGAGCGCTTGGCATGTTACCTGCAGCCGGTGGCGGAGGCGGAGGTGGAGGGGCCAGGCCTGGAATTGGGGGTGGAGGAGGCGGAGCTGCTGCGGGAGCGCCGAAATCAGGCATAGGGGGAGGCGGCGGTGGAGGAGCTCCAAGGCTCGCTTCGGGCATTGGCGGAGGAGGTGGAGGAGGTGCAGCTTCCGCAACGGGAGGAGGGCTGAACGGCGGCGAGGCCACAGCCGGTGAAGCGCCGACGGACTTGTCGCCTGTAGCGGATAGTGGTCGAGGAGGGCCCATGGAACCGAAGAGGAGCGATGCTAGTTGGGCAGCGCCAGCGGCAGGGCGCTCGTCGTCCGAGTCTTCGTCGTCCTCTTCGCTTCCAGAACCCCACTCGTCATCCGTGTCAGGCCTCTTCCGAGATGGTGCTGGCGCTTTAGCCTCCTGGGTTATCCGGAAGAACGGGTTGTTGGTAGATACCTCTGGCTGAGGTGGTGGCGGTGGGGGAGGTGCAGGAGCCGGAGCAGCAGGTGCCGCAGCGGGGGGTGCTGCCGGTGACTCCGAGGACTGCGACAACATCCGGCGGTACGGATTGCGGCTCTCCGTTTCGGACGGCGGGCTAGTGACGACTGAAGGGGGTGAAATTACAGGCGCAGCAGGAGCAGGAGGGGGTGTGGCTTTACGTTCTAATTCCTGGCTGCCGAGCTGACTACTACCGAGAGTAGGAGTAGATGCTTGAGGAGTGATCTGCTGTGGGCCTTCGTCATCATCCGAGGACGACTCTTCCTTTTCCATCGCTGCGAGCTGTCGCTGCAGCTCGAGTTCCCGTTGGCGGGCGGCTTCGATCTCGGCACGCTGGGCGGCCAACTTCGCCTCCTTCTCTTTGGCTTCGGCCATAGCAGCCTTCTTTCTCTTCTTTTCCTCTTCTTTCTTTAGCTTGCCCTGGCGCACTTGCTCTTCCAAAGCTTTTAGACGGGCGGAAGCAGCGTCGCGTTCCTTAGCGACCTCCTCTTCCTGTTGTCTAGCCTCGTCCCTATTTTTTAAATTAGTCTGGATTAACAAGTTTAGAACGGTAAGATGTACGTACTCCATTTTTTGGGTGGCTCGCTGTTGTTCTTCGTGCTCTTTAGAGAGACGTTCTTCCTCAGCTTTCCTACTAGCCTCTTCCTCCTCAGCCTTCCTTGCAGCATCTTCGTTCCTGCCTACTTTCCTCGAAGGTGGTGGAGGTGGTTTCTTAGCTTCTACCTTGGGTGCAGGGGGAGGCGCGCCTTGCTCCTCGGCGATTCTAGCCTGCCGCTCGGCTTCGCGTCGCGCATCTTCTTCCTCAGCTTGACGGAGCTTCGCAGTTCTTTCAGCCCTTTCACGTTCCATTCGCTGAGCAGCAGTTTCGCCAGGCTTCGAAGGCGCCTTGATACCAAGGGCTGCAAGTCGCTCGGCCATACGTTGTTCTGCTTGCTGTTTGATAAACGCCGCTCTCTCTTCTGGGGTCTTATAAGATGAATATGAGCCACCACTGGGAGCAGGGGACGATGTGGTGGGAGGCGTGGCGGTACGAGTCGCCGACGCGGGACTGTCAAATCGAGCTGGTGGTGCCTCTGCCTGAACGGCTTCAGCAGTCGGGGCCCGTCCGCCCTTGCGGTCTTGTGCTCTAATTCGAGCTGCTCGGCTTGAACGTTGCAAATCGAAGATAAAATCTCGAACCTCATCTTCGACTCCAAGAGCATCTTCCCACCTCCGTTTCTCGTGCTCGTTGGCGGAGCTCTGACCGCCCTCCTTGAGGCTATCTTCGATACCTCGCGAAAATTCACGGACACTATCTTCTACATCCCGGACCATGCGCTCATTGTTCTCTTTCTCGGTTCTGACCTTGAGGTTCTCTTCCTCTAATCGCTTCTGCGCGTCACCATCGTCGCCAGCGACATCTACCTTCTTACCAGTTAGTGCAGCCGTCCTCTGTTGCATCATAGCCTTGGCTCTGGCCTTAAGACGGTCCGACTCGGTTATCGATCCACCTGGTCCGGTGCCAATAATATTAGAGGCACTTCCAGGATGAGCCTTCGCGTCTCTGAGTCGGAAAAGTTCAAGCTTGGCATCAGCAATGGCTTTCTCCGTTTTCCTGACTTGAGAAGCTAGTTCTGGAATCTTGTCGGTGAGATTCTGTAGTTGACGCTTCAGAGCTCTCCTTTCGGCTTCGGAATCACCGCTTGCTAAGGCTGCATCGGGGTGATTATCGATGTCATCCTGGATCCGGCGGATGCGACGGTATAACTCCTCGGCTTCACGTCGATCGCGCCTATCGAGGATATCATCCTCCTCAGCAGCTGCCTCGTCCTTGAAATCCATAGCGTCTAGGAGAACCTGTTTCTCTCGAATCTTTTTCCTTAATTGATCAAGGGATAATTCCTCATTAGATGCCACAGACGAAGGCGACTCGGGTCGTGGTGAGGAATTGCCAATCCGGCGTCGTGCGCTTGATCTGTATCCAACATCGTCGTCATTATTCTTGAATACAGTAGCGTCTTTCCGTCCGCCACCGAATCCGCCAGCATTTCCCTTGAATGAATGGCTTTTTAAGTAACTGACTCCTGTCTTTTGGGGGAGCAAGGCAGCCCCCGACGTCTTGCGGAAGTCAGACTCCTGGCTCAACATGGACTTGATGGTACCAAGCGACTCAGTGAGGTTGCGCGTAGAGGGCGGAACAAGCTCAGGAGGCAAAACATTAGGGACAGGATAACCGTTCAGTTTTCTGTATATCAAGTGCATCGCAACAGCGAATTCGTCGAGGTTAAGCTTGCCCTTGTTTCCGTTATCTGCAAGGGTCCAGATACGCTCAAGATCGGTCTTCTCGAGACCGCTTTGACCGAAAATCTCGATCGCTTGGTCGCCTCCAATAAAACCCTTGTGCAGACCATCCCATGCGCGGAACAATTGATCGTAACGAGTTTTCTCGTCCTTAGTAATAGCCCAAGGAATCACAGCGTTACCGGACAAGCCAGCAGTAGTATAATTCTGTTGTTCACGGCCTGCTTGTGGCATCATTCGGGCTTGTAATGCGTCGATATTAGGCAGGCCGGACGCCGGGGCATTGACCAAGCCCCATTGTCCGGGTTTCCCAGTGGGCTGCGCGTTTAGAGGAGCCGCACTTGCAGGAGACAAACCACCAGGGAAACCCGTAGGCATTGGTGGCATAGGAGGTCTAGGTCCGTTGTAGCCCGTCGGTTGTGGATTATTCATGCCCCCGAGATATCCAGTCGGCTGAGGTTGCATTGCCTGGCCGGGGAATCCCGTAGGCTGACTTGGAAAGCCAGTTACCTGCGATTGAAGCAACTGAGAGTTCGTCGGTATGGGTTGAGGATGTTGTATCGTCGGCGGAGTAGAGGCATTCTGTCTAGTAAAATCAGGAGCATTGGTTGCAGCTCCTGAACTGGCCGCATCGTCTGCGATACTGAAATTGATAATATCGACCATGCTCGAAACTTCATTCTTGATATTCTCCGGCAAGTTGGCTGGGAGGGTTTTGCCCACAAGCTTTAAGTTGCAGAGGTACATGGCCAACGCAAACTCCGGAAAGTGGAGCTCACCGGATCGAGTGGTGTCTGCAAGCGTCCTATGTGAAGGCGTGATTAGAAAAGTGTCTATGGGAAAGGGATGGCATGAAACTTTACCAGATATGCGATAGAGAATCCCCATCCAATCTTGATCTTAATAACAGGTCTCGAGCCTTCTCTCCAGACATAGTATTCTGACCCTCACCTAGGGCTGACTTAAACAGTGTCTCGAACTTGGCTTGATCTTGAGCGGTTATAAACGATAATCGGATGTTCGGGATCTTGCTTGTGGGCTTCGCAGCCCTTCGACCCCTCGGTTGGGAATCGGAGGCACCGCCGGTCTTGAAGGAAGCGGCCATGGCGCTGAAGCCTGTCGGCTGAGCATTTATCGCCGGGGCTGGGGCCTGAGGTGGAATCTGTGTGGTCGGTAAGGAAAACGAATTCTGTTGCGGCGGCGGCTGCGGCTGCTGTTGTTGCTGCTGGTTGAACTGGCTTTGGAATTGTGAAGGAATCTGTGGCACTGGCGGAACGCTCGATTGAAACCCCTGTTGCGCAGCAGCCGCACCCGCGTACCCCGTCAACTGAGGCGTTTGTAGGTTCACAACAAGAGCGGACTGTTGAGGCATTCCGGTCATCTGCGGCTGTAAGCCTTGAGGGGTTTGGGAGCCAGGATAGCCGGTATACTGCTGAGTTAAGGGAGCCTGCCCATATCCCGTCGGTTGCGGCGCGAATGGACTTGGCTGCTGTCCCGGCGGCTGTTGAGGCTGCTGCCCTGGGCCACCAGCTCCCATTCCGTACGAGTTGCCATACTGCTGCTGACCTGGATGCAGGTTGTTGGCGCCCATAAACGAGTTGGAATTAGAATACATGGTGAGAAAAAGGAGAAGGTCTTATTCAAATCAACAAAGGAACTTGCTAAGAGTAGGGACTGGATAAGGAGGCCCCAAAGGACCGAGCAGAGCTCCTTGATGAATATGTTGAAGAAGAATAAGAAGAATAAGGAAGTTGTTGTAGATGACGAAGCTGCTCTAGAAATCAAATAGAACTTGAAATGGAAACCGAATAGGATAAGGAGTGGCTTGGCATAATTTGGTCAAAAACTTACCTAAACAGTACCCTGCCACTTGCCTGGCACTGACCACGAGAAGGAAGGCCCGAGGTGCCGATTTACGTACGGGTTTTTGAGTGTGTACATACTGATGTACATATTGACCCAATTGCACGGACCAATTTTAGGGGGATACAGGGGGGTATTAAGAACAATTACACTAGAAACTCAGCGGCTGTCTCACGTGCTGACGTGCATAACACATCCACTATGATTTACTGCTATAATTGTGTCAACTTCCTTAATTCTCCGTACTAGGTACTGGACATAAGATACTACGATCCCTAACACCAACGTACCAATGTGCGTCATGATCAGTATCGCAACGTATTAGCGACAGGAACAGATATACAAATTACCTGGCAGCCTGGAAGTATGCAGGCAGATAAGTAGTATTGGTCAACTGATATTACCCAGGCACGTCCAATTTGGAAATGGATGTTCATACATTTTCAGGTCGATTTTGCATTTATTCTCTTCTTACTTCTTGCTTTCACGACTATTACACTTTTCTCGTCTCCCATTACACCAAATTAACATCTGCACTCCCTTTTCTCATTCACCTGGTCCGACCACTGCTCGAGTAGTGATCAACCTCCTTGTAAGGCATGGTCAAGGTATCCGACTGAGGTCTGCCTGGAAAGACTCTAGAAGTCGTGTCTTTGCGGGCAGCTCACTTGCCTAATTGTAGACGCCTATAAATAAGTTTCCTACACCTTACTGGACTGTCGAGGTAGGGAATTGGTCGGCATTCTTCTTTGCCCATCCCTTGAAGTCTATCTTGGAGGCAGCTGTGCTCAGGGCACCGGACAAGCCGTACTGGGTTTTGACACCCTCAATACGGTGGGTCGAGTTGATGTTCTTGACCAAGACGATCTGGTAGCAAGTAGCGGTTCCCTGTCGGGAAGCGATAGTGGAAGCGGCAAGGAAGTATTCCCAGATCTGTTATATCCTGTTAGTAACCTAATTCAGCACTCAGCTGTGCATGAAAACTTACGCGGAACCATCGCTTTCCGTACTTGGCCACAACCTTCTCACGATTGGCCAACCAATTTCTATACCAGCGCCACATAGTCGCGGAGTAGTGCACTCCAATCGTATCTATGCCCTTGACTTCAAAACCGGCACCCTCAAGTCCACCAACGAAAAAGTCCAGAGGAGTCGACGCGTCAGCACCGGGGAAAATGTATTTGTTCATGAATAAGCCCCAGATCAAATCTTCATACTGCCATGGCTTTCGAAGGCCAGCGATTTGTAGGAAGAATACACCATCGTCATCGAGCATATCATAGACCTGCTTTAAGAAAGTGCCATACTTGCGGACACCGACGTGCTCGGCCATCTCAAGGCAAGTGATCTTGTGGTATCCACCTTCCGGTACAGGAATATCGCGATAATCCATGCAGAGAATCTTGCTCTGCTCTTCGGGAATATTGACATTACGTAGGGCTTTGTTACCCCAGGCGGTCTGGTTGCGGCCAAGAGTGATGCCAGTGACGTGGGCACCATAGTTGACACTCGCGAATCGTGCTAGAGTACCCCAACCGCAGCCAATGTCGAGCAGTCTCTCGCCTTCCTTTAGATCGATCTTTTCGCAAACGATCGCGAGCTTGTTGTCCTGAAGCTGTTCCAGAGTCTCCTCCGTGTTGATGTCTGACATAACGCCAGTAGTGTAGATCATACGGGGACCCAAGAACCAGCCGTAGAAATCATCACCACGGTCATAGTGGTCACGGACTTGTTCCTCATCTTGGTCCTGTTAGCTAGACGAACCCTCGTGATGAGCATTGGTAGATATCTTACCCTGGCTTCGCGAATGCATGATAACCTCGGGCATCATGCCAAACAGGAAGTATTTGCAGAGACCCCAAGTGAAACGGAAGCTTGCCCAGTCATGCCTGTACTCCATGACTTCAAGGCAATCACCGTTGAAATCGACATCTCCGTCGAAGTACATCTCGTAGAAAGTCTCCATGGGGATCTTGTTTCGGCCATGGTACTTGACTTTGTCAGATTGCCTCTTGAAGGTGAGGTAGTGCTCGACCGGTCGTCCGGGATACTTGACCTTCTCGTTCTTTCGGGGGCTTATGGCGGAGACGGTAAGCCAGAAACCAGCTAAGATGGGAATGCTCGTGAACAGCGCAAAGAAGATAGCAGTCTTCAGGCCACCCCCGACTTTCCATGACAGGTAAAGCGGGACACCGCCCATCAGGGAGAAGAGGAGGAGGTTGGAAAAGCTTTCGGCGCCGGCGGAATCCGCGGGGAGAGGGCCATTCTTGATAGAAGGGTACTAGAAAAGGATCGTTAGCTGTATAGTAGAGAAAATTGAATGCTGGACGAGGGCTGAGGCCAGACTTACCGACGTAGTTCGTACACCGCACTCCTCAAACTTCTCGAAAGTGGGCGTGGGAGCTTTGGGAGTTTCGATGAATTCGAACTCGGACTCGCTCCCATTGACACTATGAGGCTTCGACATAGTGAAGTTTTTGCAAAGCTCTGATAGAACAGACTTTGCAGGAAACTTCTCTTTGTCTTGTGAAAGTTAGTGTTAGGAGAAGAATTTGTGGGAAAAAAGGACGAAGATAGTTGATTCGCCTTGCCCTCTAAGGGGGGTTTAGTTCTTTTCGTAGCTTTCCCACTTTCACAGACCGCCGCTCTTCTGCTTCTCCAAATTCGATAAACCTTCCGAACTTTCTATCAATTGGCCTCTATGAGTGGCTGGGACCCTTAAACTAGGGGGTTAGAATGTGCCGTTCCGTTGTAGTTAGTGTGGGTCTGCAGCCAAAACCCCACCTCGCTAGCGCCTAGGCACCGACATTTCTTACAACCCGGCACGTGTTAACATGCGTGGATAAGCCTCAGAAGACGAATAGGAGTAAACCCTTCACTTCATTATGGGTATTTCACGATATGTATGGTACATACACTACCTGTGTAGTATACACGTGTTTAATCGCTTCGATATGTACTAGGTACGTATATTCACCTCGTTCACTATAGAACCCTCAACGGGATCCGCGGAGAGGTTTTATCTATATCGACGCAAAGACGCAAAGGCGGCGGGAGATAAATTGATAATATAACCCACCTCACATATACCTAAATCTCTTGGCAAGAAGTCCATCCTAATCAACAAGATCGGTCAACAATTGTATAGAAATGACCAAGCTAGATGACTAAGAAGGGCGATGATGCTGTAATCCAATTCCCCATGGCCATTACCCCTACATAGGCATGAGTGCAGGAATATTTGTTGACCTGGTAGGCTACGCAGCTTATAAAGTTGAGAGGTAGATTCTAGGTACTACATAGTTATGTACCTATGCACACCCAGGCAGATAGTGGAGAGACGTAGCGGGATATCGGTGCACGGTACCGACCTCAACTGTTGATGCTTGCCGGGTTCCGTCGGCGGTATGGGCATAGAGGTTGGGAACAACGCATACACCACTTCCCGCCGAAACAACCACTTCAGGTGGAATATCGACCGTAAACGAACGTTGAGGCTGCTTGAGTAGAAGCTGTGTTCTTCGGTATTGCAGGACGCGAATAGCATCGTTTCAAGCGTAGTCCAGCCTAAGCTATAGCGGCGGTTAGTTATCCTTGACGTTGTAGATAAGGAGTACGGTTATGGTCAAATTTAACGTATCACAAACACTTGATACCCCTTCGTTTAGAAATGTCTGATGACCGAAGGTTAGCATCAATTCTAATATCATGTAGTAAAGACATCGCATTGATAGTAACTACGAACTGCATTCTCTAGCAAGGCGACTTACATGTCAATAGCCATGCGCTTAGGAGCTCCTTAGGGGACTTACTTTCCCCAGCACTTTACACCTTAATCCCTAGGGTCGTAAATCATGCTGCTGGAGTCGATCCCGCCTAGGATGGCATAGATCGGGTATACACGAAACTCTGAGGATTTTTGAAGTATGGATTGTGCGAAGGCTCGTAATTCGGTGTAGTAAAATGGTGGCGAGACGATGGGCCCGAATTTCTAGAGTGGTCAGAGTTGGTTGAGCACGAACTAAGATATTCAGCGCCTCGAACTTCGGTCGGAATATCTCTGACTAGTCCGGTCTCGATCGTGACGACTATAACTATTACTGTAATCGCGGTCTCGTCGTTCGCGCTCGCGTTCAGACTTGTAACTGGTACTATGACGCGATTCGCGGTCTCGCCTTTCCTTTTCTTTGTCCCTCCGATACTCATCTAGACGGGGCTTTCGTTCACGATGCCCATGTTTTTGGGCTAGCTCCCCCTTCCTAATCTCTTCATCGACCTTCGCGCCAAGACCTAACAAGTTGGGTCGCTTCTTGACTTCCTTGAGCTTGCTGCCGCGCTGTTCACCGTTCCAACCCATACCGCGAAGCATAGCAACCCCAAATTCTCCTTCAGGTATCTGATCATATTCTTCGACGGTGGATACCTCGGCGGCTTCCTCCATTCGACGGCGGTAAACATCTATCTCGGAAGGAGTCTCGGGAGTATTACGCGCTGGCGTGCCTTCGATGATGAGGTCTTTAGCAGACTTTCTCTTCTTGCCAAGGAGGGCGTCCATGGCGTCGTCTTCGTCGCTCTGGGATACTTTTGAACCCGCATCTCGAGAAGTTTCCTTGGAATCGGATGGTGCAGATTTCTCTCGGCTCGAATGGCCATCGTCAGGTTGTTCGGCATCGCCAGACATCGATTTCTTCGTCGTATTCAAACCCCATTTAATCTGACTGTCTTGATCGGCCGGCGCTGTTTCTCTGAGGTCGCTAGGTCGCACTTCCTTGGTCCCCCGAGCTTGGGCCTGGGCCTTTAGTTCCTTCTTCCAGTCGCGATCTTCATGACCAGAGATCACGTAGGGTATGACACCGCGCCTAGGTTTGTCCGTCCCTAGTTTCTGTCTCTTAACTTCAGAATTGTCTGAATCGGATGACTCTCCACCAAAAGTTGTTATAGCCTCATGTCTACCGCCAGCTTCTTCGCCGCTGTCCGAGTCTGAATGGGAATCGAATTTTTGATTGTTTGATTGAGCTCGGTGGCGTTTACCTAATGTCGAAGATGGTTGCGTACGGGCCTGTCTTTTTAATCCGTTAGTCGGCTTCGACGACGACGAGGCACCAAATTTTATCGCTATCCGTGGAGCTGGGTTTGACATCTTCGCAGTTGAGGGGCTGGTAAGATTTAGCTGCCAAAGAGATAGTCGTCTGATGTCGATACCCCGAAGATTGAGTGGCGACAGTCGCTAGGTAGGGATTCAATAAATTGCTTGAGGCTTTGAGAATAATTAAACCGAAAGTTACTGGAGGCAATCTGTTAGTAATCGTGGCTGTGCATTCACAGACAGCGGACCAATGCGGCTTGATAAGGTTCACTTTGACTTCCGGGGTGCCGGGTTCCCTACTACTAGAACCTTAGAACGCTAAATCTTTAGGGGATTAAATTCATTCCACGAAATATGAAATTTATAGGTACTAAGGTACGGTTCTGGAATAATAGGGAACTTTCAACGTATCATGTACCTACCTACCTAAGGGAGGGGTCCCCATTTTTGGACACTGTTATACCATAATGTAGACACACTTGCCAAGGGCCAACAGATGACTCTCCGAAAAGATCAGTTTCAGTCTTATAAAATTATCAATATTTCAATGGGATATTATGATAAAAAATAGCCGTAGTGTTGATTTAGTTGCTCTGTCAAAACTGAATACTCTAACCAGGGTTTAAACTATAGCAAGGTCAAAATTCTGGCTAGGCAGGGTAGCACTGTCAACACTATGTCAAGACCCAGGGAAATTATATAAAAGGGCAGGCCCCCTTAAGGGGGCAGCTGCCAACTGCCTCCCTAAGGGAGCTCCTTCTAATTGAAGTATTTATTCTCTGGAATTCCTTTTTTTACTCCCACTGGGGGTTGAACCAGCTACCTTAGTAGATTCACTTGAATCCTACCTAAGGTGTTGACCACTTGGCCACTGGTTGCAAGAAAGAAATATTGAAATTCTTTGTTTATTCGACCTTATTAGGTTACTAAGGCTTAGTCACTCTGTCAGCGCCTTGAAACAATGTTAGGATATTTGTAAGGATTGCTAGGAGCAATCTAGTGTTGACAGAACTATATATATATAAAAGGAAGGTGAGGTTCTCATGACTTTACTTAAGGAAGGATGGCTAATTAGGTAATCATACCGTCCTTTTAACAGCCTAACCAATAAGAGTGGCTATTTTGTGGTTTAATTATCAAGTTTAAACTAAAACGACGGTCTTGTATAACCACTTAATTAAAGTAGTAATCGTGGTCGCAATTAGCAATAATAACGAATGTAAATTTATAGGTAGGAAGTTATTATCTTAAGCATCTAGCATTATTTTTATTAAAAATACTGGCGCAATACTGGGAACAGGATACCGCGTTTTTGTAACTATGTATACTTTGATTATGATGGAACAACAGTGTCCAAAAACGGGGACCCCTCCGGTAGGTAGGTATGGAAGGAATAGAGTCGATATGTACAAATTCCCTTCCAACCAAACCATTAACTGGAAGGAGGGGCAAGTTAGTAACGCCACTGATTGCGTGGATTACATAACGTACGCAGCTCTGAGCAACCTGTGGTTCAGGGTTGCGCCTTCATTTCAATCGCCCAGGTCACTTAGGTAGGTACTACGCTAGAAGGTTTAGGTGGTAGCTGCTCCCTACCAAGCCTATCAGGCATCCGTATTCACTAAATCAGTAAATGTACCTACCCTGTGTACCCTGTATAGTGGTGGAAATCGTCCCTAAGGAAAAGATAAAAAATTAATACGCATTCCCATTCACGAGGAGGACGACGGAATTCAATTAGTGCACCACAACGCCATCGATTTCATCCTTAATAAAGACTGATTTCGTTCCGAACAACCTCATTAAGCCTACAGAGACATCCGTTTTTATGTAAAACGGATGTCGCGGTGGTCGATGCTATGACTGAGGTCGTGCCCGGCGACCGCACCAAGCTTCTGCAATTAAAGCGGGCAGAATGCAGGTGAGAAATTATATTCATGAGGTAGAGCTAATTGATCCGATTCTGACAATATAAATATTTTTAGTGCGATCGCACGGTCAAGGAAAAGGAAGCTGTGTGTTTTGTATGCCGTCGCTACGAGTGCGGATGGCCTCCCTCAACGAAGCTTCGCCGATCCAGACGCGCCGCCGACCAACCCTGCCGAATCACATTTTCTTGAAGGGTCCGACATCTTGCAGTATGTTGATGCTTCCCCCTCTTTGCATTTCCGGGGAGTGTCAAGTCGCGTTGATCGCGTCGGTCGCGTTTTACAGTGTTATTGCAAATTCACGATAGCTTCTTATTTGCTAATCATCAATTTAGAGGAAGGAAACTGAACGAGTTAAACATTCCTGCACGTCCACGAACTCGGTCTGAATACATCCAACCCCCTAGACCAGGAGGAAGCTTTGGTCCAAACGAGAACTCTCATCCACCTTCACCTATCGTCAATAAGAAAAAGGATGCCAGTTCTATCTCACGATCCCCCGTACCCTTGCCATCCTCCTCTGCACCACCGCGACAAGGGATTGACGATGGCAAGACCGATACTGTTTCTACGGTCTCGCCCACTACTTACCCAGGTCCTGAGCATAGCTTGAAGTCACCCCAAGCATCATGGCCTTCTACTCAACCTGCAAATCAATCTATTCGTCCAGATACTCCTGCCGTTCCTGCCGTATCGAATGATCAATCCCAGCAGTTCCGATCTACCACCACCGTCAAGCAGGCCAGCCTACCTACAGGCGATCAGCCTAATGGGACACCTAAGTACCCAGTGAGCCTGCCCACGGCACTGTCTGGTTTGCCGCAGACGCAGGTCAGTCAACCTCTAGCCAACAAACAACGACGGTTGAGCCAGGTTGATGAGCCCGTAAATGCGCCGCGACAAGATTTACGTGAAGGAGAGCCCATGGAGATTGACGTAACTCCAGTCATTAAATCTACGGAGATTGTTTCTGGTGTGCAACCAGTCCCTCTACCAGACACAAGCCGTGCTATTGATGGCGTATCATCGGTTTCTTCTAATACGGCGGCAGCTCAAGTCGCCGCCGATGTGACAAGTAATAAAAGTTCAACTGGCAAGATAGTGCCATTTGCGGCGAGCGAGGAGACTAATTCGATGGGAATGAAAGACATGGCGTCGATGAGACAAAGTTCGCAGAATGGAACGCTTTCTGGACCGACCGTGGCTGGAACATCCGAAAGCATTCCGGCGGATAAGGTTAGGATGCAACCGATATCGCAGCCGACACACAACGTAGTGAAGACACCAATTAATGGCACGAATGCTGCTGTAGATACGCCGACGCATCCACCAAAGACAGCCTCGTCTGCAATATGCGTTCCCGCGCCCGAAAATAATGTAGCAGCAGATGCTCAACAGCGTGCGGGTAGCATCCCTACCAGCCTGCAACAACTTCCACGGCCTCCACAGCCTCCACAGCCTCCGCTACATTCAATGCCTACTGGTGATAACGGCCGGGGTCTTGCGATGCCGCATGTAAAGAGTGATCAGCAGCAGACTGATTCTGATTTCCGCAAAGAAACACCCAGCTTTAATGGCAATGTTGCCCAGAATTCCGTCCAGGGCGAAACTACGCAGAAAGAAAGTTTGGTGGCTCCCGTGGTGTCTAATGGTCCTTTTAAAGTTACCCCAGAAACTCCCGCAGAAGTAAAAGAATCTCAGGAGACACAGGTCGCCCAGGAGATCAGCCGCTCACCAACACAACTTGGCCCAGATCATAGACGAACGAGTAGCCCTACAGGAGTTGCTCGGCAGAAGCCAGTGTCTGAAATTCTCAGTGCACCGCCAAAGCTATTGGATGATGCCGAGTCTGGCCGCACAACCTCTGTAATTCCAGGTTCGCAATCTTCAAGGAAGCGCTCAGAGGTCCAGAGGTCCAAGCTTCAGGGGAAGAGTAATCAATCTATGGTCGTCTTTGGTAAGCAGTCGAAAGGTGCCATGGATTCAGGCAAAGCTCTAGTCCAGAGCTGTTCGGGTGCTGGTCAGATGGCTAGCGACGACTACTTCACCCCTCTGTTTGTGCAGGCCTTCACTTCCAACTCAAAGTGGATGAGACCTCTAGATCAGATTTTGCATCAGGCTCACAAAACGTTGTCCACTCCAGACTCTTACACGCATATATTCGACAACCAAGCTTGTAAGGTCCTTAAGAGAGTTTATCACTTGCAGCATCACAATAAATGGTCTCTGCGCCAACCAAAACGCTGTCCCGAGCCCACGCGCCAACCTTGCCATTGGGATGTTTTGCTCAAGGAGATGAAATGGATGAGGACAGACTTTCGCGAAGAACGAAAGTGGAAGATGGCAGCTGCTCGAAATATGGCCTATGCCTGCGCCGAATGGGTTTCCTCTTCGATGGAAGATCGTAAGGTCATGCAGGTGAATGCCATTATTCCTCCATTCGCCCCCGCGGATTCCAGAGAGGTCACGGCTGGCTTCAATCATATACAGGATCCAGAAAATCAGCCTACGCCAGATCTTATAGCATCGGCAGAATCAGACTCGCCTATGGAGCCGGACGATGAGCCTCAGGATGGTATCATTGATACAATAGCGCCATCAGCCATTTTCGCTCTAGAAAGCGATGATGTGGTCTTTGCACTTCACCAGTCAGCCAGTGCGGATCGTCTCCTCGAACAGCTACCAATGTACGGGTCACCCCTAGAAGTACCGAAGTTTGATATTACTGCGCCCGAATACGACCCCGATGCTTCATGGAGGCGGCCTGCGTTGCCGCTGAGCAGATTTGTAGAGGGTCGAATGGAACTCACGCCAACGGAGCCTCCGAAAAAGCGAAGTCGATATAACTATGCGCAAGAAGATGACGAGGACGATGAAGTAGTTTTCGACCAGTTTGGTGGTAGCCAACCTCGGCTAGAGCCACTGAACGCCCATGTGGCGTTATTTCGGCCAGAAAACAAGAGCTTTAGGGATAGGCTACATGCTGGGCACCAATTCCGTCCACCTAACGAGCACACCATGCCCTTCCAGTCATTTTACGAGTCTCGTAGTCCTTCTCAGTGGATACAAGCAGAGGATGATGAACTTAAAGGTCTGGTGCGCGAATATTCGTATAATTGGTCTCTAATATCCAGCATTCTCACCTCCAGATCTATGTTCAACTCCGGGGCCGAGAGACGAACGCCGTGGGAATGTTTTGAACGCTGGGTCATGCTCGAGGGACTCCCCCATGATATGCAGAAGACACAGTACTTCAAGTTATGGCAAGGTAGGATTGAGGCGTCACAGCAAGTTATTCGGCAGCATCAGCAGCAGCAGGCACAGCAGGCACAGCAACAGCAACAGGCTGGCTCCAACGGTCCAGTCACACCTCTCCCTAAACGTCGATACAACGTCCCGCTAAAGGTCGAGCGACGGCGTAACCAAAAGCACCTGACGATGATAGATGCAATGAGGAAGCTTGCGAAGAAACGAGAGACCGCTTTACAAAAGCAGCAACATAATGCTTCACTTGCGGCGATGAGAAAGACGAACGAGACGCCCCAACCGAGAGCGCCGACGAAAACACCAAGAGAGTATAGTATCATGCGATTCGAACGGGATCAAGCTATGGCCGAAAGACTGGCCGAAAGGATGGCTCAACAGCAGCGCCATGAGGCTCAGCGCAGGGTATGAAGCTTTCCTTCTCCCATAATTAAGCAAATAATATTAACCATTATAATTAGGCTGCTATACAAAGAGCACAGCAAGGGCAAGTTGCACAACTGGCAGCTGCCCAGAATGCGAACCAGCTCTCGCAGAATAATCCTCAGATGGCGGCCTCCCATCCTCATGCAGGCATAGCTCGCGTCAATGCTCCCAACCAGATCTCGATCAATGCCCAAGGACGTCCACGAATGCCGATGCATACCCCCAATGGCACAGGAACTCCTAACCACATGGGTGGTGGACTCGTCCCTCCGATGCAAATGAATGGTACCTCTCAGGTGCAAATGCCTTCCGTAAATGGCCAGCCAAGAATGGCGATGCCTACTACCCAGCCAGATCTTCAACTGTTAATACAAGCGCAGCAAATATCCGAGCAGCAGCGCCGCTCTGTTCAGATGCGACAGCAGCAGCAGCAACAGCAGCAGCAGCATCAGCATCAACACCAACAACAGAACCAACAACAGTCTCACCCGAATTCACAAGGAAGCATGCCTTTGCAAAGCTCGCCACCTGCCATGAGAGCCGCCGCTATGAACGGAATAAACCAGAAGAGCTATCTCAGCAATGCTCAAGCACAGGCGATGGTGGCTTCGTTTACCTCTGCGAACGGATCAGGGATGTCAACTCCTCCAGGTCCAGGCCATGCTATGACATCCCAAGCAGGATCGCCTCGACCAAATACAACAATTCCACAACAGACACACCAGACGCATCAGACATACGTCTCACAACTTCAGAGTATCGAAACTCATATTAGACAAGCACATCCTAATATGACGCAGGACGTTGTTCGTGACATGGCAAGGCAGCTGTTGAACACCCGTCACAACAACCATAATTTTGCGCAATCGGCGATGAACGCTGCGGCTGGAGGGTCGGGACATGCTGCCGCCGCTAACGGACCACATCAGTACGCCCAGCTCTTACGAGCCCAGCAACAACAACAGGCCGCGGCCGCGGCTGCAGCGCAAGCACAGCAGGCACAGGCCCAGCAGGGTGCTCAACAGCACCAGCGCAATTCGAGCGGAAGTGCAACGCCCACGCCATCACTACCGAAATAGGGCCCTACAGCCACGGGCTCCGCCCTAGGATATGCGAATCTAACCAGCTGCCTCGTCAACTGTTCCCGCCTGCCAAATACAACCCCCCCCCCCCCCCCCCCCGGAAATATTCCCTTGCAGCTTACGAACCTATAATGGGACCCTTAGACGCGGAATGGGGCGGATTCTTCCTTTTGGAAGGATGCTTGCAGTCGAGGTGAGACATATCTACTGCTAGTCTGGAGGAAGAAAGGCTTATGGCTGAAATTAAGACCACCTTACAAACCTAGCCTGCGGGATGCGGCTACAATCACCCCTAACAGAGGTCAACTGGTCTAACGGTCGAACGGTCGAACCTGGTGTCTTGTAAATATGTGCTGTTTTTGGTAGCAACGTGCTCCTTTGCAGACAGCTTTTACGTATGAAAAAAAATAATACTTGCATAGAAAAAGTGTGCAGGCCCCTGTTATATCTAGGTACCTATGTGAAGATGTTCCAAATAACCTCTGATTATGTAGGTAATTCATATTGCACGCGTCTTCCATTTTTCGCAGGTATCCATACTCGTCTTCTACAGTCTCCTGAGTCCCCCCAGTAAGGTCAAATGTACCTTGGTAGAGTCGGGGTCCGGAACTTTAACCAACAGCAAATGCCCCACTTAGCACCCGGTGTCCACTTTATTTTTTCTTCCCTGGACTTTGTCAAAACGATTCTTACAATTTTGACCATCCAAGACGCCAAATTTTCCTGTGCAACGCAACAACAGCAGTCTACTTGATATAACCACAGAATGGGCAAACGCAAGCGGGCAGATGGCGCCCCTAATGAAGCCCCGGAAAAGAAGTCGGTTATTGCAAAAAAAGCCAAAACATCCAAGCCATCAACAACCGCAGTCGCAGAAAGCTCTTTTCCAGTAACTATCCAAGTTGTTACGGGATCTTATGATAGGATTCTTCACGGATTGACCGCCACAATATCGGCTGATGATCAAGTCGAATTCGCAGACACTTTCCTCTTCAATGCGCACAACTCTGCGATACGATGTCTAGCGCTATCGCCCCCCTCAGCGCCAGAGCCTGGCAAACTACAGAAAGTTATGCTGGCTTCGGGCAGCAGCGATGAACGGATCAACGTATACAACATCTCGGCGCACCCTCCCAGCCGCAAGCAACAAGACGCCTTGTCCTCCGCCGCACCTCGAAAGATCCTAGAGAATCCGAGGAATCGGGAGATAGGCACCCTACTACACCATTCCTCTACGGTCACGAGGTTGTCCTTTCCTACAAAATCCAAGCTCATCTCTGCCTCGGAAGATTCTACTATAGCTGTCACTAGGACTAGGGATTGGTCGTTACTTTCATCTATCAAGACTCCTATACCGAAACCCCAAGGCCGGCCAAGCGGCGACACGGCGCCTCTGGGTGCCACGCCTGCCGGTGTTAACGATTTCGCCGTCCACCCTAGCATGAAACTCATGATCAGCGTTAGTAGAGGCGAGCGATGTATGAGACTGTGGAATTTAATGACGGCAAAGAAGGCCGGTGTGCTCAATTTCAGTCGGGACATGCTGCAAAGTGTAGGAGAAGGGAAGCATTCTTCAGGGGAAGGTAGGAAGGTGGTATGGGGCAGCACCGAAGACGGCGACGAATTTTGTGTTGGGTTCGACAAAGACGCCTTGGTGTTCGGCATGGACAGTACGCCGAAGTGTAGGGTTATGCCAGACCCGAGGAGGAAGATACACGAACTCAACTACGTTACGATAGACGCAGCGAACGATTCGTCACTGCTCGCCATTTCGACGGAGGACGGGAGAATATTGTTCTTGTCTACCAAAAATGAGGATTTAATCCCAAGTACATCTACAGAGGAGAGAGGGAAAATATCACTACCCATGGCCAAATTGATCGCACAGATTGGTGGGAAAGACGCCGGGGTCTTGGGACGAATCAAGGATTTCTCTATAAATAGGATCTCCGGGAAAGGTGGAGAGGACGGATTAATTATAGCGGCCGGTAGCAGCGATGGCAAAGTTCGTGTCTTCAAGCTCGGCGTCGAGGAGTTGAGGGAGGCGAGGAATTCAAAAATTGTACCGACAGTAGGCAAGTTATTGGGCACCTACGAGACTCAAAACAGGATAACGTGCGTGGAGGCGTTTACAATGATACCCCGACCAGAAGGTGTAGAGGAGAGTGAGGATGAGTTGGAAGAGACGTCCGGAGAGGAGAACAATGACGAGAACGACGAGGATTGATGAAGTCTATGGGCATGAGTAACACTTAATGGGTCTACGAGATCAGAAGTCGAAGAATGATGGGGATGGCAAAAGTCGAAGTCTCGAACGAACGATAAGTGATGGACGACAAGCATACTCTCAAGTTCCCGCCATAGCAAAAACACGTGCTGTGTTACCGGTAGTAATGATGAACATTGAAGCTCTGCGTCACGATACTTGGATACGTTCGGCTTAGACATGAGAACTGGGTCAGCTAATACATCGAATGCATTATATTTGATGTATTGCATGAACGTGGTATGTGTCGGCGAACCAATCTGCCATATCTCGGGTCGGAGTACACGAAGCATGCGCCCAGTTCTGCCGTAAGACCCGATATCCGTACGGGAAGGATTTGCAAGTAAGAAAATGCACGATGGTGTCACAAAACGAAAGCTGCATCCATGCAATTCGTGGGCAATATGGGGCAACCGGCACATCAGCCGGCCAACCAGTGGTTCCAATTTATGCTGCAGGTGTTACAGTGTGACAGCCTTGAAAGGCGCTGAAGGCGTCACGATGGACGGAGCATGTGATTCCAAGCCGAACCAGAAACTTTAACTTCGGGTTCGCTAATTCGCTAACGATTTTTAACGAGAGAGTAAAGACCCTGATGCCCTACCGTTCCCCGGAAGGGGTCTAGACTAGAAACTCGCGGCATGCACGGTCTAGAGCAGCAGTCAACAGCGAATAACCAATATCGAATTCCAACGTTACCTAGTAGTACAGATATAACGCTTTTCATGTGGCTTTTGGAGTAAAGACAGATCAGGTACTACATTGGCATATCACGAGGAGGAACAGCTGGCCCAATCTACCTACTATATACTTATGCGAATGGGAAAATGGCAATTAGCAAGTGCAATGGAGACAACATTGAAATGTCTAAAAGACGACTGCATTCGGTATTACCTCTTGCCGACTTGGTAGTATAAAACTTACCAAAATTGGAGACATCTGAGCTCAACAACGTTGAAGGCACATGCTGCAGATGCTGCAATATTGAAGGATAAGGTACCTAGAGATACCTGGGTGCTTAAGTATATCTACATATGCTCATTCATAAATCTACGGTGTTGCATCTCCGCCGTAACGCGGATACTGCGCGGAGCACCTGCATTTCCTAAGTGCGGGGAAGCCAAAATTAGCATGTGCCACTGCCAATCAATACCTAGAATACTTTCAAGGTTAGATGCTGCATGTACCTTTACGTGTACCTTCTCAAAGCAAAGGCAGGCGCTCCTCATCAATTCTCTTAATATCAAATCACCGTGATTCAGAGTTCCTCCCCTTCCCTATTCTTCCCATTATTCTTCTGTTTCAACTTCTCTCCACCATTCTCGAACCTTTACTACGTATTCCCATCATTTTCACTGCGTGCTCTTGTCTTGCCCAATTCATACAACCTGTCGTATTTCCTCCCCATATATTGTCCAGAGCCTATCTAAGGTATTAACTCAAAATATTTTGCCGACTTGGCGCCCACATACAGAACGACCGCTTAGTCGCAGCAAGTAACCGTCGGCCAACCACCAGATCGGAATGCAAAGAGTTTCGTGAAACAAGATCCAGTCACAATCCATCCCTCCTTTAGATAGGGTTCTCATACTCGTCGAGCCTGTGGCCAACCAATTGGCCTTATATACGATCATTTGTCTTGGCCACACGACAGGCAAACCCAAGTCTTTTCTCCTTGCCTCCCTCCACTCGCGTCGCCAATTCAGAAGATAGACGGTGCTTAGTTATATGTTTCGCAACTCTGCTCTCCGTTCTTTACATACCACTTGGTTTCTAAATACTACCTATATCGTATATAACGAGCGTTTGATATCTATTATCACCTGGCCTTTGCCATGTCCGAATTTCAAGGAGACAGCGGTCCTCCTTTATTACGGCCCATTCCTCGCCGACCATTCGACTTGTATCGCAGGGAGCCTACTCCCCCGGAGGATGAACCGTTCATCCCTCCTACCAATTCAGAACATGGCTCTTCGCTAAATCTAGACGTTCTAAACTCTCGCCTCCTCGACCGAAGAAACAACGGCTCCGTACCCGATTCCGCTTCGATTAGCCGCGCCCAGTCCGCGCTCGACATAACAGGTTCGACACTGATGGGCATCTACAATCAAGCGAACTTCAGTAAGGATAAGCTCAATTACTTGGGCGTGGATGAGCCAGGTACACCCTGGGGCACCGGTGCCGAGACGCCCGCCAAGGGCGTGAAGGTTGACAGCCCGCACTACGAGCTACAGAAGGAGAGAGCACAGCCAACTCGGAGACGATCATCCCTGCATACAACGATACGACCACAACCATTGTCTGTCTCCCAGCGTGCATTGTACCTAGGCTCACGAGGCCTATTTCTATTCGGTCTGGGCGTGCTATACGGGATGCTGGTCGCTCAGCTGAGGGACAGGCGGCAAGCCACCGGGGCTTTTCAGATCAACGGCGCACTCAAGGGTACACATAAGGGCTACGATTGGGGAGGCTTGGCGTTTTGGGGCGTGTCCGCAGTTGTGATGGGTAGTTTGTTACCATGGATCGACGGCTTGTGGGAGGGAGTTATTGGGGGTGACGAAGTGGTCGTCGAGTCCGCCGCAGACCATGGGATGGGTAGTGACATCGCTGAGAAGGAGTCTGCTTCGTCCAGCGACTGGGCGCTTGCGGTAAGAGGCATTGGGGCTTTTGTCGGGATCGCCTTTGCCATTGTAAGTCGACCCTGCACCCAGACGTAAGGAAGCACAGCGTCGCATGGCATTAGGGTAGCTTTTACTAATAATGCGCATAGAGAAAGCTGCCGTGGGACTCGACTTTGCAAGTCTCACTCACGCTGGCTCTCGTAAATCCAGTGCTGTGGTTCCTAATTGACCGCTCGATGCCCGGCTTCCTCCTATCAACCACCGTCGGGATAGGCGGGGCTATGGTGTTAATGGGATTAAAGCCGGACATGGTTCCAGCCCCAACGAACCCGTCAGCCTCCATATTTCCTGGGTACGACGCACAGTACGATAATACGACTAGCAGTTTTTCCCAGCAGCAGCAGCCGCCACGGGAGTTGGTCTCATTTGGCGGGTTGACGATTACCCAAGAGAAGTTCGGCACGGTTATTTTTATGATGAGTATCCTGTTCTGCTGCTGCGTATGCTTTGGGAATATCGGCCGCTGGATCGCACTTAACCGGGGCACCGCCACGAGGGGCAGATGGGCTGAGCGGCGGTAATGAATGATAATAGGCTGTTCCGGTGACACAAAGTGTAACCATACGGTATGCTAGTAGGAGACATTGTCTAATTGTGTAACCGTGATGAAGGAGAACTGAAGAGTAAACATCGTACATCATAAAAGGAAAAGGGAAAATTTTGCAGCGTTGAAGGGATAAGTGTTATTCTATAAAAAGTGATTGAGTTGGATCGACATAATTTGTGTTTATAGTCAGATGCTCGGGGTGCTCGATACTGTGTTATATTACCTTGGGACGGTCTATGGGCATAACCAGGAAGCTTAAGGATCTAGGCTTATATTAGGGATGGGGACGCGGTATCTGGGTAGGAGAAAAGAGCAAGAAATGGCCTAGATGGTATGGACATAATCTTTGGAACACCGAATATGTATAACTATATTCCACAGGGGCATGTTTGGGGATAAGTGGTATTTACTGTGACTATGGTATTCGTTAGGCATAGACTGTCCGGGGACTCTATTCAAATGAGTATCTTCTATGATATTTGGATGGCTTACTATCAGATAACCATAGAGATCTTAAACTTATAATATTATTGTTGCAGTTAATTTAGGCGTAAATTTTCTCATGTTAAAATATGTCGAAGGCTTCTGTGATGAAGCTTCATATATATGTTCGCGTCATACACCGAATGGCTACGTAAGGTAGGTAGTGATAGGGGCGGGATGAAGCCACCCGTGATCCGGAGAATGACCAGCTCGGCTCCGGATAAGTTCCTACTAAGTAAACTAAAGTCTCGGAGGTGACGGGCTGACACGATGCCAGCTGGGTTAAGCCACTTTGTAAAAGTTAATGGAGCGGTATTGCCAGCATTGCTATTGGCTTACCTGGTCAGATGTACGAAGTTGAAATGCCATTGGCCGAAAGACGATAGGATAGATTGGATGTGCCTGTCATGAAATAGCTACGATACAAAGAAAAAACGTCGAGTCTTGCCTGAAGAAGTAAACAGGGACTATTAGTGTAGGTAGGTGATAGCGCCGATATCCAGACGAAACAGTGTCATGTTGAGATCGGGCAGCGCCCTGTCACTAAAAAAACAGCCTCAAGATTGCCTATTCGGGTAATCAAGGTTGTTATGAGAGGTCAGGAATGTCGGGATGTAAACGTAATGATGGTCGAGATACGGGAATGAAATCCCAACCAGATGGAACCTTTTGTTAGGTGTCTTGTGATACGGGAGATACCTACTAGGTACTCGCATATGTATATATTCATCCATGTTATGGAAGTGTGTGCTTGTCTTCCCACTTTTGTTTAATTTATTTATAGTAAGGAACCAAAGCTTGCGCATCATACATGTGAATGTTACAAATCACTCTCAAGCGCATGTGTTGAACAATGCCGCTCGTGATAAGCTCTCCTTAATTCATCGAAAAGTCCAACGTGCAAACAGCGTTCTGGTAATTACCATGTACTTATACTTCTTCATCAAGTCCATTATGATTCGCATAGACAATAGCATTACTATATCGCAAACTCTCACAAGTGGTCGCGATTTCCAGCTGAGTCTCTAGGTACGCTAAACGAAGTGGGCTTTACCTTTGTGGGTTAGGTACTGTCACTTAGCAGAGGTAGGTACAACTGTACTATGACCTGATTGTCTCATCGAGATCATCAGTTCTCCAACCAACCAATCACGTAATAGAATATAAGTCTTTGATGGATATTGAAAGTGCGAAGTACCCCCCCTACGACGTCAGGACTTTCATCTTCCCCAGACCCTCGTCCGACTTCAACTTCTGTACTTCTGTCGCCCTTAGTCCGCTTCTGTCCTTGGCCGTCAACCAATTCTGGATCCTAAAAAAATGTATGATGACTTCTATATTCCTTTAACACACAACATGGTACAGGTACAGGTCTTGTATATACCGTCGCTCCCTTAACCTCGTTTCTAAATCGCAGCGCTATTAGGCGTCTTCCGTATCTCTCATCACTCTCTCGTCTCTCCCCCCTCTCAACCCTTCCTCTCACCAACAAGATCACCACCAAGATCACCACCAAGCCTTATTAACCCATTAAATTCTCTTCGTATGAATTTCGCAAGGATACTCTGTAAAGCCCCCATATTCTGTTCTCCATCCGGATCGGAATTATACTGGATCCTCTCTACGAGTAGAGATATACCGACAAAAGTTACTCATATTCATGCTTTGTAATTAAACGCTCGATCCTCAACTCCCCCTTCAATCATCGCAGTCCAGCACACGATAGGCCTGCACGCTTGATTTCACCAAAGTCGCTGGTTTTATGTTTATTTTGATTCTCATTACGCTGCGGGTATATGTAACTAGGCCAAGCGCATCCGAGCCCTCGAAATACATGTTTTCTTTACACCTGCTTTCAAGATAGGATACCCGGCATATTCATTCACCCTCGGCATCGTAGTTGACAACTCCACTTTCATGTCCTCCATACATACCAACCCGACCCCATCAAATTTGCCTTCGTCTAGTTCCTCCGATAGCCCGACCTCTGAATCTCGTGACGGGGTGGAAGATGGTGTAGCTCCTAACCCTGCCGGTACCGAGCATCCTTCGGTCGCTTCCGGATTGCTCCTCAACGCCGTCAGAGACGTCAGAGAGATAATCCGGCTCGTTCAATGTCAAGTATGCTCGAAAATTCTACGCGAACCGACGACCTTACCATGTGGACATAGCCTCTGCAGGCAGTGCGTGCCTCAGACACACATACGAACTAATATTTCTTGGCCAGCAACCGCTAATCGACTTCGTGGATTCCAATGCCCTTTCGGCGACTGCAAAAAAGAGCATGCTCTCGGGGACTGCGCTGTCGATGTCACCTTAAATAAAGCCTTGGCCATTTTTGAGACGATCATTGAGCAATATCATGATGACACAGGGCTATCCAGTGTTTCCACACTTATTGCTGTGCGAAATCAGTGGGATATTGCCGGGGTTCCGTCTCTCGCGAAGAAGAAGAGCGAGCCTAATGTGCTGAGGGGAGGTCATATCATAGCGACTTATTCACTGGCGGAACTCGGAAAATTGGATTATGGGTGCGAGGTTTCCTACTCTTCCGTGGGTGCAGGTGACGATGCGGTCACGCAGGTAGACACAGCCGTGCTAGCACGCTTGAAGGAGTCTGTTAGGACAGAAATGGACTGCCAAGTCTGTTACGCGTTGTTCTTAGATCCGTTAACGACGACCTGTGGACACACGTTTTGCCGAGGTTGCCTTCATCGCATTCTAGATCACTCAGATCTTTGCCCGATATGCAGGCGTAACTTGTCGATACAAGCTCAGGTTAACCAGCAGTCTTACCCGTCAAATGAACGGCTCTGTAAGATTATCAACGGGTTTTGGGCCGATCTGGTGGCGCTCCGCTCGCAAGCTTATAGGCTTGAACAACAGGTCAATCACGGCGGGTTTGATACTGCGCTCTTCGTCTGTACGCTCTCGTTTCCGCGTATGCCAACTTTCCTGCATGTTTTTGAGCCGCGATATCGGTTGATGATCCGCCGGGCAATGGACAACGATCGGACGTTTGGGATGGTGCTCCATAAATCGTCTCGCACTCCCGACGGTTCTGACTTTATGGAGCTTGGAACCTTACTCCGTATTGTCAACATTGAATTTTTCCCAGATGGGCGGAGTCTTTTGGAAACGGTCGGTGTTTCTCGCTTCCGGGTCACGGGTCACGGGTGGTTAGATGGATATATTGTAGGGAACATTGAGAAGATAGACGATATCAGCCTGGCGGAAGAGGAAGCCATAGAAGCATCAGAAACGATGCGTGCCCGTGGCATACGAGATCCAGTTACTTCACCGCCAAGTCCAGACCCAGCGCATCCAGAACAAGCTGTACCTGCTCGCTCTCGTGCAGTATCCGTATCACTAGATGATCTAGAGACGATGTCGACTAGGGAGCTAGTTCAATTTGGCGTCGACTTTGTTAGAAGGATGCGGGCGCAGAGCGTCGCTTGGCTTACGGCCCGAGTCTTGGCCATATACGGTGAATGTCCAACAGATCCGGCAATCTTCCCCTGGTGGTTTGCCAGTATCTTGCCAGTTAAGGACGAAGAAAAGTATAGGTTGTTGGGTACTTCTAGCGTACGTGAACGGTTGAAGATGTGTTGCCGGTGGATTATAGAATGGGAGTCTAGCAGATGGTTAGTAATCGATCTTCTTCCCCTACACTTCCCTATTACCTAGCAAGAGCCGAAACACAACGGGTAGGATGCTCGTTTACTTGCACAGATCATGGAAGAAGTTGTCCTGAGGCTAAGTCGCTACAGGTCGGGCCTTGAATACTGACGCATTTTCCCAATGCCTCTAGGACCCTTTCCGATTGCCGTGTCTTATGATGAGCGATCATGTTCGTACGCGTCGTACCACGACCACCTCTTATTTGAACTGATCGGTCAGAAAGTAGCGGATTATGAATCGTAGGAAAGGTCGAGATCACTACGAGTTTAAGGGGAGTGATGTTGGGAGAACTTTTGCCGTTTCTACTGTTTGGCACCACATCATATCATCGTCGTCGTCATCATATTAGTGATACCATCAAAGCGCGCTAGCATTGTGATCAAGTCTGAGGAGTTCTTTTATTTATTCGCGCGCAGCATCGTATCATGCATACCTAGGCACGTTACCATTGGAAGTTATGTTGACAGAGGGAATGATATTGTATATAATATTTGCATCCTAAGATATAATGAAGCACCCCTATTTTTGACATATTTCACGTTGTCTAGATAGCCTTTTCCCTCGCATTGTACGATAAATAAGTATAAGCATATATCCGAGGTAGTTAAGTAATTTGCGGGGCGATTTTATTTAGTCGAACTCTTTACACCATTCTCTGCTTAAGACCTTCATATACCTTACAACTTCATATGGTCCTATTCTCTGATCATATATCAAGCATTTGTAATAGACGATAGCCTCTTAGATTAATTGATCATTCCAGCAATACGAAGCTTACTATCAACCAAAACAGCACCTCAGATTTCTTAAACAATTTCCTAACGACCATGGAATACTCGCACATCGCAACGCCGGAACGGTGCTACGCCGACTTCTGTCTGATTCCCGTGAGCTGGCAGCTTCTTCCTTCCCGGCCTCCGTATCTAGATATCGTGGATTTCTTTGCTGTTTAACTAGCTAGACAGGTATGTAAGCTAATACACACCTACACACGTATAGGTCGGCACCGGCAACATTTCGGTAGCGGAGGAAGTGGCCGAGGTTCAGAGGCTGCTCAAGGCGAGCGGGTTGACGTACACTATGCATTCCGCCGGAACTACCGTTGGTTGGTTTCTCTTTTTCCTTGGTCCTCGCGTCTTATTTACCTTGTGTGTTGTTCATATTATACCTATTTCGTTCTGCGTGCTTCAAGATGGGGGTGCTGTGAGGTTGCTTATGAATGTGGTTACATGACGATGAGAGAGTGACTCCTTGTTTGACCTCGTTCCGGCAAGATCTGGTTTCCCATTACCAATTACTCGTTTATACTGCTATCTCGAATTATTCTACTCACTCTCATACTTCCAGAGGGATCATGGGACGAGGTCATGAAAGTTATCGGGCAAGCCCACAGCGTCGTACATGCCAAAGGGGTTGTCCGAGTTCAATCTTCGATGAGAGTCGGCACAAGGTAAGTTGTATTTAAGCCTTCCTCTTTATTTATTAAAAAGCACCTCCCCACCCGCCCATCCACCACGTATCCAGAAGCCGATGGTATCCCGTTTTCTTTTCGGTTGGAGGCTGTGATGGTTAAGAGCGAGCAACAATGACTAACCAATGATGCGTGTTATCTCTCCTATTAGGACGGACAAGAAGCAGACAGCACAGGACAAAGTCAAGCGCGTAGAGAATATATTGGCCAAGGAGAGCACTAGCTCTTAGACCTCGTGGATCGAATGAAGCAGGAACAAACATGTTAGGTAATTTTCATGGTCGAGCGTTATATAACTTGAGAGCAACTTTCCCTTAGAGTAGCAGGCAAGCAACAGACAACAGACATCATTAACAAACGAATATCATACAATTATTTTCAGAGCCGGACGTACGCCTAAGATGCATGTTTCCGACACTGCCCCTCCCTTTTTTACTACCTACCTAGTAGATAATACAAGTCAAACGTCGCAAGATGCCACTTTTGAGACCTTGTTCACCATTAGTCATCCCTTCGTCTGCCGTTCATCCCCGTCCCTTAGAAAGTATCCACGAGAAATATTCAAGAGCCGCCTTGGTACAAAGCACTTAGGCTCGGACCGTCTGCTTCTTTGAGGACTTGCGCAACTCCTTTTCCCTCTCCCTCTCGAGGTACTTCTTCTGCGCCTTGGCGTCTAGGGCGTTTAGCTCGGCGTCGCGCTTCGCCTTCTTAGCCCTGTCACGCTCGGCTTGTCTCTCTTCGGCTTTCTCTTCCTCAGCGACCTTCTGAATTTGCTTGATATTCTCATCTCGAACGGCCCTGACCTTTCGGATGACCTCCGGTCGGAAATGAGCGGAAGATGCTAGGTGATCAGAAATCCGCACGAAATAGGAAAGAAGCGGGGCGAGGTCGTCGTAGTTGTTGGACGATGGAAGTCGGTATCGCAGGTAGAGGCGCTTGCGCGGAACCGTCTCGTCCATCCTATATATCTTGTTTAGCAACCATCCTTGGTAGTTAATTACTTCAGGGTTATGTGCTGATTCCCCATAGCCTAGAATATAAGTACTTACTTCGTGGGCTTGTCGACGGGTTGGTCGCTGATGATAATGTAGTCGAATAAATCGCCGGCCTTCTTGATGGCCGAGGCAAGTTCGTTGGTAAGAAGGGTCTCGGTGATCTCAGCGCTCTCGCTCATGACGGTTGCCCAAATAGGTAACTTTGAGTTATCCTTGGTGAAGGTGATTGATAAATCATATCGCTCTTCCCGGAGCTGCTTCATCTTGTCCTTGTTGACAACAGCCCAAACAAACCCATCGAAGGTGCTCTTAGAATCCTTGCTTCTTAGCTCGGCGGCACCCGGAAGAGCAGGGACTATCTGAGCCTCTTTACCATCGAAGGGGTAGATGACGGCTTCAACGGAATCCTCGGGAGCGCCAAAGCTGTCGAAAAAGAAGCTCAAAGCAGTCTCTATGAAGGTCATGACCGGGTTGAAACGCTTCTTTAGAGTCAATTTGACATCCATGAACGCAACATTCTGCCGGCCAGTCGCATACGTCGCATATTCGAAAAGGCTCTTGGCCTTCAGCAGCTTCTCGGGGTCTTGCTCAGATGCCCTACCAAAACCAACCGCGGCAAACTCGCTGGTTAGCACAGAAGCATGCGCTTTAATCCACGCCCTCGACTTGGCCCGGTTGAGTTTCGTGCCAATGAAGTGCAATGTAAAGATTACGGCTATGATGGACAGAATGACACCCTCAGCGCGGAAATCATTTAGACTATAGCGCTCGTGGACATTGTACCACTTTGTATATGGAACACCCGTGGGTGCAGGGCCACCAAGGGTAGCACCGCCGGCAACGGATTCAAAGGGTACGGGAGATGGCGAAGGCGCATCGGCAAAGTCGGCGAAATCTAGAAGAGGAATTGAAAGTTAGATTTTGATAACGCCTGACTACATATATGAATATACAAAAAAGAGGCGATATAAGATATAGCGAATTGTCGCGAACGATCGCGAATGGTATAGTATCTTAAGAGTGAACTGACCTGAATCGGAGGATGGTTCCGGAGTGGCAGAAGACTTGCTACCGCCGACAATGTTCTTTAAGAAATCCGCCATGATTGCGGGATTGCGGGACTCTCTCTCGCGTAAATTAGTTGAGCGCGACGAGAGGTTGAAGAAGAGGAGACAAGAAAAGACGAAGCGAAGACAAAGACACGAGTCAAAATTGGAGCTTAGACAATCTCCAATAATCTCTCCAATAATCGCTTAGTCGCTTCCCTATCTTGGGGAGACACCCCGGTTACAAGGTTATAGCTACCTACTTCTAAAAGGTTCTTTATTGGGGACCCCGTAGTGTGGAACCTGTGGCTTCGGATACGCTCCAAGGTTAGGTAGGTGCTTGAGTGTGTGGCTGATGCATTGTCCGCACTGTCTCTACTTCAGTACATTAAACTAACGGTTACCCGGCAACCAACATTAAAGTCAATAATCGTCTGCATCAACCTCAAACTTCAACGTCAATGTCAAAAATACCATACGACAAATGTAACTAGAATCCAAAGGACGAACATAAAGGTGAAGATGTCAAAGCAGACGTCTCTGCGAAAATATGGCAAGCAATCCAGAAAGGCCAAAAGTGACCGCTTGTTCGTCGAGCTGCCACAGACGCCAGTACGAAGCCAACCGAAAGCTGTGAAAGACGACAATTTATCAGGTCCAGCAGACTTTGACGGCTTGACTAGTAAATTATCTACTATTAACCTCCAAGATGAGAACTTTATACCACCAAAGCCTGTCAGGCGCTCTCCTAGGCGGAAAAAACAGCATATGCCAACCCCAGCACCACCATCACCGCCAGCATCACCGCATCTCAAACCAACCAAGCCCCAGACCCCTAGGATATCAAGTCCGCCCAAACCAAAGATGGAGGAGCCCACGGAGGAGGCAGAGCCGGATAATAAATTACAGGTACTTTCCTGGCCCGATATATGTCCAACTGGCGATAAGATCGTCAAGATAGCGGAGGCTTCTTATGCTGAAGTATACCGTGTGACGAATGAGCGAGGAACCAGCATCATCAAAGTTATTCGCATGGAATCACCTATCAAGGCTCAAACGAAAGCTCAGCGGAATTCAGGATTAGTCGATGAGGAACCGCACTCGGAGTCGGATCTGATAGGAGAGTTAAAGATCTCGGAATGGCTCGCTGATATCCCTGGATTCGTCGTCTACAAAGAGAGGTATCTTGTGCAGGGCAAGGCTTGTAAGGAATTGCTCGAGACGCACCAGGCCTTTCATAAGAGAATCAAACGGCAAGATCCTGACCGGCTGCAATTCTACCCCTCGCCGAGTCGGTATTTAGACGACACAAAATTCTTGGTGGTTGAGCTAGGAGATGCAGGAACGGCGCTGGAAGACTTCCAGCTGGACTCTACGGACCAGTTGTGGGACATATTCTTTCATGTCGCCATCGCATTGGCGCGTGCTGAAGCTCATATTGAGTTCGAGGTAAGCAAATCGAGTCACTTATATTAACACTCTTAGCTAATTGTAAAAGCATCGTGATCTCCACGAAGGCAACTTGTGCATTCGAAAAACAGGAGATCCTATCCCTGCCATGGATCGAGATCGTTCTAGCTACTTCGGATTCTCCGGTCTCGAAGTCACAATCCTCGACTACGGTCTTTCTCGAGCTCACGCCGATAGCCAAGTCGAAGGTTCTGAGCCGATTGCTTATGACTTGGAAAGAGATCTAAGCCTATTCACTAGCGAACACGCCCCGCAGTGTGAAGTCTACAGGCGCATGAGGTCCTTTTTCCTGAGGGGAGATCGGGTATGTCTTCCACCGCAAGACCACAAGACCGCCTACGAAGACGGGCTCGACGGGCCAATCGCATGGGCTCAGCACGAGCCATATACAAACGTCCTGTGGCTTGCGTACATCTACGAGTGGATAACCAACCATTTCAAGGGGACTAAGAAGCAGTTGAATGCCTTTAAGCGCTTGACGAAAGAACTTTGGTTGTACCTGAACCCCAACGCCGAAGAAGGTGTGCCCAGCTTTGGTAGCGCAAGCGAAGTTGTCCAATTTGCGCTAGAATCAGGATGGATAGAAGAGGGTCAGTTACTTGGGGTTAGGGAAGACATCGAGCGATCGATATTGTCGATTCTGGCGAATGACAACGACTTAGAGGAGGTCTTGGACGGCGAAACGGACACCGAACCGGATGGCGAAACTCCTGCTCGAAGGTCGCCTAAGAGGCGACAACGGAATGCCGTCTAAATCGATACTCTAGGACGATTGGCGTTAGGACATTAGGATTAGCAAGCCTTGGAGACATCAATTCGTCTTGGTCAATTCTAAGGAGTAAGGCGTTACATAGTTCAGGTCTAAGAATCGATCAAGGTAGCTTAAGTCAAAAGCCTACTCAAGATTTACTCGGGGCCAACGGTGCGCGTAGATGAAGTAGTAAACTGTTGTACGACATCGCGCTACATATATCAGTAATATGTAGTCGTGGGAATGACTTAAAAAGTAAACGGGTCGCCTGAATTGGGCCGGTGCGGTGTAGACCCAGTATACGGCACCTCGCTAGCGAAGCGCTTGATGCGAGTGGGCGGGGAATGATTGAATGATGCGGTCGGATAGATACCGTGTATATCTGCGTTTTTGTGCCAAGAAGAGAGGCCCGTCCGCGTCAACGAGGTTGGTTGGCGAGCAGTTCAAGTTCAAGAGCCGCGCGCATGGGACGGGTTCTTAAGGAACAGCCTTCTATTTTCTATTATAACAGCTTCGATGACACAAAGAATTCCCATCAGAATGGTAACTATTGCCGGTACGACATCGTCTCCCGTTATCCCGTACTGTCCGTACAACACGAATAGGCTTTGTCTCGTATTTCACCGGGCAGATATTAGTGAAAAAATAAGCCGCCGAGCAAACGGCTGGCGCCATGCAGCAACGAGAGGGGCTGCCCCTATTCTCTCCTTCCCGCCCCTCTTTTCTTCTACCGTCCTCTCGTTAGATGATGAGGCTTGGTTCGGGACCGACATGAGTTTCGAAAATATAGAATAGAATCTCGTACATAATACTAAAGCAAGCTGCATACCTCTAAGCACTAAATCATCAAGATAAAAGTCGATTTAGAAGTTGATCTAGAAGTTGACTACAAAAAACACTGAACATGGAAGGAATTCAATGACGGCAGCGACCCGAAATATCATCCAATCCAACGCCAGGATTCATACTCCACACCCACGACCCACGTTAGCGTGGTTTCAGATCTATCCGAGCTTGGTGGGAACGAACTACGGATCCCATCCTTTAGGCAGGTACCGATGTAAACCTACCTCGCTTCTGGCATTTTTTCAACCTTTTTTCATTTTTATTTTTTTATTAAAGGGGTAAAGATCAGCCTTCAACCTTTCAGTTTTTTAATGTCCACAACGAGCATACTAGACATGCAGACATGGTAAAATCGATCAACGGAAACAAAACGAAACATAATCCTGGCTACACATCTATTAGTCGATCCATCCTTCGCCTTATCGATCCAGCTGAACGACATAGGCGAGATGGCATCGATTTCACGCAATGACTTCACATCGTGATATGTAGGTACATGATACGATGGGGATACAGATATTGATATTTACTCTGACATTGTATGTCGTTCACACTCACATGCTGGCTATAATAAATACGAACAAATCTGACTCAGACCACGGCAAGACCTTTTTATTTTTTTCGTGACGTTTTTATATCTGGAAATTTTATCTAGCAGATGTCTCTTTTCGGGCGTTTTCGCGGCGGGTTTGCCGCTAGCTCTACCTTTCCCCTGCATAATTGTTTAACGAATAGCTTCGCGCCAGCCATTCGTTGACAAGTGTGGCATAGAAGCTGACCTATCACGCGTTGGAATCTCACCCAGCTCGACCTGCCAACCCCCTGCCCCCTTTCCCCCCCCACCTTGACATCTGGATGTTTCTATTCTGTGCCTTATTCCTTAAAGCATGGACTGGCAAATGGCCATCCACACCATACCTAGACCCTGTGGTCTGAAGGACCTGTTCCGCCATTAATATGCAGACGCCTCGGTAGTCTTATATGTTTCCTTCGTCTTCCTCTCCTTTATCCACCTCTTCACCTCGCAGCCTTTCTCTACCGTGCTAGGTTTTAACCTTTCCATTCATTTTTACTCACTTCATTCTTAAACTACTCCGCCGGCTGAGTTATCATTCATTTCACTGAACAAGTCTTTGTTTGTCCCTTCTTTTCTCCGTCAGGTCGCCAATATCAACACTCAAGTCATACTTTGACTCACTATACACAAGCTATCTGGCAGACAATCTTTTCAAACAGCGGGCCGGTATCAGCATATTAAAGAATTACATTCCCCGAGACGAGGGTTCTAGAAATTGCACTCGCTTGCATATAGTGTAGGATACATTCTCGAGTCATAAGAAGAGAGCCTCTCGAAACAGAAATGAAGTTCGCTACCGTTGGTGCCCTGGCCTTCGTGGCCCCCTTGGCCACGGCGGTTAAGACAGAAAGGACCTTCGCCGTCTTACACTTTACCGCGAACCAATTCTTAACCGAGGGTCCTATGGATCCCGTAGTCAACCCCGGAGAAGAAGCAACCCATTATCACAGCATCATGGGAGGAAGTAACTTCGGCATCAATACCAAAGGTGATGATCTGTTGAGCTCAGAGTGTACCACGACCACTATCAAGAATGACAAGAGCAACTACTGGGTCCCTAGTCTTTTCTTCCAAGATCCCAAGGATCCAACCAGCTTTGAGAAAGTTCCCTTTTACTACATGAACGTCTATTACTTGTAAGTACCGCCCTTTGTATCAAATATGTGCGAAGTCCCCTTAGCTAATACGTATATTCAGTTTCGAACCTACCAACAGCACTATCGAGCCATTCCCTGTCGGTCTGAAAATGCTGAGTGGTGATTCCAAGACCAGAGACCCCCCTAAATTTGGAGGAGGAAGCAATCTTGATCCCAGCCAGGGGCCGATTCAGCCGATTCAGTGGACATGCCCCAGACAAAGTTATGACCCCCCTTCATATCCCGTAGATTCGGATGGAACTACGGCAGGTATGCAGGATCCTAACAACAAGGGTGCGGGTGCGGGATTCCCCCTTTACGACTGCGACGGCACCTACTCCCCGCTTAGACAGGACATCCACTTTCCTTCGTGCTACAATCCCCAGGCAGGTCTCGACGATTACGAAAACAACATGGCTTGGCCAACCACTGTAGATGGTTTACAGACGTGCCCGGCCGGATGGGTTCACGTGCCGCATATATTTTATGAAGTATATTGGGACACGCCGTCATTTAAGGATAGGTGGACTCCTGACGGAAAGACGCAGCCCTTCGTTTTATCTAACGGTGATGCCACCGGCTATAGTTCGCACGGTGACTTTATTTCGGGATGGGACCAGGACACCCTCCAGACTATCATCGATACCTGCAATGCTGGCGATATTGGCATGGAGAAATGCCCCAATATCCCCGGCGGTGTCAACGACAACAAGGACTGCACTATCAAGCCGGCTATTGGTACCCTGGTGGCAGTTTCGGAAGTCCTGAACGCACTCCCGCTCAATTGCCCGGTCACCGGCTGGGGCAAGGGTGGTGTTTCCAGCGGCTCTGGTTCAAACTCGTCCGAGTCCGAGTCGTCCTCTCAGTCTGCATCCTCGACCGTGAGTAGAATCCAGCCTCCTTTATATCCTCTTCTGGCGTATTTCTCGAGTTTATTCTTTTACCATACGAGCTCTTATTCCTGAACTTGATTCAATATCCCAAACAATGGCTACTTTATCTAGATGTAGTCGTCACTAACCCCGATTACCAGTATGCCGCCACAAGCACCGCCGCACAAGAGTCCTCGCCTGCAGAGACGACTCAGAAGAGCGCGGCAACTGAGACAATCGCGCCGTCGTCATCTGTTACCGGCATTGCCTACCTTGAGGTTTCTAGTAGTGTTTCTAGTTCGACCGTGGTGGCCGCAACGCCTGTCGTTACCGCTGCCGCCGAAACGTCTGCCGCGGGATCATCCGAAGCCGAGGACCTTGATATCTCGACGGTCCTGGACATCGTCACCGTCACACAGACAACTACCATAGAACCCCAATCAACGCCTGCTCCTCTCCGAAGACGTCGCGCGCCCCTCCGCAGCCACGGCCACATAAAGCGTCACCTCGAGGGTGGATTCGCAGGTCGCCGATAGACGGCATGGATGGCTAGCCAGCCAACTAGTCATGTTTTCGATTCTTTGTATGTATTTACGTACATACGCAACCTTTTTAGGGAATACGAGGCGTAGCGAAGGGTTTATCAGTCGCATGATGGAGGGATAGCATGCGGTCTTGGATTGTTTTCTATTCATGTACTTTTGAGCACTCAAAGCAGGAAAGCTTGCGAGCGATGTGGGCATTTATCTGCATTATCGATATCTTCTTCTAGCGTGCGCTGGATGGCCATGAGGCATACCAAAAATATTTTGTGGTGGTTACCGGCGCAGTTCTGTGAGGTAACACATAACGAACCCGATTTCACTTCTTGATGTAGCATATTTGAATACAATTAACTGAACATGATGTTCGAGTCTTCGAAACTTTGCATCGTTAGTATTCGCAATTTTTGTCTTGCTCTTGAAGTCCAAATAAATTATTTATAGACTTCCCATTTTCATCGCCTACGTTTCTAAAAACCCTGATCTAAATATATTGTACGGTGAAAACGGGAGATATGAATCAGATGGGTTTGTCATTCCGCGGGGAAGTCCGAGTGGTGGATTCCTCTACCTTGAAGAGATAGTGATGGCAGCTACCTATCTAGTATTCGCAATAATTTGGACATTTAGGGGCCATTCTATTTTATTCCACATCGGTATCGGGAAGAATCAGTATCCTGGGTATAGAGCCTCTAAAATGCCCTGAGGAATTCAATCTGCAAATCCATTCCATTCACCATTATCGCTATCACTTGAACTACCATCAATATCGGATTTGCCGGTTTCTTCGGAGTCCGTCTCTTCATCCTCGTCTTCTTCTTCTTCTTCTTGTTCTCCGATATCTCCGGAGCGACCCTCATGTGTCCGCTCAAAAGTTGACTCAACGCGACTTGAAGGCCTAGGCTTATACTGCGGCTCAAGAGTCGGCATGCCTGAGACGTCCCGGATGATTCGACCGTCATCATCACGGAGATAAGGTCCATCTTCGTCAAAATCAGGCTTTACATCGCGAATAAAGCCAGCGACGAAGAAACCCATGACGCCCCTCCCGTCATCCTTGTAAGATCGAATACACGCCTCGGCGATTTCATGATCGCCGTTGCTCCCTTCGACGGACCCGCGGACTGGCCATTCCCGCATCCCGCGAACTTGTTGGCCTCGAGGTAGTACACGCCATCCTCTTTCCTTGGCGATATTAGACTGCAGCGCTTTCATAACCACTTGCTCGTTCTCATCAGCGTGGATTGAGCACGTTGAATAGGTGATCTTTTTAGCAGCAGGGAATTTGAAAGCATGAAGTAACAACGTCAGCTGAAATGATGATAAAGCTTCTAAACGGGCCTTCAATTCGTTTTCAGAAGAGACCACGGTCTCCTGTCCGTCATCGTCAATTAGGATCGGTCGCGCCGTTTCTTTACCAACATCTGAACCATCCCGTTTACGCTTGCGTCCCGAGTCAGCCGACGGCTTCTTGGACGTGCCCGGAGTTTCGGGTAGGTGTATTGTAGGCATATCATCTCTGCCCACTATGCCACTCCCCGAACAGCTAGGATCAAGTAACAGGCATCCGACATTTGCAAACAACTCGGAATTTGGATCAACCCTGAGAAAGTCCTGGGCAAAACTCATTCGTGTGATTTCCTTAGCCCCAGCAAGCTTCACCATCTTTTCTAGCGTGCGGGAGCGCTTTGGGTCTTTCTCGAATGCATATACCGTCTGTGAACACCGCTCAGTTTCTGGTGTCCGCGAATGCACAATGGCTGCAAGATGTGTTGTTTTATTCCCGGGAGCTGAGCAAGAATCGATGACATCCCCATCTTCGGAACGGGGATCTAATAGATAAGCCGGGAAGCACGAAGCTTTGTCCTGCAATATCAAAGCCCCAGAAGCGTATGCCTCCGTTTTGGTGATCTCAAAGCTAGGGGAGATAGCCAGAAGGTTTGGTATGTGATCATCCACGTGTAAGAATTTCCCAGGGGTAGCAATGACTTCATTAATACTAAGAACCCTGGAGAAAGCGGCAAATGTGGTCGACAGCTGATCCTCGACGGTTGTTTTCAGAGTATTTACACGCACCCATCGAGGATAGCCGGCTGCCTCGCCCAAGAACTCGGTAGTTATCTGTTCTCTCAAGGCTTCAACCGACCCAGCTCTCCTCCGCAATCGTGCTCTAGTGAATTCAGCATGTAGTCGGGCCTTATGCCGCTCGATGGAAATCCTCAGGCCATGAGTAGCAGGGAGAGCAATTCCTCTCTTGGAAAGTAAAAAATCATGGACGAGGAGTAGAGTCAGCAGGGGACTAAGCTAATTCATCCCTAAGTAATCAGCCAGGGCCGAACCGAGAAGTATGGGCTTGACAACATGCACTCCTGCTCACCTTGCGCTCATGACGTAAAAGCTCCGAGTTGTCGACGACTTCCTTCAACACAGGGCTCCATTTACAAGTCTCTAAGGCTAGGGCATAGACCTGCTGTTGGGGGGATTTCAGGTCTTTCTTGCCGAATATACGAGTCTTTAGATTGCCGCCGGGGGAATTGGTTGGCGCTGCCGATAATATATCAGCTGTCTCATGATAGAGAGACATTCTTCATCCTTTTTGGCACATGTTCAATCACATGTCCAGATTATTTGAGGTTAGAATTAAATAATCCAAAAGAATAAAAATCTTGGTTTACTAGCAACAGACTAAAAACCTTAATCGACAGATAATCTAACTCCGCAATCTCCACCACGTTAGGCGTACTAGGTAGTGGGCAAGTACTACACAAATCTGTACGCAGTAAACTATAAATTCACTAGCTCAATTAGTGGAGTCTCCAGGGTTCTTTTATTTTTATTTTCTCTTCTCTTTTCTCCCCTTTTCACATACCTACATGCCAAGAGATCTTTTCCCTAGCACCAAATAGATTCGAGACATTCGGTCTTCGGTCGCAGCTCTTCATATCGGTTGTTGATCCGTTAACTTATTGCTTCGGAAAATAAGGCCCTGGGAATTGTCCTCTTTAGGGATCGAATCGACCGAATCTCATCTTACCAACACATGCCGAATCACTCATGTGGCATCATTCTTAAATATCATACATCATTGTTCATTTCCCTACCTCCGGTGATGGCAAGCGGGTTAAATGATTAATAAGGAATATAGCGACATACATATATAGTTCAGGAAGCGGCTTGGTCAACTGCCGTGTAGGCCGAAAGCGTCACGAGGGCTCTTGTCCTAAATCCTAGACGACGCCACTCGGAATCGTTCTGACAAATCCGATTGAATATACCTACGTGGCACGGATTGTGGCAGCTCGTAAGTACACACTATACACACTATATGGTAGTTGGTGTGCAACATAGGGAACCATTTCCATCGTTCTCCCAATTCTCCCTTCTCCTAATACGGCTACATCATCTCTCTTAGGGTGCGCCGCACGCTGTTCATCTTGGGTGGTCCACCCCCAAGTCTCCACTAAGAAACCTGCTTTAAATCTAGATCCAGAAAGATTCCCATTATATTAACGGCTCCTTTTATCAGTCGTCAATCGGTTGGTCGGAGGTTGGTAGACACCGACTCGATAGGATTCTTCATAAGCCTAGGCCACGCGACTCAGCCCGCTCTTACTGAGGGTTTCCTATTTCATCGTTCAGCTGAAAGGAACAACATCCGATACAGACAACACGGATAAAATTGCAAGGTTCGGGGCCGAAAGGTGTGCGTGCGATGTTAACCTACCTAACTACCTAATTGACCCGTCTAGGTGGGTAGATAGGTCTTTTTCGAATCGGACGGCGTATAAGTTAACCGATTTAGGATTAAGTACCTATCAATGTAGGTAAAATGTGGTTATTGCATTCTTGCTGCATCTTCGAATCCCATATCGAACCGTTTCAACTGTCATAGGTACATAGATGTCTCTTAGTACGCCTAAATAAGGCAGTAGCCCTGCCATACATCCCTGGATCTAGGTACTTGGATACTACCTACTTTGGTGGATATATATAAAATATGAGTTGTGTAGCACCAGGTATAAACGACAGATCTGACGATCTGAATCCCTTACACCATGTGTAACGAAGAGCCGCAATCGTACGTTCGCAGATTCATATTCTTCAATGCCCAATATCTAGCATCGACACGGCTACACGGTGACATCGACAGCTCGGTCCGGGTTTGTACAAGGCCCGGCAGCTGGTCGAACTTCCCTGCTTCCTTCTTTGTAAAGCTCCACCATACCCGTTAATTTGGGTCGGGTGGGTCTTTTTAAGGACCTGTCACAAACGCTTACTTATGGGCTTAATGGCTTGTATAGTAGCACTATTAGTATATGGATGTATGTATGTACATACACAGTAGGTACTATCCGCAACCTTAACCGGCTAGTGACTTATTCGGGATTGTGACTATTCAGCCATTGGCTCGACCGTGAATATCTTATGTCACCAATTTGGACAATACTTTCGACCATGCTGGACTGTGGTACTCTCCAACATCTCACACGTAAGACCCAATATTCTACCCCCATCACCAACAGATACCAGCAGAGAAATGCCTATCTAAGCTAGTACCCAGGTACTCATGAAGTTCGTGCCCGGACTCAAACGGCCACGGAGCACGGCAGCTGAAGAGACGGGATTCGGTAAGTTCCTTCTGTATCACATTGCATTGCATAAGAACCCTACATACCTGATAGAGGTAGCCTTAGGTAGCCTACGTAGGTACACAAGGGCGTTTGCTTCGTAACAATGGCATCGCATAATCCAAAAACGCGTGGAACCCCGAAGTGCCGATTCACTGTCAGATACATGTCAGATACAAATAAGAACCAAGGGCCGTTTCCGAAGACAAAGAAACCTATATATTGTCATATTGCCTACCTACATAGCTGCGTGGGTTACATCGACAGGAAAAACTCCGAGGGATAGTATCCATATCATACTAGGTATATTACATGCCTATCACTCAAGGGTCGCTGTGACCGTCCCATCTCAGCTTCATGACAATATTTAATACTCTCTCTTAAACTTTTCATCTCACCTTACAGCCTCTCCGTATACCTTTTTTCGTAGAGATTGTTACGCACCTCTCCACCATGTCGTCGCCGGAGGAGTCCTCTTCGGAGTCGTCCGCTACGGTGACCGAGCACGAGCGTGATGTCGAATCACAGAAACCTAGCAGTCACTTACCGTACTTCAAACGACAATTCGAACTAGACGGCGTTTCTCCTGCGGTTTTGGCGTGGAATTACAGGGGCGAAGGGACCGTCGAAGAACCTTTCGTAGTCGACTTCCTTCCCGATGATCCTAAGAACCCGATGAAGTTTTCGGAACTGAAGAAATGGTGTATCACTGCCATGCAGGCTATCGCCGTCCTTGCCGTCACTTTCGTCTCGACCGCCTATACGGGCGGCATCAGTGAAGTCATTAAAGAATTTAAGATCAGCGAAGAGGTCGCAATCTTGGGCGTCTCCCTATTCGTTATCGGATTTGCAATAGGGTATGTAGAAGCACTTGATTCTGACCCGCACGACCCTAGCATTGTTCACTAGCTAATGCTCTTCTCAAAGACCGCTGATATGGGCACCGCTATCGGAAATGTATGGAAGACAGATACTATTCTTCTTTACGGTATGTTAGTGGAAACCCTCAATCTTCTTCCTCATCATGTAGTGCTCCTTGATAGCCCACTATGAAGAGTTGCTAATGTAGTTACTGTAGTATATGGGTCTGACGGCGTTTAACGCCGGTGCGGCGGGATCCCCGAATATCCAGACGCTCATCATCCTCCGTTTCTTCGCTGGAACGATTGGAAGCTCGCCTTTAACCAATTCCGGCGGTGTAATTGCCGACATGTTCCCCGCTGCGAAACGAGGCTTAGCAACCGCCTTGTTTGCTACTGTACGTATTTCACTTAATCTGATACCTATGATCAGGGATCTAGGTTAAATCATATCAGAAAGGGGCAAAAATCCAAGAACTAATTCTGACCGTGTCTAGGCCCCTTTCTTAGGTCCATCTATAGGTCCCATCGTCGGCGGTTTTCTTGGTGTAGGGGGAGGATGGCGATGGGTACGTGGTTACAACTCAATCCTTCAAGGAGAAACATTTGTTGACTTGCCGTCACTGAAATAGGTTGAAGGTCTTATGGCTTGCTTTACCGGACTCCTTTGGATCATCTGTACTTTCGCCATCCCCGAGACGTACGCCCCTATCCTCCTCCGAAGACGGGCGGAGAAGCTGTCCAAGATGACGGGAAAGGTCTACGTATCCAAGATGGATGCTGGCAAGCCCAGGAAGACCGTGAGCCGCGAATTCAAGATTGCCTTGTCTAGGCCCTGGATTCTGCTCTTCCGCGAACCTATTGTTCTTCTAACGTCTCTGTACATGGCTATTGTATAGTATGTATTACCTTACCCCCCCAAGCTTATTTTGAGTATGATAAGGGAATATGAAAGAAGATGCTAACTCTTCCTGTTTTCAGCGGAACCTTATACATGATGTTTGCCGCGTTCCCCATCGTCTACCAACAATACCGTGGGTGGTCCCCAGGTGTTGGCGGCCTAGCCTTCCTGGGTATTGCCGTCGGAATGTTGTTCTCGGTTGCTTACAGCGTCTACGACAACAAGCGATATGCGAAGACTGCGGCTGCGCACCAGGGCAATGCCCCAGCCGAAGCACGACTACCGCCTGCTTTGATCGGCTCCGTACTACTCCCAATAGGACTATTCTGGTTCGCATGGACGAACGGTCCTAACATTCATTGGATCGTGTCTATTATCGCTTCGGCTTTCTTTGCCTCCGGTCTAGTTCTAGTCTTCTTAAGTCTGATGAACTATCTCATCGATTCATGTAAGCGCCGCACAAATTCCCACCAACTTGTATTAGAGCTGTATCTAACATGGAAGCAGATGTCATCTACGCAGCATCGGCCCTCGCCGCAAACTCCGTTCTACGATCCATATTCGGCGCCGCGTTCCCCCTATTTACGACTGCTATGTACAATAATTTAGGCATACACTGGGCTAGCTGCGTTCCCGCGTTTCTCGCCCTAGCCTGCCTGCCATTCCCGTTCTTGTTTTATAAGTACGGCGGTGCCATCCGGATGAGATGCAAGTATGCCGCCGAGGCGGCCGAGGTCCTAGTCCGGATGCGGACAGGGACACACCAGGGCGGACCGCCGCCAAGCGGAGGTCCCCAGGAAGAGCGAGAGAAGAAAGGGGAAGAATAGATTTTACAAAAGCTTGATTCATTTGATTATGACAGTCACGAACTCCGATAATCCGGATAATGGGTAATAGGGTTTCTCTCCATTAGAAAAACAAGGCGGTGAACTTTGGCGCATTTACAGGCATAGGTAAAACTTGGTAATCTTGGGCAATGGGTAGTTACGTCTAGATACCAGAAGATACACAACTCTTGAATATTAATTTCCTAATCTTTAAATATACCTAATGAACATACCACTGCGTTGACGCTCTCTTGAGCGATGCTCTTTACAGCCTTCATACGACTAGGCATATTACCGTATGTCATACCTAATTACTACACCTAGACGCGCCTGGCTTGAAACGTCCCTATCACGCATTTTCTCTCATCTCCAAGGCTCCTATCCATGCTATCAGGATAAGACTATATATATCCTGGAAGTTGATAAGTAGCATTGGCTAGAAATTGGTCCTAATAGAGACTGAGTTGCACTGGCAGCTTAGGGGAACCATGTGATGTGATTCTAGCATACTTTGAATAGCAGTTTAATATATCATTATATACAAGCAACAGCTAAGTTCCGTCTCATCTGAGATGGGCCCTTGGGCTCTGCTTCCTTGTAGTACTTTCTCGTCATGCTCAAGGAACGGAATTGTAAAGTTATCGTAGGAAAAGTAAGATACCTATCTATCAAGTGGTATGTATTAATAGGGTTCTCCTATGTAAGTCTTGGACTCGCCCCTGGTTTGCTAGTATAGATTCATATAACACCTAGTCATATTAAAATTAACTCTGACAGGTTTATTTGTTCTGAAGTACAATCCCATCTTCACTTGAGATCTCGGAGGCTTTGAATCCTGTCTTGGATGGCGAGAATATAAAACCGGGATGCCCAATGCATAATGCAAGAACGGCCAAGACAATGAGAACTCCATCAAGCGCAATGAAAAGGGGTTCGTTGTGGATCAGACCCCCAGTATACCCATTGCTCAGTTCAGCAACTCGGTATCCGCATCGTGCTAGAATAAGCAGAACCGCGGCGGTAAGAAATATCAAGAAGAGCTTTAAGCGAGTGCTGGTAATACCACGCGTTATTCTCTTTGAATATCGGATCATGTAGTCGGCGAGAAGGCCACAAAAGACGACCATGGAGAATACTTGGAAGCTTAGTCCGGCTAGACTTAGGTCGACTGCCGCCTGATTTTGGCCCGAACTCGACGTTGTCAGTCCTCTATATCACATGTTAGGGTTAGCAGATCTTATTTTATACGTGGTCATAGCTATTGGAGTTCAGTGGCGACGTTCAGAGAGGACCTCTAACGGATATCAGGAGCGTGGGCTGAGAACAGAGATGAGCTACGTACCCGCCAACACCTTGTAACGTAAGGGAAAATATATCGGATAAGATGAAGACAATATAGTAGAGCTTTGGTTTAATTCGAGATAGGGAAGGATCGAGATTCTGAGTGATCTTCGCCATCGTCACATAGATCGCCGCGGAGTAGAAGACGGGAGCGGAACCAATGCAAACTATCGAATACAAGGTTAGATGTGGGAATATATCGGTAAGAGGGCTGCATGTAATGTAACTAAGACGAAAGGACGTACTAATCTGCATCATGAATCCAGCAAAGCTGAATGGGTTATAGAAAAGCATCACACGTCCAGCGTAGCCGATTATCTCGGTCACGCACCCTACCGTCGTACAGCCTAGAAACCACCAGCTTTTCCAGAGGAACCCGAGGATACCGTGAATAAGTAACAAGGAGGAAAAGATGCAGATAAAAGCGATGCTGCTGGCGAGTGATGGACGGTATTGCAGCACAGACATCTCCAGGGGGCACAGGTCCAGAGTACATGTAGCATCTGGGCCAAAAGGTATAAGGGGTATATTACTCATTGTTGATTGGACTTTTCTATGGAGTAGATGGGAAATAGATATAATACGTGTGACTTTTTAGCTTGACGCATATCGGAACACTCATGCTAGGACATCGGCGCCCATTTATACCGTTCCACAAACGACGTCTAGACACATCAATACAAAAATACAGACCCATTCTCAACGAACCCGTTACGAGATTCCTCCGCTAAGAAGACTGAGTCTGAGCACAGCTACGATCAGATGCGGTATTCGTCATCGGGTGAATTCTGGGAGGAGTAAAGCATAGCCACCTAAGTATGCGATGCTTTCTGATAGACTCGGAGCAACGATTGTAGCAGACCAACAGCGATAGCCATAGACATTGTCGTTGCCTATACACATGCATAGGATGTGAGATATAGGCCAAGTATGGATCATCTGACCAATCACAAGAATGAAACCCTCGCATTCGCTTAGCGACAATAATTATCGTGTTTGTGATGATGACATGTCTATGGTGCACCAAGAAACCCGCGGACGGTAGGATTGCGTGTGGGATGATATAGAGCAATAGATATATGCGAATGCGAAAATGTATTAAATATTAGATATACCTAAGTCTTGTTACTATCGTGGTCTTCGACGGCTGGAAGCTTCCAAGGTTGTTTTTAAGGCTTAGCTGACATGACGGATAGGGCTGAGACTGTCGCACTCGCGTGTTCTGACTCATGCGACACATCCATACCAAGTAATCGGTAACCGTCGTTGGTTTCGGAATTGGAATTAACAACCGTTCTACCAAGTGATAAAAACGGGACTACAAAACCAGTAAAGTCAACTGAATACTGAGATCTGTTATACGTCTGGCAACATTAGCAGAAGATAGAGCTATCCTAGGCCAGGTTCTATCAAGTCATAACAAGACAGCAACAGCTTTTCCGGGACCAGAAATAGGTCGTATATGTGCGACATGTTTCGTTGTACTAAACCGGTGGATTGCAATAGCCATAGAATAAGATGGCGGTCATAGACAAGAACGAAATAATGGTAGTAATAGGTATTCTGGCTGAATAAAAACCAGATATACGGCGATGCTCTTTTTATTGAATATTAGAGCTGAAAAGACAATATCACTTAGGACTGACCTCGAATTTGAGAGGCATGATACTAGAGCTCGGCGAGTGCTTAAGCGTCAAGCTTTCACACTCAATGTAAGTGAACGGAGAGGAGAGTTCTTTGGGGTGCATCATTGACCGATCCTGATGTCTTCGGATGGGTTTGAGTAAGAGCATAGGTAACCATTCGGACAGTAAGGATGGTGAACTTTACGTGGATAGGGTGAAGCTAGAGGAAAGTTTGGTGGAGGCTTGTAGTGGTTCTGACGTGCAAATTAATCGTCAAATCCGCGCACTAACAAGAATTAAGGGGGAGAAAGGTATGCCGATGTTAGTTCCACGAGGTTTTCAGCAGCCCAAATGTGCGCGCGAAGTGTGACGTTACTCGCAAAATAACTGCAAAACCGACGGAGGGAGACAACAGCCAATCAAAGTGGCTACCACATCCACTAATTTCCCGGCCACGCGCAAGCTAACCGCGCCTCGCCAAGGTCGGAATATTCACGATGATCCCAAACAAGGATCGGAAATTACGCATCCAGGGGTCAAATTAACGATCAACCACACCAACAAGTCAAAACAAACACTCAACTCGCCTGGAATTACGTGGGGAAAACAGGTACCTAACATTCACGATCCGAAGAGAAACAAAAAAGACGATTGGGTTTGTTCGTTTCTAGAGCTTTGCAAATATGAACTCCGAATGAAGTTGGTTTTGTCGTAGGCATCCGAGGCCCATAAATACAATTAGGAATTAAGTACATATGCAACCGGAACCGTTACGTTCACGCCTCATGATTGCCACACTGAATTTGCCATATTATCCCGGCTTTGAATCATTAACACAGAAAACCAAGAAATTTGGTCGCTTAAGCGAAGAAGAGGGCGGCGGCACCGACGATGGCCGCAAAGAGGCCAGAGCCGGCGACGGTGGAAGCACCAGCAGTGGGGATGGGGCTGCCAGTGGGGTAAGAGGGAGAGACGGGGGCACTGGGCGGGTTTAGTTAGCCATTGGTTTGCTCAGATATAGAACGATCTTCTGTTTTGCGGGATCTAGGTACTTACGAGGGAGTGAACGAGCCGGTGGGGTAAGGAGCACCAGGGACAGAGGGAACACCAGTGCCGGCGGGGGCAGAGGGGCTGACCGTGATGGTCGAGTAGCTGACGGTGGTGGTGGGCACGCAGGTGGTGTAGGTGACGGGGATCACCGAGGTGGCGTAGCTGGGCTGCTCAGGAACCTTAGTGGTGGTAGGGTAGGGAGCAGACTCCGAGGGAACACCACCGGTAGGGTAGCCACCGGCGGGAGAGGACTCGGAAGCAGAGCTGGCGGGAGAGCTGGCAGCCGGGACGGGGACGCTCGCAGAGGGGGCAGGGCCGGTAGGGTAACCGGGAACGGTGCCGTTGGAGGGAGCAGAGCTGCTGGGAACAGGAGCGGGAATGCTGCTGCTGAAAGCGGGAGCGGAGCTGCTAGAAACGGGGGCAGTGGCAGAGCTGCTAGCAACGGGGACGCTGCTGCTGCTGGGGGCCGGAACACCAGCAGTGGGGTAGCCACCAGCGGGAGAAGTCTCAGCGCTGGAAACGGCAGTGCTGGAGGCCGGGTAGACGGTGCTGGAGGTCACGGTGGACCTGGCCGGGCAGTTGGTGACGGTAGGAGCACACGAAGTGATGGTCACGAAGTCGGTCGAGTAAATAGTGCTACCGGCCATGGCGGCGCCAGCGAAGAAAACAGCTCCGGTGAAACGCATCTTGAATATGTTTTGATATTGTACGTTTAGAAACGTAAAATGGTAGATGTTTGTTTTGGGAAGTGAAAAAGAATGTGATAAAGCTGCAAGCTTATAGCGTTGTGAAAGAGTGGACGACCGAAGTCAAAGCTGGAGTCAAGTGACTAGAGTTGCGGTGATGGCTTTTTGGCTGGAGAAGGGAAAAAAGAAGAAGTGTGGACATGATGGAGAGGCGGTCGAGTATTAATAGGATGACGAGCACAAAGGATTTCCCGAAAGGGGACGATCCTCGCAAGTTGGGAAATTAAACAGAATAGGAATCTCCATCGACCTTTGAGCTAGCGCGTCCAGGGCTGTGTCCAGGGACGAGGGGGTGGTTTAGGGAAGCACATCGGCGGTGGAGGTTGTGGGTTAGGGAGACGTTATAGACAACTGGGGTATGTCGAAATGGGCAATGGAAGTCTGCTCCACTCGGCTTGACAACTAATTTGACAACGGGAACCCCCCATTCCCTCTTGTCCCTTAGTTGCTTCGGTTGCTTTGAGGGCTTCGAGAAGGACTAGGGGGGGAAGGTTCCTTTGTGAGAAAGGACAAGAGCCGGTCTCTCAATGGGACAACCTGAGAATCCTCTGAAGAAAACAAGAAGAAGAAGAAGAAAAAAAAGGAATCTTTGGAATACTTCTCCCAAGCTTACCGACGCATACCTATTCCCAATTTTCCAAACTACTAATTTTGGTGGCCTCTCTTTCTTTTTCCTAGCATTTGCGTAGTACAATGGCTGAATGGCCATGCAAGACGATATCGTTTCAGCGTTTCAGCGAGCTAGGACCTAACCAAAAAGTGAGGGTGATGGATAGATCGATGACTGATTCGTAGACGGCGGATGCTCGCAAGGGTTATTCTCCGCAAAAAGACGACAATCATAGCCACTTAGAAGCTGGACTGGGATCTAAAATATAGCGGAGCCAAGTACCACCGAGAAAGCACTTTTAGAGGATCAGATTGGCTCTTCCGGACATCATCGGCAAACAAGCATTGATGGTGTAAAATGATGACATCCTGTCGTGTATTATGAGGAAGATGAGGCTAGTGTTTAATAGAACTAGCCGTTTCGCGTACATATGAAAGAATAGCCACAATAGGAACAAGACCCAGGCTGCCAGGATATAGATAGAATATCCTAGAAAAGAAAGTCGAAAAAGGTATCACCGCTTTGTATTTCCTAGCACTCCCGACGGCCGTGAAAGAAGCAGATTCGTAAACTCGCAGACTACATCCCAACGAAACTACGGCTACACTGGGCTACATAGTAATAGTGTAGCTGTGTACATAGGTGCGTTATGGATGCGCTTCCGATGATCTCGGAAGTTTCGCGTGCTAAGAGGAGGGAGTTGTTGGTAATACTAGGTAGGTAGATATTGAAAGTGGTGATACACGCACGCACATACGTACTATGCGCGATATGTGTAGGTACATTAGGTTAATAGGTGGGTTTTCCCCTGTGGCGCCCCGCCGACTCGTTCGTCCGATGTTTGCTCTTCAGGGTTCTCCCTCTCTCCCTTAAGCCTCTGTCGGTGGCGGCAAATCTGCGTCCCCATGCATCCCAGCGTTGCAAATGCCCACTAATGCAGGAACACAAATGTTCGCCCTCACCGGCAGCCCGGCAGGATCACTATGTACCTACCTACCTACATAATGCCAGTAGTATGGATGTATGTATTTGAAGAAACAGACGCTGGAGGCAAAATAGACGCCCGCCTTGCAATCACCTGATAATTCGCCTCAAACCCTCCTTTAAGTCGTCCAGTCGTCAACACCGTTCATTGGGCATTGGATCAATGGCTCATTTACAAAGTAATAGAAGTGACTGAGTGACTGACTCGTTTGGGTAACTGTCGAAACTGGGAGGGGGAGTGGCGCAGTTGGTAAAAGATAGTCCTCGACAATTTCTCCCTGACGATCCTACCCATGTGGATTCATCACTGGAGCTAAAGAGGGTCCAAAGGAAGCCCACAGTTTTTTACCTACCGAACAGAACCAACCGAGATAGAAATCGGGTCAAGTGCTTCGCCAAGACCATAGATTGATTACCTTCCCGTTCATACAAGTGCTCCTCCTGCGGGATTCCAATACTCCTGCTCTTAGTACTACGTATATATGTAGTAGTGTAGAGCAATTGCCTAGGTAGTTTATTAAGATATTGCCGTATATTTACCTATGCTTAAAGGCAACCGGAGGATTTTGATGTGATATTCGAATACCTAAAGAATGTTTGCACCTCTAACTCGTTTCGGGCGGTTCGGGCGAAGAGACAGAGAGCCCAGTACCGAGGTGGATATCGATCATGTCTCACCACTCACAACCAGACAAACCTATCAAGGGACAAATTCTACGCTGTGATGTATGTAAGGTGTCGTCATGTTTCTCGATCTGCATCCGTTGTACCTAATCCTTCGGTTGGCGCCAGCTAAATCTTTTGCTAGGCGAAACGTGCTTGGCTTTAATTAGAACGGTTTGAACGGTGCCGCGTCCTGCGTGTCTCTCTTGACATGTGGCTCGGCCAGTGTGCTCAGACCTTTAAGTGCCTGTTAGTTGCTCGCTTAGATGAGCTCGGGATCGTCCCCAGTTCTTGGGAAGAGCTTACTTTTCTTAGCAGCTTAGCAGCTTAGGTGTGCCTTGTGGGTCATGGAGTAAAAGGAGACCGTGATCTGCTTAATTAAACTTGGTCAAATCTCGGTCTTATTGTGCCTTTCCCCTACCGGATTGTCCGACCGATCCGTTGTTCAATCTCTTTTTATGAGCTGATGGATTGCTACTCTTTCATTTATGTCATATATGTCATGGCGCCTCCCCGTCTCTTGAACTACCAATGCCAAGCTTGGTTCCATGGCGACATGATCGATATCGTTTCTATCGAAGCTTTGACGAATCCACAAGTATCGAGATGTAGCCAGGTGAGAACCTAATCTATGGACGATCCCCTAATGATACAATTAGTGTGCGAAACTATCCAGAGCGACCGCAACCTTGGAAACTTGCGAATTTGGAGGTGCTATCGGGGATCTTCTAGCATCGCGGATCCGGCGTCCTAACGAAACAAGACCTCCCATTGAGCATATGCAAGTCCAGATGAGCGTTTCCTTCAAACGATTGTATACCAGAATTGAAGCGGTAAAAAGTGATGACGGTATACTACACGAATGGTCAAAAAGAAGCCCTGATGCTAAACGACAATATTGTCATTGACTTTGAGGCGATTCTAGCCTTTTGTTTCATTTTTATCGTCGTTATTATGAGCCTCATTGAACACGAGAGACATTGGAAGAGTTTTGGTGATCGGCTTGTTGGTACTGACGAACATCTGATAGCTTCCGTTTCGAGTTCAATACAAGTCGTTACAACCTAACTGCCTCACGGATTTTCCTCGAGTCTGAAATTAGGGATCTATAAGCCGAGTAGCCGGGCGTTCGAAGCAGTTTTCTGACAAAATCCACCGAATCGTTCCGAACTTGCACTGACGGAGTCCTATGAACCAACAATGGGTGGGCAACATTGCTACGTTCTGGTTCGACCATTCCGACGCCAGAGGCCCGGCGCGGTGTGATCAAGCAAGCCTCTCTCTCTCTATATATATATAGTGTGGTCGGTGATTTCAGCCTGGTACCCGTCAAAAGCTTGTCCGTTTCATGTCCGCAATAAGAACGATGATCGATTCGTGAGCCAGAATATTGGGGGCCAGATGCCGATACAACGTGCGTCAAGCCAAGATATCACAGAACGATAGGTTACTCCAGCCAAGGGGTAGTATGGGCAGATATTGTCCAGTCATTCATCTCCAATGGATATGTTGACTCGACGGGTTGTACAGAAGCGCAGAGACTCGGTATCAATCCATACTTTTTGGTACACCGGGGGCTTCCGACTCGCTGCCTCCTGTTTGGAGTGGTTGTGTCTCATTTTCACTCTGGACAATGGGCTCTAAACTCTTATCCCACCTCATTTATGTTTCTTGAGAATCATAGGTTTGAAGGTTTGAAGATGAGAATAAACTGATTCGACTAGTTCCCGCAGGGTTCCAGGATGGATTTCGAATGATGGCTTGGTCTAGCGGTGTGCCATATTAATGAACAGCTGCATGCGGTTGAACGGCTCGGTCGAGTTTCATTGATCTGGAGATGGACACGTGGAGGTCTTTTTGTCACATGCATCCGTGATATTCCCCTATGAAAAGGGGATACTATCAAGAGCGTGAATTCGGTTGGCGTGTATTTTAAAGTATTATACATCCACGATATCCTGGTACCTGATATTTTGATAGAGGTCAAGTACTACTTAGAGGTAGGTACATATGTTAGACTAGATTAGACTAGATTTAGAATGACCGAGGCATCTTTTCGATTTTCGCATATCATATTTCCAATTTCATATATTTCGGTGTTATATGTATTTAACGCATTTGTCTTTCAGGGTTATTGGGATTTTGCAAATGACCGGGCTGACCGCCTGCCTAAAGTTTACGTGTAGAACGGTTTAACGCTAAATCGAGTAGGTGGGGAGATGAGCACAGGTGGGATGCGGGCAGGCACAATGAATGCCGTCTTTTTTTTTATGACTGAATTTATACCTATTTTTGAACCTAAAAAAAAACGTCGACTTTATCAACCTATCAACTTATCAACCTCGTTTCGATACCGCACACGATCACCGCTATTTGTCCTTGAACTGCGTCGTACCCCATACCTTTCAGAGTCAAATCATAGTTGGAAAGTCAAACATCATTTGTACCCTCTTTCACACCGACCATGGTCAAGCAGCATGCTGCATGAATCTGCAGTTACCCCATCATCGTCGTCGCCGTTTGTCATAGTTGGTACTTGATATACACAGCTTGGGCACAGTTGAAGGGTTTGGATCCAGCATCTTAACAAGATGGAATCTCAGGTATATTCCATTTCTTTATCCCATCTGCCTATCTGCCTATCTGCCTGTCTATTTCTTTCCGTGGAAACTAATTTACGCCTCGATCTAGATCGAGAATGCCATCGAGATTGCATGGAATCCTACCTCCGACCAAGCCCTAAAAAGTCAAGCTTTTGATTACCTAAATCAGTTGCGTGCCGATCCACAAGCATGGCAAGTTTGTGTCGGCCTCTTCACTAGAACCCCGAGGCCGTCTGAGGTCGTCCGACTTGTCAGCCTCGAAATAGTCAACAATGCCATCCTCGTGCAGTCGCTCGACACTGGGAGCTTACTCGGCCTTAGAGATGCCCTCCTAGGATACGTGCGATCCACCTATGGCACCAGCCAGCCTTCCCAGACAGACTCTTCTAGCTTACAGAACAAACTCACTCAAACTCTTACCCTACTCTTCGTCTCCCTCTATAAACAGGGCTGGGAGACCTTCATCGATGACTTCTTAGCTCTGACAATTCTCCCAGGGAGTGGCCAACGCGACAATGTCGCCGGTGTTATTCTCTACCTGCGCATCCTTGGCTCCATCCACGACGAGATTGCCGATGTCCTCCTCGTGCGCCAGGACAACCAGGCTCGCGGCCATACCGAGTTGAAAGATCTGCTGCGGGCACGCGATGTCGGGAAGGTAGCCCAGTCGTGGCAGGATCTTCTTGCCCAGTACGGCAATCAGAACGACGGCATTGTTGAGATGACCCTGAAGGTTATTGGTAAATGGGCTGGCTGGATTGACATATCTCTTATTATCAATGATGGTATGCTGAGCTTGATCCTCCCGCTAGTCGGCCGCTCCAACGAGTCCGGCGGTGAGGACAAGGTCCGTGATGCCGCCGTCGAGGCCTTTACCGAAATCGTCGGCAAGAAGATGCGTCCAGCTGACAAGACGGAGATGATTTCGTTTCTCAACCTACAAAACATCATATCCCAACTCATCGCCAGCCCTCCCTTGAACGAATTCAAAGGAACCCCTCAATATGACACCGATCTAGCTGAGGCTGTCGCCAAATTAGTCAACACTGTTATGGCCGATATAGTCCGAGTTTTAGAAGACCGGTCGACTGACGATACCACTAGAGCTAAATCGAACCAGCTACTCCACGATTTCATACCTCTTCTATTGCGATTTTTCTCCGACGAATATGACGAGATCTGTTCTACTGTTATACCCTCCTTGACTGACGTCTTGGCCTATTTCCGCAAGCTCTCCGAACTCCCCGCTTCCTTTTCCGAGACGCTGCCGCCGATCTTGAACGCTATTATTATGAAGATGCGCTATGACGAGACCTCCTCTTGGGGAAGCGAGGACGAGCAGACGGACGAGGCAGAGTTCCAGGAGCTGAGAAAGAGACTCCAGGTGCTCCAGAAGACCGTGGCGGTGGTAGATCAGAATCTCTACGTCGATGTCCTGTCGAATCTCGTTGCGAATACTTTCCAAACCCTAGACGAGCAAGGTTCTCAAATGGATTGGAGAGACGTCGACCTGGCTCTACATGAGATGTTTCTGTTTGGAGAGCTTGCGATGCCTAATCAGGGGTTAGGGGCCAAAAACCAGGCCTCACCAGTTGCATCCGAGAGACTCGTGGCGATGATGACCAAGATGGTACAATCCGGTATGTCAAATTCTTAATGCCTAGTCGAGTTGCTATACTAACAAGAAATTCAACTAGGAATCGCAAATTTCCCACACCCGGCGATCCTATTGCACTACATGGAAATCTGCGTCCGTTACTGTGCCTTTTTCGAGAGTCAAAGTGCTTTGATAGGTCAAGTTCTCGAGAACTTTGTGCGCCTTGTCCACCACGAACACGTCAGGATCCGTACACGTTCATGGTACCTATTTCATCGCTTCGTGAAGCATCTAAGAGCACAAGTAGGCAACGTAGCCGAGACTGTCATCCAATCGATCGGGGATCTCCTGCCCATCCACGCGGAAGTACCGGGGGAAGATGCTGACGACGACATGTCTTCCGATCAGACGGACAATTCAGCAGATGCTGTTTTCGCTAGCCAGCTTTACCTATTTGAAGCCATCGGTTGCATTTCTTCCACGGCTTCTACCCCCATCGAAAAGCAAGCACTATATGCCCGCTCTGTTATGGACCCTTTATTCGCCGACATGGAGCAGCACCTCCCTAGGGCCAGGGCCGGAGATGCTCAAGCCATCCTTCAGATCCACCACATCATCATGGCTCTGGGCACGTTGGCGCACGGTTTTTCAGACTGGACACCTGGTGCGAATTCTGCGAATCAGCGACCACCTCCGGCAAAAGCGCTGTCTGACGAGTTTGCCCGGGCCGCTGAAGCTATCTTGATTGCGCTTAGCGAACTTAACAGCTCGTCCGAAATTCGCACTGCTTGCAGATCGGCCTTCTCGCGCCTGCTTGGTGTGTTGGGGTCTGCTGTACTCCCACAGCTCCCTCAATGGATTGACGGACTCTTGTCTAGAAGTTCGTCGAAGGATGAAATGGCCATGTTCCTCCGCCTACTCGACCAAGTCGTTTACGGCTTTAAGACGGAAATCTACGATGTCCTCAATCAGTTACTAACACCTCTATTGCAAAGAGTATTCGGCGGCCTTTCGGAGCCAATCAACGGTACTGACGACGAGATCCAACTGGCAGAGCTCCGTCGTGAATATTTGACGTTCGTCGTTGTCATCATAAACAACGATCTTGCGGGAGTCCTGGTGTCAGAAGCAAACCAGGGCTTTTTCGAATCGCTCATTAACTCCATTCTCGCGCTTGCTACAGATATCGGACCCAGTTCAGGGAATCTCCCGGCCAGCCGTCTATCGTTTGGGTTGCTTGCGAAGATGGCCGGTGTCTGGGGCGGTCCGGATGTGGCCAACATATCGGCAACTCCGTCGGCCCCTTCCGGATCCCCTTCGCCTGTCATCCCCGGGTTTGACCAATTCCTTATCGACAGATTTCATTCCGTATGCTGGGATGTCCTGCGCGATCCGCAGTTCAACCCGTCTTCGGATGCCCAGGCTAGGCAAGTCCTCCACGAGATCGCTGGGCTGGAGCAAGCTATATACCTCAAGACGGGGGAAAAGTTCCTACAACATCTTCAGTCCACTCTCTTCCCCGGCCTCGGCACCGATGGAAATGAATTTCTGCGGGCAATGACTACGGCTACGGCCAAGAAGTCGTTCTCGGAATACCTACAGGGTCTGTTGAGTAATTCGAGATAAACGACATGGAGAGTATAAGGCGTGGTGGCAGAGAGATGATACCGCGATGGTAATCTTCTGTAATTGCATAAACGGGAGTTCGGTTCAACAATACCAACCACGATTTTGTTGATTAGGTATTTGTCTACCCATAGATGAACGTAGGAATTGGTCTTAAGCCATGGCAAGATGCCATCGGCAAATGAATAAAAGACATGAGGCAAGACTCTGTTTGTCCTGCTTTTTAATTTCATCCTTGATGTGTGCCTACGTACGGGTGAATATCAAATCCTAGTTTTTAAAGGGCCCAAATAGACGCTATTCCCCATGCCTACCCTCGGCGCCCAACATTTAAACCCCAAAATACTCACGATGTATACTTATCAACCGTGAAAATTTGGCTATATATGACGAAAGTACCAGCACCTGTTCATGTCCAGAAAACCGAGGAGTCTCGAAAATAAACATCATATGATCTCACCTCCTTGATCCTGAGAGTATACCTCTTAGGTTCTCGTAAAACGTACCAGAAAGAGAAACAATCAATATTATCGAAATAAAAGCAATCTTAGAATAATTTAAGGGGTTCATCCGTGAGTCTGCACATCCCCCTTCACGGAGTTGAATCTAATTCGTAACCAGCAAGTCTAACCCAATGGCATGAGCGTTGACGAACTGCCATACCCAGCGGCTCCTCAGTGTGAGCTCATGCTCGACCTGCTTTCACTTCGCTACAATGTCCCTCAGTAATATGCATACAAAGGTACCTACAAAATCATCAATACCACGAGTAAGCTTATGTGCTAGAAAGTTCCCCTTTAATCAAAGCCAACGTAGCCTAATCATCTCATAGCTGAACGTCAGCTTGCTTATCCTCAAACCCTATTACCCCCCCAATAAACCAAGAAATTGTGGTATACATATGGTAAGAACCAGGCCATGTAAGAAGAGCAGTTAGACACATCCCCGTTATCATGAAATGTTCTTGAGCCTTACTTCCTTCAGACGTGCTGTGTATTTGAGTTTCGGGTGTTTCTAGCCTCGTATTGGACGCAATTTTGCTATTGGTCTACCTGGGGCCCTTGTGAAGTCGAATCAGGACTGCTAGTCTCTGTCTTGTCTGTCTGAGGCGACGGAATCAATCTCATTCCTTCGTGTTTTCTGCGCTCCGAGGCTTCATGGTAAGATACAACTCCACGAAGCCACTTTACGTGTTCAGGTCCCTGGTAGTGGTAGCGTCCGGTAGAAGGGTGTCGGAAATCGTCCAGCACCTGGATGCTCTCTCGCATCTGGCATCCCATGAGATAGTAAAAGTGGAAGGGACATATCACATGGGTGTCGTGAAGCACGGGATTGGGTCCGCAGAACGAACAGGCCTGGTCGTCGTAGGTGGCGCGCGGTATGACCGCCACCGGTGGCGTAGCGTCAGGGTGCGTGAGGAAGGGGAGCATGTCTTCCGTCGTCACTAAGGGGTGGACATGTTGGCATTTCCGTCGAGGCCAGTTGTTTGATGCCAGGATCAGATTCTCGCACGCCGTGTATTCGTACGCTTGCCCCCTGACAGCGACTCGGCGCGGAACCCCCGTCTTTTGTGGCACGTGGGTGTTGCGTCTAGCGAGTAGCCAATTCAGATTCCAGCTAAACCCACCGTCCCACAAGCCCAAAGACCGGTGTGCTGGCCACGGTCTCTGGGTACCATTGCCTAGCATTGGGGGTGGAGGATGATGTGCTACCTGGTTAAGCGGAATCATGTCTGAGGCTTGCATAGCTGAGTAGCAGTTATCGACTTCCACGTAATAAGAAATGGGAGGATAGCGAAGGAGGGGCCGCTCTAACTCTTGTCTTGAAGTGACTGCTTTCGAGCGACCGAGTCGCTTACTCGAGAGAAGACTCTGCCGACTTCAAATAAGGTATGTTGAAGTCCTTAGCTGATAGATGAGATGAGATGTAATTTTCCAAAAGGATCATGAAATACAGGTTCTGAGCAAGGCTGGGGGGTAGGAGTAGAGCAAAAATATGGGAGTATATGTACACGTCACCCTCGCTATGCTATCGACCTAAGCATTGAATACAAGGAGGGTAACCGTAACGATTATGTACCAGATAGAAGTATTGACCTTCACCTACGGCGAACCGCTCGGTGAACACAGAAGAGAAGTCTAGAGGGTGAAAGAATGGACAAGGCCTGTTAAAGAAAACGGGATGTAGTATTTATATGATAATTCGAGAAAAGGCGCTGCCAGAGAGAACTAATTTTATTTACGGTTCTGCTACTGAGATTTATATGATAATTCAAAGTATGATCTGACTATTGAACAATGATAATAAGCGACAAAAGTCTTCGATGGCAACATACTTAGAACTCTATATGCAATGGGCGTCGGCTATAATGCCCACAATCAATTTTAGGATATCTCCTATATACTATAGTTTGATCTGTGTATTTGTGGCGGCATCTTAGTCTACATACCTAGTTATATACGAGCAATGAAGGTTCCAAGATGGAACTATGCTGCTGCCCTACCATATACAACCCATATAGGCATATCTAATAGGCTTCGTTTTATGCACCGGTATCTAGTTTAGTCAACGAGGATTCTCGACTCTAGATCCGAATAGTGTGACAAATATGCACCGAATAGCTTGATCGCGTGGTCGACGTCGTAGGTGCCTCCAGTCTCACGAATACTATGCATACTCAGTTGCGGATTTCCCAAATCTAAAGTACGCACGCCTAGCTTCGCAGAAAGCATAGGCCCAATCGTGCTGCCGCAAGACGAATCATTCCTGACCACAAAAAGCTGCAAGGGAACGCTCGCACGCTTTGCCATCTCTTGTAGCAGTACAATTCCCGGAGAGTTGGTGGCGTAACGCTGGTTGGCATTAATCTTGATGACAGTACCTTTAAAATAGTTCAGAGTTAGAGTTGAAGTTTAGGTGGCATTTAGATTTCCAAGGGCGCGGTAGACTTACCCTTATTCATCTCAGGCTGATGATTGGACTCGTATTTGCCCACATAGTTGGGATGAACCGAGTGGGCCATATCGGCCGAGACAAGAAACGAGGCCGCCATCGTCTGCTCGAAAGCAGTGGACAGATCGATGTCAGGATCCGAACTGACGTGTTCCCAAGACTTATCAGATGCGGAATCCCCGTGACGACCACCGGCAAGGATAGACAAACGGCGAACGACAGCGGGCAGAAGATCTGAGTTAGCGCCTTGGGCCGAAGTCGAGCCGATCTCCTCGTGATCAAAGCAGGTGATTAAACGGATGCTGGTCTCATTGTCGAGACTGACGGAGGAAATAGACTCTATGAGTCCCATCACACTGCAATAAGTCATGTTCAAGTTATCAAGCCTAGCTGAGTAAATGAACTCCTCGTTCAAGCCGCCAAGGCACGACTTCTGCACATCATAGAGCACCATCTCAAAATCGACCACATCCGAAACCTGCACCCCCGCGTGTTCAGCGATCAGCTCGATGATGTACGGGTGGTGGCGCTCGGTGATCTCTTTGAGTGGCTGGAAGGTTTCGTTAGGTCCCGCCTCGGAACCGGATGTCTTAGACGTGTCACTCTGGCCTGTCCTATTCAGCTCGGCAGCTACCATACCAGCAATCGGGAAGAGCTCGGTTTCCTTGTTGGGGTCGAAACTAGACGAGCGGTCGAGATGAATAGCGAGGGTGGGGATGCGAATGATGGGACGATCGACCTTAACCAGCTTCTGCGCGAAGTTCCCCTTTCCATCCTTGACCAACACACGACCAGCAATGCTCAAGTCTCTATCGAACCAGGAATGCCAGATGCCACCTCCGTAGGTCTCAATGCCGACCTGCATAAATCCGACTCCGCTCTTCTTGCTCACGGGCTTGATACGTAGACAGGGCGAGTCTGTGTGGGCTCCGAGCATCGCGATAGGGTTTCCGGGCTTCCACTTGGCACCAATTGCAAACGCTACGATGGTAGAGCCATTTCGGGTCATGTAATATTTACCGCCGGGTCGGAGAGTTGAGGACCAGTTGTCTCTCTCTTTAATTGGAGAGAATCCGGCCTTCTCTAAACGTTCAATGGAAGATTGAACCGCATGGTAAGCTAGAGGCGAGGACGGTTAGTTGAGAGAGACCGGAGACATGTGTTCAGGTGCTCGTGGGTCATACGTGTGGGAGAGGCATTAACAAAGTCTAAGAAATCTAGAGCGGATTTAGGCGGCGCCATTTTGTAGGAAAGGGAGCTGAACCAATGTTTTATCAAAGGTGAAGCAATTCGAGGTGGAATGGGAGATCGAAAGTTGCGGAGAGATATCGAACCAAGGTGTATCATATACACCATGGAGATTCTGGGGAGATGGGAGAAGTCTACTAGCTGTTAGCCAGAGATGTTTAATCGATATGAGGCGAGAGACAGGTCAACAATGGCAGTGTGTATACATCCATACCTAACAGGTAGGTAGTTTGAACATGGAGAGTTGAAGACCCGAGGTTTGACACCTAGCAACCCCATCTACGATATATGACTAATCATTGAGCTAGTCTAATCTAGGTCTAGCCTTTACATACTGATCTACCGGAGCATCTAAAATTCTCCACCATCCCACCTACCGAACTTAGCTTATCTTATCCGCTGTAACAGTGTCACAGGCAGCGTTACGGTGAAGTCAAGATCGCCTATCCCTGCAACATCGAAAAATTTAAGCTTGTTCGTTTAATCGGATATGTACATAAGTACCTACCAGTACATACATAGTAGTATGACTTGTACCTACATATGTATGTATGTACTACATACTACTAAAGATTTCAGTGATTTAATTCAACTACCTAGTAATTCAATTTCAACCTTTGCCCACATCCGCATCCACATCCAGATCGCAACATCGTATTATCGTCTTATAATCGGCAATAACATTTGGATAGTCGAATTTTACCGTTACAGCTCTGTCACTCAAGACTTACCTCTTGCTTGGTATGCATACGTACATATATATACATATATATATATATATTCAACATTGAAACGATCGAGGTGGCAAGTTGATCAGACTATCACGTACGTTGGGCATCTCTCAGCCCGTCCCGGCACCTGGGACAAGACCTGGGTCTTTCAAGAAGTGGACGCACACGTAGGAATAGCCATTGCGTGCATTCCGCGCATCGCGTATGTGTCGCATACGGTAGTCTGGTAGGTACCTAGTCATTCTGGAATTGGGAGAATGGGAGAATGGGAGAAGGATGATAGATGTTTCCCTTTCCTCTTCTGGCCGACTTGGGTGCACTGTGATGTATTGTGTGCTACAAACATTGGCAAATAAGTAAGGCCGCCAACTAAAGCTGGTCGACAAACTGAGCTGGGCAAATGCAATCCGACGTATTGGGATGGATCGGGCGCTCGCCACACCCACCGCCCGCATTTCTGCAGGATGAGGTGGCGTCCGGATTGTCGTCAAGGATGGGCACCATAGGCCACAACAGGCATATTGCCTAGTAGACACACCAGGCACACCGTACCTACCTATCCAAAAATCTCACCCACCGCCAACAGAGAAAACCTGGAAACGGCGCACCTCCTTTCTGTGTCAAGATAAGGTTGTCTTGCGAGACAGAAGCAACAGTTGAACATCATCCAGGCACCAGATCTTCATAGGTAGAGAGGGAGAGGCGAAGAGCTCTAAAGGCCTTAACAACCTTGGAAGCAAGCCTCTTGGCTACCAGGGCTGTTTCCTGTCCGCTTTTCCATTGGACCCAGTAAGCGAAAGGGACGAGAAAAAAAAGGCACCCTGCGGAGTCAGAATTCTAAAGGCTAAAATAAGATAAACCGCTGTCAGGGCCAGGGACACCTAGTCCTAAATAACCTCTACTAGAACTGCTAGAGCACTTCTAATTAGACGCTACCTCAGATGAGAACTTAAGAAGATCTCAAGGGTCCTTTAAATCTGATCTCCTCATCCATATCTTCGGGATGCTCGAATTGTTTGCTCGCCCACGCCTTTGTCACGCCTTTCCTCCGAGATCACGGTCGACCACGTTCCTTTAATCTTTCTGATGGTAAGTACTAAGGTAGGTATATATCTGTCGCACATAGCCCTGCAAGCCCTGCTTGGTCGCGGGGTCGTCGTCTGACTATGTATGAGGTATTCTTTACGGAGGGATCCGGATGATATCCAAGTTTTGGGCTCCTTTCTAAATTTCGTCCAGGCGTCGAGGCATCTTACTACGGCAATCCGCCCACCCTTTTTCGTGCTTCTGTCACGATTCCTGATCAAAGTCCACATTACGAACTTTACTTCCTCCTTTCGCGTTGGGGGGGGGGGGGGGGGGGGGGGGGGGGGGGGGGGGGGGGCGGGGGGGGGGGGGGGGGGGGGGGGGGGGGGGGGGGGGGGGGGAGCG